ATCGTGCTTGGATAAGTGACCGTGACGTCGACTTCATCGAGCGACAGGACGAGGTCACCTGCATTGTGCCGCTTCGTCCACGCTTTGAGCACAACAACTGCGTTGTTTTGTATCTATATGGAGAAGTTAATGTTGATCTCGAGCTTGATCGCGGTCTTCCGCCGTGAAGAATGGCCATGTTGATAAAGTGGCTCATTGCACGAAATGCCTCGTTGGTCGCGGGTAGGTTAGGTAATTGGGCGTCGACTGGCGAAGTGCGACTCTCTATAAATAGTGGGAGTATGTCACTCATCTCTTGTGCAACTTGTCGACGAGCGCTGATAACAGGCAACGATAAGATTGATCGGCCAGGCCGCCAGAGCTCGCTCAAGAGTCACAGGAGTCGACTGCTCATGATGTTCTGTAGAATCGCGCTCCCCAAAGCTCACAACGTAGTCTGGGCGGATGTCGACACTCGCTTTCCTGTAGATGGAGTCGCGCAGCTCACGTGGAAAATCGAGGAGACAGAAAGGCTTCTCGCCTCCCGAGAGACGGTCACCACTGCAGATTTTTGCCGGATGCGGATACTTGCTGGATAGCATTTCTTCCTGCAGGTGGAGAGTTTGTGACCACAACACCTTCAGTCTGATCCGCATCATTGCTAGTTCAGCTTCAGTCACCGCAAGTCTGTGAGTCTTCGTTGGCTGTTGAGTGAAGCGTGAGCCTTGGTGGGAACCGGGATTATGGAATTGTCAATCCAGAGCCACTACAGCATACAAAATGAGTCATATGCGGTGTCGGTGTTCATTGCTCCCCAAAAGGGGGCAAACGGTTGACTACATATCGAGGGAAGTGATGCAGACAAGTCGCGAATGCCCTCTGATATGGGGAGTCGAGCTCCTCCTTCAGCTGTCTCTTAGCGGGGTGAGCAGATGACCGGACGGGCTTGGCATAAGTCTTCTCTGAGACCCGAGCCGGCTTCTCAGAGACATGGACGTGGAGAGGAAGGAACAATGGGCTCACGTGAGAGTGATGTAAGCATGACTAATCAGAGAATATCTGAGGTACAGCGCAGTTCCAGCTCACCTCGCTCTGGGTACCTTCCTCTGACAAGACATCCACCTTTGTCAGGAACGTCACACCACGTCTTCTCTCGCACGCCTCACCCATCCATCATTCACATCAAGGACGCTCTGACCCACCGGTCATCTACCGCCTAGCGTCATCCACACCCCGACCAAGACGCGGTCCCGACACGTTATGTCACCAGGATGACGAGACCTTCGGCATACGTTCGAAATTTCCAAGCAGACGTAGATTGCGAGAGAACAGCGAGAGAACTTAGAGAATGCGAATTGCAACGCGACCTCCTGCGCAATCTGTGGGAGGGCGAGCCAACAGAAGCTGACAACGACCTATCCATCCGGCTCGGAGCCGTGATTCGAGCACGGATTCTACTTCCCCTAGAAAACGAAATTCACGGCCAGAGGGGACTGCTTCGGAAGGCTCAAAAGCTGCACGAGGACCAGGAAGCCAAGATCGCGGCATGGGAGCGTCGCTGTCGTACGCTATGGTAACATGCCATGCAACCTCTTCGTCGAATGTCGTATCTGATATACCAGAGTGACGAAAGTGTCCTTCAAGCCGATGAGCTTCGTGCCACGGCAGCACATTACCGCAAGATCTCGCATTGGGTCAGCTACTACAAGAAGCTGGGAGAGCAGAATAGCAGAATGGCACGTGAGAAGCTTCAACAGGATAACGACAACCTGCGTATTCAGAACGCGCAGCTGTCTTCAGATCTCGAAGCCGCACAACGTGCAATTCTGGACGCCAAAACCGCTAATGGCAATCTCATCAATGACCTTGAGACGGCGAAGGATGCCGTCGATACATACAAGAAGTCCAACGTCCTGCTTCAAGAAGAAACCAGACGATTGGCCGCGGAAGTCAGCGAGGAGCAAGCGGAGCACGCCATTACCAGCGCTGATCGCCAAGGTCTTGGTCACGAGGCTGGAGACCGCGTAAGGGAGTATGATGAATTGTTCGCCTTGCACACAAGCAGCCTGGACGAGCTGGAGGCGGTCAAAACAACCTCTAACAGGAGGCAGACGAAACTGAAGTCAGTGAGAGAGACCTACCAGCATATGAAAGATGAGATTGAGCGCTTGAAGATAAATCAAGACACGCTTATCACGGAGTTGTCGGTTCGCAATGCCGAAGTGAGGCGACTACACACCATTCGCGACCTTGTCATCGACGCAAAGCGTTGGAGTGAGATGCAGAACAGGCAAGAGAAATCGGAAGGCGAAATCGAGGACAAAGATCGCGACATCCGCAATCTAGATGCTACCAACAGCAAGGCCGCGACGTTGCTGGTCGAGGCAACCAATGAAATCTACAGGCTGCGCGCGCAAGCTTCCTCACTTCGAGCCGAGCTGAGTGAAACGGGAAAGCAGATAAGTGAGATAACGAGACTGGCCTCTATCTCCGTCGCACATTGCGAGGATGCCGAAGAAATCGATGGTATGCGATGATGTATCATTTCGGATTGCGAAATACTGACACTCAATAGGCTCACAGTCAAGCCACTCTCTGAAGCGCAAGACCCCAACCATTGATGCTCCACATGCAAAGCATGCTCGACAAGACCATTGAAGCTGAGAGCATTCACGGATGACCGACAGCCCACTTCTTGCCAAGGGTCTCCAGGGGCGGATGGATCTTCTGCAGCGCATTCGATTGCCCGAATCTTGCGACATATTTTGGCAGGCGCCGACATCTGCATACGTTATCAGAGTGAGAGTAGTATAGTTGACATATTGAGAAGATGAGCAGATCATATGACGGCTGAGTTAGTGATTAGTGAGGCAACCAAGGCGATTCAAGAGTCAAGAGCTTTCTTTCTCAAAACTTGCTCATCAAACAACAACCACAGAGAGGAGAAACGACCAGCACACAAGAGCTCGTTATATCCCTGACCACCACCTACCTTCAATACAACAACACGTCATCCGAAAAAGTCATCTAAAGGACCCTCAAGGTAGAAGCCGTGCTCGGTGTTGGTCTCGAATAGTACACTAATTGACCGCACCGCGGATGGCACGCATTCTCATAACATGCGAGCAAGCCAAGCGCCAAGCTGGCGAGCTTCTCGACCTGACTAAGCGCCTCAATCGTGGCCATACCACGAGCCCTCAAATTGTGCAGGTAGGCGGCAAGGACGTGGGCGTGGTGATCATGCGTGTCATCCAACAGCGTACCTACTCGAACTACTCCGTCCGCGTCGACAAGGATCACCTCGACGACTTCAAGTACTTTCCCGTCGACGATGCCGCCAAGGCCGAGCTGGATCGCGTAGTCGACGGCAACAAGAAAGACGCGACCGCCGGCGGTACTGACAATCGGCTCGTCATCCCCCTGCCGCTATTGCTCAGCGTGAGCAAACCGAATCGTCATACAGCAAATACGCTGTCCGTTTCTAGATTCAGCATCTTTGTACTCGGGAGGCAACCTGGGTGCGACTGAATCAAGGCTCACGCGACTTCTTAGTACACACGTCTCCCAGCTCATCATGCAATACCTGCCCTGACTTGCGATAAGGGATGACTATGGCGAGGCCGACGACCAGCGATCGCCAAGGAACTCAATCGCGCAAACAGCCACGACTCGTTACTCAAGTTTTACAATTATCATATGTGTTCCCCAAACAAGTTCACGACTGCTGTCAGTCATACGGAATCCGCTCGTTGCCAAGAGCGCAGCGACAGCTACGACCCAAGAACTCGCTACCTCCTGGCACAACATTCGGCTCCGGAGAAGAAGAAGGAGGCTGCATACCACACAATGAGGCCCGGCGACCACCCCTCCGGGTCGTCATGGCGTCTGCCATATGATCGAGAAGCTCAGCGACCGGCTGGGTACTCCGACTACCATAACTCGTCTCACTAACTCCATCTCAATCGTATTTCCCCAACCCCCAGCAACCTCTACAGCCGCCACCGTTCGGACCATTCATTCCAGCATACCAACCATCTTTTATGGTCATTTCTCTCATCCAATGCCACCATACACCGGACAAGTCCCACCGTACACCTTACCAGCGTATCCACCATACTCTTACCAAACATACCGGCAACAAGTACCGTCATAGGACGTATACTGCGGCGAACGACCATTTGGCGATCGGCCTCGGCGGTCTAGCCGATCCATTTCTCCAGACTACCATCGGTCGCAGCATGATTCTCGGCATCGTTCGCGCTCGCAGAATCGCTCGCGGGACCGTAGACGGCGAAACCGACCGGAAGACCGCTCGTCAGACCTTCGTTGAAATCGCTCGTTAAGTCACCCACTCTGATAATGCGCGGCTCGATCACACCCCTAATGCTTCGACCAACCCTCCACCGGATATCCCGGCCAAAAAACCGTTCAGTAACCTCTCCTCTGCGACAGAAGAAGAAGAAGAAGAAGAAGAAGAAGAAGAAGAAGAAGAAGAAGAAGAAGAAGAAGAAGAAGAAGAAGAAGAAGAAGAAACTAACAAGGCTGCAGCATTCAGGGCACGTAGATCCTACAGGCGACGTCCTATGCGTCTCCCGCCTACGGAGCTCCGTACAGAGGTACCGGACTCGTAGGAAGAGGAGGAGGCTGAGGAGGAGGAGGAGGAGGAGGATGTCTTAATGGGAGACCCTCCTGCCGACGATTATGGTGTTGCGGACGCATCGCTGTCCTTTAACGGGGATATCGCTCGGAAAATAGCACCATTGTTAGGACAGTCGATCAAAGCGACTACACTTCTACGCGAATTTGTTTGTAGTAACACTTCTAGAACAAGCGATCCTGCCGAGTTAGTCATATGCCCTCTTAGTTATTAGGAGCACTCTTTGTGGATAAACAAGGACAAATATATTCTCTACAAACACGCGAGAAAACATTTGAGGGATCTCGGTACAGGTTTCACTATAGCTTCACGCCAAAGCTCTTTCCTCCAAATTTGCACCGAAAACACGGTTCTTAGCCTTGGATGGCCCATGACAACAGAGGGTTTCCAAAGAAAGATGGGTATCTTCGACAAAGCTAGAAGTAGTAGACGAGCACTATCGTAGACAAAGTGTCAATCCATGCTTGACTATAGCAAGATAGGGGAAATCCTACTAACAGCGCGTTTTTGTCCTTAGACTCGCTGCTACGCGACTTCTTTAAGCGAAGGGCAGGCGGTAAGGATCGACGAGGAGCGTGAGCTGTTCCGGAGCTTGCGGAGGACTATAGCGTAGCGACGAGAAGACCCTCCGAGCCTCCCGTAGCGTTTAATACAATCAATAAGAAGGGGGGTCTAGGGGTCTTCCCTAGTAAGAAAGCACTACGCAGTAGAAGCTCCACGCGGTAGCCGCCGGAGGCAGAGGAAGTAGTAGGGCAGGCGTTGCTAGGCAGGTGCAGTAGGGCAGGCGTAGTAGGTATAGTAGGCGTAGTAGGCCTAGATTTTGTATTAGAGCGCACGAGTCTGATTAGAAATATGCAATGAAGGTGGAATGCCGAGTTCGAATACATTAGCTGGCTGTACTATGTGGACGCTCTATGAGTCTCAAGCATAGAGGCGCACTCTGTAAGATATACTTTCATGGACCTCTGAGATGACGACGAAGTACCTTAGCATACGAGAGATTCGCCAATAAAAATGAGTTTTGCAAAAAACATCAACTTCGAAACTTACCTCCCCTCAGATCCACCAATTCCTCACGCAGCCGCAGCCGCAGCAACGGGGTTGTTACCGCCAGCAAGCCGCCTCCTGCCCAGAGTCCGATAGCTATCCAAAAGACGCGTCTTCGAAACCGGCTGCGGCTGCACCGGCTTCGGCATCTCCCTGCCAAAAATGTTGCAATAAGCAGCTCTCTTGCACGCTTCGAGGTCCGCATCTCGCTCTTCTTCCTGGTGCCTTCGGGCCTGACTGGCCGCCTTAGAATTCCTGTACGTCTGCGTATTCTGCCATTGCGCGATGCGAGCGGCGGGCAGAGGGATGGGTGGGGGCGCGGTTGGTACGCGGCGAGGAGAGAGGATGGGTGTTCCCATGAGCATCGGTGCGGGTATTGGAGTCTGTGGCGGGAAGGCGGCTGGAGACAGTGGCCGCGAGAGATTGGTGTCGATGTAGAGACCCAAACCGATGGCAGGAGAGTTGTGGTGAGTGAATGGCTCTTCTTCGGCCGCTGGACGCTCGACTGGTGAAGGTACGACCTTTTCTTCTTCTTCTTCTTCTTCTTCTTCTTCTTCTTCTTCTTCTTCTTCTTCCTTCTCCCCGCCCATGTCCCAAGAGATGGCCTTTGCTACGGCCGGAGACTTGGATAGGGTGGTGAGAAGTGCAAGTGAGCGACGCTGTTTGCCCTCGATGCTAGCCTTGCGGCTTTTGACTTCAGCGAGGTGCTGTACCAGCTCTTCGTTCTGAGCCTCGAGGGTGGAACAACTCTCGCGATAGCCGCTGAGACGGGTGAGGTCGCTCTCGAGCTGTTCGATCTTGGCTCGCAAGGCCTCGATCGTCTTGAGCAGGCTCTTTTCGACAATCTGGAGGCGCTCATTCTCGGCTCCAAGGTCCTGATTGTGGGCACGGCACTCCAGGAGCTGATGCTGAGCATTCTTACATTCGTCCAGCTCCTGCTTGCACACACCAAGTTCAGACACCAGTCTCTCCAGCTCAGGGGTGAGATCATCCGGAGGTTGTGTCCCTCTGTCCGTTTGTGAAAATTCACTTTTAGAAGAGTCAGCAAGAGCGTCCAAGTCAGCAGGAACGTGATGCTCCAAGCGTGATACGTACCTCTTTCTCTCGTTGGCTCTCCTGGCCTGTTCCGCCAAATCCTTGACGCTCTCGGCGTAGCTCGCCATCTTCTCGAAATTGACCCTCCACTTCTTTGCCTTCGCCGTTACCTCTTCGATATTCTTCTTCAACCGGTCAACTTCATCGACGGCGGCCTGGTACTCCCTCTGCTGCTGCTCCATGTGCTCCTTCTGCTCGGCCAATTCTTTCTCCAGTCTGGCGCACTTACCGCCCGCAGCAGCCTGGTTGGAACACTCTGAGCACTCGCGGAGGTGCTCATGGTACTGGGCCTCCAGCTCGTTGTATCTCTGGACCAGGTCATCGCCATCGGACATCTCCCGCAACCTACGCTGGCTGGCTTCGTACTCATCATTCAGCTCATTGAACGTCGCTCGTAGTTCATGGTAAGCGTGCAAGAGCTCATCATAGCGATCCTGCTGTTGTCCGGCATGCTGAGCCGCGTAATTCTGGAGTTGATAGAATCTCACACGATAATCCCAGGCCAGGCCACTGAGGTATTGTTGGTACTTCAAGTCTCCCGCAGGAATTGGAATACGTGCACCACGTCCGTGGTGGCGGAACTTCTGTTCCGAGCCCCAGGCTAACATGGCTCTGGTCATGGCTGCTCTTTCCACCAGGTTCAGCGGGACGTTGGAGCCCGCGAGACTTTCGAAGCGTTCATGCCAGGCGTTCAGAGCTTGGTCACCTTCTTGCTCCGTCATACCGGTGACGGCTTCCAGCATTTGGGCGCTAGAAGGTGTGTCGGGAGTCTCGCTCTCAGCCTCATCTACGGTCTCGTCTGCGGACTCACCACTGCGTGGTGGTGCCTCGATCTTAGCGCCAGGCGAGGCTGGCGCGTCGTTGCCAGCTTTGGCCGAAGTTTCGTCTGCGTTAAGCGATTGCTCTGTCCAGACTGTCGGCTCAAGTCGATATAGGACTGAAACGGTGCATCCGTCTGCCTGCTCGACGTCCTGACCGACGGTGGAGAGATTGGGTAAAGCTTCTTCGGCATCGGACTCGAGCGTGCTCCTGCGACTCTCAGCAACACTGTCACGGTGAGCAAACCGCTCGTTTGCATCTGCCACGAGGTCGATGCTGTCCTCGTCTTCGTCGTCTATGTCGGCCCATTTGCTATTATCAGTTGCCTGATTACTTTCGGCAGTGAAATCGGCGGGAGTCTCTGGGCGAGCGGGGCCGTCAATCTCCTCAGAATCGTCTTGATGATCACGCTCGTCCTCGGTCTCCCCATCCTCCCACTCATCCCGATGTGCCTCCTCGTTGCGCTCCTCATAGTCGTTGCTCCCCTCTGGAGAAGGCGGCAAGGCGGTCGTCATAGGCAGAATATCGAACCTACCAGGGTTCAATGGGCTAGGATACCGTGGCGCATCAGGACTGACGCCACGCAACCGCGATGCGAATTCTCCCAAACGCGCACCACCGTTACCACGGTGGCCCTCGTGCTGCCTTTCACTCACCTTTCTCTGGTACTCCCAATCGTCTCCCTTCCAAAGAACGAACTTGATGATAGTCTCTCGCTCCGGGTCGAACCACATTTTCGGACAATGAGGCATTTCTTCCCACTCGTAGCCTTGATATTCGGCCCATTCTTTGAGAGTTTGTGTGTGAGTGGCAAGTTGTTGCTCTTCCGGCTGCGGAGCATGCTCTTCCTGCGACTGCTGCTGCATCCTTGGATTGCGATCGTTGACCAGCTCGTTTGGATGTGGACCGATAGCGTTCATGAAGTCGCTATGAAATTCGGCGAATGCAGTACCCTTGTGCAGTGGGCTTAGCGGTCCTTGCTCGGAATCACGTTCTCCATATTCAGACGATCCGTCTGAGGAAGAATCCGAGAAAGCAGACTTCGGTTCCGCTTCCAGATCGTGGTACTGCTGTGCAGCAGAGGTGTCGACTGCAGCAATCTCCTCGTCGGCATCGGCGCCCAGAAGAGCCTCCAAATGCCCATTCGCGGCTTCAACGGTGGCAAGGCTTTGAGCACCTGCCGCACCTCCCAGTTGCTCGACCTGCTCATCGCGGAGTGCATCCGGTGCACTCCGCTCAAGCAGCTGTTCAGGAGTCTTCTGTTGCTCAAACATCTCCTGCCCAGCAATCGTATGTTCTTCCCGTCGCATCGCGTCCATGGTGAACGATTGTACAATAACCAATGAAATACGAGGACCTGCCTCCCGAATGAATTTTCCGTATAGTATGAAAACACAGAAACATGCAAGGAAATCTTATGAAAAAGGAAGAGGAACCTCCACAGCGTCTGACGAGAACCGTACTGTTCGCCATCGTGAATACTCTCCTCTTTGATGCTCGTTGTTCGCGTGAGAGGCTCATTTACTGACCATTCGCCACCGAGGGAAGGCAAAGGATGACAAAGAGCTTTCAGAATTAGGGACAAAGGCTTGTGGATATGTCGAGATTATGGGGCCAGGAATAGCATAATTCGTCGAGAGAGTATCCATTTGGGGCGCCATGGAGACTCATGGCGACTATTTTCAGGATCGTGAATGAAGATGCGGAGCTCAACGTGCTTGGAGTGCTGGGCCGTCGTTGTCGTACCCATGGGGCGTTGTTACTACCACGGCCTTGCACCGGCTCTCCATTGATGAGTCGCCATGGCCACGGTATCCAGCATAAGGGCATGAAGACACAGCATGCTTCCTCGGCCTGCATATGGGAGACGCCAGGTCGTCTTAGTCGCGCCATCCAAGTGGACATTGCCGGCGAAAATCTCCAAGACCCGTTCCTTTGTTTGTGGATCCTATTCTCGGAGGTCAGTGTCACCGAGCGGGTAGCACGCGGACTTGGCACGAACGGGAGGTGAGGTCGAGATTGGCGCGACTCTTGCTCCTTCCTCATGGGAAAGGCGCCGCAACGCGATTTCCCATCACATGCAAACTTTAATTCGACCTCGCTCTCCGACCTGGCGCTAAGGATTGCAGCCAACACGCACATAGGCGAGGAGGGGATTGATCGTTAAGAGTTCACCGCACAAGATCATATCGCGCTGAGATACACGTCCCAATGCGATTCCAACTCACAGCGATGCACTTTTGTAATCTCGCGTCTCGTCGTTGGACTGGTCCTGCAACAACGGCATTTGTCTGAATCCCTCCATTGTGGCATCCACTCGCACGCGGCAAAGGTTGGCAAGCACGGGAAAGGTGGGAGGAGAACTGGGAATGAAGGAAGCCACATGCGTCCTGCCTCCTCGACATGTTTTGACCTTATTCAAAACTCGCCTCATCTTTCACGCAGCAACCTGGAACTGCTATCAACAACCAACAACTTGTGTCCACATTTTGTCCAGCATGCTTGCTTCTGCTCTTACAACCTGCGATTCGCTTTCCGTGGTATGTCATAGCTCAGGATCACCGCGCCCAGCCTGAGGTGTGAGTATCGGGTAGCGAGGCGGACCATGTCGCGCATGTCGGGACTCGCGACGGGATTCGACGGGCAAGGCGAAAAAGCTGGAGCTCTGGTGATCGGTCTGCAGGACTGCAGACGATTTGTTGGATGTACAGAGGCAGTGTAGCTGTGCTGCAGGGTGGAATTACCCTGATGACGGCAACGGATGGCGCCCCGAAACACTTGCGATTCCTGAGTGCATGTCCAACCGGGATTCGGCGGGAGAGTCATTGATGAGGGGACGCCCGTCGGTTCGAGTCGCACGCTACCGTCACACCTCAGCATCTCAGCACCTCAGCACCTTGGCTCTCCAGAGCTTGTGTGCTTGTGCACGTCGGCGCCATGTGTGCTGTGTGTGGGTGACGCAACACTCGGCGTCTCGATTTCCTCGTTCCGCGTGACACGAAGGGCGAGGCAAAGCTGGCGCTGCTTGGCTGCACTCGGGGAGCAGAGAAGGGAAGGGGTGCAGGGGACTGCCACGCGCGTGGTCTGAAGTGGGACGTCGCGTTGGAAGGCAGATGAGCGTCTAACCCGGAGCAGCTTGGCGTCAGGACGGGACACAGCCGCGCGGGCCTGCAGGCGAGGTGTCCGGTCTGACCACCGAGCGCACCCGACCTTAGCGCCTCTGCGGCAGGCATCGGGCCACGATTGGACTGGAGACAAGTTGCGCCATGGGATTGCATGCATCAATGCTGTTTCAACACGTCCTGCTTTGCGGGGGCAGACGGGGAGGAGGAAGGCAGGATGTGCCTGCTACCTGACTTGTTGCCATTCTATGCGCCCGCAGCAGTCGGACAGCGGATGAAGGGCTCTGAGTGGCCGCGTGCGCCCGAGTGACGGGGATGTCATAATCTGGCAGGGACCGCTCCAACTCAAGGCGGCGGCTAGGCCGCGTGTGGACTAGCTCCATTCCACGGCTGCATTCCTCGCCACGTCTTGAAACCGGCCACTCTCCCCCCCCCTCCTGTGCCTCCATCTTTGCCTTGCGCAGCTCCCAGCCTTACAGACCGCTCTGCCCTCGACCTCTCGCACGGGTCCCGGCTCCGCTTTGTTGTTACCTTATTCTACCGCAATCTCCTGCCTCAGCTCCCGTCCTCACTCCACCGTACCGCCCAACAAAGCTTCCACCTACACACCACACCACAAAGCAAACAACCCTCCATCATGGCAACCTATCACTACCAGATGCCGCACTATCAGCAATCGACACAGCACCAGTCGAACCACTCTCACGGCCACCACGGCCGTAGCCGCCGGGGCCCGAGAGTGTCTTCGCAGAATGCGCACCGGCAATTCAAGGCACAACGAAGCCCCAAAGAGGAGGTGCCTCAAGTGCCAACATACACAGACTATCTGCGAGTGCTGGAGGCCGCAAAGGGATTCGACTTCGACGACGACGAGATCTTCTGTCCTTTCGACCTGCTTACAGAAGACGATGTATGTCAAAAGTCAATGGCTACCAGGGCCAGGGCTAACATCTCATCACAGCTGGTGTCCATACACTCGACCTCGTCATCTGACAGAGGCTCCTTGTCCTCCGGATCGCCCGACGGGTCGCCCCTCCAGCAGCAGGTCCAGCCAACCCCTTCGCTCCTTCTCTCCTCGGTACCTAATACGTACAACACATCGACCTTCCAGCAGCAGCAGAACATGAAGCTGCACCAGCCCATGGCGCAACGAGCCCGCAACGCCATCCCGATCGTCGACCCATCCACCCGGTCCGTCGCGAGCCCTCCGATGTCTGTCTCGCCAGGCCGACAGATGCAGCACCAGTACGTCCCACGCCGCTGGTAAGCAGTGTGCCGAACTGGCTGGAACAATGCTGTATCCTGAAAACGCACCGCGTTGTCGGGCTGCCGAGACACGACCCGATTTCCCTTTTCCGATTCGAAACGATACCTTGTACAAATCTCAAAAGAAGCTACGACGACCTGGAAAGCGGGAACGATCTCACCACAAAACTTGTTATTCCTCATGCTTGGATGACGGCGTTTCTTTACAGCATTACGAAAGCATCTGAACTGTACTCTGCGGCGGCGCTACGACTTTTCAAACTCTTTTTCGACCTTTTTAGCGATGATACACTGGGCGATCTTACTGGCTTCTACTCTCTGGCATTTATCATCTCACTCTGGACTTATTTGAAACTCTGAGCAGCGGAAGGCACGGTGTTGTAAAGTGGGGGTGTGGGAAAGGCGAAAGCGTCAAGTTACGACCGACCTCCAAAAACAGCGGCGAAAACCTTTTTGGCATCTCATGATACACCGTGGAAGGCTGGATATATTGGAGTCGATGCCGTCCTCTTGTACGGGACTGGCTTTGATTGGATTTTGTATGGTGTTGGAGGAAGCTGCTACGAACGAACCATATACCATCATCGTGTTTTGGGAGTTGTTGGGATGGAAACCATGGGGAATAGGGGAATCTCCGTCGCTTAGTTGTCTTTTGGAGCTAGTACGTAGCTCTCTTACATTCGGTGTACTCTTTGTCTACGTTTCCTTGGTTGTTTCCGTCCACCCATCGCTTTGGTCTGAGCGCATGAGCGAACGGACGACTTGTTGCGACACATTATGATCCACGGCTTCTACTTCTATTGTACAGATTAACATCCTCCTCGAGGTATACGAAGTACGGGCCCGAATCCCCGCCAAAACAAAGAGGCCTGCAGACTGCAGTGCTACCACGCCGGCAAGCAAGGGAGTCTTGCGATTCTTGTCTGATGAATGTGCTCGGAATGAGCCTTTCCTAGGAAGTGTAGTGAGTGAGTGAGTGTACGAAGCGATCCAACGGTGCCTTCAGGTCGTCATTTGGGACGAAAGCGTTTTGTTACGTACGGCAAGGGCTGTTGCGTTCGGGAATGGGAATGGACTGGTGGTTGAATGATCGATAAAACGATAAACGAGCGAGCACGGTAAGCTGAGATGACGAGATGGATGGTAGAAGCTCGAGATGGGTTTGGTCTATTGGTGCTTTCTAGAGATATCTTCACCGTCTGCTCTTCCTTTTCAGATGTCTGCCTCAGTGAGTGGCTTTCGACTTTCGACTTTCGACTTTCTCGTCTCAGGCGTCGTGTCAATACGAATGAACGGTGAGGGCGACATCTATATCGAGAGAGCCCCAAGGTCCATTTGCATCGTGTGGTTAGGTCTACCTTGATCATATGAAAGGTCTAGATTCCTCATCATGACATCTTGATGCAGCCTACCTGTTCGCGGCATTGCCTCAAGAAGGAGGCGAGGAGAGAGATGGGTGCGAGAGGTCAATCGCCTCATGCATGCCCTCAAGATATCTTCTTTCGTCTCTGCCATCGCCCGCGTGAAACACTTGTTGAATCCAGAATCCACGCTCACCGTGTTGTGGTTCACTCAAGTCCAAGAACAATGTTCATGATTGTGGAGATGTGTTTCTCGCTCTCTCTCTCTCTCTCTCTCGCTCGCTAAAACCTCGGACGCAGCAGCGCAGGAGACGAAGCCGACGAGACGAGATGGTGATGTGTGATGTGTGAGAGCAGATGACGTACAAACCTCGGCGACATCATTGGACCACATCAGTGCATCCATCCACAGCCGTCCACTCCTTCCACTTCCCCCAAGCGATCTTCACTCCGTTGTACCTCTTTCCGCAGACACTTACTTCATCCCGTTAAAAATCCACGCGAGCGAGAGCTTTTGTCAATTTCTTACATTCTGCCTCTTTGATTCTATTCTCTACAAACCACACTTTCTGACAGACGGACAAGAAACATTCAAAACACAACAATGTCTTCTTCCTCCCTTCGCAGCTCTCCCCTCGCCATGCGAGCAGCTTCATCATTCCGCCCTTTCGCAGCCACGCGCTCCTTCCGGACCGGCAGAGTCATGATGGCATCCAAGGAGACCGCTGAACGTACGTCTAGCTGCTCCTCCTCCTCCTCCTCCTCCTCCTCCTCAATGTCACCTTTCCAAACATACATTCCCTGTATCGCTAACGTACGTCGCCCCTCGTGCTGCAGCATCGGAAGCCCGCAAGCAGGAAATCGAAAGCGAAAAGCAACAGCAATTGAAAGAGCAGAAGGAAGGCAAAGCGGAGTGGAAGCAGGCCCTGGCGAGCGAGAGCGAGAGTGTGGTATGTTACACCAAGGAGAGAGTGAAGGCGATAGTGTGTCGTTCGCATGTGCTGATACGCTGAGGTCAGGTCAAAGCAGACCGCGGCGAACTCAAAGCGGATAAGGGGACGATTGCTGAATTACAGAAGGAGTCGGCGAAGGCTGCCGAGACGGAGAAGAAGGGCCAGCAATAGACGGCGTGTAGAGTTCTGCGAGAGCATAGGGATGGTGTTTGGGAGGACACCAGCGGCATGCATGTTGTAAGCTGGACAATCGAGGATACACGAATGAATTGAAAAGGGAAACCTTTTGGGCAAAGAAGTCTTTGGCTTTTGCGATACTGTCCATCGGCCATTGTACACGCCTCCTGTGGCGGATGCTAGATGGACCAGTTGGTGCTGGCCGTTCCACATGGCCAAGGTAGGACACAGGTCTCCAGTTTGGATTGCTCCGGGCGGTGCAAGTGCCTTTGGCAAAACTTGCGGTGGCTGTGGATGGCCCAAGGGCAGTGTTGCCGAGCTCTCGCCAAAAAGTCGACTATACCACCTACGCGATGACAGGCGACGGTCACGTAGGGCGCTCCTCGTCTCTCATCGCCCCCCAAGCAGGTTGCTCGCCCAAGTATAGCTCCCCAAAAACACCGCCCCTCCAATGCTGATCCACATGGTCCTTGGTCCAATGCCGCTGAAGAATACTCTCCCACCCTCATCCCTCCAAATCTTGCCCGTCAGACTGAACACATTCTCCCGCTGCGTGCTCAACATCATCCTCGTCTTCAACACATCCAGCGGCGTCGTCAATCCCGCCGCCACGGCGCCTGAAACAGCACCATATACCGCGCTCTCAGCCCCCGTGACCTCTTTCGGTCGATTATGCGCAGGTCGTTGGCTCAAGGACCATTTCTTCAGAAACTCCCACAGCGGGAACTGTATAATCGTAAAAGGAACCTCCCTCATGACCGTGATGCCCCAACCCCGATACAACTCCCTCCAGACATGCACCAAGCCCTGCGTCCGTCTCTGTCCCAGCACATACTGCAGCGCAGCCGCGCTAGAAGGAAACTGCTTGGCCTGCGCCCGACTCTTGATGACTTCGGTGGGCACCCTCACCGCGCAAGCCGCGATTTCCCCAACACTAGCTCCGAGCATGTGTGCTGTTGCGCCGTCTTTGCCGAGCCATCGCTTCGTGCTCTCGTAGGAGACGAAAAAGAGGGCAGCGCCGGGTGCAGAGCCCACGACTACGGAGCCGATGCCGGAGTAGATGCCACGGAAACCGCCGGCGGCCCAGAAGCCGCTGGAGGACTGGAGGCGCGTTTTGAGCGTGTCGAGGGGGTAGAGGGAGATGTCGACGGTGGTGCCTGCTAGGGCGCCTGCCTAGGTGATTCAGTACATGTGCACTTTTGGGGCGTTGAGGTGCCGTTGGAATGCGCATACGAAGAGGGAGCGCAGGTAGGGCGACTCTGCTAAAGCATTGTTGGGAGAGGGTGGGGAGGTGGATTCCATCGCCTCGAGGAGAAACGTGAAGTGGTGGGGAGTGGATGCCTGTCGCGAGCAATTGGAGTCAGAAGGAACGACCATCGTCAATGCCAAGATTTCTGACGCGGAGGTAGCTCCGGCGAGATACCAGCTCCCGGTCACTTCATCCGTTGGAGTATATCCATCTATCAATTCACAGACAACAGAACATTTCCATTCCTCATGATCATTCAAATCATCCCTCATAAGCCTCTGTCCCCCGAAATAGATAGACTTCGCCGACCAACACCGCACATCCAACAACCATAGCCGCAGCAATAATCCTCACATTGACCCTGGCAAACTCCAAACTGCCCACTCTAATACCCTTCCTCATGAGAATATCCCGCCAGAGTAGCCCGGCTAGTGAAGCACTGAGAGCGATGCTGAAGGCACCATAGTTGACGCCGATCGCCATGCTGTAGACAGTAGCCCAGAACGTACGTTGATTGATCGGATGATTGGGATCGCGTTCGTGGATGGCGACCCAGGATTGGATAATGCGGCATAGCAGGATGGTTGTGCCGATATTGGTGCCCGCGAACTGGAATACTGTTAGTGCGGTGGCTATTGTAGCTGAGCTCGAGGAGTCTTACGTTGCAGAGTATCACCGAGATGAAGCCCATTCCGCCAATGGCACCGACCACACCGGTCCAGTTGACCCAGTGGTTCCAGCCATATGCGAAGACCGGGACCCAGCCGTTTGTCACAAGCGCTTGCACGAGAACGAACATGCACAACGCGAAGGGTACGAGCTTGAGAGGTAAATGTGAGAGCACGGCCATGACGGTTGGTAGCGTCTCCTGTAGCCATCGGTAGCCATTAGTGATCAGTGACTGTAAAGTCGTCCGTTCGATGCTGCTTTCCGTTGCTCGTCCTTGCTCTGTGCTACTTTCATATCTCGCAATGCCTTCAGTGCCTTGTCCTGCTGGAGATGAGGCGACAATCTTCTCAGACTCGCTTACTGGCACGCCAGCTTCGACGCTCGTGACGCCTGGGTGTCCATTCTCAAACAAGGCCATGGGTATACTAGCAGTAGCATTTGCAGAGCTTGACGTGCTCGTTTGCCCCTCTGCTGCTTGCTGTCGACGCTCTCGCGCGATTCGGCGACTCTCATGTCGGTGACGCCAGCCGATTGCTACGTCCCAGCAAAATACCAGCACTGCGGCTGGAAGGGTCACCCACCAGACCGGATATTCTTTACCAGCGGGAGCTGTAGCGTTAATGACGAGAATCACAATGAGTGTGATGATCATGACAACCGAGGCGAAGATGGCGCTTGGCTTGTCAAGAAATGGGTTCATGACCTCCTCCAGCGAATCGAGGCTGCTCTGTCCCTCGTCTTGGTCATTGGTGGAAGCCTGACCTGCCTGCTTGTCTTTTTGCCCTTTAGGAATGTTTGGGTTGACAGGCGGCTTGTTCTTCCTATCCTCTGGTAGCTCGTGTAGGTGAATGCGTGAAGGCACGAGCTTCTGCCCCCGGAAGACAATCCATAAGAGGAAGGGAAACAGGACAATGGCAGTGATGATCACCGGCACGATGACGTTCGCCGTGTATTCGATGAACTTGACCTCAAAAGCTCCAGCCAAAACCAGATTTGTCGGATTCGAAGACACGAGGATTGCGGACGCGATGTTGGCCACAGCGAATTGCGTAAAGATCCATGCCCGTGCGGTTTCGATATTGCTGGAAGCGCGAGTCATGTAGGCCAGAAACGGCGTTCCACTCAAGACGATAGGATCATTGCCAATCACGCTCGCTAGAGCGAAGAAGAAAATGTAGAGGTAGAAGAATAAGCTGCGGCCGTTCTTGCCTCCTTTCTGAAGTACCTTGAGCGCGAGATACCGAATCAGACCGGATGCATCGATCGAGAGGGCGATGTACGCCAGCGAGAGGAAAAAGACCATGATGTTGATGGGTGCAATATTGTCGGCACCGACTGTTCCATCGTGGACTTCTTCGCGACCTATGGCTAGGATTGCAAGCAGGAAAAGGTCTGCTATGAGAGGTGCTGTGACGAAGTCGATGGGGACGTCGACCTTTCTGAACTTGCCATGTTCTCGCTCCGCGTTGGTCGTGCTGCGTCGGTCGATGAGGCGGAGTGATGTCAAGGTATCGGAGACGATGTTCCATAGCTTTCGGGGTATGTAGATCGGGGTGTGGAAGGGGAAGAGGACGATGATGTCTGTGATGGAGCATGAGCATGGATATAAACGCTGGAGGGCTTGTTTTCCTGGCCTTACTTGTGAGTACAAAGACGATCAGAGTGATGATGGACCTCCAGTGCCTCACCTTTGAGGTATCCAGCTCATCCGTTGTCTCCATTGTGAACAGAACTTGTTTCAAGAGCCAGGCCAAAGTGTGCAAAGAGCATATCGTGTCAATCAGCAGACCGGCAGAAGATATGGCGCATGAGTCGCGCAAGCCCTGCTATTGAGCGATGCCGCATGTTGGTGGCCAAGAAATGTCGAACACACTTGGAAATGTCATCACTGCCGAGTTTCTGAAGGGGAAGGGACCGTGCACTTGGTATGGCCCCACTTTCGGGCGTGCCCGAAACGTCATACAGTATCTACCTACCTACATGTAGTACCTGATTCAACAAGGCAACAACACCTTCCGCGCCGCATCATCATCATCATCATCGGATGGTATGTGAACTGGTCTTGGCGCCGAGAGTGACGTCTCGTGGCTTGCTAAAATCGTGAGACTCTGGACTCTTGATCGTGGTAGACTTGAGTTCCTGAAGGCGATGCGGCGGAAGCTGCGGACGCGACGCGACAGCGACAGCGACAATACAAGGCATTCTTCATTCCTAACTTGGCCGCGGCAGACAGACAGAAGCCAACAGCTCCACTTCACGCGATGGTACTCACAGGTCTCTTCCTCTTCCTGAGCATTTCCATCCTCACTCTGACGGAATCAAGGCGTCGCTTCCCCCATCCTGCTCTTCTCGCTGATTCCATTTCCTCTTCCTGTGATGAAAGAAACGAATGTTCGGAACTTTGCAAAGCTGAGGTATGTGGATAGCTGAGCTTGTCAGGATAGGTAGGTCGCCAGAGGATCGTGGTGTCGATGGGATGAGACGGACGACTGACGGGCTTCGCGTTCATTGCGGCTTTCGCAGCAGGACGACGTTCTTTTCCGCTTCGCGAGGGAAGATTTGATGGATGTGTGAAGTAACACTCACGCAGCGTGGGATGGACAGCGGCTTCGACTGGCTGAAGATCCCTTCCACAAATTCAAGCAATATGAACAAAGAAATTGTAGGAATATCGACAAAAGATAAGATACGAAAACCTCCTCCCCGCTCTTCCCTCTCTCTCCCCCAAAATTCTCACGTCCAAAGTATTCCAATCCAGTCCAAGGTTGGTATCCCTCCCTCCCATCCCTCCCAAAGAACTCCTTCGCTAAACCAGATATTCGACCAAAAGAAAATTACCACAACCACAACCTCAATCATTCAATCGCTTCTCGGGTGTAGAGACTGGGCACGCCGCCGGCGCCCTCTGATTCCGCCTGCTCCCTCTCTTCCTCATGCAGGCTCGAGACCCCGGAGGCTTGCACCTCGGCCGCCTCATCGCGACTCCGCCTCGCCTCCACGAAATCCCGCGTGACAGGTCTCGAAGATCTCTCCTCCATAAAATCCCTCGTAACGGGCCCCGAATGCCTCTCTTCCATGTAATCCCGCGTGACCGGCCGCGAGGGCCTCTCTTCCATGTAATCGCGCGTGACGGGTCGGGAGAAGTTCTTGATGGTGTGCAGATCCGGCATCGCGTCGGCGTCCGCCATGGTCGTCGACGTCCAGCGACTCCGCGACTTGGTCGACTTTGCCGAGCTCGCGCGTCGACTCTTGGTGGATTTCCCCGCGGGGTTGAATTGCAACTCGAAATTGCGGTCCGAAGAATTTCGCATGATGGATCTCTGTTCCCATTTGCCCGTGTGCATGTTGTACCCCAATTCGTGCTCCGCGCCTGCCACGAGGGGAGGATGTTGTAGGTCGAGGCCGGCGTTTTCCTGATGGAAGTGGAAGTCCCAGACTTCGAGCGGGAGGGTGGACATCTCCATGCCCAAGTCCACGGCGCTGTTGTTGTATTCCGATGACATCGTCCCTCCGCCCCACGAGACGTGGCCTCGTTGGGTGGATTTTATTGTGGAGGGTGTCATGTAGCCTTCCAAGGAACCCCAGCTACCGGCTCTGGATGAGCGCGGCGGCGGAAGCGTAATTGTGCTGGCGCGGAAGGAAGGTGCACCGGTGAGGTTGCGGGTGCTGTCTCCCCTGCCTCTGCCATAGCCTTTCTCCTCGCCCGATTCGCCAGCGAAGACGAATCCATTGCCGTAGGAGAAGGGACCATGGGCGCCGTTGGGGATGATGAACAGTATATCGATCCGGATGAAGAAGTAAAACAGAGTAACGAAAATTTCGATGCCAAAGTCGACAGCGTAGAAAGCTGCCTTGGAAAAATACCAAGGTTTCGGATCCTGGATGTGTGTGGGTGGCAAGAGCTCAGTTCCAGCTCGCCACCAAGCTCCGAAGGAAAGGAGAGTAGAGGTGAAGAGGACGAGGAGTATTTTCCATTTCATGGCTCCGGAGCCGAAATTATCGACTGGACAATCCCTGTGTGCTGGAGCATATTTCACTATCGTGGAAATGAGTATTATCGGTATCGGGAGGAAAGCAGCGAAGCCGTAGAAGGTAGCGCCGTAGATTTGGACGTCGCGAGTCCATTGTTGGGCATAGGTTGTATTGACGTAGAATTGGGCAATGACCGCTGCGATGAGGGCAAAGATCGTGCCGACGATAATGCCGAGCAGGAGGGGTACCAAGATTGAGAAAGGCTTCGTCCAGCCAAAGCGAGGGTGTTGTGCGCGGACGATTCGCTGGGCGAAGAAGAGATTTGCGATGAAGAGGACGATGACTCCGGCGTAGACAAAGATTTGCGCTGCCATGCCGAGAGCGATGTTGTGTGGGTGGTGGGCCCATGCGATTCGGAGGGTCGTTGCGACGATTCTCGTAACGCAGAAGCCTGAATGTGATCAGCGACCAGATCTTGAGGACAAGTCATTGAAGACATACCGAATATCGCGGCGTTGAAGACGAACTTCTTCCCTCGCTTGTGCATGTTGATCTGAAAGAGTGTCATGTGTGCCACGGCGGCAGAGGCGAAAAGAGCGAGGAAGACGGCGTTGACGGGGACGTCTGGTAGGATAGAGGGAGTCTCGCCCAGTCCTTGATACTTGGGCGCATAGGGAGGAGTTTGGTTGCTAGGAGCCTGGTCGTCGTTAGTATCGTGCGGTCAGTGAGGGAGCTGGTATCGCTTACAGCGCCATCTGCTTGAGAGCTCATCTTGTCGTTGCTTCCAAGCCCTAGTCAGTGATCGAAAGTCATCTACCCCGACTCAAGGTCGACCAAGCATGCAGAGATCCAAGACCCAAGGGTCCAAGAAGACGCGTCGTGAAGAATCGAAATGCAGTGAAGAGTAGTGGAAGTGCAAGGCCGTGCCCCCCAAATGGCAGCACGAGAGTAGGAATCAGGAAGAGATGAGACAGGGACGACCGTTGACACTCTATTCAAAGGAAGCCTCGCACTGCCGCGGCCTTACCGTTATCGTTAGAGGGAGCCCTGCGATATCTCTCCCCTCGTTTGCTCCACGTATCCCTCGCCCACGGTAGTCGTCCAGTAGTCATCCAAGAGGCGGAGGCATGAACCGGTGTCTCGTACCTCAACATATACCTCAACATGGGGAGCCGGATACTAGTGCAAAATGATGCTCCATACTCTGCAGGAACCAGGTTCAGCCTTAGGCAAGCCCCGGGGGATGTGCTATCCAGTAAGATGGCGCGCAGCACAGAAGATCTCCAGCAGTCCCGTGTCGATCATCCTCCATCTGGAGTGTTTTCCAACGTCTTATCATTATCGTTATTGAACCAGTGAGATCCGCATCCAGCAGTCGACGACGGGAGGCCCGCGCCAGATCTCTGTACAACAGCAATGTATTGCTTCAGCCTGTATGTACGCACGGCGTCGTACGATCAACAATCCTTGGACAGTCTGCTGCTGCTGGTCTGTGAGGCTTCACCATGGCGTTCCGGGAGACACACGGAGTCGATCAAATAGGAGCCGTGCATGCGTGTCTTCTCGGGTAAGTGTACGCATCATCCAATTTGGGCGCCGCCCCAAAGCAGGTCGGCACAGCCCGAATTGGATGTCGATCTTATCGGTCCAATATGCGCCGTGATGCCATTATTGAACAACCCATGGTATGCCGGATGTCCAGATCCATCCTTCGCGAGCAATCGCGTGACATGTTTGTTAGAGGTTGTAGTGATGAAGAGGGTGTGAGGATGTAAACGCTGAGAGTGAACCCCGTGCTTGCAAGTACGCACGTCCCCCCTTCTCCCCATAAAGAAATTGCAGGGATCCTTGCGCAACATTCTGGAGCATCTCGGTTTCAGAGTCGTGGCGATGAGCTTCTTTTGCTATGTCAGACCTACACAAGCGCAGAATGTCTGCTGTGCGATTTTATTTATGGCTACCTCAATCCACTGGAGTCAGAGCAGCAGTGGCATCAGTCTACTATATCCATCCATACCGCCCCATTCGCTATCCTCCTCGTGCTGCAACTCGCGCCAGGGAAATGCAGTTCGGCCATCATTGCTCTACTTGTCCAGCTTGAGCATCACGTACGGTATCTCCACATCCTCTTCTGTCTCGTCCTCGGCAGTGATCTCGAAGATGACGTTCTTCTGGTGATCTGGAATCTTCTTCTTGCTAATGTGCTCAACAAGCTGGGACATCCTGCAAAGCTGTTAGCGATTGTCATCATGTCAGGAAGGATGTGTTGACTCACTTCATCGGCAGGCGCTCCTTGTTCTTGCTGGCTGGATAGAAGCTGGCGTACAACAAGCTCACCCCAGAACTGATCATGCTAATGCTCAGCCCCTTGGCCTTGAAGTCGTCCAGGAACTGCTGCAGCGTCACGTCCTCCGTCTCGAAGCGGTCCCAGAGCTTGTCGATGGTCACCTCGCCATTCGGTCCTTGGTACTTGCCCTTCGGACTGGCGATGGGCTCGGAGAAGCCGAAGAACGGCAATGCCAGGTTGACGAATCCATTCTTGTATTGCTCGATGTCGTCCTTCCCATCGATGATCTTGTACAGCTCCAGGATGACGAGACCGGTGACCAGCGCCGTGGTGGTGGCAATAGCTGGGATGATCTTGCCAGCGATGAACTTGGTCTTGTGACGATCAGCCGTCACAATCTTGTAGTTCTCCGCACGCAGGTTCGAGGCCGCCGTGATGAAGTCGATGTGGAAATTGGTGTCGTCGTCCTTCTCAAACTCGACTGGCTCCAGACGGAAGTCGCCAAGCGTCTTTGGTTGCGGCAGCGACTTCGCGATCTGCTCCAGCTCAGCGTTATCGTCCGCTGGCCCACCGCCGTTCGGATCGGGCTCCTTGTCATCGGCTTGAATCTTGACACCAGGGTCCGGCTTGAAGTCGGGGATGATCTGGCGCTCAAGCACCGATGTGATGTATTTGCGGTCGTTGTTGGGCTTGATGTCGTAGTTGAAGGCGTGGAGGTTCGCAGCGGCAAGGATGAAGCCGTAGTGAGTGGGGTTGGATGGATCGAATTGGAGTGGATCAGGAGCACGCTTGGGACCAGACCAGAATGGCTGGCCTGATGAGGTCTTGGAGTCCTTGGGGAAGTTGTACAGCAACTGCTGGATGGCGTTGTTGTACTGCTTCTCGAACTGCTTGCGGGCCCACTCGATACAGTCATCAAAGTTCTCCGGCTTCTCGGTCACGAGGTAATCACGGAGGGTCTCCAGCGTCTGCTTCTCGTTACCGGACTGCTTCAGCGCACTGGCCAAGTAGTCCTTCTGGGTGAGATAGGTGTTGACGATTTCTGCGGGGCCAGCGAAGTAGGTGTGGAATAGATCCTTTGCCCAAGCAATGGTATGCTCGATGCGGTTGGGGAATGAGCGGAGAGTACACATCGGGAATGATTGCTCCGGAGGATCTTGCGAGCTGGAGTACGACTCCGTCTGACGTGGCAGGACAACCTGTGTGTTGCCCTTGGTGCCGAGAGTACCGCTGTCCAGAAGGGGCTTGTGGAAGAAGACGCATCTCCTATCCACGTATGTCCGCGCATCTACATTGTCCAGAGCGTTCGTCACACCGTCCAAGCCTTCCCAGAAGTTCTCGTTGAAGATGTGCTCTGTGTCCTGTGCCACTCTATCCTTCATCATTTCGATCTTGCCCTTCAAATCTGGATTCATGACCTGGACTGCTTCGGCTGCACACTCGCTCTTGAGCTTACCCACGTCCTTGGAACGGAACAAGAATTGGCGGTTTAAATTGCTCTTCTCAATCTGGTCCATATCCGTCACACTGATCTTTCCGTTTGGCCCAGTCGCAAGGCCAATCATGGCCCAGTTCTTCAACATCTCACAGCCGATGGCACCCGCACCAACCAGAAATTGCTTCACATTTGCAATCTTGTCCTGGAACTCCTTGCCAAACACCGCGATCTGACCATCGTACCGAGTGCCTAAAGGCTTGCACAGCTCTTCACTGCGAGGCGTCGAGGTGGGGAGCGATTCGAGCGAGTCAAAGTACAGCCACTGCTTGATAGGATGAAACTTTCCAGAGACAGATTTCAGGACCTCCTGTGCAGCAAGACCACCAAAGAAGGCAGCCATGGGTGATAGGTCACCACGTGCCTGATAAGACAGCTCCTTCAAGAGCTTCTCATCCAACTCGGGAGGCTCCTCTTGCGTCTTCGCGATCTCTTGGGCGAGCTTGAATACCTCGGCGGCGTCCGCGTCGTTGTGTGGGCGAGGGAATTCGCCGCTGTGGTTCTTCGCGAACGCATGTAGCGCCTGAAAACCGACGTGGAGCTGTCCAGGTCGATCAAACTTGGCGAAGTCGGACATCAGAAGCTCCGGCTTCTTGAGCTGCTGGCTCAGAGGCTCAAAGTCAAGGATCTTGGGCATCTTGACCTGCTGGTACAAACCACCACGCTTGTACTGGCCCACGCCAGATACATCTCCAATCGAGAATGTGTATGGTCCCTTGACTGTCACCTTCCGAGGTGTGCCATCGTTCAATTTCTCCATGCCCTCCACCTCTGAGAATGTGACAAAGTCCCCATCTTCTAATCCGTGGCGCGTCTCGTCCAGGGCCGAGACCAAGCCGTCTGAGTCGATATCGGCGACGATGCCGTTGAGCGGGTTCTCGCCGGTAGCATCTCCGACAGTGAAGTTCTTGCCGAAATCTGTGAAGATGGTGCCGAAGAGGCCATAGGTGTCTGTGATGACGAGGTAGATGCCATTCTGGTGGCAGTAGTCGGCGATCTTGAGCTGGTCGTCGAGTGTGGTGTCGGTCAGGACGACGACCTGGTACTGCTTGAGCTGGCTCAGATCGCCCGTCAGGCTGTCGCCTGGGTGGAGGTTGACGGGCGTGTATGGGTTGAGCTCTGAGACCTTGGGCTGTGTGACAGCAGCACGAGGCTTGCCGACATCGCGGGGTGTCAGGAAGAACTGCGAGGAGAGGTCGTCAATACGCGCGGGCTTGGGGTCGAACAGAGTCAGGCTCTTGACTCCAGCCAGCGCCACGTTCTTTGCAATCTCCGTGCCCAGACCGCGGAGACCGACGATGAGCACATTGCTGGAGCCCATCCGCTTCATGGCCTCGTGGCCGAGCACGTACAGCTGTCGGGAGTAGAGCGACTCGTCGATCTCGCCGCTCGCATTGCTGGCATCCTTGAGCTGCTCGACCCCCGCAGCGGGAGTATCGATGTCCATCTTGCCGTTGCTATTGCTGCTGCCGGTGCCGTTGCCGGCTTCTGTCATGACTTTCTTGTGGGGGCTTTCGCGGGCGGTGGTGGGAAGGGGGCTTGCTGCTCTTCTCTTCATTAGACACGCTTCGTGTTGCCGCGGCGTCTAAGGAGAAGAGGGTGCCGTGCCTGCTGCTCGCTTCCTCTGACCTCCTCAAACGGGCTTCAGCTCGTGTGACTTCAGTTCTCCAGCAACATGCGTGTGGTGAGGTTTCGGGAGGGAGCGAGGCGGAGAGGGTGTGGCTATGCAGAAGTTCGGAAAAGCCCAAGGCAAAAGGCAAAAGAGAGTGGACTGGTCAGCGGCGAGGTGAGGTGTTGATGGCGTGTCGATGGCGAAGATGGGGGTTCAGAAGCTCAGGCTCTAACGAGACGCGGCCTGCACGAAGCATCAAACCGGTACGTCACTCAAACGTTCTTCCTGCCTGAGGCATCTTCACGTGAGCTGGGTCGATGGAAGAGGCAGGAACGCAGAAAGGAGGGCATTTACGGATGATGCTGTCTGATGAACTCCGTCCTAATACTCAATATAGTACACTTTTTCACCAAGCACGCATTGTTATCGGTACATCACGACATCATTACATTCGTCTCCTTGGAGCTTTGGCGTGGTCTTGAAGATTAACCACCTCATCTATCAACTCGCTGGCGCTAGTAGCCATCATAGTCCTGGTCATCTTCGTCGTCATCGATGAAGAAAGGCACACCAGCCGTGCTACCGGCCGCCGCAGAGATGACTGAGCCTCCTCTGCCCACTTTCGCCTTGCCAGCCGGGGTTTGTTCTGCAGCGGCCTTCCTCTTCCTGTTCTCCTCCATCTTCCGCCTTCGTTCCTCCAGCCTTGCTCTACGATTCTCCAAATGCGTGTCTAGGTCTCCGTGATGGAGCCCAGCGAGCCATCGCACGTCTTCTCGTAGCAACATCTTGGCCACGACGCCCGCTGAATCACGGGTGCCATAACGAATGGTGGGAATGCCGCGCGGGAACTTGGCTCTGAGTGCCAGTATCTGGGCTGTACCGGCGTAGAGGCGGGGAAAGAGATGGAAGTCTTTCAAGTCGTATTCCTTGCAGGCGTTGGTCTTGGTAATCTTGTTCGGCCAGAAGATCTTGTCACAAGGCCGACAGCACTTTAGCCCGTTCACCAGTGTGGCCCAGCACTGCGTATTCTTGCCGCAGACAATACAGTGTCTTTCGGTCCAGCTCAGAAGGCCCTGAGCACCCCGACCGCGCAGAGCATTGAAGGTCTTGTCTTTCTTGACAGTCTGCTTGGGGGGCTTGTAGCGCGTGATGTCCTGATGCTGGAGCAGGAAATGGATGGCCCAATCATTGATCTCGTTGCGGAGACTCCTACAGGTTGCTGCCAGCTTGTCCAGCTCGTGATCACATGGCGGCGGCCTATCGAGGTGATATGAGAGCTGGTCCGGCTGGTGGCGCACGAAGAGATAGTCGAAGATGTTATACAAAAGCTCCGAAGGCAGCTGCGTGAGCCAGTTCTCGGGGATGGGTGATGAAGATGTGTTTGCCATTGTTTGCGAGCATGTCACCTGTCAGATCAAAGTCCTCGACTCAGAGACGGTCGCAATCTAATCTTCGTTTCACTTGCACACTGTCTGTAGGTTGTTGATGCCTGAATTCATCATCGGGTGGAGCCGACCACTAGCGCGATTGATCACGTAATACCCCTCGCCTCCCTTTCACACTTTCACACTTCCACGCTTTCTCCCAAACATCACCGATGCGACGGTACGACTGAATCTCATTGCAGGATACACGGGGCATCACCCTACAGATTTCCTCGCCAGAAGAGAGCAACACCAGGGATCTCCTTCTTCTCGATGGTCCGCACGAAGCATTTCACGGCGGGGTTGGCCGGACGCGGAGATCTCCAGGCACCCGCTTGACACGACTGCGTGTGCCTGATGACAGATCATCATTAATATTGGTGCTGACACCTTCTCGAACTCAGACGAGCACAGCAGGGAAACTGACACACACCACACACCCTCGGCGGAGTGCGAGAGAAGCTGGCCTGCTCTTATCCTTATCATCTTGTGATCTGACCTGCTCATCATCTGGCCTGCACAATATCTGGCCTGCGCATCATCTGGCCATCTGCGACGCGCCCTGTACGCGCTCTGTACGCGCTCCTGATTCAACCTCACCTCACGCGCACAGCAGTCCATCGGCAGGCCGCAGCACCAACTGCAGCATCGACTGCAGCACCCAACGCAGATCCCCATCAGAACTTCGTGATCTGCTATGAACCCGCACATCCTGGCCCTGCGCGCCGAGTGCCTGAACCCCCCACATGCTTCTCCAGGGTGCAACCACGGAGACGGCGGAGCAAGCTGTATGAGCACCGACTTAATCAAACTTGCGGTAGGGTTGGCCTCTGAGACTCTCTCTTCGTGCTTCTACCTTGTCTCTCTCCTCTCATTCTGTCGTTCAGAAGCTCACGGCCGCTTTCACTCGCTTTTCGACAGTCTCGCGGTCAAGATGGGTCGATTCTTGCATTTAGTCTCCCTCGCAAACATTGCTGTTGCTCAGCAATTTGTCACGGACCCGCTGCGATACGTCGACCAGCTCATCGGGAGCAGCAATGGAGGTCTGTTGCTCTCGTGATGCAGATACAATGCAGTATCGCGCTGACCGATCAAGGCAACGTCTTCGCTGGCGCATCATTGCCATATGGTCTGGCCAAGGCAGTGGCAGATACCGACAGCGATTCCAACCAGGGAGGCTTTACCTCCGACGGTACTAACATCACCGGCTTCTCGAGCATGCATGACGGCGGAACTGGGTATGTAATGGATATCGCATGCCAGAGAATGAGCTCTGACACTCGAACAGAGGCAAACCCTCCCTTGGACTGTTCTCCCTTTTCCCATACGCATCTTGCACCAACGATGAGGTGGATGGATGCTCTTTCCCAAAGAGTGCGAGAAAAATTCCATACCGAAACCAGTCCGTGCAGGCCTCTCCAGGATACTTCAGCTTGGAGTTGAATAGTGGAGTCCGAGGAGAGATGACCACCGCGCAGCATACTTCCCTCTTCCGATTCACCTTCCCAAGTAACGGTGGTGGCAGCTCGCTCATTCTTCTGGACCTTACCGATCTCTCCGACTCTCGACAAGACAACGCGAGTATATCCGTAAACCCAGCCAGCGGCCGCATGACTGGAGAAGCTCGCTTTGAGCCTTCTTTCGGACAAGGAACTTACGTAGCGTACTTTTGCGCCGACTTCCAAAGCTCTGGCATCAGGGATAATGGAATCTTCGTCAACAACAGAGGCAGTACAGACGTGAAGGATCTGAAGATCTCCAGAGGCATCAATGCTTCCCCGTTGCCGGGCGGAGCATTCGTGCGATTCAAGGACTCGAGCCCGGTGCTTGCGAGAGTGGGGTTGAGCTACAAGAGCAGTGAGCAGGCGTGCCAACTTGCGGAAGCCGAGATTCCAGACTTCAACTTTAACACCACACAGACGAGAGCCGTGAATCAGTGGGGACATAAGATGAGCACAATCTCTGTCTCGCCCGGAGGCGTAAACGACTCCATGCTCAAGAACTTTTATTCCGGCATTTACAGGACCATGATCAATCCACAGAATTACACTGGAGTGAATCCGGTGGTGTCGGAGAGCACGATTTACTTCGATAGCTACTACTGGTAAGTCAGCTCGTACGAGTGGAAGGTTCGATGGGCTGACAATCCACGCAGCATCTGGGATCTTTTCCGTTCGCAGATGCCATTCTTGACAATCTTCGACACTCCTGCATTGATTGAAATGCTTCAAGGCCTGCTCACGCTGTACAAGGTGCAAGGGTGGCTTCCGGACTGCCACATGTCTCTCAACAAGGGTTATACACAGGGTGGCAGCAACGCGGATGTGGTCATGGCCGATGCTTACAAGAAGCTCAAGACCGAGGCGATTGACTGGACATTGGTATATGAAGCAGTCAAGAAGGATGCTGAGGTTGAGCCATACGGTAGGATATCGCACCGCGTGTTCCTGGCCTGACAATGCTAACATGCTGTAGACTGGTGCTGCCAAGGACGAGGTGGTCTCGACAGCTGGAAGAGGCTCAACTACATTCCAGCCCAAGACTTCGACTACAAGGGCTTCGGAACAATGACACGTACCATCTCACGCACGTTGGAATACAGCTACAACGACTTCTGCGTCTCCGAAATCGCAAAAGGCTTGAACAACCAGGGCGACGCCGAGAAATACCAACGCACCAGCGGATACTGGACCAACCTCTTCAAACACGACCAAAAATCTCTCCTCCTCAACTCCTCCACCGACACAGGCTTCACCGGCTTCTTCCAACCCAAATACCTCAACCAAACCTGGGGCTTCCAAGACCCCCTCGCCTGCTCCAACATCGACAACAGCGGGGCCCCCTGTTCCCTCCAAGCGACTGCCGGCGAGACTTTCGAATCTTCCATCTGGGAATACACCTTCTACGTCCCTCACGACCAAGCCCGTCTCATCACCTACCTCGGCGGCCCCCAGACCTTCGTCAGAAGACTGGATTACCTCCACGCCCACAACATCACCTACATCGGCAACGAACCCGCCTTCCTCACCGTCACCCAATACCACTACGCCGGCCGCCCCGCTCTCTCTGCCAAACGCACCCACTTCTACATCCCGGCCTACTTCGACCCCACCAACGGCGGGCTCCCCGGAAACGACGACTCCGGCACCATGGGCGCGTATCTCGCCTTCACCATGATGGGCCTCAACGTCGTCCCGGGCCAGGACGTCTACCTCATCACGCCGCCCTTTTTCGAAAGCGTGCGCATCAAATCCCCCGTCACGGGCAAGACGGCCACGATCCGCAATGAAGGCTTCGATGCGAGCTATCAGGCAATTTATATCCAGAGGGCGACGCTGGACGGGCGGGAGTATTCGAAAAACTGGATCGATCATTCGTTCTTTACCGAGGGTAAGGAATTGGTGCTGCATCTCGGAAGGAATGAGAGTTCGTGGGGGACGGCGGTGCAGGATTTGCCTCCTAGTCTGTCGAGGTATCAGTTCTAGTGAGTGAGTGAGTGAGTGAGAGAGGGGGGGTGGAGCGAGGTGTGTGTAACCGAGTCCCTGAATCAGTCAGTACGGATCCAATGGGAAACCCATGAAAAAAAGTGAACAAAACACACGATATGAAACCGACGCGCGAGATCCAAGAAATCTCTACTATAGTCTCATCATTCAACAGGGTATCTTCGCATCGCAGCAAACAACAACAACAAAAAAGCCTCTGCTTCTGTATCCTACAGTCATGAAGCCTCAAAAATCATCCATAACAGACATCTGTCTATCCCACCATTCCTTCCTCTGCGGCGGCGGCGGCGAATCCGGCTGCTGCTGCTGCTGCTCCCGGACGAGATTCGCACTCATCACACTCGTCCGCCGCTCATTCAGACTCGTCCGATGGAGATTCCAATCCGCCCGTTCCATCTGTAATCTCTCATGCGCCCGTTCCGCTTCCATCATCCGCAACTCGCCCCCTCCGCTATGAGTCCGCCGATGCATCGGAATCGGGGGCGCGCGCCGGGAGGGAGTCATGGGCGCGGCGGAGATGGATGCCCTGTTGGAGCTGTGCGGAGAATGCTTGGAATTCGCCCCCGCGGCGGGAGTCTTACCGGCCATGCTCCGACTCCACCAGCTCTTCCAAGAAGCGAGGAGTCCCGAGTGAGATTTCTTCGAGGCTTGCTTTTCAACCGATGATTTCTCCATCGGACTGCTCGTCCGTCGCTCGGCGGCGGACTGCCCATCGAAAGCGAAGCGCCAGAAACAGAAAGATCCGAAAAAGGTCCCGTCGCTTCCGGGGATATGTCGCCATGGTCTCTCACGCCAGCAGAAAATCACCACGTCACAGAGACCCATGATGTTTTGACAGAAGATGTTCAGAGCGTTCAGGGCGAAGATGGGATGTTGCGCAAAGTGGTTGCTGTAATTGAGGCAGTGGTTCACGAACGGTAGGATCCAGAGGCACGTGTATACGACCGGATAGATGAAGAGCAGGCGAAGTTGGCGCTGGATGACACGTCGACGTTGCTTCATCGCTTTCGAAGCGGCATTTCCGGGGATGCTTGTGCCGGTTGATGCAGATGTGCGATGTTCTGTGATGGTGTCCAGACTAGGTTGTCGCTGCTCGTACGATGAATGCGCCCCGGACGATCTCACAGTTGCGACTGTAGAAACCGAGCCGCGGGCTCTTTCAAAGTTGAAGGGGGGCGGTTGTGGTGCGAAGTCTTCAGTGGCAATGTTCTCGGCGATCGTTCTGCTCTCGCGTCGAGATGAGGGATTGCTTTTGCTTCGGGGTGCCGTAGGTCGTGTGATAAGTGTCGTGTGCTCGGGGCCGGCCGCACCAAATGAACCGGCCCAGTTGGGCACAGATTGTCTCCTCGTGTTGTGATTCGGTCTCGATTCCGAAGATGCTGTGCGCCAAGGCAAAGCAGAAGGCGTCGTGGCGGCGAAATCGTCGTCCGGTGCAATGCCCTCATCGCCAGCATGCTTTTCGGCAATCGCAGCATCAGACAGTGTAGATTGGGTCCGCGCCGTCGACACCTGCGGCGATGTGACTTTGTGGTTGGTGGCAGTGCGAGTAGCGATCGAGCTGGCTTGGTTGAAACTGGAGCTTCCGTCTCGTACCTCTCCAAACACCTTGAACTCATAGCCCACGTGACGGTAGATGCTAATGGCAACGTACATGATGTAAATACAGATGAGGTATCTCGGGATCCAAGAGAGTGCGAGCCTGTACCAGAAGGGCCGAATTGGTAATGTGCAGAAGCCACCCTGGGATACATATGCGCCGCGCTCGTTGATGAAGGCCAGAGAGGCAAGGACGCTCGGCACGATGAACCAGGCTCCCACAACCCAGTGACGAATGCGAGACAGGCCATCGTGACCGAGAAATGAATTCTTGGGCGGGAATATCTGCAAATGCATGTGCAGACTCATGAGGAAGATGGCGATGTCTGTTACATGGAGAGAGAGCGAGAGGTCAGATGGGCATGTCAGGCTAGATTGAGATGCGAAGGGACTTACCGCAAGCCTCGATTCCGGCCTGAAGGAGGTATCCGCTAGCCTGGCAGAAGCTGGAAGTGGTGGGTATGTCGCCGTTTGATAAAGATAGTGATGCAAATACCAAGAACCAAGCGGCTTTCCAAAAGTCACCGCATATCAGCATCAGCACCAGATCTCTCCGAAAGTTTCGTCTCATCATGAGGAACCAGTACATGGCGCATATCGCGGCGAGGATACTGACGCTGGAGAAGGTGGTTGCGATGACCTGAATCTGGTTCTCCTGGCTTGGTAGCATTATCGCCGAGGCGTTGAAGTTATTCAAGTCCAGGGCAGACTTCTGCACTTCATGTCGCACATGGCTCGCGGCCAGTGGCAGTGTCGTCGATTTGTGCAGTGCGAGTACATCTCGTAGAGCAAGGCCCGCATGTTGAAGGATGTCTCCATCCCATGCCGTGTGAGGCAGCGAGGGCATAGTGCCGAGAGAATGGGGTACATTCGTGATTACTCGGTCCGCGGTAGTAGAAGTCGTCGCGGCGTCGCAGGTCGAAAGAAGGCCAAGATGGTCTCAATGCACGCGAGGCATGAGATGCAGTCTAGGAATCGTACATGCTGCCAGGCGATTCAAGGTGTGGTGTATTGCAAGAGGGCCAGGATTGACGGCTGTCGTCCGGACAGCGAGGTCCTGAGCGATCGGCGCAAGCGGACAGTGTCGGGACAGATTGTGCCGGATTGAAACAGGATGATGAAGAGTTATGCGCCGCTGGCATGCGGACCCAGAGATTGTCGCATGCGGAGACAGACAGTTCGTCGGATTCTTCCTCCCGCACCATCGACGGCGCTCGGGTCAAGCAAGCTCAGGTTTGCTGATGTGGTAGGGTTTGGTGAGTCGTGTGTCGATGATGTTTCATTTTGGTGCCGAAGGATGCTGAAGGGAGGACAAGCGAGAGGAAGAGAGTGAGAAGAAGCTCTAGCTGAGCGCAGCACGAGCTTGTGCAGTGACGTTCTCGATGCAGCCAACGAGCGCGGTGCAACACATTGACATTCCAGTCGCTGAGCTGCGTGGCTGTACGTCCGTCCCAACAGATCGGCTAACAGAGTGCTAAGCAAAGTCAGTTGCCCCAGTTGGGAAGAAAGGGATCTGCGTTCCAGACATTCGAACGAGTCCAGCTCACGTGTCAGCACATCTTTGCCACGAATGGACGTCAAGATCAGCGGCAGGATGCGCGATGCTTGGCAATGTTTCTGCTGATCCGGCAGTGTAACAACAATATGAGCGTGCGGCGCAAGCCACGAGCAGCCATGAACAAACGCCATTCTTCCTTCTTGCCTCTCCAAAGATACCGATAGCCGAAGCTGACTTGCAGGCAGCGAGGGTCAAGCCATGAAGCCAGACGTGAGCTCTCCGTGTGCTACGACGGCCTGCGCATCCCTACACGGCGAGCGTCGGACGGCCACCGACTTCATGTACTCCCTCATACACTCACTCACGCATGCCCTCACTCATGCCTGCCATCTGACCCCACCTCGCTCTTATGCGCCATCTCAGCGTGACGGATAGCTTTGGGTAGGATGGGTTTCGCCATGCTGCCTTGCCAGCTGCCACCTCTTGTAGCCACTCGAGCGCTCGTTCGCCCTTCGCACCGGAAGTCTACTGCTCCTTGTCTGGGCTTCGCTTGACGATCCGTGGGGGCCATGTTCGGGCGGATCTTCGAACGAATCGACGGGAGGAATAACAGTACTCGGCCAAGATCCGAGAATGCCCTCGACAGAACATGCGCCGAGCCATGAAGCCGCCGAGAGCCAACATAGCTGCTGATCGTAGCATCGCGGTGCTGTTTCCGACAGAGATGGAGAGGCAGGCAAGGTTGTAGACTTGGTAGACTTGGTTCTCGTTGTACGCGGGAGTCGAGCTCGCAGTCACGTGCGCGTGCGAAAACCCTGGTGCGCGGCTTTTCCTTCCTATCCAGGATCACCCCGGTCACTCGACCTCACGTGATCGGACTTCGATGCGAGGAAATCCACGTTTCACAGCCGGAATCTCGCTCACATCATCACCTACACATCATCCTTCTTTCCTTATCCATTGATTCACGATCCATTCCTTCACGATCCTTCGTCGGCTCTCCCATCCTGTGCTTCCTTCCCGGCCGATCTCGAGCAGATCTCCATTCGACGCCGTGCGGATGCACATTCCGTGTCGACCCAAAGCAACTCACCGCGAGGCTTGTGGCCGATTACGCTACCGCCGGAAAGCGTCGTGAATAAGCAGATCGATCAGAAGCCGGAAACAGCGTGTGGTCCGTTTCATCAATCATCACGTCGAGCGAGCAGTCGGCGCACTCACGCACGCCCGCTCGTGCATCGAATTGCATCATGTCGGATACTCGCAGCCATGAGTGGACCTTGTCCACTACTCATTCCCCACGCCAGACATGGGGGTTTCACGCTTCCTTCACCGGTCCAGAAATGAAAGCACCGTAGCAATCCAGTCCCCGTGCTGATGATGGGACTAGGCGATCAGACAAGTCTCTCTCGACATCGTACGAATGGGAATCGAAAAGTGATGATGTACCACCAACGGACGAGCTGAAGTAGTAGTGCTATCATCTTCATCATCATCATCAACGCAATTGTGGATACAGACTAACTACGGCTGGCACTGCCCCCGGCACAACATTCTGGCACGGTGGACATATATGCACACATGTGAGCGACAGGACACACCGGACACCCTTTCACACGGCAAGCACGCGATGCGGTTGCTACTAGCAGCTAGCAGCAGCTAGTCTCGGTAGTAGCACGGTCGTCATCCATGCATGTCTAGCCGTACGCGAGATCGACCACCAACACCAGTCTGTCGCCGGGGCTCGGTACGCAGCCGCGGGTAGTTGAGCTCGGCCATGAACCAACACAACCAAGGGTGCACTTCTCCACTGCCTCCTCTCGTCAGCTCATCATCGACGACAACATCTGTCTGTCACGCACGGCTGTTTCTCGCCGTGATCTAGATCACTTGCGAAGGACAAACCCTCACAACACACTCCACTGACGCGTCGACCGGGGTTTCTTCACCGGTCAAGAAGCGAGAGGACCACAGCGCCAATCAGACCTAGGAAACTGATGCGAGAAAAACTCTCCCCAGCCCTCCCAGGCAGACCAACGACATCTTCCCATCCCGAGACCACCCAATAGGAAAAATCTTCTTCCATACGACTCGGCGCTTAGAGGCCCTTGGCGAACAAATCAGACTCCTGCTCAGAGGATTGCCATCTGCCTCCGCGTGTGGGGCCTAGCGGCGGCGTAAAGTCGTCAAGAGCTTGCTATTGCTACTAGTAGTTACGAGGTCTCTAGTCATTATTTACCCTCTCTTCGCCACAACACAACACAAGACAGGCAGAGCAGAAAAAAGCAGCAGCAGCTATCAGAGGACCCGACACAATGGTAACGAAGTGTTGCAGTGCAAATTGCGATCCTGCACCGCAACGGCAGGATTGGAGTGGGAGGGGAGGGGGGGAGATCATCCAAACAGAATGCGAGAAATAATACAACCTGCCAACCCGGCCATGTCCGATCGCCTCCCTTTCGTCGCTGTCGTCCCTCTGTGCTCTGTTTTCTCGTTGGTCATTTGCCCCCCTCTATGGTCCAGAACCCGCCTCATCAGCCAGCCAGCCGAGTTCCGTTCGCTCAGCAGCAGCAGCAGCTTGCCCAAACCAACACCGCCCGCCCGTAAATGCAGTGTGTTCCTCTCTCCTGGTAAATAATAAATGGTATCATCCAACATCTCCCTCCCAATCCCAAACATTCATAGCCTGTTCTTGACATCTCAGCCGCCACGCGTTCGATGATCAAACATTCCGGTCACCCCAAATACTCCTCGCATGGTCGATCGTTCGCTCGCAAAGCTGAAAAAGCATTTGCACAGCCCAGGCACTCAGCGCCGAGAAAATCCATTGCGAGTGACTTTTGGGGTCTGTCGCCGACGGTGGGCTCTCCGACGTCTCCGGATGGGCTAGCTCATCTCTTCGCAACATGTCACCGAGAATGCTCTCGTGTCGTAGGAGGATTCGCGGATCCGACAGGCTCCTGGTCCCGCGAGATCGAGCCGGATCGAACTCTCTCGTAGCGCCTCTTCACTTCCGGCCGGCGCGGACAGCCATCGTCAGTGTGCCTGTGAAAAAACACCATCAGCATGCTGGTTTCCCATGACAGAAAATCGGGAAGATGATTGTTCCCCCATCGTACCTTCGCAATGTATCTTTCCGCGCAAAGGAGCTGCAGCAGAGTGGACACTGATATTTGCGCTCTTTCAAATGTACCTGGGTCTTTTTGTCAGCATATGTTATGTGCGCAAGTGGTTGTGAGACAAGAATTTTGCTTACACTTTGTTCGTGTCTCGTGAGGTCGGTTCGGCGGACGAAGCGCCTTCGGCATCCCGGGTGTGAGCACGCGTGCGGCTGTTCGCGCCCAGGGTCGTGCGTCTCCAGGTGTGCTTTCAGGTTGTAGCTGCGCTGGAACAGCTTTCCGCAATGCTCGCAGTGACACGTAGAATTGGCATGCGTGGTATAGCCGCGCTTCTCTCGGCCCTCGGCAATTGATATGGTGTCTTCGGAGATGGCCCTGCGGTTCTGTGGACGTTGAGATCTCTGTGGGCGGCGGGAGTGAGGCTTGATCTCGCCGTGCTGCTCTACCTTCGTCGGCGGTTCGAATGGCGGCATGCCTTGATGCTCGAGGACGGAGAGAGGTGGGCCTGCGAAGATGTCTCCAGGGTTGACATGCGACGGTTGCGCGGACGGCATGAGACCCGGGATAGAGTACAATCGGGGACGAATGGAGTCGGAAGATTCTTCGACCTTGATGTATGGCGAGGGATGTGTCTGGAGGTAGTCGTCAGACTGCGCGTACGGAGACGAGCTCACAAGCGATTGCTGCGAGCTCGTGCTGTACTCCGAGCGCTCAGGAGACGCTTCGTATGTGGAAGGGTAGATGGATGTGGCTGTAGGGACAGGTTCCCACGAGGCCGAGGTGGCCATCGTCGGTGTCGCCATCGAATAGCAGAAGTCCATACCCGCTGACTGTGTCGTAAGATCGGGATAAACACTCGCTGGCGCCAAGGGCATAGGGCCTGGAGCCCAGGCGGTCGATGGGGGGTGTGAGCTAGCCGTCGACTGAGCTGTGTCGAATGTCGATTGTGTCGGCGTCGGTACATGGCCCAAGCGCAGCCCGTGTGGATACTGAGAGGCCCATGGTATCGCTTGTGGACCAGAAAACGATGCTGGGCCTGAAGCGCCGGGTGTCGACCAATATCCATGAGGCTCGCTGTCGCTGGTTGGCTTGGGCTCTTCAAAGTAAGACGATGGAGTCGTCGGTGTCTGGTAATAGGCTTGGTTCTGGGCCATGGCTGCTCGCAACTTCTCAGGATCTGCTGTGGGAAAGAAGCTCATGATTGTAGTTGTCCTCCAAGAGTGATGAGTCCGATGTCCTTCGAGGTAGTTCAAGAGATATATCGAATCTGATTCATGCGACCGGACGTCATCGAGTGCTGCTGGGAATGAATCGCTGGATGAATGTTGCCAAAACTGCAAAGAAGGCGGAGTCACTGCAAGCAGCGGTTAAGCAGGACGGCGATTGAAACGGAGAGACCATATGGTCCAGAGAGTGTCGATATACATGGCCAGCAGGCAGTGCGGCGGGACCGAGAGATACACGGGACCATAACGGCCATGACCCTGCTGGACTAGACGACTGTACTGCCTGCAGGATTAGCAAGTTTCGCGTGCAGCGTGAAAGCTCCACCAAAGCCTAACGATCGAGTTGGTTGCAGCTGCATCGATAGCGCACTCAGCCAGGCATTGAAAGGCTATGCACTCGTTCGGGAAGCCAACACTCGCCCATTGCTCCGCCAGGCAGGCCCCAGTAGAGTAGAGTAGACCCCCGAGAGCAGTGCACATCGGTTGCTGGCTAGGCGTGACGGATACGCCTGGCGCAACTCCCGACGCAACGGCCCTTTGCGGCGGTCCGACCACCCTCACAGCCATGATCCATCGCGAGCGCCGGCTTTTGGCCCGCGCGTTGACACCATGCACAATGCCTGCAATTTTCATCCATGCGTGCCGTGTTGGAGCGACCGCGCTTAAGGGCTATTAAGCGCGCAAGAACGCATTGTGCAGGGCATCTTGCCCCGCCCCGCATCCCGTCCCATGCGGGCCGCTGGTGCCCTGAGGTGCTCTGCGGCTGCGCTCCATCTCGTGCGCGGGCTTGCGATCGCCGCTCCTTGCTGCGTGCAGATTGCGTGTCACTGGGCCGCGTGCTTGCAAGCTTCCAACTGACGTCTCTAGCGGCGCTATCGTCTTTTCCTCACGATCCCACCTCGACTGCAGTCGCCCTCGCCTGCGATAGCATCGTCGACAGCTGCTCGACTTGCGTGCGAAGATTGGCAACAGCGGCATGCAGTCCCTCCACCGTTTCAGGAGACGCTGGTGGAGTCGCGTCCGCAGCAGCCACTGCGGCACTTCTGCCAGGACGCGGCTGATCGCCGAGTAGCGGGGGGCGCGTTGTCGAGAATGCTTTCCGGGACAGAGGACGGCGCAGGGCACTGGGAGCGTTGCGGCTCAGCCGTTCTGATCCGACAGAGGAGCCGGCAGGAAGGCGATCGTCCATCCATAAGCGCCCGCGCTCGTAGCCCAACAGTGCCAGCACAAATGGCCAATGGGTCGCTTTGAGCAGGACGATCCGAGCATTCCTGAGTTGCTGAGGCGAGACGATCAACCGAAGTGGACGGAGCATTAGAGGCAGCAGGTTCTACGAGAAGGAGTCAGCTCTTGCTCGATGCCGGTCAGATGATGCGATACAACGCCCGCCATCACTGAACCGAACTGTGAGATGTGTATAGGTGTGGCAGCTCAGGACCCGCATATGCGGAGATGCGCAGAGAACCAACAACTCAACGAGATGTGGCTCAGTTAATTCGCTCCCTGGGCCGGGTGAGGTTGCCATGAGGCACAGCGTGATCAGTCGGCTCCAGGCCGCCCTGACGACATGGCACTTGGTCACATGAGGCGGTGCAGGCACCGTACATCGTGTAGGATGATGGAGCTGGCGGGTCTTCCCTGATCGTCATCACTGTGGAATTCATACTTACCAAAGGCGGAAGGAAGAATGTCAAACGATTCGATGTCGCGGCTTCCAGAACGTAGACCGCATACCTGCAATTCGAGCGAGGCAGTGAGTATGGATACTGAGGCTTTGCTCGGGGGGCTGTGACTTACACAAAAAGGTACTCGTCCCGTGCGTGGAGCATGATCTGGGTAGGAAAAGAGGAGAGCTTGTCAGCCAATCATTTAAGCGCCGTACGCCAGAGGGACGACTTACCGAATCCAGCTTGTTTGACAACAGCGAGATCAGCGACGTTATCAGGAGAATGTTCGTCATGCACACAAAAATGAACATGAGTGGTGGTCCGAGGGCTGGAGAAATCTATTTCGTGTTAGTTGGCGGCGTGTTGAGCCGTCATGCAAAGGTCCAGCACGGAAGAATACCTGGTCCGCGATATCCTGCATGGGCATTAGCACAAACCAAACGGAGAGGCCGATCTGCAGTCATTATTGACTTACAAAGCCAAGATAACTCGATCCGAAGAATACTTTGATTAGTATCCAATTCTGTTCGACATCAGTCACAATGAGTTCCTTTCGTCAGGTGTCACGGGGCCACCCTCGGGACACTGTCACACGGGCGCCTGCATATGCGCCTCGCGCCTCATGCGCTTGTTGGCCCGCGTTGTATGACAGGAAGGCCCCCAACTACCCGCTGATGGTGGGCGGAGGTGACGCACCATCTCTCTGAAAGTGAAAGTCCCGCGCGCGAGGAAAGAGAAGCTGGTGCTGAAGCCTGCATGCACCGCATCAGCATCGAGCTCTAGACTTCCATATTCCTCGATCACCACATACCCAGGTAGAGAATCGCGACGAGTCCGAGGAACTTGATGAAATCCTTGGTCTAGGCGGAAAATTAGCAGACTTGGCTTACGTAATGAACGGCTCTCTCACCATCTCCTTCAGGACAGGTAGCAGCATCCCGAAGTAGGGGTGGAGGCTCAGGAGTGAGCATATCCTGTCTCTATGTTAATCGTCTCCCCTCGACCATGGCTGACTGGCCAGCATACCTAGGCACCAAAAACAATGCCTCAATCGACAAGATGTCGAAAGCCACATCGGTCGCAACACCATCGTGGTCTACTAGGCCAAGCATCCTCGTAGTGAAGAAAGCAATGCCTACAAATATGATTCCAAGGTCCCAGAGGGACCAGAAGTCGGTTGCATAGAAGATTGAACCTGCGTCCCAATACTCCACCAACTCTACAAATCGTCAGCGACATCTCGACATCTCTAGAGGTCGTCGTACCATTGTAGGAGAAGGACGCCAGCCAGACATAAAGCATAATTTCGGGAACAGTGACACTGTTCGCGTGCTTTTGGACAAGGACCACATAGTATAGGGCCAGGAATGCCGCAAAAAAGAGGACTTCAAATGCCTTGAGGTACAACGGCACTCTGAGTCGGCAGAATGGATCCGCGTGGCTCTTTCGATACACTTTGGCTTCCTTTTTAGAGTGAGTGCCAAGCGTCTCCCAGAAGACAATTTCGCCTTTCCAGATACCATCGATGATTTGCTGGATCGACTTCTGGCCCAAGAACTTCTTCGCATTCGAGACGGCCGCAATCTCCAAGGCGTTCAGATTGGCAAATGTAGAGGCGAACCCAGATTGCTCTCCATACTCGGAGTCTTGTGGCTGCTCGTCGTAGAACGACTCTTCCAGGTTTGGCGAGTAAGCGTCCAAGAGCGGCGCTCGCTCGTGAACCGCCTCTTCCAGATTCCCATCCAAATCTGCGGCCTGCAGGTCACCGTTGCTTTCTCTTGGGCACGGATCACGTCTTGGTGATGGCAAGTCCCGGCAGAGAAAGTCTATAGTTTCCCTTTGTGTCAGATGAGTGACGAACCGCCTGGATTTGTTAGCTCATCTTGCTCACGTTTCCTACCAGAGCCTGTCAATGCGCACTCACCAAGCCACCAACTCACAGGCCAAACCTCTGGTCTCGTTGATTCCACGGTCGTCGCCATGCTCCAAGGCGTCAAAATGCCATTTCAACGCTCTGTCTCTCGTCAGCCTGGCTCCCCGTCCTCACACGCGCGTGTGGCGCTTACAGGAGCGCACAAACGATGGCCTCATGCTGGACATCATCAACCAGATACCGAGTCAAAGGCCTCAGAAAGATCCCGTAGACCTCTCCTCGTAGCTCGTCCCATTCATGAGGCGCCTCAATCGCCTGCACGAAGTACCTGAATTGCGCTCCGCGTCAGCGGAAAATCCCTCCAGCCTCCGGAGGAAGTCTCACACGCTCAGCTTCCGCACCAGGGCATCGAATGTCTCTGTGCCGTCAATATCGGGTAAGTCCGGGAGAGAGCGGGCGGCGCGCATGACAGCAGGTATCGTTGTTGGAGTGGTGCTGTCAGCGGCCAAGGAGGCAGTGGTGCAGAATTCGCTCGACGCGTGTGATGAGCGGCTGTCGTCCAAATTAGCGCGAGGGCGGTACATGGCGCCCGCCTTCCGCGTCTAGCGCGCTTATGACTCCCGCGCTAGACGCCCGCCTTTGCCCCGAAACTCTGGCTCTTGGGAAGCGATGGACGCCTGTGAGATGTGCGTGTAGGGATCGCTTCCTGCGAGATGCGAACCAAGAATAGCGAAGACAGCGCACAGCCTTTTTGAGAATTTGGCGTTGATTCGTTGCGAAATTGCTTTCTTGCTAAATCGCGCATCTTATTAAGAGCGCGTTGCCCGCCGCCGCGCGGGAAGGCGGAAAGCACAAACGATGTGCGTGTCAGACATTCAACGGTCCCATTTCTTTAGTCCGACCACCCATGTCATAGAACTACACATCTTCCCATCACGCCTAGGACACGAACAAAAAAACTTATCTGGACGACGCCTTTTTTACCGCCCTCGTAGGAATGAAGGCTGAGCTCAGGCTCCCGGTGGTACGATGTTGGCGTAAGGTCTCGTGGCCTTACCTTGTCTCACCATAGATCCTTCCGCCACCCGGCTAGAAGAAGACAGTATAGAGGTGGCCTCCTTTGGAGATTTTCCGAAATCCTACGCATCAATAGAGCGTTCCTGCCCGGCAATCCAATGCTCTCCTGTATCCGCAAGATTCGAATAAGGGGTTTGGGCTCGTCGATATCAGGCTTGGAGTTCCGAACAGGCTTGCAGGATCGTACTCCATAGGCATGACGGACTCCTTCAGCTGGAAGACACGCAATATTCCAGCTGCTGCCTCAATTGGGGAGGTTCAAGTTGATCTGGAGACTCACGATTTGGTAACATGGAGAATGCTTTGCCAAGCTGGAAGGCCACAGTCTGGGAGTGCCTTCGCAGGCACCGAAAGCTGCGCCACACTTGGTTCTGGACCTTATGAAGTTGCCAGGTTGGAAAGCGAACATTTGCATAACATTCAAGAATATAGAAACGTGCCTTCCATTTCTTCTAAGAAGTCTTATCATCCGCCACCTCAACCCTTTCGAATTTCTCCCCATCTCCACCTAACGCCCTCCCCTTCTCAAGATCCTTCTCCCTCTTAGTCTCCTCGACAGGTCTCAAACTCTCTTGAACAGGCTGTGATTTCCTTGTCCAGCTCTTCAAACCTGTGTTTCCACCTTTGGTGAAGAGGAAATCTACCTCTTCGAGTGTGAGATTGGAGGTTTCCGGATAGCAGCTACGTGATGATAGCGTTAGATCGAGATGAAATGGAAGTCGGTGGAGAGAAAACTTACAAATATACCAGCGGAATGAAAGCGAAATTTAGAGCCATGAAGATTAGGTAGCCTTTCCATTGGAGCTGGAAGAGCGGTCAGTGGGTAATACAAGAATCTGTTTCTGGTGCATAGGACTTACGTTTCCGATGAGTGTTGGGGTAATCATCACGACGACAAAGTTCTGCATAAATCTGTCAGTATGCCCTTCTTCCATACCTCAAGGATTGTCTTCCTCCTCACCCAAAGCCAATTTGACGAAATGCCAATCGCAGTACCCTTAGCTCTGGCCCTCAAGGGAATAATCTCCGGAACGTAGACCCATGGAATGCAATTCGCCGTCGCTCCGAATATCAACATATAAGTAAAGAAGAAAGCAACGCTAGCCTCTGACGTTTTCGTTCGGACGGCTTCGGTGTAACGTTGTGGTTGTTGAAAGCTGAGTAAGATAGAAATCATCATCATGGAGATTGCGAGGCCTAGGGAGCCCCACATCATGGGTCGTCGACGGCCGAGACGGTCGAGGAAGAAGGTGGGCACAAGACTGCCGACGAAGAACATGCACTGGACTGCGCCACCGATGAGAAGGGAGAGATTGGAGCTCAACCCGACGTTGTTGTGGAGAGCGGAGGGGACGAAGTAGCTAGCTTGTGTCAGTGCTGGCCTCCGCTTCGTCAGGGGTCAACTTACACGACGAGGTTGATACCGCCCATCTGGTTCATGAACTGCATGCCGTATGCCAGCAGAACTCTCCGTCCCGTCTGAACTTCATCCCGCTTGAAGATCTCTCTCCACTTGTACTCGCCATGCTTTCTCTCCATCGCCAAAGCCGTCAGGATGTCATCTTGCATCTTCGTAACCTTCTCTTCCTGTCCATCCCAAACATCGTGCATGACCTGCAGCGCTTCCTCATTTCTGCCTCGAGTATACAGCCAGCGGGGCGATTCTGGTAGCCCGAATACGAGAATTATTACAACGAAAGCGAAGAAGGTTTGGCATGCGATCGGCACTCTCCAGGCTACTGGGCCGCCGACAAAAGACATGCCGTAGTCGAAGAAGTATGCAATCACGATTCCAACACCGACGAATAACGGCTCAGAAGAGACTAGACGGCCTCGTTTATCCGCATCGCATAGCTCGCTTTGGTACATTGGGACTGTCGAGGTTTCGATACCGGTGCCGATTCCAGTCACATATCGCGCGATCAAGATCTGAGGGACAGAGTACGACGTCGCTTGGAGAATGGCTCCAACGATCTGGTACATCATCAGCAAGAGAGAGACTTCCGGGCGTAGAAGCCGTTGTTCCACTCACAATCCATCCCATGGCAACCCACATACACAGCCTTCTTCCGAACCTCTCGCCCCAGATGAAGGCCAGAATACATCCTGAGAAGGCTCCAAGGTTGTAGATGGAAACGATGATGCCTTCCAGTGCTGAGCCGGGGTGTCCAAAAGTATCCAACCAGTCTGCGTTGCCCACGATGCCAGAGAAGACGCCCTGATCGTAGCCGAAGAGAATGAAAGCCAGTTGACAGGAGATGGTAATGGCGACTTGTAGGGCCCTCCCTCGACCGAAAAGGTTGTATTGGAGGAGCGCCATTTTGACGGGCGATTGCAAAGAAATGGGAATGAAAGGTTAGAAGAGGGAGGAAGAGAGATGGAATGCATTGGCAATATACTTCTCCAATCCTCCGCGTTGCTCTTGCGTCGTCTCATGACATGCATGGCTGCTGCGGAGGACCATGTGCGCTTCAGCCGCGAGAAAGGGGAGAACGGGTAAGGTATGCCGAAGGAAGGCCTCTCATCCCGGGCGTCGTTTATGTCAGCCATTTAGCAGTCTTGGTGCACAGTGAGTCGTCGTCGTCTGCATGTGCTGTGCAACACGAAGATGTAACGCGGGGAAATGCGGAGTGTGGAGGGAGACTCGTGGGGAGTGGAGGGCTTCGGCTTTCCTTCTGTCCGCCGGGGGAAGCTGCAGGCTGAAGGATTGGAAGGATGGGCTTGGCGTTGACAGATACCGGGAACAATATACTGCAGCATCATACTGCAGTATGTGATGTGGAATGCGAATGTTGGTGAGATCTGGATGAAGATGTGTTGTGTGTGGAGGAGTAGAGAGATTTTCTCCGGGGTCTTGTCACGTGATGCGGCCCTAGCTCCACACTAATTCCGGGACCATACCGTAATTCTTCCAGCTTCCTTCCTCTTCCGATCAGGAACAACATCGTTGCGGACAATGACTCGGATTCCACATACACTCCACCTTCTCCGCCATGAGGCTTCCAGTAATGTCGATATGCATCCAGTGCGGGAACAGTGAGAACATTCTTATGGTCACGACGCCGTGGCGTCACCAGGTCTTCCCAAGCCGAGATGTGAGGCCTTGAAGGGGAAATTCTACCAGAAGAAGTGGCAGCGGAGATCGTTGAAAAGCGTCAATTCTACGAGCTCCATCCCTCCAAGAACTGTCGTTGACATGCCTTTGGAGACTCTCAAACACGTGTACATCCAGCGACATCACTAACGCCCGCCCCTTCGACAACTCTTGCCTCAACGACCTCATAAATCGGAATCTCAGCCAGCCTGCCTACAACATGATGCAATGTCGGCAAAGATGCCCAGTCCCCTCCATCTATCTCCAGCTTTGCACTCCCGGCCTCCCAACTCTTGAAAACCTTGGGTTTTGGCTCCGTCTCTGCGAATGCGTCAAAACAGGCATAATCCGCTTCCGCCTTTGCCTTGTTCTCCTTTCCTACAGATGGCATGTATCGATGCACCAGGATTCCATCGCCATCATCTGGAACAGCGCTCGCACTCACGCTTGGATCTAGAAGTTTGAGATCTGAGAGGGAGAAGGAACCCCAGTTCACTCCTTGCCAGGAAGTGCGGATGTGATAACCCGCTTCTCCTCTCCGGAAAACGTCGATACCGGAGTACACCTTCGGCATCCCCAATTCTTCGCGTCCGGAAAGGATAGGATCTGCCAGATTCTCGAAGAGGATGGGCATATACGTTCCGTTGACTGTTTTGCCGGTTTCGGGATGTGTGTATTCGACTCCATGGATATACAATCCCAGATGACTGTATCCTCCACCACCCAGCCAATCCATCTTATTGAAGGTTATCTGTCTGAATGAAGCATAGGCGATGGTTCCTGCAGGATCCTTGAATCGATAGCCTGCTTTTCCCGGTGGAAAAAGGTTCTGGAGAAGAGTACGTGAGGTTTTGAAGCGGATGGATGCCGTCGTGAAAGTCGAATGGACACCTGGACGGGCTTGGCCGTAGTGAGTCTGTCGAGGACCAGGCATAGGGCCGAAAGCTATAGGCATGCGACTGTACTTGTAGGGAATCTTGGACCAGAGGTATTCGCGGAATTTCTGGTTAGCGGAGTCGAATTCGTCGTGGCCAAAGTTGTAGAGCGTGAAAGATTGTACTGAAATATCTTGTCAGTAATCTGGCTGGTGGAGGATCGTGGTAGGGTGCTTACTGTTGACTTCTTTCTTCTTGAGCAGATCATCTCCTCCGATGATTCTGGAGAAATTTTGGATCTTGGTCGCCCGCTCGTGGCGAAGTGTATCGTATAGTCGGAGACGTTCAGGTATATCTTCTTTGCTCGTTCCAAATGGCAATACCACTGACAGTGCAGCAGCGTCTTCGATAGCGGCCCCAGCTCCTTGTCCCTGATGTGGTAAGAATGGATGAGCCGCGTCTCCAATCAACGCCAGTTTCTCTTTCGACCAGATGGGAATCTCATCCATATCAAGCAGCGTCCAGACCTTGAGTGTCTTAGGATCAGCTTTCGCTATCAACGCAATCAAAGATGGCTCGAAATTGCCATAGACCTTCAACATCGTCTCCAGACTCGCTTCCGTATTCCAACCCGAACTCGCATTCGACTCCGCCGCGGGATGAATACAAACAAAATTCAGCAGCTGGTTGTTCGATGTCGGATACATCACAATCCTCCGATCATGGCCATACCACATTTTCAGCTCGCCTTCTTCTTCCACCAGATGCGTTGTCTGAGGATCGCTTTTGATGGCCTCCCGAGCTATGAGGAAGCGGAAAGCACTCTTGCCACAGCTGAAAGGTTTCGTCTCCGGCGCGATCCTGTTCCGAGAAACGGAGTGCACACCATCGGCTCCAATGACAACATCTCCACGAATCACCTCGCCTTTCTCCAACGTGATGGTCCCTTCAACTTCATCGACAGATCCAATTCGACTCGCAGTATGCAACTCAGCCGGAACACCACTCCCCTCCTGGGAAATCGCCGCTCGCTTCAACGTCTCGTGAAGGTGCACTCTATGCGCCAAATGCCACGGATGCTGCCAGATCTTGTTCGCCTCCCTCAGATCCGGACTTCTCACGACGTTGCCTTGGTCATCTGCTTCGGTCAACCTGTTCATTGGGTTTGAACCGAATTTCTCCGCGAAGATTCCCAAGCGGCGGAGAACGCCATTGCAGTTGGGTGCCAGATGAACGGCTGCGCCGAGCTCTGCGGCGAACCGAGATTGTTCGTAGATTTTTACAATGTGGCCTTGTTGTCGAAGGGCTAGGGCTGCTGTGAGGCCTCCGATTCCTGCTCCGGCGATGAGGATTGTGAGGGGTCCGTTGGTGCTGCCTTGTGGGGGATGGTATCCGTTTGCTCTCTCTGTGCGGCTACCATTGCTGTCGTTGATGCTATTGCTGGCCATGTTGCGTCTGGAGATGTCAAGACACGGGCGTGAAAGGGAGGGGAAGGACCTTACGAATTGTTGGAAAGGAACCTACCTTGCTGTTCATCTTATTACATTCTGTGGAGATCTTTCGGCCTCATGACCCGCCCGCGTGCCAATCTTCCGGCCTCGATGCCTCCAAAATGCGGTCGCTGCGCATGGCAGATGTTTCAAGTGGGGTCCGTTTGGTCCAGATGGTTTCCTTTTCGGCTTTGGATGGACACACCCACCGGATGTCCACCGGATGTGCAAATCCAGACGAGAACAGAGACAACTTGTGCTGCAGTGATCCACTACCGTCCCTCTCCTCCGTCATCCTTTTGACCGCTTTGAACAAGGATGTCGTCGTTTGTTTGGTGCACTGTGTGTTGTCAAGTACCGGTGGCAAGACTGCTTCTGCGTTCTGCACTGGATCACACATGGATCGAGAGAGAAAGACTTGATATCAGTCAGACCCCACGATTTTGTTAAAGGAAGGCTTGCGCAATATAATAGTACATCTCCTTTCACAATGTAGCCATCGAATATCAGTAGCGACTGTCATGGTATCATCTCTAGCCTGCTCAAGGAGGCGGCCCACACAAGTCGGAATCACGGCGCACCGCGCGTCTCGATCGCTTCTCTGACAATCAGTAGCCGCGCCTCTTTGAGCAGAATGTCACCAAAGTGCGTGGATCAACGACAGAGTAGTTCTTATATACACCAATGCACTTGATACGCACCTTTGTGTTGTGTTCCATAGGGTCCTGCGACACATTGCCTGGCACAGGTCTCGGTTTTCACATCCATGCAGATATAACGACGACCTCCTTCAAATCCTGGGACTTCGCCGCATCCAAGAGCTCCTTGTGCAATGGATTGGATGTAGTTCTATCGGCAGCCTGTCGGCGATGAGGTTGCCAGCGAGAACGACGGCCGGAGCCAGCAAAGCTATTTCTTTGGAAAATATGGCGTCCTCAGTTACCGTGTTGATTGTTTCCGTATAATGGTCTTTGCATAGTAGTTTTTGCACCAATGCCAAAAGCCACCACTACTTCTATTTCTGCGTATACTCATCAGCAGCAAAGGATGTCGTCTTGCGGGATATGTTTTGTATTTAGTATAGCAACGATGCGTAGACGTTCTCCTCTGACAATTGAAACTTCGGCTGATCGCCATCACCACAGTGCCGTAGCTTGCCGGTGTTTTCTAAGCGCACTGCCTTGAGCTACACTGCCGCCGGCCTGGGACGGATAGCCTTGGATGGGTCCATTCACCATACAACGTATAACATACCATGTACGACGAAGATATGGACTCAAGCTTTCTTGGTCCCATCTGAGGCTTAGCAAATTTAAAGCCTCACAGAGAAAGCGAAAGTGAAAGCCGCCAGGGATGATCATCGCTTCTGAGCGATGAAATTGATCCAGGTCTCAGTAGAACAAGCAGGACTTCTCAGTAGGAATTTGAACCCGGAGAATAGATATTGCATCCGGAAGATTCGCCTGACGGATGTGATGCTATCCGTTGAGCGAGGATTACGACTCCCCTGGCTGGAACAATGTATCCTTTGGTTTAAAGCTCAGACCTGAATGGAAGACCTGGCCGGCTAAATACGAAGGATTATATGTCGATTTCGCATCCACTGTAGACGAGGCTCCTCATGAAAGGTGGAAGAGTACGTTATGCTAGCGATGCTGTACTCGTTCTTACCTCCGGTTCTATCATCTTTCCCGCGATGTCGAAGCTAGGTCTGGTCTGCTCCATTAGTTGACCTTGAGCGCTCCATAGCATGATAAAGCTGCGCTGGCTGGAAAATCAGATGGCGATGTTCCGAATACATGAATGGTGATGTTGAGTGAGAAGGAAAGAGATTGAGGCGAGGGACGACCAAGACAAAATTATCTCGGACTAGCGCCGGGACCCTCCGCTGATCGGGCCGACGGTTTCGCCGAAGATGTCAGAACCGCGTCGTCCCACCTGGAACGCGTACTCTTTCTTACAGCTCCCGTTCATTATTACTTCTGACTCCCTGCTCAAGTCCTCTAAATCCACCTTGTTTGGATAGTTTCATTCTCGATCGCCCACACGTACCGGTGGCTGACCTAACATTGTGTCCGCCTTCGACGTTGGACCGAACACAGCGCTGTCTAATCAGGCGGTGCTCCCCAAAGACCTTTGGCCTCCTTTGCAGTGGGTCACACACGCGGTCCACCATGTTCTCCATTCTCGCAGACCTGCAAATTGTCTGATATATCGACTGCGTCGAGCGCAATTTTTCTCCTACTGCAGCATTCACTTGGATCTCCTCGCCTACCAAAACTGAAGTCACCTGCACGACTCAGACTCACAGAACAGTAAAAGCAACGCGCGAGTTCTATGTAGTGTATTGTCAGTCCATTGCTTCGACAAGATGATACCAAGGAGATATCAGCCCAGGAAATCAATTCCATGTCCATACTCAAATTTTTCTGAATAGGGTGTGATGCCTGGAGATATATCTGTGTGAGTAGGAGAGTTAAGCGCACGGACTAGGTATTCACATGTATCCATGATGTCACTAATACCGTTCACGTTGCATTGCACACAGTATGTACAAGCAACATGTCGATTCGCAACACTTCAAAGTGCTAACGAGTTGCTACAGTTGCGTAGACCGACAAATCACTCGACGGATCGAACCTAGAGTTCTTGGATCTTACTGGAGTGACATGTATATCCAGAGCTACATTGATGGAGTTACGTAGGTTTGGACTTCTCGCAGCGGCCTCAGTCAGGTTCGACTTCACTTGATTTTACCGGACTTTCACATGTCACTTGGCATTGCGTCATCACGTGCTTCACTTAAATGTTTCACGTTTCAACATGCCGCTGCACTATTTCGACTATCACTATCAACCTTCATTCTCTCTACCTTTTGGAGCAGACCGACTGCATCGCGAGCGTACCACATATTCATCACCAACACGATGGATCCCTACCAATCACCTGGACACGGGATAAAACGAGAGGCCACCGACGTCTTCAGATCACCTACACCACCACCATCTCAAGAGCCCCCGGCAAAGAGAATCAAGATCAAGCTTGAGCGCAGAGAATGCGCCATTTGCGCTGAAGATACTGCCATCAACCGCTTCCCACGCGCACCACACGAGAACGCCAACACTCACGACCGCGGAGTTTGTTTCAAATGCTGGGAGAGACATCTTCATTCGGAGATTGAGACCAGAAAGTGGAACGAGCTCAGTTGCCCGCAATGTGGTCAGATCCTGCAGTGCCATGAGATCGAGAAGCTCAACACTAGCTTCGGACAGAAGATACTTCCAGAGTGCGTACTTTTTCTCGGGACAAGAAGACTGTGATACTGACCACTTCCAGGTGGCTGGAAAAAGCTGTGAGAGACTTCTGCGAGACCGACAAGTCAGACGCCTCCGTTGAATGGAAGGAATGTCCGTCTGCGTCCTGTGGCTGGGGCTGTTACATCATCAAAGGCGACGGCGATATCTTCAAGTGTCACAAGTGCGAATACCGCCACTGCCTGGCTTGCGATGCTCCTATGCACTTCGACGAGACCTGTAAGAGCTTCCAGGCGAGACGTCGACGCCGCGAGGAGCTGAAGAAGGAAGAAGAACTGTCCAAGGAAATGGTGGAGCAGACCTCCAAGCCGTGCCCGAATTGCAAGGTCCCGCTCTACAAGTACGTGGGTTGCGACCATGTACGCTGTATGTTCGCTCACGTCTTCAGCACGTTTTCAACTTCACTGATTCTTTCTCTAGGTAAACGATGCAACCATGAATTCTGCTACGTCTGTTTCGCTCCCTACGCGGGGCCTGATGGTATCTGGGGCCCAAGGGGCAATGGAGCTCATAAGGAATCGTGCAAGTACTCACCTCACAGACTTCCATCCTATCGTCCACCACGCTAGAATGTGGACTTTGGCACACAAGACAGGCGTCTGGACCGAGACATCACACTGAGCGTGTTCTGTCGAACCGAGACCCAAGAACACTTGTAGACCCGAGATTGTCGAAGGGGCTTGGAGGATTAGCGCCTGAGCGATATCTCAGGTCGTGCTGAACCTATGCTGTCTCAGGCCGCACGATGAACGACCCCTGTACACCTGCTTCTGTACCATAGCATTGGTACCGATGGAGCACGTGTCGAGACAATGTCTCGCTCACATGGCACCTGTCAGGCATTTGAAGGTCGTCAAGTATGCCCTAAGGGCTCCAAAAGGCATCGAAAAAGTACTCCCACATCTTCTCAACCCTCTGGTTCTCTGACAACCTTTCTCGTGTCGCTGGTCGATACTCACGTTCTCTGCCACAATTATGACCTTCCAAGTACACCACTGCCGTAATTCTCCAACCCTTCAACTCATCCCAAATCACAGCACTGTCTTGATCAGAGGTCCGAGTCTGCAGCCGTTGAGCCCATCGAGCCTTAAGTGAGTGGTACGGTGACTCTGCTGGCTAGCAAAGCGCTCCTTCAGGCACCGTTGCGCAGGCTCGGAGTAGGAGCAAGCTTACGAGCGGTCTGTACGGAGACAGGCCAACGGCGATGCAAAATGCTGGAACTGCGGTGAGACATACGACAATCAACAGGCCCTTCTTAACTTCCTAGTAGGACAAGAGCTGTACGACAAGTACCTGTATAGTCCCGTGCTGCGATCTCTGAGGCAAGACGCGAACCTGGTCGAATGTCATCGAGCGGATTGCGATTGAGCGTGTATCTCCGAGACCTGCGGTGAAGGCGCCGTCGTGAAGTGTCAAGCCTGCGGATCCAAGACCTGTGCCAAATGCAAAGTCCGCATGCATGACGAGGAAAGCTGTAAAGAATATCGGATTCGCGCAAAGAGAGGAACGCGAATTGTCGCTCTTTGGATACGAGAATCCAACGAGAGAGTCCAGGATACCAGCATGTGAAAGTGACATAAGACCTTGTCCCGGTTGTGGATTACCCATCCTTTCCGTTGGGCCTGGATGTGAACACTTCACTTGTGAATTCTGACTAGTCCGAGATTCTCCACGAATCCTGACACGCCGTCGACGTCTCATGATGAAGAATCTGGTAACGAGGAGTCTCAGGAGCGAGGAACGCAAGAGCGATCAAGAGAAGGTCCGCAATGAACAAAGCTCCGGGATAGAGCGTCACGACCTGCTAGTAGAAACCGCAATCAGACACCACAACCCAGAGAACAGGCTGAGTATATGTCGTTTAGAAACACCAACAATTCCCCAGGGTATATCGCTAAGCGTCGCACAGAAGTAAGCAGCACACTTTTCCTCACGGTTTCCACACGCATCGACAGAAGAAGAAGAAGACGAAGCGCCGCCAAATGTACTGTTGCTCCACATTCCATGCACAACATCAGAGTGCAAGACCAGTCCCATCACCAGTCCACCTGTACAAAGACAAAACCTCACGTCGGCGGAGTTGTTGCTCGCCAAAGTCTTCCTGAAGCCGGCCTCGCACTTGTGCGAGAGCCGAGCGCATGACTTTGCGGAAATTTCTCTGCGCCACGATCGTCAGCTTCGATGTCGCGCTCTTGATGCGTTGGGCTACATACCTGATATTCAGTATTGAGAGTCACCACGCACGCTTCGTGGGCTCTCACAATGGTTTCGCAAGCCTTGACCACGCTTGGGCTGGCCTCAGCTTGCAACTTATCCGCGATCAGCAGAAGCAAGAAACTTCCTTGCAATAAATATATCCCAAAGAAGAAAGGCATAAAACTCAAGTCCGGGTCAAACTCCAGAATCTCGTTGATGGCCTCTGCAGCTGAGACTGCATGGCCAGTGGCTGAGACGAATGACTGCGAAGAGATCCAGAGGTCGTTATCGTCCAGCAGCGAGATTGGATCCCACTTTCCATTCAGAAGAATATGCAATGTATGCATCAGATGCGTGCAGTACGCTACGACGATCTTGGTTTGGAGCTGTTCTTCCCTTATCCTTTGCTGATTGGAGTGGTTCGTGCCCACTGAGTGTGGGCTGGTAGCATCGCCCGAAGGTTCCATTCCAATCGACTCCTGTTGCTTCGGCTCTGAAGCCTGTCCATGTCTTGAGTCAAACTCTCGTAAGCTCCTGCCGTATGCCTCAAGCTGCTTAGAGATCTCTGAAGCTTGATCGTCCCAGTCTGAACTGCTCTTGAATCGCATTCCAAATCGCGGATGGTTCTTGGCATGATTGAGATCTACGATCTCGCCTAGCATAGTCATCAGGGGCAGAAAGTATCCGAAGATACCGTGACCAGTGCACTCGAAGCCGGGTCCACGTCGTCTGAAGTATGTCGACCCTGCATGATTCTCGCCCGGATAGAATTCGCCTGCCTGCCAGACGTTATCGTTGTCTGGTTGCAAAAGTCCATCACATTCAACATCCAGCAAAGCCAGAGGTCGGTTGTAGCAAAGTGCCAGATGCCGATCAACAATGAAAAGTAGCCACCATATTCGTCGGCGCTCCTCTCGCTCTTCCTCGCTGAAGAATCCTGGTTGATTGCTCATGCCAGCATGATTCGCTTCTCCAGTCGCCTCCGCTTCAGCTTCGGGACCATCCGGATTTTGAGCCCCTGGAATCGGTGGCTGTTCCCTACCGAGCTTCAATTCTCTCGCAAGCGACCACGCTGCGTGCCACCACCTCAAACTCGCAGCCTTGTATTCGCTTGCAGATACCACAGTCGCGAGGTGGATGTAAGTAGCAACGTCGTCCAACGCGCCACTGGCGCCTGGCGTGCCACCTTCCATCTCATGAGTATGGCCCGGCAGAGCAACGCCAAAGCCCCCTAGCGCAACTCCATTGATCACTGTGTTCCTGTACATCTGCGAGCTATCGTTTGGTGTGTGAATCAGAGGTTTGAGCAAGCCGACCGTCAGCTCTAGCAGCTTCTGGCAGATCTTGCCTCGCGCAGAGGGTGCGGAAGTGAAGAAAGCCGACCCGCTAGTCTGCGCAGCAACCCACAACATACTCGCGAGAAGTGCAGGGCTGCATACTCTCGGACTTGTCTGTCGTAAGAAGGACCGCTTCCGGAAAAAATATCCCAACACATATGGTGACTGCGGCTGCATGAAGATTGAAGATGTGCTCGAGAAGTAGAGCTCCAGCAGGTCGCAAGCCAAACCAATGGGTATAATAGCTGATACGTGAGGGAGCAATGGACGCAGGACGGGGTATCGAAGGGTCTGCTTCGAAGGCGGGTGCTGGAGATGAGGGTTGAGAGCTGCAGAGGGAGATGGTAGAGACAGCCATCCCGGCGAGTTACCCACCGGCGACTGGCCAAGAAAGCCGCCTGAAAGTGGCGACTCTCGCATTGGATAGGGATGTCCAGGCATGCCTTGCTGGCTGCTTGGAGAGGGGACTCCATAAGGACTGTCGCCATATCCAGTGATTGTCCCTCCTTGCATCATAGAATGAGGCATTGACGAGGGACCGGAGTGTAAGATGTTATGGCCGGCCACTGGACCACCAGGATGGAGGATACTTCGGTGGTAGTCATCGATGCTGCCATACTCGCTCATGCCAACGGATATGCCGCGTTCTTGCATTGGTGCTGTCGGTATTCTCGGTGTAGGTAGACCGACACCCGGCGTCTGATGGTCCACGGGTACACTTCTCGCATGTACACCATTCGGCTCGGCCAAAGGATTGCTGGTGACGCTTCCTCCAGAGGGCATGTGAGCATGGCCACGCGGCGGCTGGCTGTTCATACTATTTGCCCTCGGTGGCGGCAGCTGTGGTGTATGAAAATCTCCACTCGATCTTCTCCGCTTGACGCCTTTCATTCCCTCCGCCCTGCCGGCTGCCACAGGTTCCTCGGAAGAATTTTCATTGCCTGACTTGGGGCTGGTATCATCTGTTGCAGCTGCAGCCGCGGCTTGGGCGGCTGCAATATCCTTCCTCGAGGCTTTCCCTCTCTTCTTGCGCTCTCTCGCATACTCGCACGTAAGACCGAATTCCACGCAGTGCGCGCAGGGGTGCTTGCCGTCGCATTTCGTCCGTAGCTGGTTGCACTGATCGCAAGCTCTGCTGATGCGCCGCCGAACCGGTTGACCGTTCTTTCCGCCTTTTGCGTCTTTCTGTTCCACCTCTTCCCCCTCTTCTCCGTCGGTGTTGCAGTAGCTCTGTCTCTGTATCTGCTTCGCGCCCGGTCTCGCACCATTCTGAGTTTGCTGGGCCTGTTGCTGCTGAAGTTGCTGCATGGCGTACTGCGAGCCCTCCGCCAGCGCGTCTAGCCCGTTCGTAGACATCGGCTGCTGCGGCATGGGGCTATGTGTCGCCATATCTCCGTTCGAGGTGCTCCCAAACGGAGAGGAGTACTGTTGGTGGAGGACAGCTGAAGACAGCATTTTCGGCACTTCCCAATGCTTGCGGGTCCAGGCCCTCTATCCTGCTTCTCAGGTCATGGAGTCATCATTGCTGTCATTCGGTCCGACTGACGTTGCCTCTCGCGTCGTTGCTATCGTACACCCGACCAGAAATGAGAAGAGAAGGAGAATAATAAGCCGCCGCCGTCGGTCTAGATGGGTGCAGCGTGGGAAGAATAGACACAGAGGAAAACAAGTTGATTTGGAAGATGAACTTGAGCCCCGCCCGAAAGTCAATCCACGCGCCTAGACCCCATGGGGAAGCTCGGGCTACCTGTGCTGGGGTCCGAAGAGGCCACACGATCTCCCCCACCATGACACGCCTACACACACTTCCAACTTCTCAATTCACCTCTGCGTGGCCTCGTATATAACAATGACGAAGGCTGTGTTGATCCTCTCTTCGAATCCACCATCTGGAGCTTTATCTTGTGAGATCTGTCCCAAGGCTAGAGATACTCCTCACCCGGCGACATGGAAGCCCCTTGAAGGCCACGAGCACCAAGATTTGCTCCCAATGCAGGGTCGTCCGAAATCGAAGTCTCCCTCAGCATGGTACCGTGCAGACGGTCACGCTGCCCTGGAGACCGAATCCGATAGCCCCTATTCAGTGCTCTCTCCCCACGCATGCCACCGAAGACTAGGCCTCTAGGTGGGAAAGCATCGAGATCACAGCAAGTCACGTCAATGAAAACGTCAACAGGTAGACACATACTCATACAAGCATCCCCTCTATATCCCTCCCCCTCAAGCCCTACTTCCCACAGACCTTTGGCGGAAACTGCACACTCTCCCGAATGCTCTCCTTGAACCTCTCCCCATCAATCTCCAACACAAATTCCACCTCCCTCAGCTCCTGCGCCCTTGGCGCCAAAGCCTTCTGATAAGCATGAATATTCCCGTACGTCGGACTCCCATAGCTCGTATCCACATCTAGATAAAATCTCGTGCTGTTCGTGACTATCTCAGGCTCCAACATCACCGCCGCCGCCGTCTCGTCCCAGAAGGGAAATTCCGTTCCGTAGTAGTTGTACATGAGTTCCGTGTACGGGTTGGAGATGTTGTGGATCTGGTCGAGGAAGGATTGCGTGGACATGACTTGGTTGGCTACGTTTCCGCAGATGGTGATTTTGGGAAAGGGGGCCGTGAGCGCCATCTTGCTGCCTTCGGGGTCGATCATGAGGTTGATGTCGGATTGGAGGTCTGCTAGGAGGACGGTTCCGGTGGTTTGCAGGAGGTTGACGTCTAGATATCCACCCATGATCACGAGTTCCTTGGCGTTCTTCGCGAATGTAGGATCCATTCTGGCGGCTAGGGCCACGTTGGTCAGTGCTCCAGCGGCGTAGATGCTGATCTCTCCAGGGTAGCGACGGACTTGTTGGACCAGGAATTCGGCTGCTGTGATATCGGATGCAAAAGTGATGTTGGGGAAGCCGTAGTAAGGCTTTTCGAATGCGGAGTAGGAGATGCGGTCTGGGTCGCCGCTCGTGGGATCGTTGCCGAGTGCTTCGGCGGTGGAGTTTTCGTTTGCAAAAACGCCTTCCCATGCGAGCATGCCATGGACGGCTTCCCATGCCTGTAGAGAATTAGCCACATGCATTTCGACGGACTGAGATTGCGTACCTGAAAGAGGCCCGGTCTGTTCAGGATGGGGTAGTCGGCGCCTTTGTAGACTGGAATACAACCCAAGTCTCCGACCTCCAGGGTTGCGAGAGCGTGGAGTCCACATTGAAGTGCCCATGTGTTCGAAGTGTCTGATACAACTCCGAGAACATCCCAGCCTGCCTTGAGAGCCAGAAGAATCGGAATGAATCCAGAAATGCTCCAGTCGTTGTCCAGAATAACCTTAGGTCTGGTCGTATTTGTTGTACTATTGACCTGCCTCTCGAAGTGTGTTGGAGGGAGGGCCTGCACTGCGGCTGACATGGCCACCAGAGCCGGGGCTAGCGAACGGATTGACTTCATTTTGAGGATATTGCTACTGCGGAAGAAGACATACAGAGCCCCAACCGGAAATTCAAAAAGGTACCCAAAGAAACATTGCCATTGGAGATATACTTATCCATTCCCGCAGATTGTAAATCTCATAACAGACGACGTTACCTTTTCTGTCGTACGAGTGGGTTGCAATTTCGTCGCCTCAGGATTTATCCAATGAAGTTTTGATGATGCGGTGACCGCCCTATCGCGGCCTATCATAGCCCGGCGTTGTGTCGTACGTGGATGTGTAGAGTTTTCTCGGCCAGAACACAAGAGCCTCCCGGCTGGAACGATAAACATCGGCGGCGGCCGATTTTCGTTCGTGCGATATCTCGAATTCACTTCGTTGAAAGCTGCTGTCACCGGCATTCGGGTGGTCGTTTGCATCGGTATTCAAGCCCTCTGTCCGAATGAATGAGGTGGTGGGCAGGGCGAGCAGGCTGAGTTAATCAGACTGCTACTCTTGTCCGTGAGGTAGAGAACGAGTCCATCGTAATAATTCCGATGTCAGTTCGCCGTTATCTGATAGCAAGTCATAGCGTGTTATACCTAGTAGTCTCGTTCAGGACCAGGCGTGAGACAGGCCTCCATAGCCATGCCCCAGATTTGGAAGGAGCACTGGGATGAAGAGCAAGTATCAAGCGTAACCTCAGGCGTCTAGAGCAGGGTCGAGACAGCTCGTTGCAGACATTGTACGATCTTCAGTAGACGCCATCTTGCTCGCAAAGGCAGTGAATTGTCATCAGAGCCCAGTCATGAAGAGGTGAAGTCCCAGAACCATATGCACCAAACATTCCGCCGCTTCATTGGTCCCCAGCTTCGTACCTGGCAAACAAGGTACATATACAATTTGGGGCGCCCGTGATCAAATATACACTCCCATGACGCAGTGGCTTAGCGTGTCGTTCTTATATTCGTTCTACGGAACCAGTATGGTAATGCGAAAGTCGCGAGTTCGAAGTAAGTGGTGTCTTTTCCGAGCTTTGCTCTCTCTTTCCAGTTCATTTGCTAACGATTCTGCCAGTCTCGCTGGGAGTACGTCGTTTTTTTTTATCTGCCGCCAAATGGTGGCTGTTCTTCCCCGCGATCGGTCTATATCATGATGGACATCCTTTTTGCTCGACAAGAGCGTCGTAGGACGCTTGGGTGTTTGAAGCATCGGTTCGTGGCTCAAAAGGGCAATCGAGTTCTCTTTTGTCCAAAACTACAGCTCGGGTTTTGGCTGGCCTCTGCGTCGTACCGGGTCGTGCCGCTGCCGAGGAACGAATGTTCAAGGAATCGCATTTTCCTGCGGTACAATGTCGATAGAAGGACATGATGCCAAGATATGCAGCCATTATTGCATTCGAGGTGAAATCCTTCGACCTTTGCCGACAAGATGAGGAACACCTTCGCCTCTTTTCCCGCACAGCCGCGTCTTCGGCTGAATCCGGTCTAGCTTAGCCGCGCACAGATCTCGCCTCCGATTCGTCATGTGTCCTCTGCCAGCCGCGGAGCATGTAAGCAGCAGGTAACACAGGTCCATACCCCTTTCTCTCCATCATTCTTCACAAATATATCAACAGAAAGACGAGCAGGAGATCTCGTCAACGCTTCGTGAAGTGTCAGGACTATTCGAGATCTGGGTTTGGCTCAAAATTGTGCATGAGTATGGGACCCTAGACTGGAGAGACGCCACCTTACAGGGAGTAGCATGTCTGGCTTCTGACACATGAGTATGCTTGGGACCGTCGGACTGGCGCGGCGACAGGCTGTGACAGCTTTCGCCCTCATCTTCACCGCCCTTCTGGTCTACGTGTTTGTTGGAACGAGCGACCGCCGTCGACATCAGTTGGCGCAGACCGACGAAGGAGCCCCCGGTGCTGCTTCAAAGCTATCAACAACAAATCAAGTCTCAGATCTATGCAGCAGACATGGTTTCCGACCCTTCACGAGGCAGGGCGGCAACAGCTATCGAAGGGTATACGATCTGTTCCTGCTCTCTCACGAACTGGACTGGCTAGAAATCCGCTTGAACACCCTGGCGCCGTATGTCGATTACTTTGTCATCGTGGAATCGCCGTGGACATTTACTGGGTTGCAGAAGCCACTGCATTTGCAGGAGAATTGGGCGAATTTCACGTCATTTCACCATAAGATTATCCATCAAGTCGTCGATGATTCAGGCCTGAATTTGGGATCGAGGACCTGGGACCATGAGGACTATTTTCGCAACTCGCTGTTCCACAGCACTTTTCCCGACCTATTGTACTCCGAGAGAGAAGCACAAAGAGGCGATGTGCTGATTGTTAGCGATGTGGACGAGATTCCGAAACCAGAGGCTCTGAACGTGCTGCGATATTGCGACTTTCCCGAGAGACTTACCTTGAGGAGCGACTTCTATTACTACTCATTCCAGTGGATGCACGTTGGCGAGCAGTGGCCACATCCTCAGGCGACCGTCTTTCGTGGTCTTCACAACACCATATCTCCCGTACATCTGCGCAACGGTGAAGGCGGTCCTACGAGCTGGATACCTTTCCTGTCAGCAATGCGGCGATGGTGGCAGAAGACCGACATGTGGGAGGCAGCCTGGCACTGCTCATCTTGCTTTGCGAGCATGGAAGAAATGCGCGCGAAAATGGCCGGCTTCTCTCATACTCCGTGGAATACGGCTGAGAACAGAGACGAGGGAACAATGATGCACCGAGTTAGAAACGGCCTAGACTTATTTGGCCGAACAGGAGAAGACTATCGACGCGTGGAGAACAATCTGGATGTACCTCCGTATATCCTGCAACATAAGGACGAGTTCAAATATCTACTGGATCGAGATGGCGAGGACGCGGGATTTCGAGACTATCAGCGATCTATTGGATGACAGGACAGCGATACATAAAACGACAGTAGTATGCTTCATAGCGACTCTTTACAAGATACTCGATATGTGTGTGAGTACCCTACAACATCTCCTCATGACCAGTCGTCAGCAACCCATCGCATGTCCCGACGATCAATAATCCTGTAAGTGCAAGCTCAATGCGCTGCTCACCACATTCCTCGCCACACGAGGCAAGTCAGGTGGCAGCTAAATCCCTGAGCACTTCCGTGTAGTACACGTTTGCTGTCGGCTCTCCATATATCTAACGGCTTGCAAATCATGGGGAAAAGCGAAAACGATGAGCAGACCGAGATGGGAGCACCTTGCAGGGCAGGGAAGGTCACACGACGTGGAGGGCGGAGACTTGTCTTTTATTATGCGCCATTGCAGACTGGATTAGAGTTGGCACGTTTCGTGATCTGCAGCATTGATGCGACGATTGTCAACGGCCATGTCTACTAGTCTTTTGCTTATAGGAATATCCGAAAGGTTGGACAGCCAGCGGCGTTTGTGTGGAAAGAAGGGTAAGTAGAGAGATGTGGTGACAACCAGGCGCTCAAGACGACTGCACACCACTTCACATTATCATCGTTATTCTCGCCAGCAGCAACCAAGAGCGTCAAATTCGGCAGCACTCGGATGCAACACTTCGACATCAACTCCACCTGTGACACGGCAAACACGACGAAAACAGTCCTCATGACCCGGCAAAACGAGTCAGTCAGCAAACAAGCGGCAAGAATGTGTCTACGCCTATGATGAATGCTCAGAGTCCAATCCTTACCGCAAGCAGCCCTAGCAATGCTCCACCAGCCAATCGTCGCCAGGCCGCACAACCACGTTCCTCACATGCGCGCGCCGTGGGGTTCGTACCAAAACACTGTGACGCCCATTCTAGCAGTTGGCCTTTCTCTTAACCTTACACACATAGCTTACCCGAAGTTCCCTCCTCTTTGTACGCATGCAGCAGCAGACGTGGTTGGAGCAAGAGGTATGGATGGCTGCGGTTGAGGTGGACTTAACTTACCTACCTTACCTACGTTCTCCCGAGCGGAGTGATGCTGGTGCGTTGAGAGGGATTATTGAAGTGGTATACATCCACGCACCCACATGCTCCCGATATATCGTACCCCTCCTTTCTTTCTTTGTTCAATCATCAGTACTGTGATTGTCTATCTACCTCTCAAATTTTTTGCCTGCAGCGAGCTTTCTTTCTCGGAAAGACGTCGAAATCCACAATACCGATCGGCTTTGCTGTCCACGATCCTAACCTCCCCTGCCGACCGACCCACTCTCCAAGAAAGCTGCTATCCAAATAGGCCGAAGAATTAGCAACCGATAGACCCAACCCCACAGCGATAGCAATTCTATAAGGTATCCAGGACCAACCCCGCCAAGATGAATACCATCTCCCTCGTCCTCAACGGCCGAACAGCCGCGGATATCGCCCGACTCCCTGCCCGCGAAAGAAGCACAATCACCACCCTGCCGAGATCTCGCCTCCCACAACCTCCCTTGCGAAACCTGAGCAGTGCGAGCATGACTTCCGTCTTCTCCTCCTCCGCCCCTCCCTCACCCGGCTCCAGTCGACGTTCCTCCGCGAAAGCCTCTCCGGGATGGTACAATACCGAGAACAACCTGACCTTGGATGATTTCGCGAGGAGATTGAATACCACGAGTAAGAAGCTGGAGATTTGGCAGGGGAGATGTGCACAGAATGCCGTGATGGCGTTGTTGAGACCTACACCTTTGATACTCTTTCTGTTGAATCCGATCTGTTTGGTTCTGTGGGTGGTTTTGGGCTTTTGGTGGGTTACTTCTGGTGGTGCAAGTGGGAAAGAGACGACGGGGCCTTGAGTGAGGGTTGCACTGTTCGACATTGGGAAAGCCTACCTATCCATCCATCTCCATGATAAGGTTCCCGACCGCGCGTATCTGGGGTGCGACTGGCAAGCACTGCCCTCCGACAATCACCAGGAGAAGAACATGGCATTCCCATCTTTGTCCTTCCGCACACCAGAGGAGTAGTCTCTCTCCGGTTCGAATTCTTCCCACGTGCTCGCTGGGTAGATATGCTTGTTCCGCTCATACCAGCGACGATTCACCACCTTCGTCGCATTCGGATCGTCGTCAAAGCCTTCGAGTTGGGAGTCGGGAGGACCGGAGGGGATCGCAGCTTGCTGTCTGCGCTGCGCGGCGGTTTGAAGACTCGCACTCGTTTCAGGTTCGGGCGTCGCCGAGGAAGATTTCAAGTTTGAAGGGAGGAGGTTGGTTGGTGTCGCAGGCGTTGGTTCGGCGGAGTAGGAGAATAGAGGACCTTGATACCCGATTGTTCTGTTGATGATGAAGTAGTAGAATTCGTAATGCTGGAAACGAAGAAATGTCAGTCACGGTCGAAAAGACCACTCTCCGCGGTGGATGTGACGTTCACTTACGTGAGGTATTATAATGTCTCCCTTTACGACCATGAGATCGTCGACGGAGATTCGAGCCCAGTCTCTTCTTGCTCGGTCTCCTTTCACAGCCAAATTTGCGCCCAGTTTCCTTGCTCGCTCCAAGAAGAGCCAGACATGGTCGCCTTTCTTCATGCGACAGACTCCGCCCGTCGCGTTCTTGCCATCGTAGAAGACAAACGGGATTGCGAATTCCGTCGCTTTCACAGCCTCTTGAATCTGAGCGAACTCCTTCTTCAACTGCTCTTTCAGCTGCGCTTCCTTAAGCATGGCAGACTTCGTCATGGCTTTGGGCTGTAATTCAACCGCGGAACTCGGTCGCAAGCTCTTCTTCTTGAACGTCATCCTGGAAGTGTCTGAAGGTGCTTCCGAATCGGCGCCATCTTGAGGTGTGTTCGTATCGGTCGTGGTCTTTGCTGTAGAGACGTTGCCGGTGTCGCCTTCTTCATCATCGACGCCAAATGATAGCCCGCCCTTCTTCACGGCCTTCTTCCTCTTCTTGAAAGTCGGTTTGGCAGCTGCATCACTGTGCTTGGGCTGTCAGTACTCACATCTTCACCAGAGGTCATGCAACACATACCGTCCGTCAGGAGTGTCCGCTCCGCTCCCTGGCGCACTGCTATCGGCCTCGAGTGCTTCTGCTCGTCGCTTGCGGAAATCATCCAGTGTGACCAGTCCGACTGTGTCCGCTTTGAGACGATCCTCCGCGCTCACTGCCTGCGCAGTAAAGCGACTGGGCGTGGAGCCGCCCGAGTTTGAAGTGTCCGTCATAATTACAGGAGGAGAATGTAATTGTGCAGATGGTTGTTGTCGCGAAAGCTGGCGCGCAACTGATTGCCATGGAGGACCAGCGGGTAAACCTTGTTCCTCGCAGATGTGTCGGCCTGAGGCCATAACCAACGCCCAACATCACACTTCGCTTTCTCATCTAGAACTTGTACAACGTATATCACAGTAAGACAATGTCGGTGGGACAACAGGGGAGTTTGCTCGTCAATTCCAATGTCGATCCAAATGTCGTTGGATCTGGGGCTTTCTCGCCGCCACCATATACCCCTTTCCTCTGCTGACCGAGAATTGGCAGCGTGCAACAGCACAACGCTTAACGGTGACGAAGCAACCATACATGGCGCCCTCCTCTCTAATTTGGCAGGCGAAAACGGTGTCGTTTTAAACAGCCAGGCAGCCGCCTCTCAGATGCCAAGATCTTTTCGCTCACTTTCCCTCTCCCTAAGCAATCCGATTACCTCTCCAGAAGTCTACCACATCCACTCTCCCTTCTCGGGCTCGTAGGACCCCACTTCCAAACATTTTCCAGAAGTTCTCGAAGGTCCACATCCCTAAGTATTCCAAGATTTGTGAAATCCACGAGATTTCTTCCAAGCCGTACATCCCGCAGCCTAGCCCTCTTCGTCTCGTCCAGCGAACGCAGGAAGCTTCTAAGATCGTACCATGAACACACCAAGAAAGTGCCCTGTTCGTAAGAGATTGGTAGACGTTCTGATTGAATCTGCTGGTTCGTCCCGACAAGGGAAGGCTCAGGAACTCGTGTATGTCTGTAGTTCGATGCACAAACAGGCCCGGCATGTTCGACAACGAGAGTCAGAATGTGAATTCGAAGCTCCGCTGGGAGGTCTATTAGTCGCGATGTCGACATCTCGGGTGGTCGCGTTGCACCAAATGACTATGTTCTCGGAAAGTTGAGCAGTCAGCGACACCTACCCCATTGTAAGTAGTGTAAATACCTCGTTCCAATGTTCACCACTGATACTTGAGTCACGATCACCTTGGCAGCTGACCCAGTGTGCTTGCACAAGATGAAACTGCGGCTTAGAGATCTTCTCAATTGTACCAAAAGCAAGTTGCAATCCGAAGCAGCCCGTGAGACCGCGATTTCCCTACGCCATCCAGCGCCTCGCTAAAGGTTCCTCGTCAATCGTAACTCGTCTATCGTTCCCGCAGCTGTAAGATGCAGAACGCTCCAAGTTCCGTCGGGAATTAAATGGAGTGACCGGTCAACCCATGCCAGGTGATCTCCGAGTATGTCCACATCGTTCCGGAGAAAGGCTTCATCCCAGCGTCTTGAGCTTTTTCTTCTTTTTCGGCTCGGCCTTTTGGTTCTTCTGGAAATCACGCCAGCTACCAATCCGCTCATCTCTCGTCTTCTCCCAATCCTGCTCGTGTTCACGCTTTCTCTTGCGCTCTGCAGCTTCCTGCTCCTCCTTTGCTTGCTGCCGTCCTTCATCGCGCATCTGTGCCTTCATCTGCCGCTGGCGTCGAGCCTCGTTGTCCGCTAGAACGTACTTGACCTTCTCCTTCCAAGCTTTCATAAACTCAATGCTGGGCTCCTTGACCTCCTCGTCGTCTTTCGTGAGCTTCTTGTCGCGCATAGCGAGCATACGAGCATCAGCTATGGCTTCATCGAGATTGGCGCGCAGTTTTTCATCGAGGAGCATCTGATAAGCTTTTGCGAGGCGGTCGAAGGCTTCTTGGGCGTTTGGATTCGAGCTCTTGTCAGGATGGATGAGGAGCGACTTCTTGCGATAGGTGCGCTTGATGTCCTCGTCCGGGACACCAGGTTGGAGATCGAGAACGTCGTAGGCATTTGCGCGGAAGGATTTCATGATTCGCTCAATTTCAGAATCCTATTTTCAAGTCAGCTTCTATCTCTCACCCACGCAAGCCCATTTCCAATCACCTTGTCGAACTCCTTCGACTCTCTGTCGAGATTGTCGAGAAAAGCGGCATCTTCTTTCCTCTGCTCCTTGCTCAGCTTGCTCAGGTCCTTCTCTGGGACCGATGCGTCTCCCATTTTGGTATGCGCTCTTGGGTTGAAGAAGTTGCGCGAGAAAGGAGATGCGGACGTCTAAATCTCGAAGTGCATGTCGACGAGGTAAAACGCGAGTCATGACAACCCCGCTAGCGCGAACTCTAAATGCGACAGCCGACAATTTCTTGACTGCACTTTGCATGTGAAGCTCTTCCTACTCTGCGTGCAGTCACATTCCAAGATGGCGCCGGGAATCAGTGGCCGAACGAAACCTACAAAAGCGAAGAAACAGGTCAGGGGGCAAAAGAGGAAGCGAGATGATGTCGATGTGGAGAAGTTGGAGCAAGACGTACGGGAACTGGACACCAAGGCGAAATATGCAAACTTCACCGATCTACCTCTGTCCGAGCCTACAAAGGCCGGGCTGAAAGCATCGCACTTTGGTACGCTCACGGATATCCAGTCGAGAGCGATACCACTTGCGCTCAAAGGATCGGACATCCTTGGTGCCGCAAAGACGGGAAGTGGGAAGACGCTTGCGTTTCTGATCCCTGTGCTGGAAAATTTGTACAGAGCACAATGCGTGGGAGGAGATGCTGGTCTGGGAGCGATGATTATCACCCCAACAAGAGAGCTGGCTATTCAGATCTTTGAGGTACTGCGGAAGGTCGGTGGAAAAGGACATCTTTTCGCGGCAGGCTTGGTGATTGGAGGCAAGAGCTTGAGAGAAGAGCAAGATGCGCTGGCAAGGATGAATATTGTCGTCTGCACACCGGGTCGGATACTTCAGCATCTCTCTCAGACTGCTGCTTTCAATGTGGACAATCTGCGGATGCTGGTTCTTGATGAGGCAGATCGGATTCTGGACATGGGCTTCCAGAAGGACGTAGATGCGATTATCGACTACCTTCCGAAGGACAGACAGACCCTGCTGTTCAGTGCGACACAGACGAAACGAGTCTCCGACCTAGCACGCCTTTCCCTATCCGAGCCCGAGTACGTCTCTGTTCATGAAGCTGCGTCAACTGCGACGCCCAAGACCTTACAGCAGAACTATGTCATCACGCCCTTGCATCAGAAGCTTGATACCCTTTGGTCCTTCATTCAATCAGCAAAGAAGTCAAAGATACTCGTCTTTTTGTCTTCAGCGAAACAAGTCCGTTTTGTCTACGAATCTTTCAGACACATGCAGCCCGGTATCCCCTTGCTACATCTACACGGCCGGCAGAAGGAGAACACCAGACTTGAGACAACGCAAAAATTCTCGAGTGCCAAGCATAGCTGCCTGTTCGCTACTGACGTTGTGGCGCGAGGCCTGGACTTTCCTGCAGTTGATTGGGTTGTGCAAGTCGACTGTCCTGAGGACGCAGATACTTACATACACCGAGTTGGCCGGACTGCAAGATACGAGCGCGATGGCCACGCCGTGATTTTCCTCGACCCAAGTGAAGAGGAGGGTATGCTCCGTCGCCTGGAGCAGAAGAAGGTACCGGTTGAGCGCATCAACGTACGTGCCAAAAAGCAGACGAGCATCAAGAATCAATTGCAGGATATGTGTTTCAGAGATCCGCAGTTGAAATATCTTGGTCAGAAGGCTTTCGCAAGTTACGTGAGGAGCCTGCATGTGCAGAAAGATAAAGAGGTCTTCAAGCTAGAGAAGTATTCGCTAGAGGAGTTTGCTGCGAGTCTAGGGCTACCAGGAGCGCCACGGATCAAGTTCTTGAAAGCTGATGCCGAAGAAGTCAAGAGGAAGAAGAATGCTTCTCGGCAAGCACGGGTGTCAGATGCGCAGAACGAAGAAGACGAGGGTGAGCAAGACGAACGTGTCACCAAGAAGACCGAAGTGCGTACAAAGTACGATAGAATGTTCGAGCGTAAGAATCAGGACATATTGGCAGATCACTATGCCAAGATGGTCAAGAATGACGACGTTGACATCAACCGGCTGGACGGCGAGCAGCAATCCGACGATGACATGATGGTCGTGAAGCAGCGAATTCCAGCGGACGAAGGCGAGCACCAATACGACGGTGTGCCTGATAATGAGACATTGAATTCGCAAACCCCTGGAGTTAAAGCCATTGCTGTGCCTGGCGCCAAGACACCAATCATTCTTGATTCGAAGCGACGGGAGAAGCTCCTTAAATCCAAGAAAAAGCTGCTCAAATTCCAGGACAAGGGCTCCAAGATTGTGTATGATGATGACGGAAATGCGCATGAGATCTACGAACTCGAAGATGAGCAAGACTTCCGTGCTCGCGGCAAAGCCGAGGAACAGCGAAGGAAATTCTTGCAAGAAGAAGCTGAGCGAGTCAAGGAAGCTGACATTGCCGACAAAGCTTTGGCGAAGGAGAAGAGAAAGGCGAAGAAGGAAAAGCGGAAGGAGAGAGAACGCATGGAAGTTGAAGATGGAGAAGGCGTTACTGCCTTGGAGGAAGGAGAGGACGCAATGGCAAATTTCTTGGCTGATGCTCAGAGCTCCAATGGGAGCGAGGCGGAGAGCGAAGTGGATGATGATGAGAAGCCGCACAAAAAGCAGAAGAAGTGGTTCCAGGAGGAAGGCAAGAGGAAGGATTTGGGCGGCGAAAGAGAAATCGAGACGCTTGATGATTTGGAGGCGGAAGCTGCAAAGCTGCTGGGCTGAGCAGGAGAGCTGTGCAGGCATTATCTCGCACTTCGGCAGCGAGAACCTTCTTGCACATGCTTTCGCATCAACTCACATACGTCCAAAGAACCTGGCAGCTTTATCAAATCCATATTTCCGCGAGCACAGATTCATGTTTGCATCACACCGCCTCTGAAACCCGCGGTTATCGACTTCAAAATTTGGGCAAGCAGTCGAAAACCTCCTGGCTGTGCCTATTAGGAGAGCTGCGTAACGATGTCTATCGACGAAGCCTGGCATAGAGCGTCCAATCGATATCGGCCTATTCAGCAGATACATAGAGCCAAATCTCCTCTGCGTGAACCGTCAGACTCGCAACGCATGTCTGTCGATTCTATGCGGCGATAACGTCTTCCTCTCTTGCTGGAAGACAACGATCATCTGGTTCTCGGAGGACCTTTGTTGCAATGACAAGCTCAGACGTTTGGCAGAGTGGAAATTCATTGCACATCGTCGTTCGCCAGCGTGAAGGGCTTCCGGGGGTGTCTAAGAGCAGCTGGACTTCCGGAGGGAATTGACTTAGTTGATTTTGGCTTTGGAACGTGCGAGAGGCCTCGGGGAGGGCCCTATGGGATGTGTCAAGTGAAAGAGCAGATGTGAGTCGCCCGTGTGGTGGTGAGACAAACATTTGTCACAATGAGACTTCGAGTTGTGAAGATCAATCTTGGCGTTTGCAGCATATGGATTGACAGTCACGAACAAACGCGTGAACAGATGCGTCGTTTCGCAACTTGCGCGCTCATACACACTTCAACTCGCACACTTGCTCGACAAGATTACATCGGCTCATCCGCCTAAAAATTCGCACAGAGATCGAATACCTGGGAAAGGCCATCATGTCTCCATCCACACCATCAGCACGAAAAATCGCCCTACCAAAGACTTCCTTCCTCAATCTCCCCGCCGAACTGCGAAATGAAGTCTATCGTCTTTCCTTGATCGGCGACACACCTATCCCCATCCGCTTCAAGGCGCCATGCGTACCACAGCCGAGCCTCTCGATGGCGAACAAGCAGATCCGCACAGAGTGCCTCTCGATCTTCTACGGCGAGAATGTCTTCTGGACTACCCAGGCGTTTACGGTGGACGCCTGGTTTATGCACATGGATGGGAAGCAGCTGGCTCAGGTTCGCGAGGTTCGTTTGCAGCCATGTGCGCAGCTGGAGCCTTCGGCACTGATCAAAGCGATTATGGGTCGACACACAGGACGAGGGCTGAAGGAAGATGTGATGAAAATGGAAGTCGGTGCTGAATGGTTCTCCGTGAGAGATGCACGCGAGAAGGCGCCGTCGTTGTTGGAGCAGGCGGGCATTGCAGAGATATCCGACATGCTTATGGAGATCATCTGAGAATAAAGATGGTAGAAAAGGGCTCGCAAGAGTTGGACCTGTCTTAAAGTTCCCCAAAGAATTGCTTGTACTGGTGGAAGGCTATAGTGATGGGGTCTCTGTGCGTCAACACGACCTGGTTCTTCATTTGCGGGCGACAGGAATAGACCTTCGTCGGTAGACTATTAGTACCTCTGTCCTTCGGACGTCTCGATTTACATGACACCAAGTCTCCCATAGGTTCGATTCTGGAACGTGTTTGCAGTATCGGCACGACCGTTTGTCCGATCTCCGTCAGTGCGAACTGCTAACCGGCGCATAATCTTGGACCAGCGTTGAACGGAATACCAAAAATGCTCCAGTAGCCAAGTTTCCTACCGTGACGGCTCGACCAGAGCCGGGTCGGGGAAGTCAGCTGCTCCTTCGGAGTCGGCGGAAGGGAAGATGTTCCCGCGCAATTGCATAAATTGCGTGCTGGAAAGGCCGGTTGTTCCTCTCAGGACACCAATAGGCTCGTCACCAGCTGCGCCTCCTGCATTTGGGATCGTTGTATTCTCCAGCGCTTCTCGAACGTTTATCGGGATGGCTGGGTACGTCCTAAGCGTCCCATCGATGGTTTGCTGCAGCAGGCGCATCGATTACAACGACTTCTGTAGGGACGTTCTTTGCCCATGCGGTTTCAGTCAGTTCCACGAGAAGCTGATCAGCAGTGTGCCCGCCATGAGCTCAAGTTCTGGCATGTTGTCTCCCGAAGCATTGGCGTAGATTCTAGCCATGGCATCGTCGGCGGCTTCGGTCGTGCCATTCATCAATCTGCAAGCTTACTGATTATTAACAGGAAGCTCGCGTCAATATTACCATGACTCACGCGGAGTGATCGTATCTCGTACTCTTGACAGAGGATGTGAAGATGATACGGCAATTCTGCTGAAAGTACTTCCGCTCCACCGTTAGATCGATGATCATGGCCGGGACCTGTAGATTCGCAAGTAGCACGTTGCTGAAACTCCCGATCTCGACGCCTCCGACTGGCGTGCGGTCTGTTGCTGCTGCATCGTTGACGTATATGTCGACCCTGGAGCCAAAGTGCTTTTGAATGGCGTCCGCTATGAGTTTCGGATGATTCATGGAGAGGATACTGGCAGCTCTGCCAATGACCTTGGGTGGAACCGACTTCTGCTCATCGTAAAAAGCCCTAACTTCGCTTTCAAGTACGTCGATGAAATGCAGTGATGTCGGAGCAGAGCATGTTCCAAGAATGGAGCAGCTCGTCACATCCTCAGCCATCATCTGTCCTTCTTTTCTTTCCCATTTTGCGTACCTCTCCGTGTCAGGTTGAATCCGATCGCCCTTCCGACCCCCCTTCTCGCTCCGGTAATGATAGCAGCCTTACAGGCGAGGTCTTGATCTCGGGAGCTCGGTAGGCATTTACTCGATGCTGCAGTCATTCTTTACGTTGGCCTGCTTTGGCTCTCACGGACGATGTTTGGATTCAATGGAGTTGATAACAGGAGTCGCAGAGCCATTTGTCTCTCAGCCATTCTTCTCATGACTCACATCACGAGAGGTCGCACAGCTCCTACGGTTTTATCGGTCGTAACACATGCATTGAGGGCAGTCGTGGTCCGCATGCGAAGGTCTTGGCTGGGCTAGCCGTTGCTGGCGAGAGAGCTCAGTCTTCTTCGTCCGTATCGCCAGCTTCGGGTCCGTCGAAATCCTCGATACCGTTCGCCATACTCATGTCGCCATCGTCGCCATTATGTTCAGGAGCTTTTCCGCTGGCGGTCGCTAGTGTTGCAGCCTCCGCTCGTTGCGCTCGAACAATTGTCGCCCGGGCACGGCGGATAGCTTCTTCCTCGGACTTCTTGATTGTGCCGCTCACTCGAACGACTTGAATCACGCACGTCTGGTCCACAGGTTTAGGAATCTTGGTTGCAAAGCTCAGGGCAGCCCAGACCATGCGGTAGTGCGCGCGTGCGACGCGAACAATGGCAGTAGAAGTGGCGGCAGACATGTATTTGACTGGGTGAGGTCAGCATTTGCTAGAGAAGCCAGACCAGATATATGGGATGCGGCGGCGGTACCTTGGAGACTACCAGCAACCATGCCGGCCCCATAGTCACCGAAAAGTTCTGATACGCCATCGCGAATTACGCGGGCAAGAAGCTTCGCATCCAGACGATCAGAGCTCGGCTGCCTGAACTGAACAGTCCATGGTACAATTTGATTTGGTTTGGCCGTCGTGGCGGGCTTCTCTTGAGGGTAGAGAATGTTCAAGAGCAGGTAGCGGTGCTTGATGCGGACCATATTGGCGCAATTTTGGCAACAAAAATACTTTCAAATTTCGAATTGAATCTTGCCAGGAACACGCATATCAGTCCATTGTAACTGCGTTGTTGTTCCTAGAAGCCAACATTGACGCCGCGAGAGCCGAATTTCACAACACCAAACGCACATCCGCTAGCGTCCATGGCCTGACAGCCAATCAACGCTCGCGCCTAAAGCGGTGGCAGAAAAGTTCACAGCTACGATCTTCGAGAACTTCGCAGCATTGAACTGCAACTACACAACATCGCCAAGCATGGCAGACCCTCGTTTCAGCGCATTATCAACTGACCCAAGATATCGTCTTCCAAGTCGAAAGGAAGCGCGTACTGCAGTCGATCCCCGATTCAAGACACTTTTCACAGACGAAGAATTTCGCAAGAAAGCAAGTGTTGATCGATATGGACGCAAGATCAAGCCAGAGGCTGGAAAAAAGGACTTGGAAAGACTCTACAGGCTAGATAAGAAGGAAAGTCCGAAGCTAGGAACAAAGGCGGAAAGACAAGTTGTGGGCAGCTCGGACGAAAGTGAGCGAGATGAAAGTGATGCAAGTGAAGATGAGCAGCTTGTCACCAGGCGGGATCCTGCTCGAGAGGGTGGTTTCTCCGAGTCTGAGTCTTCGGAAGAGGAGACGTCAGATGAGGAAGAGAGTGATTCGGAGGCGGAGTTAGCTGAGGATACGGCTGGACAAGAGCAGACTGAGGATATACCCATGGGCGAGGTGTCGCGACGGATAGCGTGTGTGAATCTGGATTGGGATAACATACGTGCAGCAGACCTCATGGCGGTGGCTCAGAGTTTCGCGCCCAATTCAGGCAGGGTAGAGAGCGTCACGATATATCCCAGCGAGTTCGGTCGGGAGAGACTGGAGAGGGAAGAGATCGAAGGGCCGCCCAAAGAGATCTTCGCCAGCTCATCCAATAGGAAGGGCGAGGAGTCAGAAGATGAAGATGACAACAAAGACGAAGACGAAGAAAGCTCAGACGACGACGAGAAGATCAAAAAGCGGATTCTCCGGGACCAAGCCAAGGAGGGCGAAGAATTCGACACTGCGAAGCTGCGCCAATACCAACTCGATCGTCTGAGGTACTACTACGCTGTCATATCCTGCGACAATAAACAGACTGCCAAAGCTCTGTATGATGCCATGGATGGACGTGAGTATCTGTCGACTTCGAACTTCTTTGACCTACGCTTCGTGCCAGATGATACATCCTTTGACGACGATAAGCCGCACGATGAGTGCAACCAAATCCCCGCCGGCTACAAACCCAACGACTTTCGTACTGAAGCTCTCACACATTCTAAAGTTCGTCTAACTTGGGATGACGACGATGCAACGCGCAAAGAAGTCCAAAAGCGCGCCTTCTCTCGCGCGGAGATGGACGAGAACGACTTACAAGCATATATCGGCTCCGACGACAGCGATGCAGACAGCACGACTTCTCGCAGATCTGCCGCAATTTCAAAGGCAGAGGCTAAGCGTCAGAAAATGCGTGCTGCCCTAGGTCTTTCCGCTGAGCCTAGCAAAGCTTCCAAGAAAGGAAAAGATGAGCCGGTAGGAGACATGCAGATCACGTTCACTTCCGGCCTCAGCGGCAACAGCAAAGATTTTAAGGGAGGCGTGTTCGAGAATGAGCCTCAAGATGAAGAAAGTACCCGAGATCGCTATATCCGCAAAGAACGGGAGCGGAAGCAAAAGCGAAAGGAGAAGCATAAATCTGCCACAGACATTGTCGAGGACTCCACAACGGCCGGTGTCGCAGAGGGTCAAGATGACGAGAATGATCCCTTCGACGACCCCTTCTTCAACGACCCACAAGCCGCCGCAGCACAAGAGGCAGCCGCCAAGAGGGCCGCGAAGCAAGCCAAAATTGCCGCTCGCGAAGCAGCAGACGCCGAAGCCGAATCCCGTCGCGCAGAACTCGAATTACTAATGGCCGATGATGCGGATGAAGGAGCCAACATGAAACATTTTGATATGCGAGAGCTGGAGAAAGCTCAGAAAGCTGCCAGACGAAAGGGAAAGAAAGGCAGCAAGAAGAACAAAGAAACTGTCGCTGCTGTGGAGGATGACTTCAAAGTTCGGACAGACGATCCAAGATTCAAGGATGTGTTTGAGAGTCACGAGTTCGCTGTCGATCCGACGCATTCTGCTTTCAAGGGGACCGAGGGCATGAAGACTTTGCAGGAGGAGAGGAGGAAGAGGAAGCTTGGCGTGGAAGAAGATGGTACTGCCACGGGGAGAGGTGGAAAGAAGAAGCAGAAGAAGGCAGGCGGTGACGGAGAGGATTTGAAGGCTTTGGCAGCTCGGTTGAAGAAGAAGAGTAAATCGTAGAGTAATTCAAGGGAACTGAAGCCGCCCTCTTCGAACCCTGTACTACGAGCTACAACGCGTCACTCCGAACGTTCATGGTGTTTCGCTGCTCGCCGATCACTGGCTGTGTCTATCTTTTCACGCGCCTTCGGGAGGATCCACCACAGGCCACCTCAGGCTTCTCACGCATGTGAAGAGTATGACCTGCATCGACCAAGGTGCCCATTTCGACCGAGTGTCCCGATTTCTTTCATGCTGTCCTACTCGTCGCGGCCGTTGCTATCCCCACTGTGTACTCTACAAAATGCAGCGCGGGATCATCCCCGATATTGTAGCATTCTGAGTTGTAGTTCAGAAGTTCTAGGATCAACGTGCATTTGCGAGATCTCCGTCCAGCTGTTTCTCGGCCTTCAGGGGAAAAGGGGCTCAGCAATGGCCGTGTTCCTGTTTAACTCTCGACTGAACAAGAGGTGCAGCTCTGGGGCCTGAGAAGAGCTTGCTAGCTGTCCAGTGTAGCTCCAGAAAGGTGCGATGGTCGATGTTCTCCGGAGGTCTCAATTCAGACACGGCAAGCCGGGCGATCAATGCCACCTTGCTCTGTGCGACATGAGCGACTATCCTGTATTTCTCGATTTTAATCATATCGACAGCTCCTTCACAAGGTGACACTCGATCTTCTGCGGCGGGACGCACATTTAGTCTGCCTGCTGGCCTTCCTCGCTCTCATCCGGACTATCCACTTCCATGAGATCTGAAGGCCCGCCATTGGATGTTGCGCGCTCTTTACCGCCCAGGTGCCCGTCCATGGGGCCTTGAGAGTTCGATGTCGTCGCTGCAGCAGCCGCTTCCTTGGCTACTTTTTGTTTGTGTTGTTTGAAGGTAGTCGTCTTGGGCACAACATCGGATAGGAATTCGAGGTTCTCGACGCGGGCGACGGCATTCGCTAAGGAAGGTCAGTTGGACGGTCTCTCTTTGGGGCAGTACGACAATGCATACCGACATCACGGTATTGGATATTGCGTCTCGGCTTCTGCGTGTTCTCCGTCCGAACTTGCGTGTAGGCCTGCTCAACGAGATGCTGCAGGAACATCTCGGTTGCGACAGTGATGACGAAGGCGGCATTGTTGCTACAGTTTCCAACATCTGGATCGGCGCTGACAATCTTCTTAACTCGAGCGACTAACAAGGCAGTCAGTGAGTGCTGCATATACAGGTTTCGCCGGGAGGGGTCGCACGGGGAAGGGCAACTGTTCCGGTGACTTCCTTCGAGGGCGTGATTGGCGTATTGTTGTAGGGCATTTTCGTGATCGTGTCTTGTTTGGACCTGCTGCAAAATCTACTGTTGGCAGTGTTGGATGTTGTAGTCTTGGAGAGCTTGTCTGAAAGCGAAAGTTGAAGAGATGCGGTGCACGCGACGTCCCAAACGCGCCTCGCTTCCGAAGTTCCGCCGAGCGGAAGGCTCCCGTCCGGCTTTCACATGCTCTGAGGCATCAATGGGAAGGCGCAACAAGGAAACCGCAATCTTCCATTCACCAACCTTACGGAATAGAATGGAAGTCGCGGCCTGCTCTGTACATAGTGTCTATACCGCGAATACGATGCGATGAACCGGCGCATCAGCAGCATCTCCATCCACCAGCCCTCGCGCCGGAGCAGTCATGCCACCTCCGTCTCCTCTCGCTCCGTCTCCCATTCACAGACCCGCCCCGCCGCCCACGCCTTGAACCGCCGCCTGTCCGCCCTCAGCACCGCCCTCAGCAGCGCCGAGGCCGGTAATGTCGCCGAACCCATCACTCCCGCCGACCAGATCGCCGCCGAGGAGATCGCTGAGATCAAGCGCTATGAGGACTTCACTACCATCGATTGGGTTCAGGATGCAGCTCGCGAACAGCAACGAAGGAAGGCGCGAAGGCAGGAACGAGCAGGATTCTTTGAAAGAGAAGGGCGAGTAGGATGGAGACGAAAGATGTGGGAAGCGTATGATGCTGGCCAGGGCTGGATCGTGGTCAGTTTGGTGGGGGCTGCGATTGGGTTGAATGCGGCATTCCTGAACATTGTCACGGAATGGCTAAGCGATATCAAGCTGGGATACTGCACGACTGCCTTCTATCTGAATGAGAGCTTTTGCTGTTGGGGCGCTGAGAACGGCTGCCAGGAATGGCATCACTGGAGTGGCCTCAGGCCGCTGAATTACCTCCTCTACATCATCTTCAGCACTGCCTTCGCCTTCACAAGCGCGCGGCTTGTCAAGAGCTTTGCACCATATGCTGCCGGCAGCGGGATCAGTGAGATCAAATGTATTATTGCCGGGTTCGTCATGAAAGGCTTTCTCGGATTCTGGACTTTGTTGATCAAATCGATTGGACTTCCATTGGCCATTGCATCCGGATTGAGCGTCGGAAAGGAAGGGCCTAGTGTTCATTACGCTGTCTGCACGGGCAATGTGATCAGTCGCATGTTCCATAAATACAGGCGGAATGCTGCAAAGACAAGAGAGATCTTGTCAGCTTGTGCAGCTGCTGGTGTCGCCGTTGCCTTTGGATCGCCAATTGGAGGCGTCCTCTTCAGTCTGGAGGAGATGAGCAGCTACTTCCCCCTCAAGACGATGTGGCGATCTTACTTCTGTGCCCTGGTTGCAACCGCAGTTCTGGCTGCCATGAACCCATTTCGAACTGGCCAACTGGTCATGTTCACGGTCAAGTACGACCGCAGCTGGCACTTCTTCGAGCTCCCCTTCTATGTCATTATCGGCATTTTCGGCGGTCTGTACGGCGCTTTCGTCATGAAATGGAATCTGCGCGCCCAAGCATTCAGGAAACGATACCTCACCAAATATGCCATCTTGGAGGCGACGCTTCTGGCTTTGGGAACGGCAGTCGTTTGCTATCCCAACATGTTCCTCCAAATCGACATGACTAAGAGCATGGAGATTCTCTTCCTGGAGTGCGAGGGCGGACATGACTACGACGAGCTGTGTGATGTGCAGAATCGTTGGCGAATGGTATTTACCCTTCTCGTTGCAACGGTTCTGCGCACTTTCCTGGTCATCATCTCGTATGGTTGCAAGGTGCCAGCTGGTATCTTCGTTCCATCCATGGCAATTGGCGCCTCGTTCGGACGTATGGTTGGCATCCTCGTGCAGGCGCTGCATGAGAGCTTCCCCAACGCAGCATTTTTTTCTGCGTGTGTACCAGACGAGCCCTGCATAACGCCTGGAACGTACGCGTTTCTTGGAGCTGGAGCTGCACTTTCAGGAATCATGCATCTTACCATTTCTGTGGTCGTCATTATGTTCGAGCTCACAGGCGCATTGACCTACATTCTGCCTACCATGATCGTAGTGGGTGTCACGAAAGGCATTTCTGAACTGTGTGGAAAGGGTGGCATAGCGGATCGCATGATCTGGTTTAACGGCTTCCCGTTCCTGGACAATAAAGAAGAACACATCTTCAACGTTCCCGTCTCGCAGACCATGACAGCAGATCCTACCGCCCTTCCAGCTACTGGCCTTACCATCGCGCAAGTCGAACGTATACTGGCTGAGACGCGATATCAAGGGTTCCCTATCGTCGAGGACGCTGAGACCCGGGTACTGATTGGCTACATCGGTCGCACCGAACTCCGCTACGCCCTCGACCGTGCCAAGCGCGAGCAGCTCGCTTCCAACAACGCACGCTGCTTCTTCACACCCCTAGACGGAGCCCGCACAGCCACCACGCCTTCCGCCGCTCTTCCTGCTGTAAGCTTCGATGACATTGGTGCCACAGCAGGCTCCATGACCGTCGATTTCTCGAAATTCGTCGACCCGACCCCCCTCTCAGTACATCCTCGCCTGCCTTTAGAAACCGTCATGGAGCTCTTCAAAAAGCTCGGCCCTCGACATATTCTCGTCGAGCACCGCGGTCGACTCATGGGTCTGGTCACGGTCAAGGATTGCCTGAAATACCAATTCCAGGCCGAGGCGCATGAGAATCCCAGAGATGATTCAGGCGTGCAGGCCGGGCAGGAGAGACTGTGGGCGTATCTCAAGGCAGCTGGGAGCTGGACCGCAAGGAAGATCGGACGGGTCAGTGGTGGGAGACTTCGGTTGGGAGACAGTTACTCGCAATTGGGAACAACATCTCCCTACAGTGCGGAAGTCGATCCTAGGGCTACCGGATTGGATGAAGAGGGCAGAGGGCCTGCGGCTGGCGGAGTGGAATTGGAGGATCGGAGGGAGGCTGTGGGATGATTTGTATGTTTTTGTATAGCGGTAGTACGGACAATAAGCTTTCTGTGATGATGATGGGAATTCCATTTCGATGTCTCCCGGTGTACTGCGATTACGTTCTCCTGCCATTGTTGCTCCTCGCTCGCTGGACGATATCTATCTACTCGGCCATACCCGCCGCTAACGGATGTCCGCATATTGCCAAGAACGGCTGGTGAGGCTCCTTCTCCGCCGGTTCACCCCATCACATGAAAATCCCACCTCGATGTGATTGACTCGTCTAGAGGCGCCGCTAATAAGGGATGTTCGTCTTCAGCCGGGATTCCTGCTCACCGACCGGCTGCTGAGACGATCTTCGCAGGGAAACTTCCAGTTGATGCATCAGCGGGGACTTTTGTTTGTGAGATAGATATGGATTTTTGCCATGGCTTTATACACGCTACACGATTTGGATGGGAGTACCTCGTGTTACTTGCCCTACCGTCTGAAAGTGAACTACTGTCGTTGCTGAAGAAGCCACATTGTCTTGGAGAGGCTCAATATCGCCTTTTGCATCTCATAAACGTCTGGGAGAAACTCGTCGCCATGGTGCTTGGTCACGAAAGCCGCGCCTGGCAGCTCGCTCTGGTCGCTTCCTATTGCTCCACCGTGGAGATATCCCCCTTCTCAGTGCTCTTCCTCGCTCGGTTCGCTCTCCTTCTGCTCCTCGTGCCCCTCACCTTCATCATGGTTGAAATCCGACATTCTCGCCAGCCCATCATCCTCATGCGATCCATCCCAGAGGAACTCCCCACCAAGACGCTCCACCGCGTCCGTCTGCTTCTGCTCCGGACTCTTCGCCGTACATTCCAAACCGGTAATGCAGATAGATCCATGCCCTCGAAGATCTCCTCCACCGGCCGCCGAATGGCTCTCGTGAGATGGGAACCATATGAGGCCGGGAGGTCATTCTACCAGCCGCGATAGCTACACCATCCCTTTTTGACATGCTCTTGCATGACCTGAATTTCCTTGTACCGACGAACATCTTGGACCAGACTCATGAGAAAGGGAGTCTCGGAGCGGCTGCAACTTTGTTGTCGAGATTCCCGTCTTCGAGAAGACTCCACATGCACGTCGCAGTACTCACAAACGAAGTCTCGCCAGCCGCGTATGGCCGCAAACTAACCCGATCTCAGAGATTCGAAATCTCACTAACAATCTTTCCCATCAGCAGTGCATCAGTCGTTCCGCCCTTCGCTAAGGATCCTTCTTTCGCCGGTAAACACAGCAGCGCGTTGGCACCCTTGAAACTCCCGATCCTCGAGCTGCGCTGGAAGCCAGTACTTGTGGCATGCAACAGACCGTCACTCCGAGTCGTGACAATCACACGGTGGTATTCGTTGCGGTTTGGATCCATCTTGACGTCGTGGTCAAGCACGACTTTGATCTTCGGAAGGCCAGCTGGACTGATGCCTGACATTTTGTGCAGAGAGGGTAACACAAAGAGGTGGTATGTCACAACGGCCGATGCGGGATTTCCGGGGAGTGAGAATATGACCTTTCTCACCGACTCGCCTGAGTTGGATTTGAAAGGAACTGTAGCGAAAGTGGTGGGCTTTCCCGGCTTCATCGATACTCGTCCGAAATGAATGGTGCCTCCAAGAGAGCGTTCGATTGTAGGCTTGAGGAGATCAAGCTCACCCATGGACACGCCGCCGGAAGTTATGATCACGTCTACTTGGCGCATGGCCGATCGGAGTGTTTCTTCAAGAGCACCTGGTCTGTAGGACAGTTAGCGTCGTTTCACCAGCCTTCGATCGGGTCGCATACTTGTCGGAGGCAATGCCGAGATCTATCGCTTCGAAGCCAGATGCCCGCACCGCAGTCAGGAGCGTAGGTCTGTTTGTATCCCGGACTTCTCCAAGTCTGAGCTCGCCCGGCCGGTCGTGGTTTATAATTTCGTCACCCGTACTTAGTACGCCTACGACGGGCTTGCGGTAAACCGTGACCTCTTGAGTGCCGACAGATGCCAGCAGTCCGAATTCGCCACCTGCAGCCGTTATACCTTCGCCTTTCCTCATGATCACGTCGCCAGCTTTGACATCGCTGCCCACCTCGCGAACATTTTCGCCTGGCTCGATGTCATCGGTCAGTATCTCAACCTCTTTCTCCTCTTTACCATCGTCGGTCATGGAACGAAGAACGGTATCCTCTACCATGACGACAGCAGTAGCACCAGGTGGAAGAGGAGCACCGGTTGTGATGCGAGCAACTTCGCCACTGCGTAGCTCAGGTATGCTATCATCTGGCCCGGCTTGTGCATGCGAAATGCTTATCACGGGGAAGACGCCCTTGGTGCTCGGGACCAGGACATGTTTCGATGCAAGGATTGCATAGCCATCAACAATACTAGCTCGAAAGGCAGGGACGGATTCATTGGCAGTAACGTCCTCCGCCAAGACAGAGCCAACTAAATTTTCATCGACTTTGGCTTTGGTGAGTTTTGGTTCTGGAGTGTGCTGTGACACCTGCTCCAAAGCATCTTCGACCGATAGCATAGGATATGGTGATTCGCGATATCGTCTTGCGGCACCTGCGTTTGGATCGTTTGCCATTGGTCGATCTTCTGGCTTGGTGTGCGCTTTCGGACCATGATGACCATGACCATGTCCATGGCCATGGCTGTGAGAATGGGAGTGGGAATGATTACCATGCGAGTGTCCGCCAGTTGCAGAGACATTGGCGTCTTTCTCCAGCTTCTTCACACCGCCGACATGCAGCGATCGAGAGTCAGCACCTGCGGCCTGTTGACAAGCATGGGGCAAGAGCTTCAAGATGGCCTCCAGGTTCTCTTTCGCTCCTTTTGGTGATCCAGGTAAAGTTACTATAAGACTTCTATTGCGAACACCTGCGACCGGTCGGGCCATAGCGGCGACTGTGAAGTTTCAATCGGTGGACTGCTCGCGACATTTCTTGGGCAACTTACATGGAGTTACGGCCAAGGAGGCGGAGAGCATTGTATGAACCAGACCTGCCGCATGCTTATGGAGTAGCGGTGAGACAGCCTGAAGGATGAGACGACATCAGCTCTGCGTTCGTAGTTCGATACCGTGTATATCTTGGCTGAGGCACGCTTTGGCCCCAAGACCGACACAGAAGAGGTCCTCACCTCGGGTGTAACGTCTTTCTGCGCGAAACCAGTCCCTCCGCTGGACACTATCAGATTCACATGATCTTCAGCATCTGTCCACTTTGTAATTGCGCGCTGAATTTGCAGAACATTATCCGGCACGATGCTCGTCGTCTCGGCGGTCCATTGATCGCCCCCGCTCTCCGCGAAGACTTGTTGCAAGACCGGGATGCATTTGTCGGTCGATGGGTCTTTCGAAGCGGTCTCAGAGACGACGAGAATGGCAGCTCTCAGTTTTGTTGATGGTGATGACATGTTCGCGATGGAGATGGAATGGGAACGAGGTGTCGTTGTCAGATGAAAAGCCGGACTTCGGTCGGCCCGAGTACGCACGGGTACGCGGGCCATGATATCAAACTTCACCTGGCGAAGACAGAACAAACTCGACAGGTCTTCCCTGTCGTGCATCGACTACATTCGACTCAGCATCCATGGATCAGCTTGTCATACCGTGTCTCCTCAGCTGCTGGTATTCCGGCCTCTAAAACACATGAAGCTTTCCCGCTGATCATTTGGGGGAAACATCTTGCATGATTCTGAACTTCGACCAAAGTCGACTGTAGTCTGCCGTCGGTCAAGAAACTGGCGTCCATACAGAAGTTTGGGCCGCCAATCAGTAGCATGTGATGAGTCTCGAGCACCTTCAGAGGCCTCTGATCGCATCTTTGCACACCTCACTACTAGGTAGTCTCCTCATTCGAACCCCAAAACAGCTCAGTAAAAGTCCCATCATAAATATACCTCCAACAGATCCTCACACCGCCATCTTTCATGCCCGGCCGCTCAACAATCTTCAGATACTCGATGCACATGTGCTTCCAAGCAGATTCCTCGTGAACACTCAGAAGCACGAGGGGGTCATACCCCGTCTCTCCGGCGTCGAAATCTACTGGATCTTCCATGCATGTGAGCAGAATTTCTCGAAGACAGTACGGTGCCTTCGATACGAGTATAATGGAGAGCTAGAGGAGTGCCAGTATCCGTCGGAGCATAGGTATGTTATAGCGATTTTAGGCATACTATATACAGTGCATCCCAGCGTGGTGTTGACTGCACAGCCATGGACTTGGAGCGCTGCTGTGTTTCCGTTGTGAAAAGCCAGCCACAACAATGAAACCATTGATTGTCGAATCTTCGCACATGTCGCCAAACCTGCAGATTGCCAGCAAGTCCTATTGCATCTTCTAGCCTAGGCCTTTTCACGGTACTTCTTCAGCTCTTCAGCTTTGTCATCGTGTCCCCGGACCATGTATGTGGCGACTTCTGTTGAGTGTACTGAGGCTTCGTGTTAGCCTAGGCAGTCTTTTTAAGGGTTGCGTCACTCACGCGATGAATTCGCTCGCCCCTCGTCATTGTTTATGGTTCGCCATCTTGCCCGAAGCTGAATGTTGGAGTTGGAGTCGTTCTAAACAACAGACTGAATGAGAGATTTGGAGATGATGATGTAGGCTGAGTGCGCCAAGCTTCAGTATGGGAAGTTGCCATCATGTGGGAGCCGCGCTTCCCTCGCGAGAACATCAGGCAGACGCGTTGCTTTCTCACGCCGTCACGTGTATGTCGTCCAAATGTTGGTTGACTTGGTTTTGGTCCATCATCTCGCTGCAGATCGGGCACGACACGGCCATTTGGGAGTTCTCGGGCTGATTCAAATCGTCTTCAACGTCAATGTCTATCTTCCTTTTGACACCTCCGGTGTCCTCCTTGGCAGACTTCAGCCAGCCGTCAATCTTTGACCTCTGCCTTCCCGCTCTGGCAAGCCCGCTCAGTTTGGCGACCTGTTCCTTGCTCAGCTCCGGCTCGGCGATCTTCTCGTACTTCCCACCACATTCCTCTTCATGCTGCTTCCACCAGAAATCACTCTTTCCGGGCGCACGGTTCATGCTTCTTTTCACCAATCCAAAAAATGGGGGCCTCTCCTTGCATGGCCCATCGCACTGCCAGATATGCGTCCGGTAGGAATCGACCTCGTCATGGAAGGTATGATACACGGTAATGGTATATCCGCCATGGTCATTAATCGCATCCGCCAATAACAAGAAGCCATTCCCATGGCCAGTACCGTCATCGCCCCGAGAATGACGCCAGGATGTGGTGATGAAGAAGTATGCGTGTATCGCTTCATGGAGCAGCGTATCCAGGATGTCGCTCCGGGGCCTGTATTTGAGCAACGGCTCGGATAGCTTTAACCGAATCTTGGTATACTTGTTTCCGTTCGCTGGATCGCGGACCAGCTCGCAGATCCCGGCACACAGCGTCAAGCGGGAGGACCACGACACCTCCACTCGGGGATTTAGCAGAGACCGGAAGTAGAGTGTGTTGTACAGTGCGAAAAGCTCGGTGACATCGATGAATGGATCATCTGTTACGAGTAGTCCATCGATCTTGCACTTTGCATCTTTTTGCTCGTCGGTGAGATCAGCCAGGGCTGTGATAGCCTGGATGGCGGAGTCTTCGTCCGTGACTGGCATCGTTGGGAGCCATTGAGGATCCTCCTTCCGTCGCTGAAGATGTCTTCCAAGTGTGTATGGAAGCCGGCAAGGTAACTTAAGTTGATGGAAGGCCCATCAAAGCACGAGCCGCTCCGCGATCAAGTGAATGAACTCCACGCCAATGCGCGTCATCAGGCAAGCTCACCTCTTCAAGCTTCACAGAGCTCTCTCGATCACTCACACGACAACCTCATCCGCCGTCGAAATGGTCCTCGAAGAAGCCACTCAGCCCGACGAATCGTTCTCTGATGCTGCGCCTAGCAACGATGAAGACCCATACTCCGGCGACCGGAATCCTACAGTCCTCGCAACCCGCGATCCATCTCACGTTCAAGCAGCACCAGGCGTTTACGTGAACCTCAATACCTTGCCTAAACTCTGGACGCCTTTCGAATGGGCCGGCGTTGAAGCTCCACCTGCACCAACCCTTGCCAAGGGCATTCAAGACACCAGTCGAATGGCAAGCCAAGTGCTCGAACGACCCGTCAGCCAAGAAGAGGCGGACGCGTTATCATTCCACCTCGCGAGATCACTACGCATTGGAAGCTATGGAGCCCCTATCGGCTTTGCTTTAGCGTCTATACAATGCTATCGCACCGCAGGGACGCTGAGGTTCCCAGGCTGGACACCCAACCCAGAGCAATACAGCCCAGATCGGTTCACGAAATTCGTTCGTGGCTATGCGGCAAGAGTCCTGTGGTCTTCGGCAAGATTTACAGCATATAGTATTGTTGGAATTACTCTTGGACAGATTTTCTTTGGAAGTTATGCTCTGTCATCGGGCAGCGCGGGAAGGCTGATGGATTCGAGGTTGAAGTCTCTGCATGAGAAGATTCGAGAAAAGCAAAAAAATGGACAGAATGGTGATTTGATGATGGGCGGAAGACAGATGGATCGAACTACAGGGCCGAGAGATGGAGAGACGAGGGATATGGCGAGACAGAGGGCCAGAATACAGAGGCAGCAGGCGCAGCAAGGAAGCGGAGATGACATGTCTCCTACTGGCGGAAGTTTTGGGAATGAGTATCTGGACACGGGAAAGCAGCAGCAGTTCGATACCGAATTAATGAGCGATGGTCAGACGCAACAGAGGGATCGTTTCTTTGAGCAAGAGGGGCAGAGATGGCAACAGCAGCAGCAACAACAACAACAACAACAACAACAACAACACCAGCATAACGCTGCTCGCACACAGAGCAGGCAACCTGTCGATGATGCTTCCCCTGCAGCTCAAGAGAATTCTCCAAAGCAGACTGGCAGCGCATGGGAGCGACTACGGCAGCAAGCGGCTTCGGGGCAATCTCAACAGCCTTCAAGGTCAAGCGGGGGACAGAAGGCTACAACTTCCCCTTCGTCCTCGTCCGATGGTGACAGTTTCAGTTTCTCGCAGGGCGAGGAAGACAAGGTGCTCGCAAAGTCGGAGGCACAGAAGCAGTTCGATGCTAGGATTGAACGAGAAAGAGAAGGGAAGGACTTCGATGATCAGAGTGGGAGGAGAGGATGGAGGTAGTAGGGAGAATGCAGACTAAATTGCATGCTTCTCGCCCTCCAAATCCGATCCTGGAATTGGTCTATGGCAAATCCAGTACTTGGCGCCATCAGAGATTCGCCTCAACGAGTCTGCATTCATCGACTCGCTTCAATCTACGATGGGATTTGTGTGCGAGGTAAGGCGCATTTTCAAGTGTTTTGAACAGTGAGCCTCTGAAGCTGCAGAATGTTATAGCTGCCGCGTGTGATTGCTATGCCGGGGGATTTGAGGCTGCTGACAAGTCTTCGACGCCAAGTCTCAGCCTGTTGCTCTTCTCACCTGCCGTTTTGGCATTGCTCATTGACCGTTGCGACTTGATGCCACGCCGCGAAACCGCAATGTGTCGGATGGAGGTACAGCAGCTTGCGGTTAATAATGTGCCGACCCAGTGATCTCGAGATGAGTAACGTTCACGCTATCCACCAGAGCATTTTCCGGTCGTCTTGGCTATAGATGTGATGGTGTAGTGATAGGTGTTTTAGTAGAGCTCTGTGAACGTTCTCATACATCCAAAGCACAGACCACTTCTCTCGGCTCTTCTCCGGCAAAGAAACGGCGACCAGACTGCAAGCTGCGCGGCCATTCTTTGCTCTTGCCAACCACGAATTTGTACCATCGAGTTACGGCATGAACAAGGCCTGAAAGATGGAAAACTCGGAGGAAGACGACGATCTTCAGCTGGTAAAGGCATCGGCGACGCTTCTTGCCGAGCTGGAGCGAGACTTGCCGAGGACGCTATGGAAGCCAACGAAACCAGGACAAGCCAAACGCGTCCACAGTCAGATTCGGCTACGCGATCTCGACCATATCATCAGTCTTGTATGATCCCGTCAGACCAGTCAAGTCAATACATCACGGGACTCCGCTCATGGCTCGCGCAGATCGAGCCTTTTCAAGGCGAACCCCAGTTGCTGGATGCCAAGCTGAAGATATTGCTCCCGCCCATCATCGACGCCTATCTCGCAAGTCTCGGCCAACAACATAGACAGATATCCTCCAAAAACACGGACATCGAGACTGGCGTATGCTGCATCTTGTACAACCTTTGCAAAGTACGAGGCGCCAAAGTGATTGTGGGTTTCCTGAACAACGAGCCTCGATATCTGGAGCCTATCCTCGCAACGCTTGAGCGCACCATCTTGGCAGCAGAGACATCGCAGCCAAACTGGCGAGTCCCATATCTTCTTCTCCTATGGCTGTCTCACTTGCTGTTGACGCCCTTTGACCTGTCCTCTATCTCCAACCGGGCGGTGCCTTTCGACTCACAACATGCCCACGCTCCAATCTTGCAGAGCTTGCCACCTCTCACGGCCAGGGTACTCAGGGTCGGGCTTCACTATCTACCGAGCCCTACCAAGGCTCAGGACGCGGCAGCAGCCATGTTGGTTCGGCTTGTCATCAGACCCGATGTTCAGAAGCTGAATTTGGCCAATACCTTGGTCAAGCAGACACTGCCGGTGTTAGCAAGCAATTCGGATTTGCAAACGACCTACGATGTGCTCGGCTCCTTGCGCTTCGTGGCCGGGGTCGCATCGTCTGCTGAGCTCTGTCATCTTGTGCCGGAAATTTACACCTCTTGTCGGAAAGCCTTTGATGAAGACGACAGCTCTTCGCTGTCCTCGAACGCTGTAACCAAGAAGATCGTAGTCAAGGTGTTCCGCAATGTTGCAATACTCTCGCTACGTTCTGCTGCGACCGAGGGCCCGCTTCTGTCCTTTCTTCAGACTACCGATGTGCTGGAAAGCGTCATCGACTATCTGCTACGATCGCTTGCAGATAAAGATACCCCAGTTCGTTATGCCGCAGCTAAAGCAATAAGCTCGATTGTTCTGGAGCTGGAATCTGAAATGAGCCATCAAGTCATCCAAGCCATCCTCGACACGTTCAAAGAGGACATACCGCGGTTCGCCACGACAGTGGACCTCGCGACAGCCAATCCCCTGAAATGGCATGGATTGACTTTGGCTCTGGCGCATTGTCTCTTCAAGCGGTCAGCATCAGTATATCAGTTGCCAGACATACTCGATGCGCTCATCTCCGCTCTCCAATTTCAGCAACGTACAGCTACTGGCTCTACCCTCGGTACGAATGTTCGCGACGCCGCCAACTTCGGCATCTGGTCCCTTGCCCGACGTTATACGACTGCTGAGCTCTTACCAGTCAAGGCTAACGATCTACATGCCAGCGTGCGGATCAGCGCAAACGTCTCCATTATCCAGCATCTGGCCACGCAACTCATCCTCACCGCGTGTCTTGATCCTGCTGGCAACATCCGTCGTGGCGCTTCTGCAGCATTACAAGAACTTGTTGGACGTCATCCGGACCAAGTCCACGCCGGTATTGCACTGGTGCAAATTGTTGACTATCAAGCCGTCAGCCTGCGCAGCAGAGCCATGATCGAGGTCGCGAACGACGCGGCGACCCTCGGTTCCGTGTACTCGCAAGCTATTCTAGATGGCTTATTTGAGTGGCGTGGCCTTGGCGCTGCAGATGTGCTTTCACGTGAAAGCGCAGCTACCTCTGTATCAAGACTTTCGGCTTCTCAAAGTCATCTCAGCGGAGAAGCTGTCCTCGAAAAATTGTCCGCGGCCGTGCAAGCATGTCCAATGCACGAAGTCGAGGCTTTTCATGGGCTCAGTCTCACTGCGGCATATCTTCTCCGCGATACTAGACCGTCATCTCTGTCTTCAGCAAAAGTACTGCCATTTCTAGAGATGTTTAAGACGGTGCAAGCATCTTTGAAAGATTTCTCCCCGAGGATTCTTCGGGCAGAATTACCCGCATCGCTGGCTACTTTCCTTGCCGAGCTTTGCCGCATCTCTGCCAAAGCAGTCCAGAGCAACGCTCTAGGTGACGATTCCGCCCAAGATCTTCCACTGGCGGATTTTGATGCAATTACTGAGAGGCTCCTCTGGCGCAAGGAAGAGTCTATCACGAAGGAAATTCCAAATCTTGCAAGATCGTTGCTCAATGTAAAACGGCAAACGGCCTCTTCGCTAGGTTGCATTGGAACTCAGAATCTATCAAATAAAGTAGCCGCCGATGGTTCAAAGAGCACATTGCATGGTGTTGGAAGGGCCATCGCTCTCGGAGCTTTGATCTCTTCTTACGAGGAACAAGACCTGAGCAGCGAAGAGGTAAAGGGGCCTATCTCAAGCTTGACGGGTCTCATGAATGCAATGAATGTCGATTGGCGTATCGTAGGTGCAAAAGCTCTGCAGCTTGTTGTTGAGGGCTCGAGCGCATCGGATACTGTCGATGCTGAAAGTGCGGGAGCCATCTGTGAAGCAATCCATTGCGGATTGAACGATTACACTATCGATGAACGCGGCGACGTCGGCTCTCTGGTCCGGTTGAAATCCATCACATGTGCCTGGAAGATCTTCGAGGCACAATGCTTTCAGCATCATGACGCAAAATTGTCTGAATTGAAGGCCGACATCTATCGGCTGTCATTGGAGAAGTTGGATCGTGTACGTCTTCTTGCTGCGCTGTGCCGGCGAGAATGTCTTGGCCTTGACCACTCGGTTACGGACACCGCTGGCATATCGTCATCGGGATATTTCAGAGCTGCCCTACTTCCCTTGACGACAAATCCTGAGTCTTGGATCCAAAAGAGCTTGCTAGAGGGCTGCATCTCTTGCGCTGGTGTAGCCGGCGAAACCGTGCTGCAAGTGTCTCGACAGATTCTGACCAATTACCTCAGTCTTGCTTCTCTGGAACACCTTCATGATCAAATGACAATTTACACGGCCATTCTCAATGAGCAACTCACTGCAACACCGAACACGCAGCCGGCGCTCGAGCTCTTAGCTTTCCTCCTCGACATGCACATCCTCCAGCGGCTTTCCGGTTCCAACTTCAAATTCCGCAACCTCCTCTCGGCCGTACAGAAGGCACACCATAAGTCCAATGACATCCCCAAGATTCTCGCGGCTGTGCATGTCTACATCGGTCTGGCGGATGTGCCGAGTATCCGGGTCGAAGTCTTGAAGAAGCTGTTTGCTATGCTCAAGACCAACCCTTATCCTCGAGTGAGGATTGCAGTTGCTGAGGCGCTCTGGGCTGTCACCAGGGAGGAGCAGTTGAAAGCATGTGATTGGACGAAACCCGCTTCGCAGAATGTTACCGTCCTGGATCGTTTGAAAGCAGCGTTTTTCTTGACTTGAGATCCACACAAGTCTTCGCGGCAATCATGGAAAATTTCTGTCTCTAAGCGCTCTGGAAAGTCCCCAGCGTAGTACGATGCAGTCTCGAATCGGAAAGATATCACGACAAAAGAACCTCACGATCGACATGCCAATAGAAACCATGTCACGTCAACCGCCTACCCAACGACCGATGATTGGAATTTCGCAATGTTTGCGACCTTCTCAATTCTCGACTTCTTCGTTCTGCGTTCATACGGTCTCCAATAGAGCTGCCTTCAGAGACTTCCACTCCTTCTCCGCCGCAAACCATACGGTGAGAGAGACGAGAGTCGAAATTTACAGATAAGCTCATCATGAACCATCATGAGCCTTCTCCGGCTGAACGAACGCCGCAATTCCGTAGCACGCCAAAACGTCGTATTCTCGTTCTCTACCGCGGTGTATCGAAGGCAATGGTAAAAAAAGGCATCATAGTTGGCACTGGTCTCGAATGCGACGGGTATCGATACCTGGCCCCTTGAAGTTCTGGCGAGGTTTCACCGTATTCAGTACCAAGTGATCTGCGGCGTTCGTCGTCAGCATGTGAAACTTCTAGCGCCTTGGCTGGCTAGTATCGCACTTTAGCGATTTCTAGCTAGCTTTCGCCCGTAGCGGGAAGTGGAGGACGAGCAGTGCTAATGGCGAAGAGAGAGGCTTACAGAATCATGGTGATTAATGGCTTAGGAGTACTCACAAGCGGGACGAGTTCTTCGTTCTGCAGTATCCTGATTCCCGAGTCGTGCTTGTGCTCATGGCTGCTCGCTATATGCTGACAGCGATAGTGTCAGAGCAACGCCAGGGGGCAAGTGCTCGAATATCAAGATTGCTTGCAGAAATCAAGGAGTTGCGGGAATCTCGAGTGTTGGGAAGACTGGCATCGATAGCCTTCGCATGGTCGGATTCATTGTCGATGGGAAATAGCCGCCATCGCAGTAATAGGGAGGAAGCGAGGCTTTGGCATCAGTAGACCTGAAATGCTCGCAGGCGCTGCACCAAGTATTCGATCGTCAGATGGAGCACAAAACATCCAAGCCCTTGGACTCACGTAATCGTATCCTCCAGTTCAGACTTCATCCTTCCAAAATCTCTCCAAGCCTCACCATGAGAGGCAAATTACTTCTCGGCATTGCATCTTTGATCCACAACCCTGCGACCCATAGCGCAATGGTCCATCCGAATATCCTCTTCGCCCAGCTAGGCCCATCAGCCTTCGGCAGGAGATTCTCAACCACAACCGCGATTCCGTGACCCATGAACATCGCCCAGGCGAGAGTTCCAGTCCTCCAAGGCGTTGTCGACAAAGCCGCAGCCGCCCAGCCATGCCATATCCCGCTAACGCAGAAAGCGCCCAGCACCCCGCCTGCCTTGCTGACATCCTTTCCGAAATAATCCGATGCCACAGCCCTGACAGGTTTGTATCCCAGGGTATACAAGAAAGACGCTGCAGAAGAATGCCAATGCACCCTCCAGAACTCTCCAAAGGACCTTGCGGACAGAGGTTGCCAGAACAGCGGGTGTTCGCATCCAGGATGCATGATCGTGTGTGTAAGCTCCAAGCTCATTTGGATGACCAGCAAGCCTAAGAAGACGTACAACCCTACACATCTCGGGAAGAAGTATATGGCCACGGGAACGACAGCGAGAGGCCCGTAAGTCCAGAGTTTGTCTCTTGGTGCTTTGCGTCCGGGTTCGTGGATGGCGATGTCGAAGGAGTGATATCGCGTTTCAGAAGCCAAGAGCCAGATATATTCTGTCCTTCGTTTAAGGCCTTCTACCTTGATGGGTACGCCGTTTTCCAGTCGCATAGGGGGATCTGCAGCTCTGGCAACAGCCATGTCTAAGACTTTGGCAGCGTTGAAGAAAGCCAGCACTCGGATAGCCACATGGCGAAGCGGGTCGTCGCTAGGACAGATGCAAGCGACGGCCAGCAGGTGGGTGCCTGCCAGAATGCCAAGAGCCCGGGTGCGGAAGAGAGTGCTCGAGGAGACCACGGCTTTTCGTTTGTCTTCCTTGGTAGTCGAGCTGTTGACGGATATCCATTTTTCGGTGGCGGCAGATGACAGGGAGAGGAAGGCAAGTGCCGACACAACAATACTCGTTAGGACATGGAACGGGAAATATCTTTCCGTGGTCGCTGGCAGGAGTGCGAGAATGATAGACACACGAAATAGAGCATGGAGCACGGCGCGAGTGGACACTGAATCCATCAGATATGGCAGAACGATGGAATGTGAGTGGTAAGACGAAGACTATTATTAGTTTAAAAGCGAACAGGGCATCGACTATAAGTTACCAGTACTGATGATGTAATCGAGGGTCTGACCAGGCTCGTAGGATGTCTTCGGAAGCAAGGATATGAGGGCTTCCGAACTTTTATCAGACTTTCTTGCGCAGCAAAAGAAAGATTTCTGATGGCAGTAGCTCTCATTGTCCTCGCTGTTGCTGAGGCCATTGCTGATGCATACGAGATTTACGAATCTCGAAGGATGCATCAAACCTCCGGATAGTTGTCGGTGCGAAACTCGAGGTCCTAGGCCCATCATCCCACTGGTGCTGATGCCATTGAGATGCTAGTAGGACGAGTAGCATTGTTACGCCTTGATCCTGGTCTCGGTGACTGTCTGCGTTGGGCGTGTGGTTGGCGCGCAGTTGGTTGTGCAGCCCTTGTATTTCGTTATAGTCAGCACCTCCTTGCCTTTCCATTGAGCGCTTGATGGTATGGCGGCTCAGTGACCGTAGCCGTAGCTGTAGCTTTGTCGTATGTCAGGAGTGTGCATACATCCTTCCAAGGAGTGCAAGTCGGCGAAGGGAGAGTAGTCGCCCACTGGTAGCAGTGAACGGCAGTGGAATGACGGGGCTGGTAAGCGGCACTGTCTCTTGTCAGTGCTCAACTTTGAAATGAGGTAGGGTAAGGCTGATGGGTAGATCTTCTGACAAGCGGCAATGCTTCCCAGCATAACGAGAACTCCTGCTCTTAGCATTCTGGTAACCGCGAGGTAGTTCTGCAATGCGTTGCGCCTCGAGTAGCACGGTCTCTGTTATCAGTTGACAATGAGTGGTCAGTCGAAGCAGCAAGTCGCATGTAGATTGCGTTGCAGAAAAAGGAAGAAAGTAAACAGTGTTCATATATGCATTTGAGGTAGCCCGTGCCTCTGCCTTCCCGTTCTTGCATTTCGAAAGGCTCTGTAATTCTCTCGACTCGAGACGTCGGTGCTAACTGCTCGACCAGATGTAACTGAATCTCTGACGCGGGTAGGACCCAGATCTGCAGATGGTGTATAGTACATTGGAGATGCAGTGTTTCGTGTGGCATCAAGCATACGTTGCGAGTGAGTCCATAGGTTCTGGCGGCAAATACCTCCGGACTAGGCCCTTCTGGAAACTCATGCATCCAGTCAAGACGGGATTGCGAGGGTTGTCGCATGGTGAATATATGTTGGGAGCTCGAACGCAATATCGGCCGGTACCATTCGATAGCTTCTCCAGTCCGCGTTCCGCAGCATTGCGGCAATGGCGGGCATTCCTTGCAGATCACAGTCAAACTCATGCCATGAACACTAATTGTAGGTGTCGCTTGTGCGTCTCTGTGTCTTGTATCATTCGTGGTCTTGCGTGAGGCTAGTTGTTCTTGGGCTTCTTCGTGCCGTACTTCGACCGGCTCGTTACTCGGTTGCCGACACCTCCCTGAGGCAATGTCAGTGAGGATTTCTAGATGGCTGGAGTAGCTGTGGCGGTCGTACCAAGTCCATAGCGCCTCTAACAAGATGGTACTTCACACCGGGGCAATCTTGCGATCTGCCTCCTCTGACCAGTACCACGGAATGCTGCTGCACGTTGTGACCTATCGCCCGTCATCAGCATGGCCTCATATTCTCCATGGATTTCTCGTGTTTACCTTCTCCTGGTATGTATGCCGTGATGACAGTTCCACTGCTCAGTCGGACCCTAGCGACTTTGCGCTCTCCCGAATTGGGCTTTTTGGGCTTCGTCGTTCCCACACGAAGACACACACCCTTCATCTCTGGTCTCTTTGTTCTCGCCAACGCTGGAGATGTAGGTTTCCGTGCACGCTGGCCGACTCTGCAACCTCGCAGGACTTGATTATATGTCGCTTGCCATGGGGTAGTGTTTGAAAAGGCGCGTTTGGTAAGGTGCGATAGAGGGCTCGGTGTGGGCTTGAGGAGTACATTGAAGCAACTCCGTGTCGTTGGAGGTAGTCTCAGTATGGAACCGAAAAGTTTGGAGGCCATTGTGATGTGTGGGTTGCGATGGAGAGTCCTGAGTTGTTCGCCGACTTGTCTTCGGCCGCGGGAGACGACTGAGCTTGGACCACAATGCCAAGATATCACGCCTCGATCTTTCACTTCACCTCTTCCGCTCTCCGCCATGAACAATCATTGTCTCTTATTGCGCTAATCGACACCGAGGTCCTCTAGTCATCGACGTTGCAAAATAATGGGTTACAAAGATTCTTCGCGCTCTTCGCGCTTTCACAAACAATTACGAGCGAAGACTAAGGTAACGGTAACGGGACACGCGGGCAATGGGAGGCACAACACACCCGACAAGCTGAGCCCACTACGAGTCGAGTGTGGATGTTCAATACCCGCAGGAGAACATCATGCGAGACGCGGCGTCTTCGTAGTCCAGGCATCATGTCTTCTACCGCCACTTGGAATCGCCCGTGAAAGCGAGGTTTTTACTTACCGGGTGGACCCGTAAATATGTCTTTTCGCACTGGATACGCGTGGCCATTGCACCATGAAGTCAGTCTTACTGGTTGATGGAGACCATGTCTGAGAAAGGCCTTAACAATGCTTCGTCTGCATGTACGAGTGCAAGTGAATAATAGAGCCAGGGAGACGTCTCCGCTCGTTCATGGGCCGGAAGGGCTTACTACCAGATGTCTTTATGGTAAGCCCAAAATCGGCCACTCGGCTCAAGACCACCACTGTAACAAGGCTCTGTGGCTAGGAGTGGTCACTCGGCGATGGCCGATTGCGCATATGAAGGTAAGTATCAAAATTGGTACGCATCTTCATTCACCAATGGAGACTACCATACGGATCTTGTTGCCGCAGGGAACTCGTTCAAAATTGTCCGGCATGATACAATGCCTCATCCGCATCTTTCCATATTTGAAGCATAATAGCCTCATCTGTCAATAACGGCGAGCATGCCCCATTAAAAGCGACAATCGCTTGCCGGGACTCGTGGTTCTCTCACACTCAAACTCTGGCCCACGACAGAAATGAACACCTTTCCCATCACTTTGCTCAGCTTACTGGCTGATCTCGTCTTCGCAGCAGAGTCACAGAGACCATACGCAACACCGCTGGTACCATTCACCACAACCAATACCAGTCAGACATTGCCATCAGTCACGAGACGGCCTTTCACTACCCCTTTAGTACCACTCCCGCCCTTGACCTCCAATAAACTGCATTCCGGTTCCGCCACCACAAGCAATCCCAAAGTCCCAGCAAACACCAACAGTCCCAAAGCTCCCTTGAATGTTGCATACATCGCCTACGGCTACCAAGACCAATGGGCAGGCAACACGGATACTTCCAAGCCACCAATTGACATTCTCCCTCTAGCCCAACGGAACTCCACCGTCGACGCACTCTTCATAAACCCATGCAGCCTCGAATCGCAAACTCCCTCAGCGCCCAGCTGCCATGGCTGGCCCTTTCCCGTTTCCCAATACTGGACCCAAATCTGGCCCATGTACCAAGAAGTCCAAGCCCAAGGAATCCTCCTCTCTGCCAGTTTTGGAGGTTTTGGATCTGATACTTTCCACCTGCTAGCTCAGGATTGGGAGAAATACTATCCTCCCATCCCAACCTTCCTCAGGCAAAACAAATTCGACGGCATCGATCTGGACATCGAACCTTCATTTGAGAATTCTTACGTCCCACATCTCTCCTTGGCCTTACAACTAGTCAATTCTCTCCGAAACGACATGGGTCCCGAGTTTTTGATCACGCTCTGTCCCATCGACTCGGACATGTACGAATTCCGCAACAGGAAATTCAGCGGGTTCAGTACCTGGGAACTCGATCAATATGCCACTACAAGAGATTCCCACGGAAATGCGATGAAAAGTATCAACTTTTTCACTCCGCAGTTTTACGAAGGGGGAGGGGAGCCTTCGGTGGGGTACTATGAGGAATTGATCGGTAATGGCGGTTGGGATCCGAGGCGGGTGGCCATGTTGGTTCTTACTAGTCACGACTATAGGGGTTATATGAATTTGTCGGAGATAGAGGGGATGGCGAAGGGGTTGAGAGAAAGGTATGGTGATGGGACTTTTGGTGGGGTTGGTGGGTATGAGTATGCTCGAGCTGGGGAGACGGATGGGGTGGAGAGGTGGGAGTGGTACGAGCAGATTGGAGAGGCATTAGGGCTTGCACCGTGATTGATGGAACCGATTCCCTCGGTCCATTTTAATTTCTCTCGTTCATTCGCCAATCGCGTTGAGGGCGAGTTATAGTTATGTAGTCTCTTCATCTACCGAGAATCTCGTCTTTTCTTCGTCTATCTCTATTTCGTAAGTCTCGTGAAGAGCTCGGTGGCTCTGCATTACTGATCGCTTTAGGATGCCTTGCCGTTGACAGCAACGCCGGCATTGCCCTTCTTGTATTCCTCGTATCCCTGCTTGGCAGCGTCGTGGACGGTGATCTCGCCTGCGACAATTTTCTTGACGGTCGCCAAAATGCTGGACCAGTCTTCAAAGACGGTGAATGGGATGCTATCCTTGACACAGTATGTGATGAGGTCTGACGATTGATTAGCAATATATTCTCCCAAACATGGCAGATGAAAGGATTGAGATACCATTTCCCTTCTTGGCGAACAACAGATCCGTCTCCTTGGCAGCAGAAAAGTCGCTCACACCATCACCCGCATAAAACAACGTCGGTCTCTGCTCCTTGGGTAGATTGGCGTATGGTCGGATGGTCATTGACTTGTCGTGGCCGAAACCGCTCTCGTCGTGGAACTTAATCTGCCAGCCGCCCTCCTGGTCGATCGACTTTCCGGGACGAGCGACAGCCTCGTTGGCGACAATATCGATCTTTTCGTGATCTGGTCCAACGAGGTTCTTAAGGATGGCGCGAATGATAGGCTCCATGCCAGAGGAGAGGACAACGGTAGGGATTTGGTTGGCCAGGGCCCACTGGAAGTATTCGTTGAAGTGAGGGTCCGGTTTGATGTTTTCGACCAGGTAGTCGATGCACTCCGGGAAGGGCTTGGTGACGGAGTCCATCATTCCTTGGAAGGATTCACTTGAATCGACAGTCAGCTTTCTGGTGGCCCACGCTAAGAAAGGAAGCACTGAAAGTACCGGAAGGTCGTCTTTCCCTCCAGAGTGTCGATGTTTCCTTGTCGACGTTTGTCATAGCCGAAGCCGATGTTGTCTGTCTGTGTTGTCGGACAATCAAGTCCAGTCTCTTGATTTCTCACATGCGAGCGCTTACCATGTAGTCATTGCTGTCTTTCAGCGTGATGGTGCCGTCGAAGTCGGTGAAGAAGATGAACTTTGGGTTCTTGAAAGGCGTGTTCATCGCCGGGAGATCAGAAGTCGCAGTCATTTTGGTGGATACCGTGAAGCTGAAGTGGTTGGTGGATTCCGAAGTGGTGAAGTGTTTCTTGAATGCGGCTCAAGAAAAAGTTGAGAGGCCTCCGGGTCAAGTGGTGCTTCGGCGAATGACGATGCCCCCCAATTGACCCCGTCTCGAGGCTGTTTCGGGACTCTCCCGCGGAAGAGAGCTTCACATGCAACAGCTCCACCTCAATTAACTGTCCCTGGCGATCCTGCTAGGACAAATACAATGAGCCTGATCGGAAGGCCGACAATCCGCATTGGAGCTGACGCGACGTCACGATGGATCTCAACACCGCCCTTTGCCAGGCAGCATGCCTCCTTCCCGAGAATATGGACTTGTCCCGAGTGTCGAATCCGAATACCTTCAAATCCAATACAACATCGCAACCCGATATGGAAGAAATCATTCACGACAACAGTCTATCGACGCAATGACACGCCACACAAACCCATCAATGAACCAGCACCCGAGCCTCAGAAACCTGCCTCCGATCCCACCGAACTGGCATCATCAACACCCGCATCAACGTCCCAATCTCTCCCCTCCCACACCGCAAACCAAAGATCTGACGCTTCAAAGCGAATGTCGAAAATCCTCGACGACCTGCTGAGTAAAGCTTCAATAGCTTCACAACACATCAATGCCTATACAGGAACAGATTACTCCGGGATTGAAACCCTACGACGCGGGATCACAACTCAAGAACAGAAAGTGAGAGATTATCACCTTGCTGTGGATGAGGCAAAAGCCAATCACCAGGAAGCAGATGCAAAGCAGAAGAGTGCCCAGCGCGAGATAGTGGGGCTACTGGAGAGAAAATCATCGTGGTCACCGGCGGACTTGGAACGGTACATGAGCTTGGTCCGCTCAGAGCACTTGAATGAGCAAGATGTTCAAGCTGCAAAAGACAATATGAAAGACGCGGAGCGAAATCTCGAAGATGCAAGAGCGTTGCTGGAGAAGCTAGAGAGAAAGCAATATCACGAAGAGCAGATCTGGAGTGACACGATTCGAAGGAACAGTACCTGGGTAACATTTGGTCTTATGGGAGTGAATATCGTGCTCCTGCTGGCCCAGATATTGATCTTTGAGCCTTATCGAAGGAAGAAGATCGTCAGAGATGTGAAGAGCGCTCTGGACGAGAAGACTCTATCTCCCGCTCCGGCCACAGCCACGGCTGCGGTTGAGGAGCAGATCGATGCGGTAGCGCAGCCCCAGGTTATTCCGGTGGAGAGAATAGAAGCGGAGAGCAAACAACCGCTGAATGTCATCGCACCGACAGAGGAGACTGTGGGCAAGGCTCCGTTGCCAGCTGGAGAGGTGTTACCGCCAGAAGCTGCAGAATTCGCTGACGCTACTCCGGCGAAGAAAGAGGGTTCCGAACCTTCTCTAGCGACTCCGAAAGGTCCCGCAAACACGTGGGAGGCATATCAAGAGGCCTTCCGAGATCTCTTCAGCGAACGCATGGTTCAGCTAAGGAAGGTCGATGTGACCAACACGGCCCTCCAGGGAGCAGCAACTGGCGTGGCCGTGATGGGCCTTTTGTTCGTCCTGGTGCGGCCGAAGTAAGCTACGTGTAGATATGTCGAGAACTGGCCATCAGTGGTCATTGAAATTCGCCGAACTCTCCATCGTCAAATCCCAGCTCAGCTGGCGATTTCTCTTCCGTACCAGACGACGGGGCCTGCAGAGCCTTCGCAGCAGTCGGTGGAGGCGCAATAGAAAACAATGCTGTCGCATCGTCCGCGTTACCACTCGCAGCAACGGAAGGGGCCGGCGGTCTTCGTCCCTTCGAACCCACTTGAACATTGATAGTCTGCCCTTCCTTCAGACTAAAGTCTTTCTTCTCCTCCTGTTCCACCTTCTTGGTACTACTCCTGCTCGCAGACTGCTTGTCCATTCCCAACACCTTCCTGACCTCCCCTAACGCAATCCCAAAATCAAATGCCGGGCTGCGGTCCTCAAATCCTAAGCCAAGCGTAGCCTTCATACCGCCTTCTCCTTGCACTCGTACCGCGAAAAATCTCGAACTATCATTCGCTTGCTGCACAACTGCTGGGCTGGTATAAGGCGCTGCAGCGAATAACTGTCCCGACGTGGGATCTTCGAGAACGATGTCGGCTTTTATTTGCAATGTCGGTTCGGATATGGAAGTTTCTATAATTCGTAATCTGGCTGTGAAGATCTTCTGTGCGGTGGGTTGGGTTGGAGAGGTCCATTGGGAGGCATTGAAGCCTGATGTGCTGCTTGTCAGGGGTGGGATGCCATATACATGGACGGTTGGGGTGAGGAAGAGGATCCTCTGGATTGCGGAGTCGGGGAGAGGCTGGCCAGTGGTTGGATCGAGGGTCGTCATTTTCAGATTGTCTTCAGAATGTGATACTGGGTCAAGCTGCGAGTGGGGTTTCTGGATGTACGAAAGGGAGCTTTCTGGCGGAGATCTCGAATCGGACTTTGGCTTGCGGCTCCTCCCGCTGGATCCCTGCATCCGATAAAGATAAGGGTCCGTAGGGCTGGGCTGCGTCAATAAATTTCCCCTCCAAAGCATCCCACGACAATCTGCTTCGCATATACACCCTACACCCAATAGCTTCTCCGCTACCTTCGAGAAGATGTCTCCGGCTGCAATCGATCCACCGGACGCCACAGTGTTGGCGCTACGAAAGGATCTCTGTTCCGAACAAGTCCCCCTGGCGAAACGATTCCGTGCACTCTTCTCCCTCAAACATCTCGCCGCACAAAAGCCGGCTACACCACAGACTGTTCCAGCAATCGAAGCGATAGCAGCGGCATTAACATCACCTTCCGCATTGTTGAAACATGAGCTGGCGTATTGCTTAGGACAAAGTGGGAAGGAAGAGGCAATCCCTTTTCTGCGAGATGTGATTGAGGATAGGCAAGAAGATGCTATGTGCCGGCATGAAGCTGCGGAAGCTATTGGAGCGCTGGGACATCAGGGCAGCTTAGAGCTTTTGAAGCAGAGGAGAGATGATAAAGGCGAAGAGGAAGTTGTGAGGGAGACGTGTGATATTGCGATTGAGAGGATTGAATGGGAGCATTCTCCAGCAGGGAAAGCGGAGAAGTTGAAACAAAGGTACGGCTATCTCCAAAATTCCGCAAATACTTGTACCACAGGGAGTGAGACTGGTTAAAACCCACAATACCCTCGGACAAGATGCTGCTCAAGCCTAGAATTTTGGCATCCTAATTCAATCGCGTAGTGACTTCGCATCGATCGACCCAGCGCCTCCAATGCCTGAAGAGAGCGAGAAGGCTTCGATTGTAGACCTGGAAAGGACTCTATTGGATACTTCCCTCCCATTGTTCAAGCGCTATCGAGCTATGTTTGCGCTGCGCGACCTTGCATCTCCTCCGGACCTCCCGACCGCAGTACCTGCAATCCATGCTCTCGCAGCGGGCTTCGACGATCCTTCAGCACTCTTCCGCCACGAGATCGCCTTCGTCTTCGGCCAACTATCACATCCAGCGTCGATACCGAGTCTGACAGAGTGCCTCAGTAATACCAAAGAAGCTAGCATGGTCCGTCACGAAGCCGCAGAAGCGCTCGGTAGCTTGGGAGAGGAGGAAGGCGTAGAGGATACTTTGAAGAAGTTCATCAATGACCCAGAGCAGGTAGTCCGGGATAGCATCATCGTGGCGCTCGACATGGCAAAATATGAGCGCAATGGTGAGATGGAATATGCGACACTACCAGTTGCTGAGGCTTCAGCATAGAGTCGGGCCGGGAAAGCGGATCTCGTGGTAGTTTGAAGCTTGGTATATACCCCAGAAATAGTCTCGGAAGAAGACCAAGTACCAGGCTCAATTATTAGTGTTCCATTTGTGGTTGCACTTTGGACAAGTGTAGAAGACTGTGCTGCCTTCATCTGCGGAACGGAGCTGAAGCGTGTAGAAGGTGACGGTATCGTTGCCGCATTTCTCGCAAGTCTGCTGAATCTCGGCGTCGGTCTGGATGTCGCCTTCCGCAATTTCCTGGACGTCTGATCTGAGGCGAGTACGCAGAGTTGAAGGGAATGCTGAAGGCTTCGAAGTGGTCACAATAGTTCTGTTCGATGCATCTGCCCCAGAGTCAGTCCATACCGCATTTCCACATAACAGCCGGAAGCAAACACTTTACCTTTGTTCTGCGTGCCACAGACATCGCATTCGATGTAAGCCTTGCGGCCGGTGTTCGGCTCAAGCAAGGTGCCGCAATCGGTGCAGAAGACCAGCGATCCAATAGCAGCCATCGTTAAGGGCACGTACTTGCTCTATCACAAGCGTGCACGTGAAATGGCGCTTGCTGGTGAGCTGGTGCGGATGTCGAAGTAATCTCGAAGAATTTCAAGAGGCAGGGACGAAGCGGGAAACTTTCGGGGACGCTGGGATCGACGCCGGGATGGGGACCGCGGATCGTTCCGCTTGAACTTTCAGCCGTCAACGGTCACACTACAGCTGTCTTGAGAAGCCTTCTCCATCTCTCGAAACATTTCTCCATCGGATCGTATTGCATGGAGGAGGAGGCCTGATCGAGAGGCGTATACACCGCGATCTGCCTGTCAGACCTCTGGTGGATGCGCGACGCGAATCCTTGTCACCCGCGCATACCTGAAGCTTCCCGCATGCGGCCATCCGACATTACAGACCAAGACTGTTCGTAGCAGCAGTCAACACGCCATGGACCTCTCCAGCCACTAAGAGAGGGAAGAGAAGCAACGTAGAACGCGAAGATGGACGGTGTTCGTGCTCCAAACCAGATGGCGTCCATGGGCCATGGAGGCCCGCAGACGCAAAGCCGACCCCATGGTCACGACCTGCGCATCCCGACTGTCGATGAGGCGCTCCCATACACTCCCTTCTCGTCCATCGTCCCCTTCAATCCAAGTAAGTGGTTCACCTCTCAGAACGCTACAACGGGCTATGACCTCACCACGTGAGGCTTGCTGCCTTCTCGTGACACCTTGACTAACTAACATGTCTTCTAAAGACATTATCACACCACCACTAGCACTACCAAACACAACGCCAACAGCATTCGAAAAGTCTGAAGAGATCCATGCCGCACGTCGCGAACTCGAACGACTCAGTGCTGGAGCGCAAAACGCCGAAGCAGCGTCCAAACGATGCCAGCAAACCCTTAGCGACGTCCGACGGCTCCTTGAAGGCGATGGCTTGATGCAGTTCAAGTTCAAAAAGACCAAACGCACACTCTCAAACAACGCGAGCGCTGTTGCGAAAGAGCCGGCGTTGAGCAACTTCGCGAAGATGGTTTACGACACGACGAGTGTGCAATACCGATACCTCACTCCTGAGTCGCAGGAAGGACACGATGACGAAGACACGATACAAGTCTCGCCGAGGAAGGTTAAAATCGCACAACCTCAACAAGCTCCACCTGTCAAGGCTGCTGCGAAGACGCAAACTCCCGCGAAAGCCCAGCGTGCAGAATCGCAAATGTCTGAACCCCATCGAACTGCCTATGTGCAAATACCAAGAATGGTTTCGACACCGCAGAACGGTCAGCAAAGTACACCTCTCCAGAACCTCTCGCAGCAGCAGGCACAGCCAAATTCGTCCCAAGGCTCGCAGAAGCTCTACGTGCAGCCGATCGCGTTGACGCCTGCTCAAGCCGCGGAGTACAAGAGGGTGCCAGAGCCTGACTCCGCGCCTTCTCGAAATCAGAATGTCTATCTCACCAATCGAGCGATCAGCCCGACTCAGCGGGCGAAGAGCGATTCCGCTGTTGAGAATCTTCAGACTGTCCTCCAGGAAATCTTCACCGCCGAGGATCAAATGGAACCTGATACTTCAGGGAATGTCTCAAAACATGCCGCTAAGTTCTTCAAGACCAGTGACGCTGGCGACACCTTCATTCCTGTTCTTCGATTCAATGTCCAAGCTGAGCTTGACGTCGCACTCAAGAAGGTCGTCTCCCCAGGTCGTCTTGGTGACGTCGAGGTCGAGAGCTTGGCCAGATTGCAGAGACTCTGCGAAGCTTCCTACGCAGCTGCTCGAGTCGATGGTCTGCAGATCGGAGACGACTGGTCTGAAGGAGATGTTGGCGAGTGGACAACACGTATCAAAGACGCTCAAGCTGGCCTCATTGGGGCGTGCAGCATGATACGCATCTTGACGGGAGCTGCTCATCACAAAGAACTACAGTCTGAGGACTACGTGACCGGAGTTATTGATGCCATTCGAAATGTTGTGGAGAGGGGCATTATCACTGTCGTGGAAGAGCGATCGACCGTCGGCGAGAAGATCAGAGGCGAGAAATCTGTCCCGCGAAACCCAAAATTTGACATTGCGTCCGAGAACCAAGAGACTCTTCGGCCTCTTCTGAACACCTCTCGCATGGCGCTGTCTCTGCTCGGTAATCTCTTATTGAACACAGACGTCGACGAGAGCGCCATTTCGAGCATTGAGTATCTTTGCAAGTCTCTGATCTTTGCCGAGAATGGCTCGGTGGAGAGGGATTCTGCTCTGGGCATTCAGCCTTTTGAGAAGGTCCGTGTCACCGCCATGGATGTGCTTGCGAGAATCTTCACCAAGCACACGAGTATGAGAGAGGGCATCGTCAACGGCATCCTCTTCTCTCTAGAGAAGCTTCCTGCTAGCAAGCAGAGTGCACGGCAGTTCAGACCTACCGATGGAAAGCCCATACAGCTGGTCTCAGCGTTGCTCATGCGACTGATCCAAACAAGTGCAACTCTCAATAGCAGCGATCTTCGTGCGAAGAATGACGAAAGCGACGAGTCAGACCAAGTCGGCGATTCTGAGGACGAAGACTCCGAGGAAGATGAATCTGACGCGTCCGATGAGAACATCAAAGTTGGCCGTAGAAAGAAGAAGTCCCGATCCTCGAAATCCCAAAAGATTGGAGGCACCGACTTGCGCTCAGTCTACACCCCGCTGAAAGACAGCGCTCACGGCCATGCCAACTACATCATTCGTATGCTTCTTAGTCGCGCTTTGACAAGTACTAAGTCTGGGGATGAGCCATTCCGGAAGCTGCTGGACATCTTTGTCGATGATTTCCTCAGCGTTTTGGGATCCAGCGACTGGCCCGCCTCGGAGATCCTTCTTCGGAACTTGGTCGGCAAACTAATGAATCTCGCCAACAATCCCAAGAGCCATGCTCCTCATCGAACTCTGTCGCTTGAGCTTCTCGGCACCATCGGCTCCGGTATACTTGATTTGCAATCCATCATTATCAATCCGACCAAAACCCTGGACGGCGACGACTCCATTTCTAATGACCTCGTTGATCTCACGAAAGACTTCCAGAGCGACGGTCTCAGCAACCACTCAATCACCGTTTTCAACGGACCTTACAGAGTAGTTCTGGAGTATATTCATGCTCGTGGAGTCGAGCATGACCCACAACTGCAAACTGCACGTGGCTATCATCTCATGCAGTGGGCAGACTTAGTATGCGATACTCGCGAGGGCTCTGAGAGAGATGACGTGATCGTCACGCCGTCCTTCAAGAGAGATTTGGAACCGAAGCTACGCCATATGATCGAGGATCCACAGTGGCTCGACGACAACTCGAACTTCCCTGCTCCTTCCACCTCGCAAGGAAAGCTCGCTGCAAAGATTGTAGCTGCAGGCTCGAAGCTCTGCCGGGCATTCAATAATATATTCAACACAGTCCTGCAATCAATGAGCAGTGAGCAGCCGACCGTCCGCAGTCGCAGCCTCAAGAGCGTGACTACACTGCTCGAAAAAGATCCATCCGTGCTGGATCGCAACAGTCAGATTCTGAGCCAGATCATGCGATGCATGGCGGACCCTTCGCCGCTTGTACGCGACTCTGCGCTTGGTTTGGTACAGAAATGCGTCGCACTACGGCCGAACCTCGACCTCAAGGTGTATGAACGTGTCATATCTCGCACTGGCGACCAGGCTGTCCCAGTGAGGAAGAGATCGATGGCATTTCTCAAGCAGGTCTATCTACGCCGAGATGACAACAAAATTCGTGCGAAGATTTCAAACGCGCTCATCGCGCGCATCAAGGACAACGATGAGAGTGTGGCCGAGACGGCGTTGTCAACCATCGAGGAAGTCTGGTTCTCGGCCTTTGCCAAGCTCGTCAAGACAGAACATGATCGCTCTGTCGACGCTTCAATGCAACTACGTGCGCACGCTGCCTTGATCATTCAGACTGTCGATCTTGGGGATAATGTCGCCAACGTACTCGAGGATTTGATCAAGACATTGCTGGTCAAGTCTAAGCAGGCAGCTGACAACGTTCGCGTGTGCAAATCATTCGTGGCTGTTCTCAATGAGGGCATCATCAACACCGGCGAGATTCTCGGCCAGCCAGACAAGAGCGAAGTTCTGCGTGCCCTGACCGTGTTTGCCAAGGCTGCACCAAAACTGTTTACCGTCGGCCAGATTGAGCATTTGGAGGTCTACACGCAGAATCTAATCAACAGCGATGATCTCGAGGTATTCCGCTCCGTGATCAACATTCTCCGCTACACGATGCCGGTCTTGACCGGGCTCGGAAAAGAGTTCCTTTTGAATTTACAAAGCGCTCTTCTGAAATCAGCGGGCAAAATTTCAAAGACTGAGCTGGCCGTCGTCGCGCCTTGTCTCTGGACCATCGATACCGTGCTCGGAGGCACTGAGAGACCGCTGCGACTGATTTTGTCGGCCTTGACCAACCTGAGCGGCTTCTCCAAGGCAGATCTGACCAAGGACCCGGGGTCGGCGAATAAGGTCATCAAATTGCTTCCTATCGTCGGCCAACTGGGTAAAGCATGCGACTTTACCGAGCACCTCAACGTGTTCAAGTCCAGTAAGAGTTTCGATTGGTATAAGGGCACAAGTGTACCAGGACTCTTGGTTGAAGTTATCTGCAAGTTTACTAGCCCTTCACAACCACAGCCTGTGCGTGCTGCCGCCCTCGAGGCGGTCTGCGAGATCTGCCAGAGCTATCCCGAGCATTTCCTGCGCGCAGACGTTTCGAACGCCATAGAAATGGTGTTCAAGGAACGCAATCAGGAGCTTGAGGGCGTGCTGCTCACTAGCCTGGAGTCTTTCTTTGCCTCTGACGACACGCCTTCTGACGAGCAGGAGATTCTGGGTGTCGGTGTCGAGAGTGGAACTCAGCGTCTTGGTGACACCTACAAAGCTACGGGACAGGACACCGCTATGGCATCACTTTCGCAGAGATTTCTGGGCCAGTTCCTACGAATTGCTCTATCGTCGACTGAAGGTGTGGCGCTGGCAGCTGCCCGAATCGTTGTTCACATCAATACACGCGGCATGTCGCATCCCGGCAACAGTGCACCTGGTCTGGTTGCTTTGGAAACGTGCCCGACGTCGGCGATTGCCAAGCTGGCATTCATGGCACACCGCGAGCAGTTCGGCAAGTACGAGAATGTGTTCGAGAAGACACTCCTGAAAGCAGTGCAGCAGGCTTTCGACTATCAACACAGCATTGTTCGCAGCGATGTTGGATGCACCGGTCATCCTCCAGTCTCCAAACTGCATTTTTTCTGGGAAGTTTTGAAAGGTGGCAAACCCAAGATCCGCACCAAGCTATTCACCATGATGTGTGCGAGCATGGACTTTGACCTGGCCAAGCTCAACCTCAGCGGCAGCCCACCTCAACACTTGCTGTATGTGCGGTTCTGTGTCGAGAACCTTGCGTTTTTTGAATCTGACCGAGCGGACGAGCTCCTGCATTTGGTCTCCTGTATGGAGAAGACTTTCCACGGCACTGGATCTTCGCTAGCACAGGCCATCGAAAGCGAGCTGCTCAAGTTGGACGTTCCGGTACATTTAGCATCCGAGCCAGCTGCTAGCGATCCAGATGAAATCGCCATAGCAAATGCAAGCGCGATGATGATGGCCCACGTGATGCCGGAGGTAAGATCAATTGATTCGAAGCGGCTCCAACAGCTTTCCGTGGCTGCACAGATTCTATCACTCATGTGGGAGACCCGCTCTTTCCTGCATCGATACTGGAATTTGCAGAAGCACGCTGGAAAGCCTAAGAACACGGCAAAGGAGGCCATAAAAGCTCCAACCAAGGCTACCAACGCGCCGACTTTGATTGAGTCCTATCAGAAGCGGATTGGAAGTATTATGAATGCAGATACCACGGAGGAAGGACAGCGAAACACTTGTATCTCCTTCGTCGACCTCTTCTCGGTCGACCATGAGGTCAAGGTACCGGATGGAGAGGAAGAAGACATTGCTATGGAGGATGGCGAAGACAGCCGCAGCGAAGGCAGCTCTGCGAAGAGCCCAGGCCCTACACCGCGTGGCAAGAAGCGCAAGTCGCTCGATGCAGGCTTCAGTGCTTCCAAGAAGCCAGCAAAGAAGCGCAAACCGAGCTCGGCGAAGGTCATGGGCGACGATGACGAGGATGGGGATTGGAACTAATAAACGGGAAAAAGCATTCAGAGAGCATCACTTGAGCAAGTATGTCTTCTTACTCTCTTGATCAATGGGTGTGTCGGTGGAGGAAAAGAGTGGAGAGATTTTACTTCAAAGTTAGTGATACCCAGGAAGTTTTGCCATAACAAAGACAGATTTACTACGGCTCCTATCCCAGGATGCATTTCTCTCTATTCCAATTGGCCTTCTACGTCTGCATTCCTTTCCGCGCACGTGCTTCTTCTTTCAATTCATTCACTCACTTCGACTTCCCAGCGGCAAGCCGGCAGCTTGCCAAAATTCTCCACCCTCCACACCAGCAACAGACCAGATCATTGGAAATATCTGAGCAGCGGCTACCCATGATGCGATGCCGGGCTTGCCAGGAATGACCCCGCGCGTCGTGTCTCGTGGTCGCAACTGGGATTGCCGGTTCTCTTCTTGCGAGAAGTGGAGTTAGACCGCTGACTGCTGCTGCTTCTTGCTGCCACTTCGCGGTGTGCGTGCAGGGAGCCAAATCAGACAGCTGCTGGAGGAAGTCAAAGGGGTTCGCCTGATCTGGACATTGACGACTGAGCCAGACGACGACTCTCGGAACTCCTTGTTGACGACAAGACCGGGTCTGTCACCACCATGTGGCCTGGTGCGTGGCAACGGCCGCTCAGGCCACTTTATGCCCACAAGATTTGCCATTTGAGAGTCTTGAGCCAGCATACTCGGCTCCTTTTCAAGACATCCTTCCGACGACAAGGAGCCGTAGCCTCTCAGCCTCAGGGGCAGAAAGAAGAAGAGGAAGATCCGTGAGCTTCCAGATCCGCCAACTCCATTCCCTATACCGACCTGGTCATCGGTGTACCGCTTGAGGTCCGTAAGAATGAGAGACGAGTGGCCATTACCCCTACTAACGCCAGACTGCTACTCGAGAAGGGGTTCAAGGAAGTTCGTGTCAAATACGGAGCTGGCTTCCAGGCCCAGTATAAGAGTAAGCAGGTGATCGTCATGAAGAGAGGTATGGGAAATAAATATGCGGATATTGTGAATCCCATGGTGAGACTTGCAATGCTCCCTCCTTCTGTCCATTTCATGACGTGCTAACGTTGACTGTTTCCAGTTCCATGCTCCCAACACGAAGATGTTATTCGGCGAAGCCAAGGCGACGTGTGATGCGATCAAGAATGCACTGGATGCTGCGAAGTCATCGTCGTAGTCGGAGACAGCGCAGTGTAGATGTGGAGATGGTTCTTTCTGGAGCTCGACAATGTCGATGCCATTTGAGGAGACGTGGAGGTTTCCAAGAGAGCTCGCATGTGTTTTGAAAGAGATCAGGTGAGAGCGGTGGAAAGGAAGTCAGCAGATGAAGTGGGAAAATCGTTAACTTTCGTGGCTGCGTAACCGGTCCCCATGACCATGCCGGTTTCTCCCGACTGTCTATTTCATGGCTATAATATTCGAGTGGCTTGTGAGGTGTAGCATCGCATACCCTTCGCGTGATGCCGCCAGTATAGTCTTCGTTGACGCTTTCACTGGCAGATGTTAGCAGACTTGAAAGCGCTGAAGCTGCGAAACGTTCTCATCGCACGCCGCTTCCCTACGCTCAGTTCTCCAGCTCGCTGAACGTCTTCACTGAGACCTCTCCATCTTGCAGACCAAAGTACACTGCCACGGGCTTCTGTCCACCTTGTAGACCCAATGCCTGTGCCTTTATTCCGTTCATCCCATGGAACAGTCCAACCTCCAATACACCGTTGATACCCTTGATCGTCCTCGCCAGCGTATCCACATCCCAGACACCATTCTTTCCACTTCCATCTTTCCCGTTCTTGACATCCGACTGTGTAAGCAGCTGCTTGAACGGCGCATCAATAATATAGAAGCTCTGATCCGTCTGCACGGGTCCCGTCTTCGCCAGCGTGTGTTCTCTCAGCACCGGATTCGGCGACCCTAGAGCCTTGAGCTCACGTATTACGCTCGCATGCGCGATCGGAGCGACTTCAATCGGTATCGTAGGCCAATTCGTCAGAAGCCTCGATTGGTCTTTCCGGTAATCCGCAATGCAGATGAATTCCTTACTCCTGCAAGCTACCAGTTTCTCTTGGAAGAGACAGGCTCCACCTCCTTTGATACAGTTCAATTCGTCGTCGACTTCATCTGCGCCGTCGAATGCTACCTCGAGCATCGCATCGGCGGGAAGGGAATCGAAAGCTATGGGCGTGAGGCCAGCTGCCTCGATCACTTTTCTGCTGTTCCAGCCAGTAGGTACGAACCAGTTGAGGTGACCAGCTGGAGGAGGGTTGGCTTTGAGATGTGCGGAGATTGCTTCGACGCCGTAGACAATCGTGCTTCCCGAGCCGATTCCGACGAATTTCATATCAGACGTAAAGTGTTCCGCGACAGCGCGGTAGGCTGCTTTGCGTTTTGCGGCTTCGACAGGCGAGAGATTTGGATCGGCGGGGGCGGGAATCGAAGCCATCTTTGAGCTGGTGAGGATGCGTCTGTTCGGTGAAGTCTGAGCGAGGTCGGGCTTGTGATGGGTAGAGAGGGCGGGTCGCGGGCGGAATGATGCTCGTGGTCTTATGAGAGCTTTCAAGTTTGGATGGTGTTACTTCGGAGTTGAAAGTCCGGAGTTGCGTGCTGGTTGACTCACGAATTCGCATTAAAGGTGCTGTGCAAAGGTTGCTTTGCTCAATCGAGTATAATAGATATGAGCTGAAGACTGAGGAGGAGAAGTTGTGCGAGAATCGGTTGAATCGCATGCGCCACTAAGGTACCTTTTCGCGCTCGGGGCAGGTGTAGCGGGATGTGGGGCTATCTCGTGAATCGTGAATTAAGCTAAGTTGGGCTTTACAAAGTGCGAGTGCGAATTGCCCCTCACGGCGAGGCTTTAGTATAAGGATAAGGTATGAAGGAGTGTATTTGAAGGAGTGTATCAGTGTATCTGGTCCGAGCACCATTAAGCTGTAGCGTCGCCCCCCCGAGTCACCTCCATCCCCTCGCTCTCGACAACCATCGTTTACGTCCAGTTGCTGCCGTCTGTGTTAGGATAATATCCCTGGGGCTTGCTAGCATCCTCCTGTGTGCAAACGCAACGGGTATCGGGGTTCCTGCGAACGAATCCATCAGCATCTAGTCCATGTCAACCATACGCTCGTACTCACTCCTCTCCAGAATTGTCCTTCACGTAAGCGTAACGCGACGACCTGCAGATGTCGTTACAGTAACTAGTCTGCACGACGCAGTTCGGGCCCTGCAAAGCAGCAAGGTTCTTGTTTTGAGCGCAGCCAGCAGCGCCATTCTGGAGACAAATTTTGAGATCATCAACCTGGCATTGGCCGCCGTACAGGTAATCTGGCACTGCCCCTCCTTGCTGAGCTGCCGCAGCAGAGACGAGAGTGATGATGGACAGGACAGAGAACTGCATGATTGCTGTAGTTGGTCTTCGTGGATGGAATGATAGAGAAAGTGGGATGGATGGTGTGAGATGGTCCTCTTGACTGGTGTAGATGGTGTAGATTTGCTTTGGTAACGGTATTCAAGTAGTCAACGGCGAAGAAGCGACTTATATACACCATTTGGTCTCCTCTTTGCCCTTCCCTTGACAGGGGATGGCCCTTCGCGACGTCAAGAATTTCATGATGATACGAGTGCTCCGCACCGATATTGGCAATCTTTTTGACCAAACCTGGATTTTCCGAGCACCGCACACTGGCATCTTGGTGATAGAAATGGCTCGGCTTCGCCCGGTCGTGCACCAGGTCCGGGTGGTCTTGTCCGGATGAGGGAGGATATAATCTTTCAGGGGTTATTATTAAGGGCCAACCAGAAGCTTCCGCACATGGCAGATTAGCGGAAACTTTGGCATGGGTTCTAGAAGGACATGCTGGATGGTGAGCTTGGTTTCCCCCGTTTAGCTATATGTGCGCGAGGTCCTTTGCCCTACTCTGCAAATCACCATCGTCAGGCTATGGTGACCTGAGCCCTGTGCATGAGCAATCTGATGTAATGCTAGCATCGAGGTCGATGAGAATCTCCCATATCGCGATGGCCATGCTTTGAGCTCGCGGCTTCCAACTTTGAGCATGGCCTCAGCTGCCCAGAAGACCACCTTGACTCCATTGGTACGAGCGGGTTCGAACGCTCCGTGGTCTCCGTTCGCACGCCTCCGTCGACCTGGGTGTTCATGCACGGCCATCATGAGCCATCGTTATACTATGAACGGGGAGTAAGGCAGTAGGCCTTCTTATGATTACGACTCCCCAGGTAGGTTTATTTATGGCTCCAGGTAGCGCTTCGATTTTCGGTCACGAATGACCGAGATGTTATTGATGAATCCTGGTAATACTGATGATAGCTGGCCTCAAGTATCGTGATTAGGATTCTGACAGTCCGTGTCTCCAGATCTCCCGATGCGATCTGTGCGATGGTACGGTACGACCAAAGTATCTCGATGAGAGGCATCGCGTGGTAGCTGCGACAGTGACAGTGACAGTAGTACATGGTAGTCAGTAGTAGACAAAGGAAGAGGGGCTTGCGTGCTCAGTCATCACCTTGACTACCTAGTAGGTGGTACTGCGGTAGGTACCTTACATGTACCTTATTTTAGAAGGAGATGTGTGGCTGAAGGTCGCGCCACAATGACGAAGTGGTGCCTGAACCTTCATCCGCGTTTTGTACCTCTCCGCGTGGACGAACGAACGAACGAATTACAAACACCCACCGCACTCCATCCCATTCGTTGGTGAGGAACACCGCCATGGCTACCGATCTCGACGAGGTGCCACCGCCTCTGCAGAGCCTTCCCACCGACAAGGAGAAGAAGTACGATCGGCAGCTGCGCCTCTGGGGAGCACCCGGACAGGAAGCACTGGAGAAGACACACGTTCTCCTCATCAACAGCGGGCCCGGCGTGACCGGTGTTGAAACGCTCAAGAACCTGGTCCTGCCCGGGATCGGTCGATTCTCCATTCTCGACTCGGCCACCGTCTCAGAAGCGGACCTTGGTGTCAACTTCTTCCTGGAGGACTCGTCGCTGGGCAAGTCACGCGCTGAGGAGGCTGTGAAGTACTTGGTTGAGCTCAATCCGGAGGTTAAAGGGCATGCCATCACGCAGGTATGTAGTGACTGTCTGCGTTCGTATGCAAAGGCTGCGGGCTGACGGTGAAGGATGTGTCATCTTGGCTCCAAACGAAGGACAACCTAAACCCATATACCCTTGTCCTGATTGCTGCGCCCATTGCCAACAGCACGCTCCTGGGACTGAGAAGCGAACTTGAACGTCGCGAGATTCCGGCCTTCTACCTTCACTCCGTAGGCTACTATTCTAGTCTCTCACTGCAGCTGCCCCACGCCTTTCCCATCGTCGACACACATCCCGATCCTACAGCGACCACGGATCTCCGACTCCTGAAACCATGGCCGGAACTCCTCGACTTCGCGAAGAAGAAGACCGCCAACATGAGTCAAATGAATGGTGAAGAGTTTGCACATATCCCATGGCTCTGTCTTCTTCTTCGCTACATTGAGCAGTGGAAGGAGGTTCACAACGGAAATGCCCCTCAGAGTTACCAGGAGAAGGTGGAGTTCAGGAAGTTAGTACGGTCAGGCAGTGCGAGCGAGGAGAACTTTGACGAAGCCTGTGCTGCGGTGCTGAAGACTTTGAACCCCCCTCAACCTTCTTCGACCGTGCTCAACATCTTGAACGCGCCCGAGGTGAAGCATCTAAGCTCACATTCCCCTCCGTTCTGGATCATTGCAAGCGCAGCCCGCACATTCTACGAGAAGCATGGCGAGCTACCTCTTCCCGGCGCGGTACCAGACATGAAAGCCCAGTCAGAAACCTACATCCAACTGCAGAACATCTACAAAGCTAAGGCGCGACAAGACTGCTCAGAGGTAGTCGCCGCCGTCCATGAGCTGGAAAAGTCCATCTCATACCCATCCTCCATCGACGAGAAGGAAGTTGAAAACTTCTGCAAAGGCGCCGCGCATATCCATCTCATCCGCGGCAAGCCATTTTCCACCATTCGAGAAGGCGACCGCGTCTCCAGCAAGAAGCTCACTTCGGAGATGAACAACCCCGACAGCCTAATCGCGCTGCAAGTCGCTTTCCTGGCCTGGGACCATTTCTACGACCAACATCAGTCGTCCCCGGGTCAAAATGTATCGAATGACTCTGGAGACGACGCACACCAGCTCTATAACTATGCCCTCCAAAAGATTCTAGAGAATCAAGAACCAAGCGAGCCTTTCCGAGAGCAATTGAAGAAGTTCACCACGGAGCTTGCGCGCGCTGGTGGTGGTGAGCTCCACAACATCGCTTCTCTGACCGGCGGTATGGTCGCGCAGGAGGTCATTAAAGTTATTACCAAGCAGTACATCCCCATTGACAATACGTGCTTGTTCGATGGGATTCGCAGCAAGTCTTATGTCTTGAGCATGTCGAATTGAAACACTTTCAAACCATGTGGCCCTTCATGCACGCTGGAGAAATTTGCTTCTAGCAATGATGCCCACGAAAAACCTGAAGAAGAGAAGATATCATATTTCCGAAGGTTGTGAGGGTGGACGTGAATCAACACGCGCTCGATGCGCGTTTGGAACGCCCGACGAAGAGACGAGACGAAACGCTGTACAGACAGAAGATGAAGTATGCTCCAATTGACATGAACCAGATCAGCTTGCCCGTCCGGCTATCCATTTGGTCGCATTCCTATTCTATTAGTCTATTTTTTTTTCTCAATGTCTGACGGACGTGGGCGAGTGTGGTCAGATATCCCAACTAAACTGAAGCAGGCAATGCAGAAAGAGGTGATGCAGCGGAAGTCATATTTACCAGTGCCTGAGCACTTCAGAGCACCAGTGACCATGACCAGCCGGACCCAAAATTCATGACCCATGCCCCCATCCCTCTCACGTGTCTTCATCTCAATCATAAAAACGCCGTCTTCCCGAACCTGATTCTTATTCTGCTCTGCGCCTTCGCTATGCTTCCGAAATCATTGCCGACCGCTATGCTGTGCCGGGTGAACGTGAGAAAGACGAAATGGGTATCTTGCAGCAAGACCGAACGCAACGCAACGTGTGTATGCCCATCCATGCATGCCCGTGGTGATGATGGGGGTGTTTTTTAAATGTAGAGTGTCCGCAGCGTCTCCAGAGGCGGCGTCTCCGTCATACCCTTGGCTCGTAAGGTCAAGCCGACCTGAGAGGGGCTCTCCGTGCGATTCTCATCCTTTGCAGCAGCCTGCTGACGCTCCTTCCGAGCAGCCTTCTGTGCCTGCTTCTTCATGTCCTTTTTGTCTCGAGCACTGACGCGTGGACCATTCTGTCTCTGTTGCGTCTTGCCGGCGCGTTGTGAAGGGTCGGGTGGTCGGGGTGGAAGGAGCTTCAACCGAACGGGAGGCTTGACAGCGGGTGCGGGCGCGTTTGGTGATGACGATGTTGCGTCGTTGGCATCTTGCTTCTTGGCGACGTCGACGATATGACTGGGCACGTTGGGCTTGCTGTTCGTGCTGTTCTGGGATGAGTCTGGTTGACTCGAAGTCTCCGAGTCAAGGCTGGTGAAGGATTCTTGGCTGCCATCGAACGTGCTGAGTTGTGACAACGCGTGTCTGCTTTCCTGGCTTCGGCCTTTCTGAGCTCGTGACGCTCGACTCATCCGTCTATCCTGCTTCTTGTTTGGGCCATCGTGCATGTCATCGTCGCTATCGTGATCACGCTCGACGCTGGAGCTCTCGTGGTGGGACGATGAGCTACCGTTCTCCTCTGCATCCAGCAGATTTGACACCGCGTTATCGATGTTGCCCTTTGCTGCTTCGATGGCACGCTTGATGGTGGGCTTGTCGGCCAGGAAAGGCAACGACCTCTCCACAACATCGATCATCCACGGGAGCACGTGAGGTGTTTGTGCGAGCTTCTCTTGCTGTATCCGCTCCTCTTCCGGCGTCAGAGCCTTGGGTGACACGCCCGGAAGACCAGTGTGAGGCCCGTCGAGGTTTCGTATCGACGAGTAGTGTTCCCACGTGTGGTAGGCAATGTGAGCCACCTGTCTGATCCTCTCATCACCGGCACTGCCCGACACCATGTACGCGAAATCCCGTTGGTAGATCTTCACGTCGTAGTCGTACGCGGAGGAGAAGGCGGTGATCTCCATGTTATCGCCGTATGTGCCTCCTCTTGCCATGCTCTGAAGATGGCTCTCGAAGACGCGGTCGATGTCGGCAGCCGAGGGAGGGACGAAGTTGGCGGGCGACGAGTAGGCACCGGCATTCTTACGTTTGGGGTTTCGTCTGATGCCGCCGCCGGGATGCACGTCGATGAATTGCTTGTAGTAATCGGCGTGTTCACGCATGTAGTCTATGACACGCGAGCGAATGGCAGCGTGTTCATTCTGATGACCGTACAGCTGGTCGGAAAGAGCGTTGAAGAGGCAGTTGCCTGGAAGGGATGAGCACTCGCAATTCGTCCAAGAGGTGAAGGAGGCGTTCAGGTGGTGCATGTGCGAGTCGGACGTAAGGAAATCATGACTTACCATCGCCGCGGATGTCGTGGGCGTAGAGGCCTAAGGCGCTGAGCAGCGGGAATTCGACATCTGCCTCGCCCATGCTCCTGGCGCTTCAGCTCCCTCGGGATGAGTGGATGCGTCGTTCTGCGTGCGGCGGTTAGCGAGATTCATGAGGTCTCGACTGCCCGGCCACGCAGGTTCGTGCGGGTGGTGTGTGGGTGGATGGTTATTGGGGTTGTTGCGTTGCTGCAGTGATTATTGCAGCAGGCAGAGGGAGTGCAAAACCGTAAGGTAGGCAGGGCATGTGCTAGGGTGCATTTTGAAGACCACACCCCTGCAGAGCTCAGGAGCATGGCGTAATTGACGCACCCACTAACCTGTTGCGGAGCTGCTCCTCCCTCTAAATCCGACCAAACAATCCCCAGCTGCTGCAGAGAGATCGGCGTCTGTTGCTCACCTTTGGTGCTTGTGTGCTTGGGTTGTGTTGTGCCTTGGACAGCTTCCGAGAGCTTCGACGGCTTTGGACTTCTGCCAAGGGCGAGGTTGGGGGAGGTTGAGGAGTGACGGAAGAGTGCAGAAGGTGAGCCTTGATGCGCGCAACATGTCACGGTGATGTGCAAACGGCGTGTGAGGACGAGCACCGCAAACGCCCGCTCGCTCGCGTCCTCAGCAAATCCAATATTAATGATGAGCATGACCGAGCTGTGCAGCCGGACAGGATAAGGTAAGGTATGAGTAAGGCGAGGTAATGCGCGAGTGCGGCTCTGACTCCTCCCCTATTTTAGCCTGTCACCGCCTCCGTCATCTGCCCCTCCGCCGTTCCAAGTGAATGAATGACGGCTCTGCAGGTGATGGGTGATTGTTTTCAGGAAAGTCACGCTTGACCCGCAGCGCCGCCTGACTACACCTGCCAGTCTGCCCGGGTTACACCACTTCTGCCTGCCAAGTTTCTGCGAGATGCAGTTCATGCAAATTTTCCACGGAATGTCCTGGGTCAGGAGCGCACCGCACACCGCCGACTTTGGCGTGCCGCTTTGCAGCGCCTCGGTGCTTCGGTCACGGGGAATGTCGGCTTCAGAAGCGGGCACGCGAGAGGGGCCAGTCTTTCGGCTGCTCCTCAATACCTTACGCTTGCAGTCGAAGAAGGGAGAGGGGGAGAATGCCTGCCTCTCTTGAATCACTCATTCTATTCTAGCCACTTGCAAAACGTCGGTCAGATCATGATCGGGCTTCAGTCTCCAACACTGCCCAGAAGAGCAGTGGCATTCTTCAGTGGCATTCTTGAGACTTTATATGAGATTTGATCAAATATGGAATATACAGCTTCCTTGCTAATACATCACGTTCAAAGCAAACGAAATGTCGAATTGGTAGAATGCAAGCTCGGGCTCTCTCCAAGCAACTCGCCTGCCCGCGGCGTCTCGGCCAGCCGGCCAACCTTCCGACCGCAGCTACGACCTTGCATGAATCACAAAATTCAGCTCATATCAGCTTCCAGATTACACCTTTTCCAAGTTCTGACGCCTTCGCCAGCTGCTGCTTCTATTGGGTCGTACACTGTTTGAAGAGACATGGGCTCCAACATTGTCGTCGTCGGGTACGAACTCCCTTGCGAGATACGAATCCCAACACTAACGATATCCCAGTGCTGGAGTCAGTGGCCTTACTACAGCATGGCAATTGGCTAAGAATGGCGGGCATAACATCACAATCATCTCGAAACACATGCCTGGAGACTACGACATCGAATATGCTTCACCTTGGGCTGGAGCGAACTACCTTCCGTATGTGCAGCACCTTATCGCTGAGTCATTCTGCCATCTTTGGTGTGAGATGATGCTCGTAGTTATCGCTGAATTCTTCCCTCAGCGTCGCCAAGCCTGGCAGTCCTTCGGAGTCCTATGAGCGCAACACATGGCCGGAACTGGAGAGGTTAGCAAGGGATATGCCAGAGTCTGGAATCCATTTTCAAGGTAAGAGAACTCCGGATCGAATGCAAGTGTAGAGCTGAGCGCAGATCAGATACCTACTTGTACCGGAGATCGAAGGACAGAGACTCGCCTGTGGCAGATTGGTTCAGCGAGCTCCTCAGAGAGGATGCGTGGTTCAAAGACGTTGTCCCAAATGTAGGTGTCCACTTCCAAGACCGAAATTACAGACTGTTGACGTTCCGAATAGTTCAGGGTTTTGCCAAAGTCAGAGCTTCCGTCTGGTATGGACAGCGGCACGGCGTTCACATCAGTATGCATTAATACGGCCTTCTACTTACCGTGGCTGGCGTCACAATGCCTTAAACTTGGTGTTGTTATACGCAGAGGCGTCGTCAACCACATCACAGACGCTGCAAAGCTCCACCATACCGGTACACCAGCAAATCTCATCCTCAACTGTACTGGTCTGTCGTCACTCAAACTCGGTGGCGTAGAAGACCGCAATTTATACCCAGCACGGGGCCAGATCGTTCTAGTCCGCAACGAGCCGGGGATCATGGCCTCGACTTCCGGAACAGACGACGGCCCCGACGAAGCAGTGTACATCATGAATCGAGCAGCTGGCGGAGGCTGCATCCTCGGTGGCTGCTTGCAGAAAGATAACTGGGAGAGCCAGCCGGACCCAAACCTCGCGAACAGAATCATGAAGCGTGCGATTGAGCTGTGTCCAAAGCTGGTTCCCGAAGGCAAAGGAATTGAAAGCTTGAGCGTTATCCGTCATGGTGTTGGACTACGGCCGATGCGACAAGGTGGTATCAGGATTGAGAAGGAGACTATCACGAGTCCAGATGGTCGCAAGGTCCAGGTTGTGCACAATTACGGCCATGGAGGGTATGGTTACCAGACATCTTTCGGCTGTAGTCAAGCGGTGGAGAAGCTTGTCAGCGAGTCTCTGCAGCAGAAGGCGAGGCTGTAAGATCTTCTTGGTATGCGAGTGTGAATGATTCTATCCTGTTGCTTTCGTCTTGTCCCGAGGTCTCAGGGCGCGGCGTTCTCGTCGCAAGATCTCCAATGTAGGAAGTACCGCATCGTTGCTCCTGTCGCCCTGGCTTCTGTTCGTCTGCCAGATGACATGCGCGCGTGGACAAAGAGCAAAAGCAGAAAGAAAGCGCAGGCTGAAGTGGATCGCAATCGCCCAAAGATGATGCAGGGGGTGACGTTGCGCAAAGCCAAAAAGCTCAGACCTCTCAGCGCCAGCTTCGAGGATCAAGCAGCCAGGCTGGCCGGTTTTGGCTTCTAACAACAACAGGACGAACGACCACACAGCACCCACATCCCAAACCCCCAGAACGAGACCATCTCTGCTACGCCATCACCCGAATCCACGCGATATAGCCTGCGACCATGGACTTTTCCGATATCTTGTCCGTGGACCTCCGCGACAGCTGTCTGCCCGGAGAGCTCTTGAGCTGATGTTTCTGCAGTCGCATCGTCAACCTCGCGGTGGGAGTGTTTCTTATCCTGGGTGGTGTTGGACAATTCTTTCCGATTAGCGTGTAAGAGATTGCGAATGCTAGAGAGGATGTGAGTGGGTGGTTAATGGCTGCGACAGGCAGAGCACCATCATTGCGGTATACCTGTTCATCTTTGGCGTGTGTATGTTTCACCCCGAGCTCCACACTTACACTGGATATGCGCTGACCGACTCTTCCTTCTAGCGACCGCGCTCCTGGGTACGCCGAAGCAGATTCCTGACCTGCTGCGAACATGCGATGCTTACCGTTTCCTCCGCAGAGTTTCAGATCCCGCCACAGATCGCGCGTTATGGGTCCTTCATGTTCTCCTTCATTGGGAGAGGAGTTTGTAAGAGATGCCACACTGTAACAGATGAGATGAAAGACAGATGTGCTGATGTTGCTATGCGCAGTGTACCTTCTCCTGGGCTGCATAACCATGGGCGACCACTGGTGGAAGTACACGGCTGGCGCTATTGTCGCAGCTGTCGGAATTGCATACATTGCCCTGGAGTTCGTTCCTAGCATTGAGCCGCCGGCGAACATGAGGTAAGGGAAGAAACGGGCAAGAGTGCTGGAGTATACTAACGACATGGCAGAGATGCTGATGCCGGATGGGGCGCCGAGCAAGTCTAGAGCAACGAGACATGCCACGAACACAACGTGACAAACGCCAGTATCTTGGAGAGCAATGGCAGCCAGAACCGAGCACGAATTTACGTATCCCGGGGAATCAGTGACACCAAAAGTTGACGAATGGAGTTGTCTAACATATGGCAGGGGTGTTCCATCAGCCTAGTGGACCTCGACGCAAGCGGAGGCGTCTGGGAGTACCGAGCTGAATGTACAGAATATGATCAATTGACCTGGAGGTTGGATTAATGCATCGAAAACAGCTTTACACTCACTTCTGAGGAGCCCGTTCTGTCTGCTTCGGCCAGGATTTGGCGGCCGACTTTGAGGATATATTGACTACCTCTCAGGAGTTCCATTCGATAAGAGCGTCATAACATGATCGAAAAGAGCATGGAGGGCAACTGCACAGGACGCCTTGAATGCAGAGAGCACGCGACAAATGGATCCCTCGACCATCAAGTAAGGCTTATTCTCCACCAACATATTTACTCTCTCGGCTGTCAAAGGAGTTGGTCGCGTCGGGATCGTTTTCAGAGGCGAGAGGCGGTCCTGCAACAGTGAGACATGGTCATACGACCTCACTCGGGTTATCAAGATATGGAGCTGCTTCGAATATGACCAACTGTTTATCTTCATCCGATTCGCGGGGGCACATCTGATGAAGTTGCTATAGAGTAGTCTTGGCAGACGGTTGGTGGAGCGCTCGCGAGTCGAGTGAGGCATATGGCTCTGCGGTATATGCGCTGCAGTAGAACGAACAAATCACGTTGTTGTCTACAAAGATACATGCATCGGCATTCACCCGCGCTGTGGGATCTGACGCCAATCACGACCAAGTGCGTTGTCCCCCACGCGCCCTCAATCCGCAAATAGGATCTTGATATGTGTGTCTCTCTCTACCTTCCACTTCAGTGTTTCTGTTTACACGTGCGTGCACGCTAAGGTAGGTACAGTGGTGAACGAGGGGTAAGGATCTGGACCAATCGTATCGTTGCGGATGCCCATGACTAATGTACCGCTGTTTCCTCGTCAGGGTGCTTGGAGCATGACATACGGAGCTGCGCCCATTGGCTGAACAGACGAGGAGACTAGTTCGTGGTAGTTATGGCATGGCACCACTGTCAGACAACACTTGCCTGCAGACAAACACACTCGACCAGGCGGTGACCATTGCTGATTGCAGCACGCTGCGTATGCTCGCCCCGAAAACATCAAATATTCTTCGACAATACGGCCGGCTATCTGAATTGCATGGGAATCTGCCGCGGCCGCGAAAACAACTCCGTCATCGCTTAACGCCCTCGCCTAGACCGGTCCCTGGTGGCATACCGCGGCGGGAAACGTGCTGAAGAACTATACATTATCAGATCGATTCATTCCCATCAGATAGACTCCGCACATCTCGGTCTTTCCCTCTTCGCACGCCTTGGCCTCAACATTGACCCGGACAGAACTAGGCACCCCCATGCGCCGATGACATTGATCCATTCTGGATCTCCGAATGGCGAACAGCAGCGCTGAATATCATCCACCGGCCCGGAAGACGGCCATATCGCCCAGCATCTCCTCTTTGCTCCAGCGTGAGCCGTCTCAACAGGAACTGGAGGTCGCAAGGCATCTCGTCGAGCACTCTCAAAGCGCACAGCCACCGCCGCCACCACCGCAGGAGCCTCAAACGTCGAGAGATGCCATGTTGAGCATTCAGCAAATGACTGACCAGCAAAGCGCTGCGTCTTCTTACCAAGACTATCGCGAGTCCAATGGCAGCCCGAGACCTCACGCCCAGTCACCGGCACCTTCCACTGTTCCTATCTCCACCACGAACGCGCGGCGATCGCCCACCGTCAGTAATGTCCCCGCCGGTCAACAATGCAGGTACGTGATGTTCGTGGTCGTTTTCGCTGACTCAGCTAACCTTCCCTCAGCAACTGTGGAACTACGAAGACACCACTTTGGAGGCGCTCGCCCGCAGGCGCCGTGATCTGTAATGCTTGCGGTCTCTACTACAAGGCACGCAACCAGATGCGGCCTGTTGGACTTAAGCGTGGGTCTGCCTCCACCACCACTACACACCCTTCCCAGGGTCAACGTCACGACAGAGGCACTCCCGCGAGCATTCAAGGCGGTGCTACCTATGTCTCGGCGGATCAGAGTGTCAATGGAACATGTCCTGGTGGAGGACGGTGTAACGGAACAGGTGGGCAGGAAGCTTGCAATGGATGTCCGGCGTACAACAACCGTATCTCCAAGACTGCACAGGTAGCGCTTCGTGGTCCGGGCACCGAGCAAGGAGACGCTGGCTCGGCGCAGATGCAGCTTCTCCGGAATCCACCCGACCAAGGCGCCACGAACGTCGTGGTTGCGTGCCAAAATTGTGGGACTACTATCACTCCTCTCTGGAGACGGGACGAAGCTGGACATACCATTTGCAATGCGTGTGGACTCTACTACAAACTTCACGGTACTCATCGGCCGGTGCAGATGAAGAAGTCGGAGATCAAGCGCCGGAAACGTGTGGTGCCCGCACCAACGAACCAGGAAGGAGGATATAGCGATGCCATGAGTGATGGCTCTGTACACTCCGAACAACGGGCATCAGTGCCGCCGTCGGTCGTCGCAACTCCTCTCATGGACCGTCCTTCTGAAGGCAGCCCATTCATCACTCAACCAGAAACCAGCCGACTAGGACCTGTACCGGTTGACTTCACCGACTCTTTTCGGAATCGGGACGATACTCGAAAACGCTCGTTCTCGATAAGTGCTGCCGACGAGCGCGAACCATATCCACATCCTCAGAATGTAACGTCAACACCAAATGCATCCAATATCGACCCATCCTTACCGGGACGTGGATCAGAAGCTAGCAATACCAAAGAGAATCGGAGGACTGAGCTACGACGGGAAGCAGAGAGGATGCGGCAACTTCTACTAGAGAAGGAAAGGGAACTTGCTGAGCTGGGGGAAGAGGGATAACGCTGCTTATGATGGCACCTCTGGATATCCGTAATGCCTTCCTCCACCTTTGCTGCGTTTGGCGATATACAATACCTGTCGGAAAGAAGATACGAACCCGACTCAATTGACACATGTTTCGTTCATCTCCCGCCTCTCGTTCTCATTGAAGTTTTCCACTCTACCAAAACGCCTGCGCTAAATTCATCCGTCGGATAGCCATGCGATTTCTCTTTAGAACCAGATCTCGATCAGTCTCTCTGAGACTGCACTAGGCAGCAGCACGCCTGACTCTGTAATGATGCCCGATATCAAGTCCGGAGGAGTATAATCCACAGCATCTTCAGGCACCCACGCAGCCATTTCATCTGCGGCTTGCGACTTGGTCGCTCCATCCTTAGCCGTCCTGAAGTCCACCACATTCTGCACGATCCCGAAATCGTGTTGTCCCAACGGATACAACCTCACAAACTTGTGACTCTCCGCTACCACGTAGAACGGCTTCCCCGCTGCTTTGGCCAACATTCCTATCTGATACGTTCCCATCCTGCTGATTATCCCGCCATTTTCTACTACCCCTTCCGCGCCGACGAAACATTGGGTGATCTGGTCGAGGCAGAACGCGATTGCGGTGGGAGGGATGGTAGCGACGGGGATGTCCCTCTCGCGAAGCGCGGCGATGTTGGAATGGGATTCGGTATCCGGGGAATCGGAGGAGACGATGTAAATCACGCGAAAGCGCAGACTGCCTCTTCCGCTGTCGTTGGACGCTTCTGCCGCGGAATTGAGCAGAGCGCCGACGACTCGCGACCCGCCGTTGGTGAGGATCGTGTTCCCGTCTCTGATGAACTGTCGTCCGAAAGAAGCGATGGTCTCCCTTGATGCTTTGGCTCTCGCGACGAAGAGTTTCCCGTTCTGCACGAGGTGGTTTCGGATCTGGGAGAAATCGTTGTCGGAGGAGGAGGAGGAGGAAGAGGTTTGTCTGTTGAGGTTGGCGATGAGGTATTGTTGGAAAATGTCCGTTCCCGCGGAGAGGGAGATGGAATTGGGAATGGAAGTTTTGAGTTGGGTGGTGAGGCTGGAGACGAGGTCGAGGGTTTCGGAGACGGTGGTGGAGGGTGTGCTGGCGAGGCCGTGGATGAGGGCTTCGATTGCGGCGACGGGCATGGTGATCTCTGGGTCGTCGGCCAGAAGGCGCTTGTATGTAGCGACTACGTCGAACTCGGTGGTCTGTAGTGCAGGCATTGTGGTATGGTTTGCAGCTCTTCGCCGCGGTTTGCGTGGAGTTTACATGGTCAGTTGGAGGAGGAAGTTCAGTCATAGCCCAGGCTCAAGCTTGGGTCAAGCTCATAGATATGCGCTAAGCCGCATTTGGCCACTTCCATTCTTCATAGCCTTCCAAGTTGGGGGTTGGATTGAAGCGACGGCATGCTCTGAAGTGGCCCGCAATGGCGCTGTTTACTATGTTCTGGAAGATTGCACTTTCATGCTAGTAAAGAATCGGGATACCGTGTACTAGCTTCGAAGCCTCATCGCAACCGTTGTGCACACGAACAGCATTCACAATCACTGTATGCCGCCGTGCCATACATACTTACCATGCTGTGTATATTCACTTGAGCCTCATATCTGCCCCCTGTCCGTGGAAAGCTCTCTAAGGTATTGTGACCTCACGCGGCGCAATATTCAGCGAGTAATAAGCTCTTGAGAGGACCGGTCAGGCTGTGTCCTGCAAAGCGGCTTCGGGTCCAGTGACCGTGGTGCGGCCTCTTTCCCGCCCTGAACAGTTGCCTTGCCGCAGCACCTCTATTGCGGTCAGACATATAAGGCTGTGCCCACCATCTCTGGCGAGGACTACACAACAACCAGCCAAGCGACTGCTCGACCGAGAAGACGCATTTCCGGCCGAAGTACCCACAAATCCATGTCGGGTCAAGGTCATCCACAGTATCCTGCATCTGGCAGGCAGCCTTACCCTTACGACCAATACCCGCGGCAAGATACCCGAAATGTAGACCGGTATGCGGACCGGTCTGTTCCGCGAAACATGTCGGCAAACACAGGATTCTATTCGGGTATGGCACAGCCGCAGCCACAGCCCAATGCATAGCCAAATCAAGGCCCAGGGCTTTCATATCCAGTCAACAGCATTCCGCAAAGACCCTCTCATCCTGTTCTCCAAAGGCCAAGCCGCCAGTATTCAGGGACTCATCCACAGTATCAAGCCCCATACAGGCACACACCGTCGCGCAGCAATACGGGATCGACATCTTCATCCTCGTCGCGGATCCAGTGGGTTCGGGACATGGTACCGTCGTATAGTTTGACAAAGGCGGCGGTTCATGGGTATCTCGAACAGAAATTCCCCCCAAGCGAGTATGGTAGTGACGATTTCCAGATTGAGGTGAGTGTGGTGACACATCAAGGGTTGTGAGTCGACAGTGACTGACTGAGGGCCAGTTTAAGGGCGATGCTTGCGTCTTTCGCGTACCAAGGGAGCTCACGAAGGTACGGAGAAGTCTGGTGCCATTCTTATGCGGATTGCTGACAGTCGTCAGGACGAAAAAGACATCGATATGCGAGCGTTGAAGTGGAAGGAAGCAGGAGATGGTTGATTCCTGCGGTTGATCTGTGAGCACGAGCCACGACGGGCAACCTGGGCTAGGCATGGGTCGGGCCTTTAAAGTTTGTACTCTATCCTTACCGCAGTCTTTCCTCAGTACGTTTCCATCTCCATTTGCATCCAGTCATCATTGCCGACAAGACGTACGTACTGGCGCAAGTGACACGTGATGGAGCGTATGCGTGCCACAGACAAGCCGCAAATGCGGGCGGGCGGCTTACATACCTGTATAAGGGACTCAGCCTCGTGAGGTACCGCCCGAAGGCACTTGCGATGCGATAGCGATGCTCAGCCTCGGGGAAGGGTATGCTTCAAGTACAGTCGCCCTCGGCTCTGCTTCACGTCGCTAGGCCTACTATCTCACATTTCAAGCGCTACGATGGCGGGCTCGTCAGATTTGGAGCAGCTCAAGCAGTCGCTAAACAGAGCTTCACAGTATCCCAGAAACTGCCTTGGGGTAGAAGCGCAGGACCATACTATACGCGCATTGGAGGACCAATTGAACAGTCGGACGCCCAATTTATTTGGACAAGATGGGAGTGTTCATCTACTCGAAGTCTACCGCACAAACGAAGGTACGAGCAAATCTGTTGCCAACCGATTCTGAACGCTCCTGCCCACAACAACCCAGACCCCCATTCCTCTGATGCGACAAGTTCATCGCAACTCGAGCGACACTTACTGCCGTCGATCAACCAGCAGCGACCACATCCACGGCAGAGATATATGTACGAGCGGACACGATTGCTACCAACGTCCACGCTGATTGTCTCACAGCTTCATACAAGCTCCAGATTCCCGAGAACCGCTTAGAGTAACCCGGCAAATGCTTCTACAGATTCTCACCTACCACCAGGTGATTCCGGGCTTTCTCGAATTCGTCTTTCCCTTTGGGAAGAAGACGTTCGAACGTGATGCATATTTTAGCGGCTTTCGTAGTGCAAGCCTCTTGGGGAGACCGTCCAAAACCCTCCAGATCGACGCTCCTCTAAACAGATCAGGCAGACATATTGAAATGTGCTATCATCTCAAGTCCTTGGAAAGATCCTCAGCTGCATGGACGGTCCGACAGTGCTCGGTTCATCACAAGTTCGATCTGACAACATCTCAATCAACATGGATTATTGTGAAGGCCAACTCTCTGATGAGGCGAGCGGTTGAGCAACAGCTCCGCGATCACATTACACGAGCGGCCGAGTCAGGCGACGCAAAATGCTCTGCGCTTGCACGTAGCTTGAACATACATCGGACGATTTGCAGCTGGACTGGAGACAACTGGCACTGGTACATTGGCGACTTGGAGTCTCGACTGTTCGATGAGACGAGAGATGTGCTCTCATCCCCCTTAGACAATATATCTCACGACGAAGCATTGTTGAGCGTCATGGCTATGCCTAGCCCTACAAATTTTCAGCAGCAAGACGCATCGGGACGACAAGGCTCGCAGAGGCCTGAGAGACTGTCAGAAAGGCACTTGGACGGACAGCATCTTTGTTCACGTGGAAGGATGATCAAACAACTTTGCAGAACGCTTCCCACATTGACATGACGAACTTGGCCCAGCAAAACGTTCTGCCCGAAATCGAGGTACCCGTCGAGGACTTCAAGATTGGACGCATCCAAGAAATTCAAATCCTCGAAGACGAAGCAAATAAGGCAATGTTCATATTGAGAGCGAATTGCAAGGTCCTGCGCAGCGTCCAGCAAGAGTACGACAACCTTGCTAGCTCGGCTGATGCTCTCGCGGACCAGTGTGCATCAGAGTTGGAAGCATTCCATCATTACATTGACACTGTCGTCAATGACCTGGAAATACTGCAGCCCAAACTAGATAGTTTGCTCAGGATGGCGGCAGATCGCAAGTCTCTTGTAGGTCAATCAAGCTTCGCCAAGATGTGAGATTCGCTGACAGAAGCAGGTTCAGCAAATCCTTCAATATCGCAGCACGCAAGCAACACAAACAACTGCTAATCGAGGCCAAGACACTGCAGAGAGCATGGAACTAATGACTCGCCAGATGCATCGAATGACGGAGAAGACTGTCCAGCAAACAGCTTCGATGAACATCATTACTTTTGTGACCCTACTATTCCTACCAGGCACATTCATATCGGTAGGTAGGACTCCACGTTACGATTGGCTGTAGAGGCACGCTGACTGCTGCGAAGACGCTCATGAGTACGCCTATCGTCAACTTCGATGCGCCTACATCTGGATTTTCGTTGAACAACATTGGCGTTGGAGCTCTGGAGTTGTATCTCGTGGTGAGCTTGCCACTGCTGTGCGTGACAGTCCTGTTGTGGATTGCTTGGTATCTTCATGAGAGGCGAGGGTCCAGTGAGCAAGTCATGGACGAAGAGCGGCAGTGAAGATTTTGATGGAAACTGCATGTGCAGTGATATCTGCGGGCGTTACCGAATAGCTGGACGGCGTGCGCTGAGCCGGCTGAGCCGTGCATCTCACCGCAGCGGCTGAACTGCAACAGACAACAAGGCTGCAGCGCGCTCGAGGGAACGGGCGGGTAGGACCGACCCCGCCTCAGGTCCGAAGTGATAAGGCAGACTTCCTTTTCATGGGGGGCTTGCTCGCAATAAATCGAGGTTCGCAGCGCCGGCATACTTACTTTGGGCTTCTTGCCGCAGTCTCACGGGACTCTTTGCGCTCTTTGCAACGGCTTTGAGTTCCGCATCGTCGCCTTCGTGCGCCTCCTCGTCCTTGAGGGGCGACTGCGCTCGCGCTCATTGCTGTCTCGTTTCATGTGACTCAGCCGCGTACGTGGTCTCCTCCTCTTGGCCACATCCTACCACGACCCCGTCCTCCCGCTATCAAGACTTCCCATCCAAGCAAATCGTCCCTAGCTTGCGCCCGCGGCCGCTGACTGGCTTGGCTGCCGTGGACGGCGAGGCGTAATGTCTTACGTATCCGGAGCTTCGCAGCCAGACCACAGTCAAGCGCTGCAGGAACTCCTTCAATGGATCGAGAGGCGAAGTATTTCATCTTACGACATTGAGACTGGAGCTGTTGACAGCGGCAGAGTCTTCATGCCGAATACATCGGTCGAGAACTACTTCCAAGAACACAACTGCAAGAGAACCAAGGACCTCCTCGCCGCCGTTTATCCGGATGAAGATGCTCCTCCCGCAAGAGATATTGCCGAAACGTGTCCACGCATCTTTTGCATCCTGACCTTGATCAGCAAGACAAAATACATTCGATTCTTCACCAAGAGGAATACCCTCCTGGACAATCGGCTTCCATTTGAGGCAAGGCCAAAGGACTTCCCGACTTCTCCCAGCGATCCTAGCTTCTTCGAGAATTTCAAAAAGCACCAATGGCGCTTTTGCGCCCCTGACTTGGAAGGCCGTAGTGGCCGTCGATTTGATGACGAGGAGATTCTACCTATCAGCGAACTCAAGAAAGCTGGTGGTGGCGGTAGTGCGACGGTTTACAAAGCCACAATACATACAGAACACGATAGATTGGTTCGTTTTGACCCGTGTTCTCCGTGCTTGTGCTGACATCTCGACAGCGTAAGGCGGCAGGCAATTGTTACGCGTTGAAAACGTTCAGGCCCGGCGAGGACGACTTCCAGCGCGAGGTCGACGCGTTTGACAAGATCACCGGCCAAGGCATGCGGACGACAGAAAACATTATTGAATTTTGCGGCGCTTTTGAATATCGGGAGACCTTGAATATTGTCCTCGAATACGCTGAGGGCGGAACTCTCGAACAATATTCCCAGACAAATCAGCCGCCAAGCGATGGCAAAAGTATCATCGACTTTTGGGAAGCTATATTTGGCTTGTGTCATGCCCTCCACCGAATCCATGAGTCGCATCTGCCTCCAGGTGTAGCAGGAAGACGGCTGGTTCTTCAAGGGTATGTGACGTATCTCGATACCGGTGCTCGTCTAGATAATTGACTTTCCGCGCAGGTGGCATCAAGATCTCAAACCCGCTAATATACTTGTCGTAAAACGACCTTCCTCAGAGGAAGCGTTCCCATGGAATTTCAAAATTGCTGATTTTGGACTTTCACACTTCAGGAGCATACTGAAAGGATCGGAAGAAGCCACTGATTTGGCCAGATCGGGGACGAGAACCTACGGTGTGTACTTTCCCGTTCGATCTTCCTGCATGAATGACTGACTTCAAGCAGGTGCCCCGGAATGCTACGCAGAAAGCAGTAGAACAAGTGATCGACAGAATATCGTCAAGCGAAGCATCGACATTTGGTCCCTTGGTGGCATATATAGCGAAACTGCTGTTTGGGTCGTTTCCGGCTATACGGCGATCGAAGAGTATCGACACGCTCGCAAGAGGGCAACAGACCAACTGCTTACCAACTTCCGTGATGGCGACGCCTTCCACGACGGAAGCAGACGGCTACCAATAGTGGATCAGCAGCATGACTATTTGAGACCAGACATGCATCCCGACGACTTTTTGACTGGTCATGCCTTATTTGTGATAGGCAAGGAGATGCTTCACTCAAGCCCGGCATCGCGTCCAAGCGCAGAACAGCTTGTCAGCAAAGCAGAGGACGTGGTCAAGGAGGCAAGAAAACTACTCAATGAAAAGACCTCCCGCGACTCGTTCTCTGGACAGCCATCAAGCCTTCAAGGCTCTCCATCTGAAGACAGATTCAGTCCATCAGCTGCTCGTCCTCACCTCGCACAAGATCCAGAATACCCAGAACGCCCTGGACTGTACTCTACCCCTCGGCATACCAACAACTTCCCTAGCCATCACGTGCTGGCAAATTCCGTTCAGCCCCGGGCTGGACCGTCCGTGGGCCATCACGACCAAGAAGGCTTTGCGCCGCAAGTGAACGAATCTATCACATACCCGAACGGAGCATCGAATCATACTATCAATGGCCAGTCGAATTTGCCTTTTCGTCCTGCTCCACCCGGAATAGTCACTCAGCGGAATGAGGAACCGCCAAAGTGTACCGTCGGAGAAGCTTGGGAGTGGTATCACGACACCAAGTATGGAAAGGATGTTAAACTGCCTCATGACGGTTTGACGTGGGAGCTTGAAGGACGTGATCATGTAAGCCAACGTTACGTCTGCTCAAGATTCAAGGCTGACCCACGGTAGGTTTTCATCATCGACGACTCTAGGTCAATGCAACCGTATTGGAGAGAAGTCGAGAGGCTTGCGCAACTACTAGCCTTCATTACCAAGAGGATGGACAGGGATGGACTGGAGCTGTACTTCCTCACTTCTGAAAGGGGCTACAAATGCTCGAGCTCATCGAGACTTGCACGGTACATTCGCGACCGCGCACCGGATAAGATGACCAACTTGAACTCCCGCTTGGCCGCGGACCTGAGATCCTATCGGGAACAGATCGATCGCATCAGGAGCCAGACCAGAACACGTCGCACGAGTCTCTTCGGTCGCCCGGGATTGGTACAACGAAGCATCTATGTCTTCACCGATGGAGTCTGGGAATCCGGCGAGGATGAACAGGGACAGGAAGCTATATTCCTTACGGCAAACAAGTTGGCCGAGACTGGGCTCGAGAGAAAGCAGATCGGCATCCAGTTCATCAGGTTTGGAGAGAGTGAGGTTGGGAGACAAAGACTGGAAGCACTGGACAATCTGAATGAGACTCATAATCTGGCAAAGTCAGTTGACACCTTTCATGCCTATTGAACACAATGCTAACGAGTAGCAGGGATATTGTCGACACCGAACCTGCCAACGGAAATGTCTGGAAAATGCTGCTCGGTGCTATCAATCCCAAATTCGACAACGATCCCAGGAGAGTTTCCTCGCCGACCATGTATGGAGGGTGAAGCGAAATTCGTGGTACTGTCGTCAAGTCCGCGAGGATATAGAGGCGTACTCGAAGACTCAACACCGAAAGAGCGCAGCGACGCAGTGGTCGAAAAATATTGGTTTCCAGGCTACGAGACAACTACCAAGGCTGGAATATGTCCTTCCGAATGACCTTTCCAACATCCTGGTCCCGTTTGCCCTGGACGACATCCTTGATGAACTCGCCGCCGACAGAAGGATGCGTGGCTCCCATCTACCACCAGAGTCAGTGAACATCGCTATCACCATGATCTTTTTCAAGAACTTACCTTCTTCAGCTGCTCCTCACCAACACCACCAAATTCATTCGTCATGACCATGGTCCCAGCGACGTTCACGTCCCAGGTCTTCATTCAGATTCCGCGGATCCCCCATCTCGCCGGCTTGGAGTTGACGGTCGAATCCTGCTTGATGAGGCCGTCGATTTCGGGGTATCGGGAGGTTATGCATTCGCGAGCGGCGGAAATGGAAGAGTTGGATTTGAGGTCGACTTGGACGACCGTGAGGGTGCTGGTCATCTGAGGGGATTCTTGCTTGGGGGATTTGATGGCCTCTTCGCCCTTCTGAGGCGCTCGGCAGCCGATGATGATCATCTCGTAGGGAGTATCAGAGCGGATCATGGCTTTGACGACGGCTTCCAGGCCAAGACCGGTATTGCCGCCGGTGATGTGATGAGGGCGATTTGCTTGTTGGAAGACAATTTTTGGTGGCTGTTGAAGATGCTGTGGAAAAAATTCGAAAAGCGCTCTGAGCAGTGGATGATATGTATGTCTGAGAGCTGAGAGATGGTTGGAAGAGACATCTAGGTCTGTCGATATCTGTCTATATATATATATATATATCACCTCTTCGCATTCGCGCCAATGTCACCTTACCAAGCGGAGGTAACGCTCGCTGCGATCCGACTCTCTGCACATGCAGAACACGTCGTCGAAGCTTTATTTACACATTGCTTTAAGCTGGTTTGTGTGAAAGAACGAAGAGTCGCCTGGGCGTTCGTGCCCTGCGCTTCTCTCGTCCGTGAGTGAATGACTTAAGGCCTTTTTTTCCCGCCAGGGACGCCACTTTGTACTGGTTTTCTAAAGGCTGAAAGCGGTTTGCTCTTCGAACTTCGTCACCACGGCAGTCGGGTCCATCTTCTCGGCCGATTCTGCGATCTTCTTCCGGAGTTGAGGCCCTTCGGGAAACGCGAATCGAACAGCAATTAATCAAGATGTTCCATGCTGACGCTTCTGCGCTCATGTCATCTTTGATGACACCATTGACATCGCGGCGAGAACAGTCTCAATAATCGCGACGGCTGGAGGGTACTGTGGTCGACCTCTCCAGACTTTCTGTAGGCCTCAAATATTTCCTCGGGAAGACTTCAGGCCAGCAAGCACGGTGGCGCGCCTTCTAATGAGTGCAACTTCAAACAACGGGACAGCTTTCAGCAGATCTCAAAGTCCTTATTACACGTATTATTCGCAGCTTGTTGCGCTTTCACCCATGCAGCAATGCTCGAAACGGCGTGAGATACATCGTTCAGATGCAGCTGGAAGAAGCCCTGCAACTGCGAAGGTGTAAATGTGTCATCGGGGATCTCTCTGGCGAATTGAGAGGCCAACATCTTCAGCTGCTCCAAGGTGACGTGCCTGTCAAGCCCATCCAACTTTTCGGAGGCGTCACGAGCCCAGCTGAGGAGATCAGGCTCAAACATTCGCAGGAACATTTGCTCGGCAGAATGCTTGCTGATATTGCCCATGTAGAGCTTGAAATCAACACGGCCAGGTCGAACAAGTGCAGGGTCCAGCAGTTCTGAGTGGTTGGTGGTCATGATTACTATCCGGCCTTCCCGTGACCCAACGCCATCGAGAACATTCAGAAGGCCAGATAATGTGACATTGGAGATAGTGCTGCCGGATTTGTCACTATCGCTGTCATTCAAAGGCCTTTCGTGGCGTTGCTGGGCCCAGACCGCATCAATGTCCTCCAAAAGTACGATGCAGCGCGGAGGTATCTCCTGGAACATCTGCTCGAGGTCGCCATCATTGGCAATACTTGGCACCTTGACCTCGTACAGGTCAAGTCCGAATTCTCCAGCGATAGCAGTGGACAGAGACGACTTTCCAGTTCCCGGGGGTCCATAGAACAGATAGCCTCTCCGGTATGGCATACTGCGGCTCTGGTACAGCTTCTGTGTCCTCGGATCCAGATAGTTGCGGATATCTGCCAAAAGGGCCTGCTTGATGCTGTCGTCAAAATGCACCGTCTCCAGTCGGCGCAGTGGTTTACGATATTTCGGCTTCCACGAGAGGCCATAGCGATCTCTGCTGTATATTATTACATAGAATTGCGTCTTCTTCTCGGCGTACTCGCGACATGTATCAATGAAATCCCGGATAGGGTCGGCTGACAGGCCAAGGCAGCTGATTGACAATTCTTCCCCTCCAACGCCGTCGTATGTTGGGTCATTCATAGAAGCACTGAAGCTTTTCAACGAGCGACTGACATAAAACAGCTTCGAGCCATGCCAGAACCACGCCGTCTCCCAATGAGGAAAGTATTGAACCGCTCGTTGTGTCTTCTTCAACGACGCTCCAGGCTCCAGATCTCGCCCGACTTCAGTCCGGGCTGTGTGGAATCGCAGATTTCTGGGATCTATCACGCTCTCCAGAACCCAGCTGCTGACGCTCCTATTCAAAGGGTCGCCAGCGGGGATCGTAACTGAGGCAATAAACCATCGCTTCACCCACGTCGCAGCTTCTCGCCAAGCACGATGGAGAAATCTCCACGCAGCAGGCACGACTCCAACGACGGCGAGAATCGATCCGAGATGAGTGAAATCCAGTTCGGAGATCCGGTTGATCAAAATCGCCTTCATGTGTCCGACGCCGTGAATGGATGGGTCTAAAAGCCGAAGGTTGGCCGCTCCTCCCGCGTGGAATGACATCCTAAGAAGGAGGCGCTTGGTTCGAACGGCGAACCATTGGGGAAATCGAAACTCCGCCCGATGCAAATAGCAATTTGTATATAATACAGTGATATGGGAAAATGAAACGGCCGAATGTCGATGTCGGAGAGAGGAAGAGAGATTCTCATCTTTCACTCTCCTTTTCGATATCCAGGGAAGGAACGGAGTTCGGGCCGAGCCCGAAGCCAATGGCTCCAACCTCCCATCCCTTTCGGACAACATGCATCTCGAGACCCTTCACCAAGACAAGAAGAATCCATCACCATGGATCTCATCCGCCAAGCCTGGCAGTTTGTAGTAGACCCCTACTACACAAGATACCTCGGACCCCTCCAACTAGCCGGCGATGCCCTCCTCTGCGGTCTCGTGATAAGATACATCCCCTGTAAGCCATCTCCATCCCCCCCCAAAAAAGAAACGCCCCGGAAGAGCTTCTCACTCACATATCTTGTTTGTTCAAAAAGACACCGAAATCGACTGGAAAACGTACATGCAACAAATCTCACTCTACATCTCCGGAGAACGCGACTACGCCAGAATCACCGGCGACACCGGGCCCCTAGTCTACCCAGCCGCGCACGTGTACATCTACCGCGCTCTCTACTACCTCACAGACGCCGGCCAAGAAGTCCAACTCGCACAGTATCTCTTCGCGGCGCTGTACCTCCTGACGCTCGGCGTTGTCATTTCCTGCTACAGGAGAGCCGGAGCGCCGCCATACCTGCTCCCGCTGTTGAGTCTGAGTAAGCGGGTGCATAGTATTTTCGTGCTGCGGTTGTTCAATGATTGCTTTGCGGTGTTGTTCCTCTGGGTGGCGATTTGGTGTTACCAGAGGAGATTCTGGACGTTTGGGAGTTTGGCTTATTCGTTGGGGCTGGGGGTGAAGATGAGTGTTTTGTTGGCGTTGCCGGCGGTGGGGTTGGTGCTTTGGCAGGGTATGGGGAGGGATCGGGCTTTCTATCAGGCGCAGAGTATAGGGCAACTTCAGGTGGGTACTCCGTCTCGATGGAAGATCAGATGGGTACTAACAGCGGGCAGACTCTACTTGCATATCCATTCATCGTGGGTGGGTTGAAGAGCTACGTGACGAGGGCGTTTGAATTCACCAGGACGTTCATGTTCAAGTGGACGGTGAATTGGCGCTTCTTGGGCGAGGAGAGGTTTCTGGGACGGCCGTTTTCATTACTGCTGATTGCTGCCCATCTGACCCTCCTCTACACCTTTGGAGTCGGGAGATGGCTGAAACCTTCCGGATGGAGTTTATCCGAAGCCATCGACAAATTCCTCTCGCCTCCGCCGAAAGGGAAAGAGGAAGAAGGCAGAATCTCGCGGCGGGTGACACCAGACTTTGTCATGACCAGCATCTTGACCGCGATCATCATCGGGTGCCTCTGTGCTCGAAGCTTGCACTACCAGTTCTTCGTCTACATCGCCTGGTCGACGCCTTTCTTGCTCTGGAGAAGTGGAATGCACCCGATTCTGATATACGCGATCTGCATCGTGCAGGAATGGGCGTGGAATGTCTACCCGAGCACCAATACGAGCTCGCTGGTAGTGGTACACTGTCTCGGAGCGGCCGTGTTTAGCATCTGGGTAGGGACAAGTCCTCTGCTTGCTCCAAAGGCCAACGAAAGTCAGGCAGATGACCAGAGCAAGCACGAGCATGCAGAGTGATCAAGATCATGATATAGCTTGAGATCATTTTCGAGTCTGCAGCTTAGTCCGACTCGTCATCGGAGGGTGGAAACTTCGGGCCATCATCCTCTTCGTCGTCGGAGTCCGCTGTATAGGTGGATCTCTTCGCTTCAAACTCCTTTGGCCAGAACGATGCTTTCCTCCACGCCTTCTCATCGCCAACAAGATTGACGATGTCCCCGCCCAGCTTGTTGTCGCGATCAGCCATGGAAGATGTGTCGACTAGGGCGAATGAGCCCCGCTTAATCCAGATAGTCGAGCGGAACTTTGCCGGCAGCTCGGCCAGAAGTACCTCGCCATCAGGCAGCTCCAGGTGATACAGGTTGTTCCCAGCGGCATTTTTCACACGCGCGATTTTCTGGCCGGGCCGGAGAATATCAGGTGGTGTTAGTGTCTCCTCCGCCACTGCTTGGATATTACGCTTGGGCTTTGGCATGATAGCGGCGAGAGGTGCGTCTTATCTTCGAGCTCGTGCCCTACTGCGGGAAGAGAGCTCTCGGCTGCCGATCCTTTGAGGTGCTCTTCGCGAATGTCGAATGGCGGTCAATGAGAATGCAGAAGGATTGTGCAATGGGTTCCGTAGCGGTGTCGCTGCAGCTGGGGTATCTCCTCGAGTCGTCTTCACCGGGTTCCAGGCTCGGAGATGCTGCAGAAGGACGGATTTCCCGCAGGAAAATGTATGCTGAAAATGCACGCGTGGGTATGCAGCAGTGGCCTTGGCCTGACGACGGAGAGTACAGCGGCGAGTGGGAGCGTCACACTTACACCATGGGCAGCTGACTTGCAGCTCCTGCACTACGTCTTCGTTGGTATGCGGTTTGACTTCACCGCCGGCGTTGGAGTGGGTGAGAGTGGGTGAGAGTGGGTGAGGGTGTGTGAGGCTCGTGACAAGATCCGCGTGAAATTGGGGGAGATCCTTGGTTCAGCCGGGAGCTTGTGGTCGTCTGGTCTGTGCTGATTGGTGGGATGCACCCTTTCAACGCCCGGCGGTGTTGATTAGCAGCGCACTTGCAGCTTTGTTGTGTGTGTGTATTATTGCCTTTCACGTGCTGTGAGCTGCTCGGCCAGAAGCAGCGCAGCAGGGAGACAAGACGTCGCACGGGCGCGTCGGGGATGCACACACAGCACAGGTGTGTCGCAGCAGGCGAGGGTGAAGAGTGCGCATGTCGTCATTATATACCCGTCCAACTTCTTCTTCTCCTTCTCCTTGGATTCGTACTTGACTCTCCCGCACCGCGTAGGCCACTCCCGAGACAATCGCTGCTGTGCGGTGAGACGTGTCACCACTGAGCCGCGACTCGCCTGAGACCGTGCAGCGGCTGTCCCAATGCTGCGATTCTTCCGCTCCATCAGCAGAGGACGTCGGAAAGGCGACAACGAAGACACCTGGTCTCCCTTCGCTTCATCTCCCGAACGACCTCGCCACCGCGCCGTTGGTCGCGCCCGGCATCAGACCAACATCGACGACCGCGAGTACGAAGAACACGACGATGACAACCACGACGACCACGACGACGACCACGACGACCACGACGACGATGAGTTCTCCCCGCGACGGCCTCTGAATACGCAGCAAGATTACTTTGGACGGCCGAATCACTACCAAGATTACGATGATCTGGAAGAGGGAGCGGTCGAGGACGAAGATGGAGGTGAAGACGAAGACGCGGAGGGGACGCCACTGCTACCCATCTTCTCGGCGGCGCATCTTGACAGGCTGCCCCTGTACAACATTACACATGCCATTCGCCAGCTGATCGTGGCGAGATGCGAGACCACGCTATCGTGGGATCAGCTCCGCTCGCCTCAGATCAGCCAGTTCCTGGTGAAGCCCATCCAGGGCCAGATCAGGGCTGACCATTTCAATCGCGCGACGCTGTGTGCGTTGATTGCGAATTGTCTGCAGTTCCAGAAAGAGGGACAGATGAGCCCGGGAAATGTTGGTGTATCGAGGACAAGAGCCGCCATCAGCGAGCTTCTGGCCATGCGGTTGCTGAGAGATTATTCCACACGCGAATTGATCGATTCGCTCTCCTATGACTTCGATCCTCTGCAGGGAATGTCGTCCGCGACGGAGAACACACAGAATGTGACACAGAATGTGGTCCGGAGACCTCAGGGCAGGGTAGCAAGAGTCAGCACAATCGAGATTGCCATTCGCGCTGAGGCGAAGCGCTTCCTTGCCCACCCTCTGGTGGTTCAGCATCTAGAAGCGATCTGGGCTGGCAATATCGTCTTCCATTCCGAAGCCGACAACCTTCACCGGAGACATCGACAGTCTGAGGAGGGCTTCAAGGGTCGCATGGCCGGTTATGGAACGAATGGGCCTAATACCAGCGCCTTACCGGCTGATTCTGTCCTCTCCAGGAAAGCACACAGCAGCAGGCCTATTCCGCGCTCAGTGGAGCCACCTCCCGCACGGCGAGCGGTGACCCTATATAACCCCAAAGATGCCTCACTCTTCAAGCTCAGCCGTCTGCGGGTCCCGAGATACAGGCAAGTATTCAGCACGGTCAGCTTTGCAATCATGCTTGCACTCTTCGTGGCAGTATTGGCCGACCGAAACTTGGTCATTACGCCTCTTGAAGTGCTTTTCTGGTTCTGGAGCATTGGCTATATGCTCGATGAAGTCGTAGGATTCACAGAGCAAGGCTTTGGATTGTACATTCTGAGCTTCTGGAACGCGTTCGACCTTGGAATTTTGGTTCTGTTCGTCATCTACTACTGCCTGCGTCTCTACGGAATCGTCCTGGCCGACGAAGGCAAACACAGGATTGCGGGCATTGCATACGACGTGCTAGCCGCGACTGCAATCTTGCTGTTCCCACGACTCTTCAGCGTATTGGACCACTACAAGTACTTCTCCCAGCTACTCATTGCCTTCCGCCTGATGGCTATGGATCTGATGGCGGTCTTGGTCTTGATTGTTATCAGCTGCTCAGGCTTCTTCGTCGCTCTATCACTGTCGTTTGCGGACACCAGAGATGCGAATGGTGTCGCTTACTCCCTCTTCCAGATCTTGATGGGCTTCACGCCAGCTGTCTGGGACCATTGGGCTGGCTACAACTTCCTTGGAAAGGCCATTATGGTCATATTCCTCTGCATCTGTCACTTCTTGGTTGTCACAATCCTCATCACCGTACTTACCAACAGTTTCATGGCAATCGTCAAGAATGCGGAAGAAGAGCACCAGTTCCTCTTTGCGGTGAACACGATCTCCATGGTGAAGTCGGACGCCTTGTTCAGCTATGTCGCTCCGACGAACGTAGTGGGATGGATGCTCAGTCCACTGCGTTTCCTCATCCCGCTCCGTTCGTTCGTCAAGTTCAACCGGACGATCATCAAGATCTCGCATTTTCCGATCCTGTTCACCATTTTCGCTTATGAGCGCATGATAATGGCAAGAAGCGCTTTTGCGCCCGCCGAGTGGATCGAGAGGCAGCCAGTCCAGAAGAAGCAGGCTGTTGCATTCAGCGGCAACAAAGCTCCTGAGCTGTACACGCCAAGTCACAGACTCCGAGAGCCGTCCGTCATCAGCTTTAACAAAGATCGAGCTTTGGATGAAGTTTTCAGACGGCCGTTCCAGGGCGACACACTTCGGACTACTACGCAAGACATGGATGTCGATCGAAGAAAGTCCACTGCCGTTGATCATTGGATGGAAACTGCAGAGAACGAAGGAGGAGCTAGCCCGCCACTTGAAGAACCAAGAAGCGTTCTGGAACGACTGGAGCATCGCCGACCCAATTTTAGACGTGCTAATACCGGTGATACTCGTAGGAGAATGATGAAGCCTTCCCGAGAATTCTCAACGGCGACACGCAGTGTGGCTAGTGACCCAGATTTGCTGTCGTTGACGGCTTCTCGGTGGCCAAACCGCATTGAAGAGGAGCCAGAAACGAGCACGGGCGAATCTCCACAAGACACGGAGGCTGATGGAGATGATGAGATCAATGAGTCCGAGGACAATGCCACACCAGCATTGGGCGAGAGTGCTCTATCAATTGACCGGACCACAGGTGATGAAAGTGAGTCTGAGTTTTTCCAGACACCAGTGGGACCAAGTTCGCCATTGATGCAGCTATCTCATGCCGCAAGAGCACGAATCGCTCATGCTCCGGAAATGTCTCGAGCCGTTGCACCACCGCAGCGCCTTCAGGGGCAGCCGAGGAAGAATCACAACCGCCAGACGTCTAGCGGCACCATCTTGTTCGCGCCGGAGCCGAGCTTCGAGGACTCTTCGACGTCGAACCCGGCCCGGCCCTCTCGAGCCCAAACCACCAAGAGGCTCAGCGCTGGTAGTGCTACGCCGCCGGCAGCAAGCCTTCTTGGCAACGATGGACCTTCTGGCACGCGGACACCTGGCAGGAAACAAGCGCAGCAAACGAAGGCACGTCCGATTATGCCTCCTCGCCAAAAGACTGCACCTAAAAAGCCCGGTCTCACCTTCCTCGACATGCCGCCTGCAAGACGTCGTGATCCATCGTTCAATGCACGTGCTCTCGATCTTGCCAGTGACTTGGGCGACAACAAATTCTCGGGCGGTGGCATCGACGCGGGCGGTATCTCAGGCATGCCCGCTTCCTTCAGCGAACAGATGATGCGCGAGCGCGAACTTGAACGCCGAGCGGAAGAAGATCGTCGCCGTAGCGAGGAAGAAGAAAAGGGCATGGTGAACCGCATCATGCTCGCGAGGATGCACACGCTCGAGGAAGGGTTCCGCGAGGTCTTGAAGGAGATCAAAGATCTCAGTCAGACTGCTAATAGCGGATCGAGGCGCGACAGCGAGGCCGATGCGGGAAGTCATCTGCCGAAGAGGCCTTCGCGGCCGAAGGTAGAACCTTCGACGAGTGCTGTTGGTGATGGTACTCCTGCATGGCAGCCTCCTAAGACTCCGATTGGCCGGATCGGGGGCAATGAGAAGAGTAAGAAGGTCAGTCCGAGGAAGGCTGTCACGAAGAAGAAGGAGAAAGAAAATGAATTCCCTCGATCTGGCAGTGCTGGGGACTTGTTGAAATTGAGCCGAAGTGAGGTTCCCCTGTCGCGTCACGAGTCTCTTCCGGCTGGTGGTGGTACCGCTTCTCCGGACTCGGTGCAATCTGTGGTGGAAATCCCGCGGGAGGAGGTGTCGACGAGACCTCCGACCGCTTATCGCACAGAGCATACACAGAAAGATGAGGAGGATGAGCAAGAGGAAGAGGGTAATGTCGACAGGAAATCATGACGGCTTCTGTTTTTTTGCCGATGCCAGGGGTTTTTGACTTCGTTGGAAGCAGACGCGTGTATTACGAGCGAGCGCGCGCTCCACTTTTTTCGATTCAGTGCTTGGGGATACACGATTACTAGAGTAGAATCTGATAGAGCGGGTTTGGGGTCTTGGGTGGGGCGTTCTTCTTTTGGCATACGGCACGGCACGGCATGGTATGGCATGGTATGGCATTGATACCTCCTGCGTGTTTTTGTTGTTTAGTGTATAAATAGAGCACTGAGTGGATAGGAAGGGTCTGCATAGGGAATTGGGGTTTTGGGTATTATCGACTAATGTTGCGCATGCATGCATGGTTGCTATGCTTCGATTTGTATCTTCCTGTCGTACAACGTGCAACGCAGTCTCAAGAGCCATTTCAACGCCGATTTGTTGAGGCGCTCTGATTTCTCCATCGCGTGGTAGAGCAATTGCAATGAGTCGTGGCACTCTTCTTCGTCTTCACCCGCTCCTCTCACACGCTCCTCTCACACCGTCGCCTCCTCAATCTCCTCCTCTCCGGCATCATACTCCTTTTTCAGCATCTTCTCCGCATCCCCAGGCCATTCGAGAAGCGCAGACGAGTAAATGAGCTCCTCCTCATTTCCGGAAAAGTCGGATTCGTCCACCTTATACTCTCAGGCTCAGTCGCGTTAGAAGCCACAACAGCAACCTTTCCAAAGGACATATGAGTTGCAGTAGTAACGGGGACATTGAAATACGGCTGAGAAGGGAGGGTTCTGCGTGGACCATGCCCTCCCTAGATTGCAGTTTTTAGCAGGTCAAGTGAAGTTTTCGCTGGCTGGAGAAAATGGAGGGTCCAAGATTCACATTACCGTACTTAGAGATTCCGGCATGCATGCGGCTTGTATGATTTCAATTAATAATACCAAGCCCGTTGTAAAGTAGAATTGCCGGATTTGATGTAATAATGCGACCAGTCCAGATCATATCTCTATAGCCAGCCCGGATTGAAAGTCAGTCCCAAACGCGTCCGAATGAGTGCATCACAAGGGTTGTGACAATTAGTGACTTGAAGGTCGAGCGATAAATGAAGTAGTCAGACGAAAGCAAGGGAGGATTCGAGGGATCGGATGCATTTTGGCACATGCCCAGGGCTCTTCGTTATAAGGCTTCATTCAGTTCGTATCTCGGCACGATTCGAGGCTAGTACATCTAGATGCTTGTCCAGACTTCATCATCCTTGGCAGAGGAGTCGTTTTTCGGTCAACATTCTGGCATCTACACACCGCCTCCTAGAACATCTCGTTAGCAAGCTACTGAGTACTCCCGAAGGTGCGAGGTTTGGTTGGAGAAAGGGTTACCCGATCGATGAGTTTCTACATGGAACGTTCCCGCGTTCTTTCTCTTATCTTGTTCTTGACGGTACCGCACGGCTGCCCAGGAGGAGATGAGGACAGCAGTGGATACGAGGAGAGTATTCCGCCGGCTTATGGGAATATCAGCTTGGTTTGCTTCCGGTGTGGCGAGAGGAGAGGGCTGTTTCCAACGTACTTGATGAATGCCTCCAAGCCTGCCATGGTAATGCTCTTGGAAGCGTTCTTCGGGCGAGTCAATGATCAGCGAAGCGAGACCAATGAATCCAAGAGAAGGTTGGTTATTGTTCAAGACGATGCACGCGATTGAGAGTGGAGATGGCTCTGCAGAGAGAAGGAGGTCAAGCACAGAAGGGCCAGCTGACGGAAGGAGGAAACACTCTCCGCGGTTACTAGTACCTTACCTCAAGATGTCACCTGTCGATCCACAATCAAGCTCGTCCCTTCCCCACACCCCCGCGACCTAGTTCCCAATGCGGCAGGAGCATAGGCCACCTGGATGAATGACATCAATCACGTGGCCACATGAAGCATGCGGAAAGCTACGGCCTGTACTTTCTCTCCGAGGCATCAACAAATATCCAACCGGAACGTGAACACAACACTACCATCCAAACGACCAGCTCTACAACGAACCGATCGAGATCCGCCCACCATGGCTTCCAGCTCAGCCCCAGCGGCACCCCTCCTCTACAGCTGCATCGCCTACCGCGAAACAATCCTCACCGAACACACCACCACCTCCGCAACAACCCAATCCAGCGCCCTCGCATCCGCCATCCTCCCCAAAGTCGACCACGACACCCCGCAAAAGATCACCTTCACCCACGACGAATCCTCCAATTTCATCCACTACATCGCCGACGCCAGCACATCCAGCAATCCCGACAACCCGAGCGCCGCCGGCCTCACCTATCTCGTAGTAGCCAAACGCGACGTCAAGCAGAGCAGAGCATTCCAATACCTCCTCGAAATCAAGAGGAGATTCCTCTCCCAATATCCGCCTACGAACACGCAGTTTTCTTCGCTGCCGCCGTATGGCGCGGGAGCTTTCAATGCGACTTTGCGGCAGCTGATGCAATCCTCGAGGCAGTCTACGGATGCCTTTTCTTCCGTGCAGAATGAGATTGAAAGCGTGCGGGGGATCATGACGGAGAATATTGAACGGGTGCTGGAGAGAGGGGAGAGGATAGATTTGTTGGTGGATAAAACGGATCGGCTGGGAGGGAGTGCAAGCGATTTTAGGGTGAGGAGTAGAGGGCTGAGGAGACAGATGTGGTGGAAGAATGTGCGGTTGATGGTGCTGCTTAGTGTGGTGGTCGTTTTCCTGCTGTATCTGTTTGTTGGCTTTGGGTGTGGATTGCCGGCTTGGGGAAAATGCATTGGTTGAGGAGAGTATGAGGGGAGATTACTCAGTACAAAAGCAGGACCACAACTTCATGATTGTGAGCGTATGGCGTTTGTATAAGTGAGCGGTTCAGCAGCAAGGCAAGGCAAGGCGCAAGTTCGAACAACAGGACACCAGCAAAAGGCAGCAATTGCCATAATCGTCACACTCATGTCATCAGCATTTCTCGTCAATCATCCTCTCTTCTCCACCTCGACACCTCGACAAGATCAAGCACTATCTCCCCACCCAAGCGCCTCCTCCAACTTCTCCTTCCCACTCTTCCCAGCTCCCTCCAACAGACCCCTCGTCTGAATCTCCTCCACCATCTCCGCAAACAGCTCATCCCCACTCTGCGCCTTCATCTGAAACTCCTCCCAGTTATCCTTCATCCACTGCACATCCTCCCCGGCCTTCGGGATCAAAAACCCCGCCTCATACCCCCCAATCATGCCTCCAAGCAGAATACAAGCCCTCAACTCATAGTCCACACCTTTCCCCGCCGAGTGCCCATTCCTCTTGTCCACCGGCATCGGCACAACCCGATTCCAAGCTTCCACAATCTCATTGGTGAGATTATTCCAGTCTTTCTGTGTGCGGGAAGGACCGACGCGGACATTGGCGAAGATGTGGTTGCCCGCGCGACGTTTGCCGGCGACGTAGGTTGTCGGGGCGTTGGGGAGGGTGTTGTCTGTGAATTTGACGTTGACGAACATGCGTGGGGTGGTGAATTTCTGGGAGTGGATGACGGTGATGGCTTCGGCGAGGTCGTCTTGTTGTTGAGCGGTGAGGGGGCAGATGTGTTGGACGTCGTAGAGAGGCATCTTGGATGTTCTGGGCCGGAGTCTTTCGTGGTGGACGACGGTCTGAGAGTGCGTTAGTTGGTTGAAAGAATAGCTTGGAGAATGGAGGACTGACGTTGAAATTATCTGGGAGCACTTGTGCTAGCTGTCGTAGGTTACTTAAGTAGGTAGCAGAGTGAAGACTGGCCGCGGTTCAGTCTACTAATCATGAGCCAAGTCAATGAGTGATCTGCGGAGTCTGGCCGCAAAAGATGACGAAACCGCGAAGAGCTCATCAACAGCTCGGAAGCTCAGGAGCTCAGAAGCTCAGAAGCTCAAAAGCTGCTGCCGTCCGGGTCCGTGAGCCGAGAGATCTATAATCCCTGTCATGAGACCAACGTGCTGTACAGAATTTGTATGTTGTTGTGGTATCTCATCGTGGCGCTAATAGCACGCCGCTTCTATGCAGTATCTGTACATTGCCAACATGTCCTTGCCGTGCTTCGTGCCAAACACCCGCGCTATGCGTGTTCCATCAAAAGGAAATGGTTCGGAAGTACGTTACTCGGCGATCTTCATACGCCGCTCTCGATTCTCGTAGTCGTGGAGCTCTTGAGAGGCAGGACTCCGCCGTATCTTATTTTGAGTCTTGAATCGCTGTCTCGACCTTCAACGAGTTGCGGAAAGGCTACGTTCACGTCAGACCGTGACTGCGACTCCACAGACACCTCCTTCTCTTCATAATTGGGGTCCAAGTATGGAGAATTTGCATGGCCTTGCCCAGGGTCCGATGCAGGCCGCTCCCCGCGCGCCCTTGGAAGCTCCATTCGTTCTGGTCGATCGTCCGGTGAAGTTGCCCAGTACAAGATTTGGTCCATATTATATGGATGTGTTTGCTCAGCTTGCTGCAAGACATCATCAAAGATTTCGCGTTGGCGACAACTTGAGGTCAATTTGAGCATATCCGCGAAGGCGGTGGGTGGAACTTTCTCTTCAGACCACTGCCGGCCTACGCGCTCTCGGCTTTTCGTTTTCAAAGCCTGAAGCTGCTTCCACACAGATAGTCCGGCTGCCCAGTCGCCTCTGAGAGCGCAATCATGCAGGAGTGGCGCCATGCCTTTCATGCACAAGCCCCATCCTTCCTCCGCCATACTGTGGACGATTCCAAGAGCCACATCGAAGCCACTGAACTTGAGTATACCTTTGACGAGAGCGCCAAATACTATCGGGCTAGCATGCGGGCGTTGTATGACCCGGCCAGAAGCCTCATCCCGGACCAGACGAGTATGGTTGTCATCGGTGATCATGATGTCTGGCCTTGCTTCCATCAAGCCCAGCCGGTACTCTTGATCGAGCGACGACCATGCGCGTGGTTTCGATTTGACTGATCCCCGCATAAGCGCGACCCAATGACGGAAATTCTCAAAGTCGCCGATGGTGGTGTTGTAGCCTAGAACAGCAGCCAGCGTAACTTCGTTGGGCCGCATGTGAGAGCCTTTCATCGCATGCACCGTGTTCTCGAACAATTCGTGTTCACTGAGATTGAAGAAGCCAACCAGCAACGTATTGTAGGTGTCCAAATCCGGAGGTGCGGTAGAACACTGCAAGTTGAAGGCTATCTTGGCGAGAAGTGCGGGCATCAGCAAAGTGCCGGACGTTGCACGCTCGAAAAGATACCGAAGGGTGGAATTGAGCTCGCTTACGACGTTGCGAAAGTGACCTTGATCGTCCTGGTGATAGCTGCAAAGCCGTTCACCACGACTCGGAATCGGCTGAGAAGGCGAACAGTCTTCGTCCGCCGTCCTTACAATACGGTCATAGTCTTCGTTCTTCCTGAAAATGCTTCTCAATATGAATGGTCTTGGCATCCGAATCAACGCAGCATACTCTGGGGGCACGGCATCGGCGGCCTCTTCGATCATTTCTGACCTGCGTATGGTGTCCATGATATTCAGCTGTAGCCAGTCCGATCTATTCATGATAAACTCCATCTTACGATAGTTGTATCGCCTTGAGCTGGCCTTGACCTTGTGGCTATCTGGAGCGTAGATGGATTGTGGCGCTAAGAAGCGCTCATCGAGCGGTGCGCCGGTGTTGGTAGGCCATCGCGGTCGGAGTTCGCGCGCTCTACCGCTGTCGAGGTTCGCTTCGAGCTCGCGTATGGCCTCCTCGCCTTCAAAGACTTGTTGTGACTTTACAATCCTCTTGGCTTTGACAGCCTCCTGTTCCGTCGGCTGCTCATCTTGATGACCAAGCTCCTCCTTGATCTCGGCGATCGCCTGGTCCCATTTCTCCCTGCGCTGGACCTTCTGTTTCGCATCGAGAGTTGCCGCGGCCGCGAAGATGCCCGAGTACCACAGGGTGGATGAGGTCCAGTACTGCGGGCGTCTGCCGGCGGAGGTGGTGGATCGTCTGGCGAGAGTACCTGGTGCGGAGGCGAGGCATTGCGGACATCGACAACCGGCCTGGGCGACGCGAGTCCAGAGCGTCTGCATCATCTGCCCGTCACCGGTAACTCCATCTCATCGTTGTAGCAGCATAGCTGTAAGTCATTGTCCGCATTTCAATGTCAAGGGAAGTCATGACGAGAGGGAAGAACTGCCGAAGTGACGCCGTCTCACCACTTTTGACGGTGGATGGACTGTTCTAACCTCAGGCAAAACTGACCGGAGTGACTCTCCATTGCTCTGTAGACCAACGCAGGCAACAACACAATAATGTCGTGGAGCGCAATGGAAAGGCATCGAAGCGCCGCAATGTACTCGTGTGCCCTGTGACTGGAAGAAGGAGCATTCACCATCTTCATTGACTTCTTGCCAGACGCCTGTTCTTGAGTCTGTCATTCCTTCAAAAGCTTCTGCGATGCCGCGACAATCGAGAGAAATAACTCTGTAATGTCCAAATTCTTCCGCAAGAGATCAACAGACAGCGACACTTCATCAAGCAGCAGCTCTCCTTCCGGTGAAGAGGAGCACGCCGAAGAGATCGATCAGCACGACCTCTCCATACAGCAAGACCTCAGCGACCTTTCCCTGGATCCAATCAACTACGGCCGACCGGTAGCTGTTACTGGAGGGTCCGCTGGTCAAGCCTGGCTACTGCACGCTCTGCTGGAGGAGAGATGTCGAAACCAAGTGCGAAGCGAGGGACGTTTCAACACCGAAGACGAGATTCAACGCGAGGGACGGCGAAGGTATCAGCTCTTATGTCGGCGGCTTGCTCCATTCAATCTGGTGTCAACGGGCTTGGACGTAAGTACGATGGAAGACGCCTGTACTCTGCGGCTTTACTGACACATATCAGCATGATCGCTATATCAACACCAGACAAGGCATTCGGGATCGTCTCGACAGCGTAAATGTCAACGCTCCTGTTGATTCGAACGCATTGCAGTTACAGAACAGGTCTCCACCGGCGACATCACCTCTTCCGGCGCCTTTAAGAAGGCTTCTCACCAACGGCGGTCCTCCGTCTGCGCCGGCAAGTCCTGCATCTCTCTTCGACGGTAGCTCGACGCTTGCAGTGACCGATAGGCCTGCGCGATATCTCGCCGATTTCGAGGAACTCGGACCGCTCGGCAAAGGTGGCTACGGTGAAGTCTTTCGTGTGAGACACATTCTGGATCAAAGGATCTACGCTGTGAAGAAGGTACCAATCAAACCGGCTCTTCTCGCGAAAATCCGAAGTGGAGAAGCAAGTTTGGACGATGCCTTGCGTGAGATTCGTTGCCTTTCCAATTTCGATCATCCAAATGTCGTTCGCTACTATAGCAGCGTAAGTCGTGACATCTGTAATGTAAGGATTTTTGCTGAATCAGTTGTAGTGGATCGAATGGTCGACTAGGACAAGCCTCGTCTCCAACTCGAGCGAACTGGACTCCCCTGTTCCTGCTGGTGGTGCACGAGTCGACAGGAGCGACGCCGTGACTTCGCTAGGTCGCGTACGAACCGAAAGCGACGCTCATACCGACGACATGGCAGACATTGGCTTCGAAAGCCGGTCTCACCTCGACACATCGGTGGCCTTGGACAGTGTCGAAGAAAGCAGCTTACAGTCGCCGTCTAGTACGAATGAGGCTCTACTACCGACGTCCACATTGCCACTGCTAACTCTGCACATGCAAATGGATGTGTACCCGATGACTCTCGGGGACTTCATCGACCCAAAGCCAACTGGTACAGAGATAGCGCCTCTCAGCCACTGTTTCCATCTGGAGACTTCAATACGCATCTTGTTGGCAATTTTTGAGGGAGTAGAGTACCTGCATTCCAAGAGTGTAGTGCATCGAGATCTCAAACCTGCCAATATCTTCCTCAAGCATGAGGGAAATCCAAGAGCTGCGCACGGCACGGTCGATCTGTTTCTGTGCTCAACTTGCAGAAACGAGAACAGAGCGCAGCCGGCGCAGCTGAGTGTGAGGATTGGTGAGTACATCTGCTGTTTGTATCGTGTCTTGTCAATTGCTAAGAGTCGTGTAGGCGACTTTGGCCTTGTTACCAACATCGCCCAGACGACCCAAGCCATACCCTCGCATGGCGTCGGCACTGAACTGTATCGTCCCACTGCGACCACGTCGAATGTTACTCCGAGGCTGGATATCTTCGCCGTGGGGATCATTGCTTGCGAGCTGCTCTGCAAATTCGGCACGCAGAGCGAGAGGAGGCAAAAGCTGGACGGGCTGAGAAGAGGCCGCTTTCCGGAATTTGTGGGCTGTCCAAGTCATCAATCGGCGAAGTTACAGGAAGTCATCAAGACTATGCTAACGGATGAGGTGGTTACGATCGCCGAGTTGAAAGGAAGACTAGGGGAATTGCTAGAGCAATCAGGTTTGCATGCCAGTGCCGTTCTAGGAAGGGTGAGCACCTAAGAGCGACGAGCGTACGACTGTATATGCTCCAATTCTGATCCGTACGTGAGCGCCAGCTCGCGATGTTGCAAGTTATTACTTCCGGTGGTCGTACCTCCATCATGCTCCCTTCTCTACTGCACTGCTTAGTTCCACTATGCTCGGTACTATCATGCAGAGCTTTCTTTCAAACGCTTTCTCAGCATCATGCTATGTCGCGAGAAGACGTAGAATTCCAAAGTTGTTGGCCATTCGCGATATCATACCAATGAGTTCGACTGCCTTGAATGCCTGGGTGCCTGGATGCCTCAGAGTGTAGGTGCCTGAGGCTCGCAGAGTGCAGGATCATCAAATAGTACGGCGGTCTCGATTTTGGCCATATATCCTGATCTTCAAGCTGTCCGCTATTGAACAAACATTCTCATAATGGCCTCAAGCAAATACGCCCGGCGTGGGCGACCATATTACTCGAAAGTGTGAAGCTTCAGAGGCGGAAATTTCGAAGGATTTGCGCTGTGTCGACATGACGGCAGCAGGAAACTGCTCAATTCGCTCTGAGATCGTGGAATGGGGTTCTTTAGACTCGACAGCATCCTTTTGAGGTGCTTCTGTCCACAGAGGCGTCACGACTCGCCGATATTCTCCTTCCGATACCATCTTCTCTCATTTCCTCCTGTGCGCTCGCTGTCGGCCTTGGCACGGGAGACATCAATAATTGAAGTGATCCTTCAATATTCGATTACTGGAGTCGCTTCGGGCAGCAGTTTAACCGGCGTTGCCATGGAGATCACTGGCTAGGTCAGCATGCGGGCTGGCCCGCGACTAGCGCGTCGCCGAAAACTTCTTAAACCGCGCGCGGGTCGCCCACTTTCTGATTCTTTAGTCGACTTTGTGAGTTCCCCAGGACCCCCTACATTTTTCGCGGCGCAACACCTGCTGACCAGCTCATCTAGACTTCATGGAATCATATTCTATAGTAAATGTCCACAACTGTGTTTCTTAAAGAAGCTACAGACTTCACCCAGGCTGATGAAGCGATCCGCGATGCCCTAGAGTGATGCCGTTGTGTCGGGGTACGCCCCGATGGCGATGATCTCGCCCTGCCTGAGCTTGGCTTCGGCCGGCTCTTGCAGGTGGGTGTTGTCGGCCGTCTGACTGGTTGCCCTTTTTTTTTTTCATCAAGAGCCTGGTTACGATACCGGGGCTTGGAGAAGAGAGCACAGCAAGGTCTTCGAGAGGTGTGCGAGGCGGTATGAAAGAGCTGAGCGGGCGCGGACGCAGATGTGTGCTTGATGTAGCCCATGGACTGTTGAAGCCTTCAAGGAATTCGGCTGCTCTGATTCAGTGCTGCTCACATGCGCTCCCTCCGAGGATGAAAATTCGAGTGCGGGTTGGCATTCGAGTTGCCAAGATTTGAGGACCAGTGCTGAAGCGGAATGCACGAATAAAAGGAAGGAGCAGGAAGCAAGAAGCGGGAAGCCACGTCAAGACAGATCCATGATACGGATAGGCCACCTCGCCCCGACATCACCAGCACAAGCACAATACGCGCCATGTCGACCTCTACCTCTACCTCTACCAGCGACAGCGATGGTGAACCGCACCGCTCGAACCTCGCACGCTTCTACTACGACTGGCACAAACGCCCAAGTCCAAGTCGCACTTACTACATCCTTCGCAATCCTCTCCACCGTTGGATCGGCGGCCTCCCCAAGAACTCACGCCGCTCATGACCGTCGAGAACTCGAGATGTTTTTCCCACATGCAATTGACACCTTAGGCACCAGTCACGTCAGAGTCACCACGGCAGCGCTCTTGCTAGGACAAACAACTATTCGCATGCCAGAAACACACTCGCAATTACAACACATCATACAGCATGTCGACCTCCGACACCGACACTGATCGAGATCCGCGGTTTCCATCAGCGCTGTCAAGTCAAGTCGGCATACACTCTGTCCAACCATGCACCATGCACGCCATTCGCAACCTAAAGAGCTTCGGCATTTTCCCACTCGTCTTCCTCACACCATCCTGGTACCAATTAGAAGCTGCTCTCGGCCGCTACGTGGCCGGCACGAGCACCCCAGAAGACGTCAACACCTATAGCCTGTACGCCACCGTCACTCCCTCGGAGGGTCGCAATTACGAGCTGTCGAAGATGGGCGAATACACACTACCAACCGGCGACAAAGGCGTATTACACGTGCTGGAAGTAATCAGTAGCCTGCCAAGCAATTCTCCTGAAGAATTCAAGGAACCACGCCTGACAATTCGCTGGCATAGCGTGGCAGAAGCGCAAGAATTGGAGATATCGACCTGGTCCCCGACTTTCAGCACACCCGGAGTGCACTGTACGCGTGCATCCGATCTCTGCCGCTTTGGGAACAAATCTACGATCATCTCGAAGCGTTGGAGGCTCAATGTGGAAGCCACGAAGCAGCGGATATTGGGCGCTTTCCAACAGTCACCGCCTGGCCAGCTTCCGTGGCAACTCGATGTTCATGCATACTTGCGAGCGCCTGGAGCAACCTACATGGCACTGAAACGGCACAAGCGCCAAGGGTTCCGCTGGAAAGATGTTCGGGAGAGGAAGCTCGAGGTGGACCATGACGAGATAGCAGCGGGGGACATTGGGGGCGGCGAGAGTCGTTTGATCCGCGGTGAAGACGGAGATCGTGTGGATGTTAGCTCACATGGCGAGGCCGACTCCCGAAGCAGCGAGATGGAGGTAAGAGAAGTATGCGCAACAGTCTCAGCCCCATTGGCACGGATCGAGGAGCAGCAAGAAGATGGGCAATGTCATAGCGCCGAGATTGGTGTGGAGAATAAGGCAAGTTCCAACGAGGTTGAAGGGGCCCCAAGCTGCGATTCGCGGTGAAAGGGCTGATGAATCAGATGATACTGAGGAGAGCGTGCTCAACAATGGGTCACTGGACTGCTGTGGCGGTTTGGTAGGGCGCGAGAATATCTCGACCGTTGCTCCCTTTGATCTGGTGTTGTCAGACTCCCTGAATAAATAGTCTCTGCTTGGACATCTGGGAGACCTTCCAATGTGCAGATTCGGTAGTCCTGCCGCTGGTTTTGCTCAAGGATGTGCCTTTTCATTTTGCAGCTGGGGATGATCAAGCGGCATTCTCGACCAACTTCATCCCGCCTTCTTGCTCTTCCGAGTCCCATCCGTCTTCTCCTTCTTGCCAACCTTCTCCTTGTACTCCTTCATCTGTGTTACCGCCTCTTCCTCATCTTTCTTTTCCTGGTCTTCCTTTTTCGCCTTTGCCCTAGCCTGCGCACCTCTCTTCTCGGCTTCTTGTACCATCTGTTCACTGTACTCCCAAAGCTTCTTCTGCACGCCCTCCTCCAATACATCCTTGCGCAGAAACTCTCGCTCCTGACATTCCTTGATCGACAGCCCGCCCTCACTCCTCGCGAACTTCTCTTCCATAGATGCATGCAGGAAGCTCTGTGCGCCCATCTCTGGCGCTTTCAACACAAGCAACCATAGCGGGTAAGTCAGAAGGTACATCAACAGCCCGAAGAGCGAGCCTTGACTCAACCACCTTCGCGTTCCCGGCGTGCGCGACAAGCCGGGATCTACTACCAACACCTTCGTATTCATCGGCGCCTTATCCGGTCTCTGATACGAACTCAAATGTTTCTGAAAAGCCAACGCAAAAGTCGTCAACGCCAGTTTCGATGTCGCATACGCATTTCCAGGCGAAAACTTCGTCGGTTCATGTGTCTTTCCTTTCTCTTGGGGTTGCCCTTGCTGTGTGATGTGCAATAGATCTCCACCCATATAGCTGCTACACGTCCCAAACAAAATCCTCACATCCCGATCCGGAGGCTGTGCTCTCAGAGCCGGGCTCAGAATACTCAGCAGATGGAAATTCGCCAGGTAATTGATCTGCCAGTTCATTTCTACTCCTTCTTGTGTACTCTGGATCTTCTTTGCATTCGGTGTGATTGTATTTGCGCAGAGGATAATCATATCTAATCTTCTGGGCGGCGCATTGTCGATCCATTTCGTAGCAAAGGTACGGATGCTATGCAGGGAAGCGAGATCGACTTGTTCGGCCGTGATGAGCTGGTTTTCGGTTTCCTCTCGTAGATCTTGGATGAATTCGACGATGAAAGGGTCGGAGAGGGCGTGTTGGGTCAGGAGGACGATTTGGGCGCCTCGAGACGCGAGCGCGCGGACTGTTGCTTCGCCTACACCGGATGTACCGCCCTGAGAGTTGTCAACATACTGATTGCTTCCAACAACGGTCTTCAGTTCATCATACTGTCACCATCACGACTTTCCCATGCATATTCCTCTCGCTCAGATTCCTCGCTCCTTGGAAGTACGTTTTGAGAACCCAGAGCAGTGCGATCCATGGTAGCGTTTTGAGGAAAGGCCAGAGGTACGGAACACTGTTCATCCCATCAAAGAGGGCTTGCGCGGCGATGTAGACAGGCATTATTGTTTATGAAGCCCTTGACGGGCTGTGACGGTCGAGGGCAAGAAGTTCTTTGGAACTGAAGTCAAGCTCCGAGTCGCTGCTTGTCTTAATGCCGATAAGTCCACCTTAGGGTTGCTGCTTAGGGTTTCTTGGTGTAGCATAAACTTGTGGGACAATTTGCGCCGTTGATGTTGGGCGGCGTCAGTATTGAATGGTCGATGTTGCACCGATTGGATTCGGTTAGCCTAACATTTGTGGAACTATTTGAAGGAATCCGGGCTCGTCTGCTTCAGACGTTGATGAGTATGTCAATGTCGTTGCTTCATGCTGCTTCTGGCATTGACGAACACCCGAGTTGAGCAACAACCCGGGTTGCATTTGCTGCATGAACATGTACGAATGATCAGTACTCAAGAATCAAACGTACATATATGGTATCTAACATGGTAGCACTGCACAACTATGTCTTACAAGATCATAAGTCGTCAACATCAGTTTCCCCCTCCTACAACTGCGCCCTTTCGCCTCCAACCTTCTTCGTACAGAATGAGGAAAAGTAACCGTTCAGGGCATCCACCGTGCCGCTACCCTCCACCAACTTCACTACACATGCAACATATCCATCAGGTCTGACGACCACCACGCCGCCCTCATCTTCTGAAAGCCCCATCTTAGCGTGCGCTGCTGCCTTGGCGTCCGGGACTCTCGAATCCCATATATCGTCGGCGTATACGTGGTCCCAATACCTACTCAGCACCTCTGGAAGCAGTTCCCGGATCTCGATATCAGGCCGGTGTGCGTTGAAGATGGTGTTGATGGTGAAGAAGTGGGAATGCGGGTTGTGGCGTTCGTGATAGTCGACACTGTCAATGTCCGACCGCTGGTACGTCGAGTAGAAAGATCCCTTCTTCTGAAGATTCTTCGCAAAGTCTGCAATGGCCTTGCTTGTCCGCTCCGGACTTCCTCCAAAGAGGTATATCCTGAAAGACCCATTTAGCGGGATCTCTTGCTCGAGATGTACCACATTGGCATCTGCTACCCGAGTGACAGTAGCTGGAGTGAAGTAGCGACCTGTCCGGAGCTTGGTGGTGCCTTTCGGCTCAGAGAGGAAGAGATCGTGCTGTGCTGGATGCTTCTCGGACCAATTGAAGACGTTCTCAAGGTAGGCAACACCATACCCAGATGTGAACTCGCAGGATTCCTTGAACTTGGCGATGAATGGGTTCTCAGACGAGCTGTCCGCTTTGCTGCTCTCCTTCACTTCCGCTGCGGATGGCTGTCGTTGCGAGAAAAGCTTCGCGTACTCAGCATCGAAGTTGAGAAGGTTCTCCGCAACGTATTTCCGCTCGCTCTCGTAGGACTTTAAGATTGACCGATCCGCGAATCCAGATTCGACATGATGGATCTTCCAGGCCAGGTTTTGCGCATCCAGGAAGGCGGTATTCATACCCTGACCAGCCTTTGGAGAATGTGTATGGCAGCAATCACCGCCCATGAATACGCGCTCGTCCAGAGTGTACCGATCGGCAATACCCTGTCCGATGGGATAGACAGAATACCACTCGACGCGATCCCATTCAATGTAGTAAGGCTTTAGGATATTCTTTGCTCTAGCCTGGACTTCCTCTGTTGTTGCCGTCTTCCTTGGATTGAAGTCTGGATCTTCCGAAGAAGCGATCTGGATGTATAACCGGACCATGTTGTTCTCACGAGGAATAACCATGATGGAACCGGCATCGGAATGGATTGTGCATTTCATCTGCGTCTTGTCAGTCCTGCTCGGGCTCGCTCTCGCATGGGTTGCCCACCTTGATATCAGGGAAGTCCGTCCGTACAACACCGTCCATGACGCCCCAAACGTACGCAATCGGATCCTTGTGTGTAATACCAACACCAAGCTGTGCTCTCACAAAACTCTTCGCACCCTCTCCACTGAACAAATACTTGGCTCTCACAGTCTGCTGCTCCTGGCCGTCCACATGTCCAACAGTGACCTCCACAGGATATTCCGGATCCTTTCCATCATTCTTGAATCCGTCGATTTTCCACGGTCTCTGAATCTTGACATCGTGCTTCTCAATGTCCTCAATGAACACCCGCTCAATCAACCCTTGATGCAACAACGTGGTGAACGGATATCTTGCATCTATGAACTTTGGACAACTCGCCCATGTTCCAGTTCGATGTATGCCCTTGCCACTGGATTGCGGATCCCAGAATGCGACTTCGTAGACTTTGGCGGGTTCGTGGGCCATTATCGCGCGCTTGAGGCCCATGTTCCGGAGGAGATCGAGGGAGCGAGGCTGGATTCCGTCCGCGCGGCCGGTGAGAGTAGGTTCGGGTCGCATGTCGACGTGCTTTATCTTGTAGCCCCATCTTGCCAGACAGGTAGAGAGGAGGAGACCTACGGGGCCTGCGCCGACGATGACGATGTCGTATTTGTTCTGTTCCGGATAGGACATGGTGGGGAAGGATAGGGTAGGCTTGCGCCTAGATCAATGGTAGAAGAAGCGTGGTGTGAGAGGTGCGGTGATGACCTGTCATTCTTACCCTTTTGAAGTGCCATGATGGTCTCACGGCTAGTCGCATCGGGAGGCTGAGGAAGAGTTACCATGTCGTCGTGCCGACAGCTGTTTGGCGTAGTCCCCCGCCTGCCGCAGTGAACTACCAGCACTCGGATAGCAAGACGGGAGAGCTTAGCGGCTGAGGCACGTGATGTACAGCCTTCTAGCCGAGGTCTCGCCCTCTTGCCTCCCTCCTCTGAGTCCTCTCAGCCAACGGATCTTGGCGGAATTGTCATCGACCCTCTCGCCTCCATTGACGAGATGCACGGATGTTACCGCTATGGCGACGAGATGCATCACTTCAGCTGTGGCTTTCTTATGGTATAGCTTCTATGCGCTCTCTGACTGTCTACTGTAGCTCGCCACTCCAACGGGCACGAAGAGACCCTCCAAAAGATCCAGCACAATGGACACGCCAATACTATTACCAGACAGACCACCTGTAGGAGTACCAGGTACTCGCCCTCCTCTGCAGAGGGGAAAGCAAGATCCATGGCTCGATGCCGGACCGCCCGAACAGACCGAACAGGGCTATGAGCAAGGTCTGCGAATCGGCGTAGACTGCGCTCATCCACATCGCACGAAGAATGCGCATCCGAATCGGACATTGCTGTTGTCTAAGATGCTACCATTTGCAAGTTGTGAAAGAATGAGACAGCCTCTTTTAGGATGTCTATTCCAACTTGGCCATGATCGCGGAGTCTCAGTTCCGGGGGCCTTTGAGCCCAGGTGTAGCTAAGTCATCTGAGGACTTGCCTGTGCCGCAAGCCTTGGTCGCACAACAGATCAGTCAGACCTCACCTTGGACGCACTTGTCTCTGGCAAGCTTCCTCACACGCTGACCGCACTGGACGAAGGCCTTTCCAGGAAGGAAACGTGATTTCAAAAGCAGACGAAAGCGCTCCCAACCGCTCTATTCGACTATCACTGAACGAGATGTCACTATGTTACAAGCCCTGCAAACAGACACACGTATTGCTACCATCGGTACAGGAGCGCTACAACCTTTGCAACTCTACATCCAAACCGGCGGGAAATAATGCTTACATTCAACATAGCTACTCGAAGAATCGCAGCAAGTCGCAGAACCTTTCGTGTCCTCAGCAGAGAATCGATGAGGACAGTATGGAAAGAGATATATATCTCCCACCGTAGCCCCTAGCTGGTCTTCCCAACCAAGATCAAGCCTACCACTGCAACCACAACCATACATTCAGCGGCAAGTAGCCAACACAACATCAAAAGACCCGAATAATCCTCAATCGACCAGCAAGAAACATCACCATGTGCAGACGATTGACGACCGAATACCGCTGCCGGCACGTGGAATGGCACTTGCTGGAGTGCGAAAAGGGACCCTGCAAGAACGTCCAGGACAAGCTGATACTGAAAGGAAAATGCGACCTTTGCCGCGGCTACCAGCTGTTCAGGCTGGTGAAGCTGACATGGGAGGAGATGGTGAGGACTTTGAAGCGTGCGATGAATTTTTGAAGGATAGGAAGGGTGAGTTACCTCGGCTGATTAGATGATATGAACGCTGACTGAGAACTCGTAGGGCAGAGAATTATACCATTGGCCGAGTGCATTTTTGTGCGGACCTTGAGAAATACATGTTCTCTGTGTGGACTGGTTGTTTCACATGCTAGTGTCAGGAAATCCGGGGTTGACGAAAATCATGACTAAAATTCTTTTTACCGGATTCATACAATGACTTGCAACCATGCCGGATCGCTATACAGGTCAACACAGATCAAGGAGACAGTGCTAGCGTGGGATGTCTATTATGGGTAACGCAGCAGTTGTACGAGACTAGGCGTCAGCGTGGGAAATCCTGCACAGCGAAATCTTGAATTCTGTGGATACTATTCGGTAGAAAATCCAGATGGCGGATTTGTACTAGAGCGTTGTTTCCACCTTGCGAGCTCGGCTTACCGCAGAATAAGCTCTGTCGTGATAGGACGATGGTCTGAGCCGTAGCCTCAAAGGCTACTGTCCTCACAAGAGCGATGCCAAAAAGCCGTCGAAATTCCACTCTCCTCCATCTCCCCAACAATCCACTCACACACAACCTCCCATCCGTCAACTTTTGACAACTCACTTGCCAGGCATCTTCCCACTGAGAATTCTTACACTGCGAATTTTCCAACAAACACTATTCGAGTTTCCCAACTCATTACATTTCAAACACCTGGTCTGTCTGCCTACTAGATCCCGTTCCGACGACCACAAGACAAGAAAAGACAACACAAGACAAGACAACTGCAACAACAAAAAATTTCGAAACCAGAAATTTTTTCCCCAAAGCAGAATACAAGACAATTTCTCGAACAAGTCATGGCTCCTCAGGGCACCAAGCGCAGCCTGTCCGAGGAATTCGATGGCTCGGCGCGCCAGAAAAGTCCCAAACGACCTCGCATCGAGCCTGATGGCGCGATGCGCAGCGCGCAAGGATACGTTCCCATCGAGACGCTTTTGAGATTCTCCACCACCGGAGACATGCTGAACACCACCCAGCACCAACCATCCACCGCAGCAGAAGAAATCCAGGAAGATCGCCCGAGGACAGCAGCGGCCCATACCGTCTTCCACATCCGCGAGCTCTTGGAAATGATCCTGCTCCGCGACGAATGCGACGTGGCCGATGTGCTCTGTTTCCAACGAGCCGGCCGATTCGCCCGCGACACCATCAATGGTTCGCGCAGATTGCAGCGGAAATTATTCCTGGAGCCAGATCTCAAACGCTCCATGAATGACTTGGTGATTAACGAAACGGCGTTGAACTACCTCGACTGGGCCGTCAAGCACCAGCAGAACGAATCGTTCTCGTGTACAGACCCGCCCAAAGCCCGTCGGGAGGATTTGGGACAGTCCTGGGCGAAGATGTACCTGACCCAACCCCCGCTCCCGAGGATGAAGTTGTTGCGGTACAACAATCCCATGTCCTCTTTCAGGGTGAAAATCCACAAGCAGAAAATTTGGGATATCCTGAATGGGATGCAGCGGACTGTACCGAGGAAGGAGAGGATCCTGAAGAGGATGAAGCGTCTCCTGGGTACGACGAAGTGGAATTCTGCACATGATGTATTGGATGAAGATGAAGAGGATGAGGCCGTGAGGTGGTTTTTGACGGATGGGGCTGCTGAAGCTTTTGGAGTTTCGAAGTTTGATGATGATGATGAAGATGTATACGAGGATGATGTGAATTTGGAGGAGGAAGAAGAGGAAGTTGAGGAGCTTGAAGAGGATTTGGATAAGGGTTCTGTCTCTGGGTTTCAGTAGTGTTGCGTGCACCCTGAGGTCAGGGCAGAAAGGGAATTTTCGAGAGCATGTGGTCTGTCCTGGGTCTCCGTGGTGCTGCGTGCATCCTGAGGTCAGGGCAGAAAGGGATTGATGCTATTTATGCGGGTTTCGGTGGTGGGGGGAGAAAGACATTTAGCACCTTGCGAGGTATCCTCTTGAATCGAACGCCTTCCCACATCCCAACGATTTGTCCATCTTGAAGAACATAGACGTCGCCTTGCAGAACAGTCTTGTCGGTAGGTAAAGGCTGCATCCGCACGTAGTTTCTGATCTCGCTGTTTTTCTCATCGGGCCTGAACATTGGAGAGAGTCTCATCGCTGTGACACCGTGGGAAATGTAGGCGTTTTTGTCCTTGTCTTTCTCCACGGCATTGCAAACGAATCCAGAGAGATGGCAAGAGCCGTCCAGGTAGTATGGCCCGCAGAGGTCGCCGGTTGGATCAGGTTGAAAGTCGAGCAGAGAGGTGGCTTCCAATGTGTCAGAGTCGAAGATGACTTCGGCCATGTTTTGGTATTTGCCCGAGTACTGAACGAAGGACTCGAAGAGTTTGTATGCGGTCTTGCGTTGCACGAGGGAGACCTGTCCTATTACATCGCTGCTGGCTCTTGCGTACAACGAGTCAATGCAGTTCTTAATTCCAGTGACAGAGTTGGACCACTCGCTCAGCCAGCCGTAATACCATTCGAAACGAACGTTGCAATGGCCGTTCTCTTGAAGTCTGGCGCCGTCTGGTGAAATGCTATGGAAGACACATTTCAGGACCGCATTCGTGATGTCTTGTCGCGCATACTCCGAGATCGAGGCTGTCACTTCCATCTCAAGCCAAAGCTGGTCCATCTTTGCCGGATCCTTGACAATCAGAGGCTTGTGAACTTCTAGATCGCAGACGTTGATTCCGGGTAATTCAGCATCGCGGCCACGGTGATGCTTCCAGATGTAGTGCGCAACCTCAACTGCCATGTCTGCATACAGGCCCGAGGGAGTGAGAACGACATGGTTGCATTTGTGATTGGTGACTGTCGGACTCAGGTCGGGATGTGCCATGCATGATCGAATGATGACTTTGGAATTGGCGAGGTCGCTCAAGTCTTCATGCACGACCTGCTGACAGGAGGCAGAGAGGGACGGATGAGCCGTGAGAGAAGGCATTGTTGGGGAAAGATAGGGGCGAATGAACAAATGTCGGGAGAGAACGTGTGGTTGTCTGCTGCGAAGACACATCACATCTGCTGAAGCTGGCCAGCGACCTTATACCTACTTCATCGTCCGCATGATGCCTTCACATCGTTGCATTCGGAGGCATCCTTCTTGTGCCTCCGCTGTGCCCATCAAGTGAAGATGGGAGTGCATTGGACGCCTCAAATCCGCCGTGGCAAGTCGCAAAACAGTCGAGGCCGACGCGGTCATCAACGACGTAGCATTCGGGATCCCGCATAGCAGCTGAGGCATCACAAACGTGAGAAGATTCATCTCGACCCAACGGTATTCAGAGAAGAGGAAGAGGTGAAGTGGAGGTGGAAGAAGAGCGCCGGCGCCGATGTTGCATTCGGACTCGGCCCCGTGCAATACGAGCGACGCGTCTTGGCGCCTGCCCAAGGTGTGAAAGCTGACTCCTTCTCCTCATCTCTATCCTCAGCTGCCTTCGATATCTTCAATTGTTCATCTGCATTCGTTTAAGAAATGCTCACAAGGACTCTCATGGCGCGTCAAGATGGAAGATTCCATTTCAGAAAGCCAGAGCACTTCTCCGATCCTCATACCATGTGCCTACCGTCTCGTCTTGTTCGAAGCCCTCCAACGCGCTTTTCTCGAGTCCTTCACGATAGAACTGCGATACTTTCGACTTGACCGTGGCAAAATGGTGGGAGACCTGCCGGTTTGTTAGCAATACTCAGCAGGATTTGTGCTGGATTGGACAATTGGACAGCTCCGTGCAACGTTCACAGCTTTCTTGATTAGCATACGACTATCTCTGCGCCGGTCTCTGCTCAAGAGCAGCTGCGATGCCCTACGACTCTCCAACGCCTGGCACATGCCATATGTGGCACATCACGCTTCGCGCTTCAGCCTTCCAATCTCTCGAGACCTTGTAGGCCCAGCCCGTCGATTTGCCCTCACCTCTGCGCCCTGCTCGATAGAGTAACGGCTCACGCTCCTTCAAGACTGCCTCTGTGCTTTCGCTACTTTTTCTCGAGTCCTCATGGTGGTTGAACGCGGCATGGGTCAATCCAACCCAATTTTGCGAGCGAGGCGACAAAAGAGGTGCTTCGACGGATACATTGGAGCAGTATGCTCCTGGAGGCTAGTTGTGGATGGCGCTCGAGTCATCGACGACGATTTCGCGAATAGACGAACCGCTCTTGCGCTGTTCCCGTGGGACGCTGAAAGTCTGGAAATCTCGTCCGGCGCGGATATGGGTGACGGAGAATTTGGCGTGGATGTCGACGGCCGTGCGTAATATCGATATGCGTGACATTTAGGGACTATACCAGATTCTGGCCTTTCGTATCTGCGGTGGAGGTGTGTCTTGGGGAGCCGGATCGCATCCAGGCTGTCGTGCCTGAGCCGACTTTAGTGGAGATTTCTGCAGCTCGTTGGTGCAGGGTTGGTGTCACACATAGCGGCTTATAGGTTCTGCGATGCTCCTGCGCTCGTATAGTCCTCCTGCAGTGCGTTATCGAATCTGGACGGACCTTCTCGGCCTTGTGTTCTCGGTCGTGACGGCCGTTGGTTGCCTCGGAGGTGCGTGAGCGCTGGATAAAGTCTGGCTCCCGAGGAGCGTCTGGCCCTACATTCTATTGGGTAGATGGACCAAGACTGAAGAGTGAGGATTAGCTCTGGCGGAAGTGTTTGTCGGGAAAAGCGAGACCGCGGTGGAGAAGGGCACTGCCTGCTCGCCTTTGCTTGCCACGGCGATGTCTTGCGTACTATCAGACCGTACTTCATCTTCCACCTGTCCCGTCCGGAATGGCGAGCGTTGCAACACTGCTCTGCAAAATGAGACCGCCCGTTGTGCATCATACTCGCCGCTCTTCACTTGGTGCCCGAGACACCGTCAGAAGCGCCCTGACTTGCCTCGCCCTTGCTTGGCTCACCGTCGCGTGCACGTGGGTGCAATCTGCTCCGCATCTGGCCGTCACCCGAGCTATTCACCGTTCGACTTTCATGATCGTAGGCTATTGCGCGGCTGGAGGGCACTGATGGGAATAGAGTGATGCTTGTGCCCGCGGCGATAATTGTGTGCCTCGACGGCAAGCCCCGGGCGGACGAATCGAACGATGAGTAGGCTCGGATGTGTGTGTATCAGTAGAGCGACAACGCTTTTCGCGAGGAGACTGACCGAGGTGGAGGTGGAGCGTTGTAATCGCGCCGTGAAGATGTCGCCACGTAAAGTAAGGGCGAGTACAGCAGAGCGTCTGCGCTTTCCCGCGCCCATGAATTCAGTCACGGCAGCGACTCGGCCGCCAAACTACCCTCCACGATCCTCAACGACAGCATTCGAGAGCGCACCGTAACAGAACGTTGCCGCTGCGGCTATCGCGGCCACCCTTTCTGGGCCAGGCCTCTGGCTGACCGCAAGCGATGACAACCTGATGCGCAGAGCTCCGAGACGACTCGAAAATTGGCGGGGAAAATGGTCAAGATTGTACGGGCCCTGGAAATGAACACCCATCAGGCGGGGGCTTGACGAGTCTATATCACCCCAACTTGTTGCGAAACTTGTTGCGAGAAGAGAGTGTCCTGGTAGTGAAAGATGCCAAAGATTGGCACTGGGCCCATCCGTCGAAGTGATCACAGCGAGGGCTTGATGGCAATGGACCTTACCCCCTAGGGTGAAGCGAGAAGGAAGGACACAAGGCAGAGGCAAATACCATACGTGACGGACGACGCCGACACACAATGCTCTCGCGTCGATCTCGCCGGCAGATACGCTCTTTCTGCCGGAAATCAATATTCTTCTGGGCGCGTTCGACCGCCCGTACTACTCTCGAGAGATCGGCAAAATCCGGCTGGAGTTGTGGCTGGGACTGCGCGCCGGAGCTGTCTGGCATCTGCTCATCGTCTCTGGATGGCTCAGTATGATCCATTGCATGTCTTTGGGCAATGAGCAGGTAATGCTGTGCCCCCTTCTTGGGCTTTTCTACCGTCCCTGATGGGCCATCCTCCAGTCTATCGAGCTCGACTTGGGTATCACGCAAAAGCTGGACATCGTGCATCCTCCTGGCTTAATGAACGTCTGGGATCCTGGAGACGAGCGTGCTACACCGAAGAAGATCTCTGCGTACGGATTTCGGTTTTCTCCGGTGTCGAGCGGTTGGCGGATTCGAACCCGTGGGTCCCTTTCATCGTTGGATTCGGAACCATTTCAATGATTCGGGCTGACAGTCTGCGTCTGCTCATCCAACAATCCCCGCTGTCCGCTCTTATACGGGTTACCCACCCAAGGTTTGCAGATGAATGTTTGCGCTTGCCAATGCGATGTTGGCGTCATCAAAGACCTCGATTAATTGTGGCTTCCAAGCAACGAAGCGCCATGTCCTACGCTTGAGCCGCAAAAATGAGTTGAAGACGCCACTGGAGGCCGACTTACTTATGAGGCCACAGAAGATACCGGCAAGAAATTCTGTCTGAATACTTGGCCAACGATTGCTTGTGGTTGGGCAACCTGTGGACCTCAAGAATGGTGCATTGGGAACTGCATTCTTCAGAGATGGAACTTCGACGCTTTGCTTCTGGGCTCTTCGAGCCTCTTGGCCACATTCACAATTCCTCATAGTGTGGCCATATGGTCTTAAAGCTTGCTGCACAATTCCGCGGCAGTCCTCAACGGACATCTTGAGCGGATGGAACTCACGTCGTTCGTCTGTGCTGGCTTCTGGTCGTCTGCCCGGTGCCTGTACTGTTTCGTCCATCCTGAATTGGATGCATAACATGTCAATGGTGCATAGGCTCCCACCAGGACGCTTTGGATCATGGAGACAGTGCTGGGCTGCTAAGGGTACTTTCCCATCGATGGATCTGGGCATCGTGCTTTGAAAAGCTGTTCGGCTTGAGCAGTAGTGGCCAACACCACCCTGATTCTGGCCGCAGCTAAGATGCAAGACTGGGGTTCCCCTTGGGAGTCGCACAATGCTCGAAGAAAGCAGCACCTTGAGGCCGCATTTTCAGCGCTGAAAACTTAACGACCCATGCACGCGCTGAACACTGCTCATTGTGCAGGCCACATATTGGAAAGACTTCTGGGCATATTCAAAGCAAGATTTGAGACAATACTCCCTCTACTGCGTAGAATGAGCAAGCCAGCAGACACACGCGCCGGCTCTCCGCCATACCTCATTTTGGCATCGCCCAGTACTGTTCTGGGTCCTCAGATTGCTCCCAGTGCTTGGATTGGCATACTTCCCTTCATGTGCAAGTGTCTCATGCTGTTGAAGCAGGAGGAAAAGATGGGCAGCTGGTGCCATCATCGTCATTACGCTCAATGGCAGCTTCTGCGGGGATGTACGACATGGCACGTCAGGAATGAGTGCTGACCAGAGGGATGCAAGACTGGGACACCGGGCGAAATGTCTCAAGATGGTCATTGGTCTCGGTTTTTGCCTCCTGGCTTATGACCAGCGGCTCTCTACCCCAATCGCGACTCTGGTCCATTAATACCACTTCCCGAGCCAACGGCGAGGCAGCGAGAGTGATGCAGTACACGGAAAGACAACGCAGTCCTGTGATATTTATTCTGAACTGCAGTAGCACACTGCCCCCCGGAATGGAACGATGCTGAGCTCTAGCACCGCGTCATAAACAGCAGCTTCGGGCTCTTTCTGCAAACTGCCGTGGCCAGAGCAGCAAATAATCGCAAGCTGTCGTCGCATTGAACGTTGCGACGTTCCAAAAATATTGACCACTTGTAGAAGAGGCAGGCTCAATGGAGAATCTTGGAGTATCCCGGAATTGGAAATGGCCGCCTGCCGCACTCACATAATGGGCCGCAAATGCCTGGATCCTGTTGAGGATGGTAGACGACACTCTGAATCAGAGATCTGCTATTCTGCAAGTTCATCCAGTAGTCTCTTGATCTGTGGTGGACGGAGCTTTGCGCAAAGCAATCTCTCTCGGAGAGGGACGTTTCTGGTGATCGGTGGTCGTCACCCTGACAAGACGAGCTGTGATGGGAATGTGCGTCGTTGCAGCATGCTTCCGATGCTGTTCTGTCTGAGGTCCTCCGGCAACAGTTGATTACCTCGAGAGTCTGCACTGGCGTCCGATCTAATTCATCATCGCACTCCTAATGCATGATGCCGGAGCAGGGGAATGTGAATCCGTCCATCTCGACATGCTCCTGGCTCTCTGCTCAGCCTCACACTCAGTAGAGTAGCCAGTCACCGCCGGCCTTCTACTGGACCTCGCCCGTGGGTATGCGCATGAGGTTTGGCCAGCTTGCTGCTGCTCGGCGCTGTTTGCATCCCGGTGTGTGTTAATCTCCGGGATGGTGCAAAATCCAACCAGGTATCCGATGTCTGCCTTCCACGTCGCCCTGCTCTTGTATCTTTGCTGTCGGTGCATCCCCTGTCCACGCTCATTCTGCTGCCGGTTCTGCTTCGCCTTGCTGTCCGCCTTGGAACACCGTTCAGCTTTCCAGCCAACAATGCCGCTCCTCTTCCACATCTGCTGCCCTTGCGCTGGTCCACGATCGCTACTACTGTCGTTGCCAGTGGCTTTGCTGTCGCAAGAGCAATTGAGAGTGTCCATCATGTCACGGTGTATCCTGCTGTAGCTCTTTTTGGCCCTCTCATGCCGTCTCTTCGTTTGAGCTTCTGCGTGGACGTCGCATGATTGCCTCTCGTCTTTGGCGTCGGCGTGCCAACATCTCCTCGATCGGGGAGCTCGCGCGGGAGCTGCTTCGTTCTCCGCTGGCGAAGGCCCCGTCGTGAGCTTGGTCGGTTTGCGAGCGATCGAAACGGCAGAGGAGCATGCGGAGGATCTTGTCATGCGTGCGGCGAAACCACTCGCGCCATCGTGGCCGGCCTCCGCGCGAGTCTTCATGGCGATTTTCACCCTGTCTCGCGAATCTGCCGTTGTTCTGTGCCATTGCTGTGCGTTAGGTGTGCGAGGAGATGCCGCGGATGCTCGAGATGGCGTGTTGCTTGTGGTGGTTTCTTTCTCGGCGTGGCTCCCTGACTCCGGCGTCTCGCTGCAGCGATAGGAAAGTGAGATCAGCACCTCCTAAGTAATCGTGTTCGTTCTACAAATGGCCGTGGCCGAAGAGCTGCAGCTGTTCAGGGCACCCCCGAAACGCCGCAACGCCAATACCGTGAGGAGTGAGACGATAGCACCAATATCTCCACACTCCACCGTTAGATCCACATCAAATTCATAGCGGAGTGTTGCATAAGCTCCTTCTCAAATCTCCATGTCCCGGAACGAGAAAAGGTGGAGAAATGCACAAGATGTAGTGCAAGGGGGCAAGCCAGCTTTTGAGATATATCTATGATAATTTGGGCTGCCCTCTCACCGAATCAAAGCTGTGCGTACACTTTAGCTGCGGGTGTGCGTACAGTACGACGGTACTTTGGGATCGGACGTTTGCTAACAATTCTTCTGTGTACAGGAAGTTCTCGATTTCGAGAGCGACAGAGATGTACCACCCGGGCGCCACACCGGGTGGGAACTCTTTTGTTCCCAGAACATAGATCATTTTTTGCCCGGCTCGTAGGCATTCTTTGAATCGCAATCTGGGAAATGAAGAGGCTCACTGTTCCTTTTGGAACGGTGGGCCTTTCTTTTTTTCGCGAAATTTCGAAGCCGAATTGCTTGTTTGCTATGGATCGTTTGTGCAGCCTCACCACGCCTTTGATCGTTACAATATGGACACGAGAAGAATCTTCACGCTCACGCGATCCTCGTAAAGAATTCTTCCACAAATTCTAGGCGGTGTTGTTGGCACACATTCGAAGGCAAGGAAGTTGCGGCGGCTTTGCGCCGCCGCAAAAGGGGAGGCTTCAGCTGAAGAGCTGGCTTTGCACGTACGGATCGATTTTACGCCACAACGAAGAGCCCTAACATCACAAAATTTGTTTGAGGAGGATCGCCTCACCTTGAGGATACTCGGGAACAAATTTTTGACATTTTACCTGCTCTGCGTGATTCTTAAACACGTAGGGAGGGAAGACGCGACTGAAGAAGCCGAATTTGGGCTCCGCGAGGAGGATGGCCCTCTAGCCGAAGAGCTCGAGTTGCACGTACAGATCGATTTCACGCCATAACGGAGAGGTCTATCATCGCATAATTTGTTTGGGGAGGGTCGCCTCACCTGGAAGACCCTCAGGAACAAATTTGTGGAATTTCAGCGGCACTGGGTGATTTTTAAACACGAAGGGAAGGAAAATGCGACCGAATCAGCCGGCGCAGCAGAGCTCGGGGATGGAGCTTCGGCTATACAATCGCAGCGGCACGTATGGATCGCTCCTACACCACAGCCAGAGGTGTTAAATTCAATCATTTGGTATGAGGAGAGTCGCCTCACCCTAAGGATCCTTAGGAACAAATTTGCGAGGCTCTAATACTATTGCGTAGATTTTAAACACGCACGGAAGGGAAACGCGACCGACACCTAAAGCAGCCGAGCTCGGCGTCGCGAGGAAGCTTCAGCTGGGCGCTCGCGGCACCACGTACAGATGGCTCCTACGCGACGACAAGTGATGCTGACATCGTCAATCCCGGGGTGAGGAGAGTCGCCTCACCCCAAGGGTCCTCAGCAACACTATCGCGAGCACCAGCAACCACCGCGCACTGCGAAAGTAAGGGAGAACCCGACTACGACCATCCCAGCTTGGCGGAGTTTGTTGAAGAGCTGAGAGCAGTGACAAGCCATCTTGGCGCGTACGAATCGCCTTTACGCCGGCGGCAGGGCTCACAACACGATGGATCCGCCTTGGGGAGGGCCGATACCTTAACAGCCATCAGCAACATCTTGACAGCGTTCTGCGACACCGTACCACGTTCACGACGCGAGCCAAGGAAGCAAAGACGCGACGAAGACAAATCCGCAATTGCGGCATTCGTAAAAGAGCCGAGGAACCGGTACGACACATATCGATCGCTCTTACACGCGCAGCAGAGCTCACAACGCGATGAACAAGAGATAGTCAGGTCGGCCTCCTTTGACAACCCTCAGCAACACCATTGCAACGTTCTGCGATCGCCGCAAGAAGCGTCGTCACGAAACGAAAGGAGAGCGAGACTACGACCATACCAGACTTGCGAAATCTGCGAAGAGTTGCGACTGGCAGGCAAGAGATCAGCGTACAATTTGTTGCTGCATCACAACTAGGCCTACCAGCCTCCATATTGGGGTTATCCTCACGTCAGAGATGCTACTCGTGAAGTTGGCTAAATCTCGAAGCAACGAGGCCGCCGGACACGCAGAGAAAGAGAACGCGAAGAGATTGCTTGGGCATTGTGGAACTCCCAGGCCTGCTCGAACATTTCTTGCCGAACGCTCGGCTCGTAGGTTCCCAGCTTATGGTTGGAAGAACAATGTCAACAACGGCGTGCGGCTCAAGAACAACCAAGGCACCTTCACGAACCGGGTCACTTACAATATGACGAGGCAGGAGATGAAAACACTCGCGGCGCGTCGCACACATGACCTGAACGCCTACGACGATTACATAAAGCGGAACACGGACGATTAGGCACACAAATCCGTCGAGACGCATGCCGAACTACAACACTGTAACGAGGAGATGCACGGTCACCTGGTCAATGAGGGAGGGACTGCAATGGGGCCGGAAGATACCTCCGTTCCGACTTGACCCTGACCAGCTAGGACCGATAACTGGCAGTGGGCTAGACAACCTGATGGCGAACTGGCAACCCGGGGATGTTAGGCAAGGTGTATAGGTACCAAAACTTTACCTCGACCGACTGATCCTGTCAATCTGATCATTCCTTCAAGGTGGTTATCGAGGGACGTACCTGGACCACCTGAAAAACACCAACATGCTCGGACTTAGCCACCAGCAGGCTGACTACTACCCCAAGCTGAAAGGCGAAATCGAGACCGCATATGTTGGCATCAGCCTAGCCTCTCTCTGGTGAGATGATACAGGCAAAAATCTACTGACCCCTGAGCTCACAGAGCCCTCGACGCTACAAATACTTTCGGACCGCGCGAAAATTGAAGACGGCAGCCCCAACACAACCTTCTCCACCCAACGGGAGCCTTCTAAAGAGACCCAGTCGCCGAGCAGCAAACCAGTGTCAATGTCGCATTGGCCGTGTTTACCGGCTTCATCGACCGTCTCAGGAAGCCACAGCGGCAGGATAGTCCACACAGGCCCGCTATCGTCCCTAACCGTGACTGACGACAACAAGACCTTCTCGCAACCCCCTGCCTCTACTCGTACACCTGTCTTGGCGCAGCCCAACCAAGAGCATGCTACTCCATCTCTCACCGCGCCTACAGGTGGCCAGAAGTCGTCCTCGTTCAGCAGAAGGCCTCCTCAGCCGTCATAGGCATACCACGCTCGCCCTTTCGTCTTGAAGAGAACACTGAGCGAACCACGTCCAGAAAAAACCCGTTGTAACAAGCAACCCAGACCTGACACCAGCCCGAGGCAAGTCGTGAGTATGATGACGACGAGAGTCCGAGAAGCATGAGGTAAAGGATGTGAGAAGGATACTTTTCATTATGATGAAGACTCCTCTTACAAACGCTCGTTGACTTCGTGAAAATTTAGGCCACTGGTTGATCGATCCCCACAGAATGCACCAACTTGGAACACATCACAACCCACGCTTTTATTAGCACCCGCCAGCGGTAATAGGTTCAAGATTGTCGATCGACTGTTGAACGAGAGCCACCATGCCGGCTAAACTCCAGAGTCCGTCACACCGATCGTGCGCAACGCGTCTGCTTGACCCGTCAGTGCCATTGCCTATACGCACTTAAGAGACCGACCCAAGGCCACAAGGCCCCACGAGAATGTCCAGGCGGAGACATCAAATGCTCGTCCCTCTAGACCCGCCGAGAAGCCTTGTCAGGGTCATGGAGGCATCAAGAAGGAAATTGGCATAATGATCGGGTGGTACCCAAGACGACTTCAATGCTCCGTGCAAAGAGGATGGCGACTGCGAACACAGCGAGTAAGATGAACCGCCAAACCAGTGTTGTGGTGAGATGCAGATCGAATTCGAGCGTCAATATCTCGGCAGTGCTACCAGACTACCAGAGGTAGAGCGAGCAGCAGAAAGAGCAGACATCATAGACGTGCGACATTACCTGGATGCAAAGCCAAGATGAGCGGCAGAAGAATTGGGACCAGCCACAGGCTTCACTGCGCATCGGCAAGTTGCCAATCAGTCGCCACAGAGTCAGTTCTGGCAACAACAACGATCATACAGAGACAGAGGGCGCCCAGGACAACTTTGGCTTCGCCGTTTAGGCTCGAGATGGGAGTTTTGCCAAAGCCAACCCTGTCAGAGGAACCATTGAATCTCACCGCTGCTCCAGCGTTCAGCTGGGCAGCGGAGAAGTTCAAGGTGGCTGCCATGGGCGATAGTGGGCGTATGGCATTGTCTTGAAGACCATGACTCCGCCTTAGGATGTCGCTGCAGCCTTGCGCTCGTGTACGGCGTCTCGCAGCAGCAAACATTTCGCTTCCTAAAGCCACTCGCATCTCCAATCTCCGACTCACGACCTTCGAAACGCAATGCTGTGAAAGCTCTCACCCAACCTCGAAAAGTCACAGAATCGAAGACTAGTCGATCCACAGAAATGCTATGGCGACCGCTACTCTGAGTGTCGTGTCGAGATGGATAAAGGACAAGGGAAGCCTTCTCGCAAGACTGTCCTTTCAAAAGCATAGGCGAAGCTCAATGCAGCGGCCGAGACGATAAGCAAGAGGTGAAGTAGACACCAATGGCCGTATCCTCGACTTCAATACATATGAGTACCATCGCCAAATCGAAAATATCGTCGGCGGATCTATCACAGCAGTGCTTGGCGCTACTCTGGTCCTCAGGAAATGGCTCGACTTCTCGGTCGCCAAGGCGATAACCACGACCATTAGCACTGAGTTGCGCTCTCCTCCTCGGAGATGTGGACAGTACTCTTGTCTATCGCGCATAGAGCCCCGCGAATGCATTTGGGGAGAGCGGTGGTTTCAGAAGGAGATTCAGTATTGTCATCGTCTCAATGCGGTTAATTGACCAAGTGCTGCGCTTCCACACGAGCTATACTATCCGCTCAGTTGCACTAAAACATGACTCGTATTGGGACCGTATTGCTCGGCCTACTAGCAAGTCGAAAAGCCGGGGTCGGGGTATCCAGGTAGGCCGAGCGTAACCGGGTACTCGTATCTGGTGGGCGGAGGGTTCGCAAGTTGGTAGGCCAAGCTTGCATATGGGCCCTCCATGTATTTATGTACTCGTGTCACTCCAGGCTGATACGAGTAGGGCACTCACGCGAGTAAGGGACTCATACGAGTGTCCTCGTGAAACATGTCTAATACCGGAGGCGGCGGAGAAGACATGAACGATTCGGGGGTCTTTTAAATGTCGACACGCGTCCTGGAACAACATCACAGATCAATTGCGTCGCCATGCTGTCGTCCACTCTCACTGCCCTGCTGGCAGTTGTCGGTCTTGCTACGGCCACAGCGATAGGCAATCATGAGCGAAGCAATACAGCAAGACAGGCAACGGCAGACTATGAAGGGTACATGTTTGCCTACTTCACCGGCAATACGGTCGAGGGAGAGAAGATCTACTTCGCTGCCAGCAATGGGAACGATGCTCTCGATTGGGCGGAGCTTGATGGAGGGAAACCAGTGCTTGCTTCTACGAAAGGCACGACTGGACTACGAGATCCATTCATCATGAGGAGTCAAGACGGTGGAACGTTCTACTTGCTTGCTACAGATCTATCCATCGGATCTGGAACTTCTTGGGGTGACTCTGTGAGAAATGGAAGTCGGTATGTCTCGTGCTCAAAACTCTGGCATCGGAAGCTTTGCTGATCGCATCTAATGCAGGTACCTTGAGATCTGGGAGTCTAACGATCTAGTCACCTGGTCTGAACAGCGCCATGTCCTTGTATCGCCGCCAACAGCGGGCATGACTTGGGCTCCCGAGGCACACTATGACACAGCAATCGACCAGTACGTCGTTTACTGGTCGTCCGCATTGTACGCAGAAGACGACCCTGGGCATACCGGTACTTCTTACAATCGAATGCTGTATGCGACGACCACAGACTTTGTTACCTTTAGCAAACCTCAAATCTGGCAGGACTCTGGACTCTCTAGAATCGATTCGACCGTGCTCCAGGTCGATGACACTTACTACCGCTTTACCAAAGACGAGGGAGGCGCTGCTACTGGATGCACAGATATCATTCAGGAATCTTCGCAAGATCTCCTGGCCCAGGTGAAGGGATGGAAGACTGTCGCAAGTTGCATTGGAAAGAAGGCGGGCCTAAAGGCTGTGGAAGGACCTACGTCCTTCAAGTCGAATCCGGGCGATGTCCACGGCGACCACTATTACCTCTTCGTCGACGAGTACGGCGGCCGCGGCTATATTCCTCTACAAACTGCGAATATTTCACAGCCGGACTGGCAGGTCCCATCGGCCTACAAGCTACCCGCCAGGCCTCGCCATGGCACCGTACTTCCCATCACTGCGGCAGAGCTCCTGCGTCTGCAGAAGGCCTCCAGCGCCTGAACTCAGCGACATGATTGAACAGGCGAGAAGGCAAACCATTCCCGTGTGGATAATGTTTGCAACTGTACGACCGTAGTCGTCTACATTGTAATTTTTGTATGCAAAGACACAGCATAGCGTTGCATAGCATCCAATATGCTGACGGACTAGCCATCGGATTCTCTCGCAGGAACAACGCACCGAACTGCCGACGTCGCTACCGCCTTCACATGACATGACCATCCCCGCAATTAGGCAATGCAAGGTTCTCCAAATTCTCCGTAGTCACGCTCATAGTGGATTCGCATAGATCCAGCATGGATCCGGAGCTCTTCGCCATAATCCGAAGCCGTTCGCTTTAAGAGACACCGTTCGTCAAAGCAGACATGTCGGTCCATCTCTTCACCCATCAACAATGCGAGCACACCAAGCAGCCCTGCTGCTCTCAAGCGTCGTGAACTCCCTCTCCTTCCGCTCTGATACCTATGCAACTCCCTCGCAGAATGTCTCACTGGCGCCTAACGCATCACGTTGGCCCAGCGGACTCCATCTCGCCGTGGACTACTATCCATCCCAGTGGCCCGAATGGATGTGGGAATCCGACATAGCCCGCATGGCATCCAGCAACATCTCCCTTGTCCGAGTCAATGAATTTGACTGGTCTGTTTTCGAGCCCCAAGAAGGCCAATACAACTTTACGGTCTTGGACACAATTCTGGATCTCCTCGACAAGCATGGTCTGAGAGCTGTTGTGGGCACGCCGACCGCAACGCCTCCGAATTGGCTGACGGAGAAGTACTATGTTGATTTTGTGGATCGGACGAATACCACACTGGTGTTTGGGAGTAGGAGGCACTACAGTTTTTCGAGTTTTGATTACAGGCTGCAAAGCCGGAAAATTACGGAGGTGCTTGCGAGGCGGTATGGGAATCGGAGTGCTGTTGCTGGATGGCAGCTTGATAAGTGAGTACACTTGGGTGTCACCGAAAGCACGGTAGCAGCTGCTGATGCTATTTGATTGCTTCTTGCAGCGAATTCGGCTGCCACGATACAGTTCGCAGCTACGATAAAGACGCTAAGACCCGTTTCCGCACGTGGCTCCGAGATAAGTACACCACGATCGAGAGCATGAACGACGCTCAAGGACGTGTCTTCTGGTCATCGCAGTACGCATCTTTTGACGCGGTGGAGCCGCCGTTCCTGGAAGTCTACACTCTCAACGAAGCTCACACATTGGACTGGTATCACTTCAGCTCGGATATGGTGATCGACTTCGCAAAAGAACAGACCGAGATCATCCGTCAACATGCGCCGAATCACTTCATCACGACTAATATGATGGTTCTTTTCACCGACTTCGATCATCACAGGTTCAGCAAAGAAGTAGGCATCGATATCGCTACTTTCGACTTGTATCCTCTAGCTTCAGCGGGTTCCACCCCAGAATATTTAAGGACGGGAGATCCTGATGTTCAAGCGCTCCATCACGCTCTATACAGAGGCGTCTCAGGTGCGAGCTATGGCAAGACGTCAGGTCCCTTTGGCGTGATGGAGATGCAGCCTGGTGTTCTCAACTGGAACCCGTACAGAGTCTCGCCTCTGGATGGTATGGTACGTCTCTGGACTCATGAGACTTTTGCTGCTTCGGGAGATATGGTCAATTACTTCCGCTGGCGACAGGTCCCGTATGCACAGGAGCAAACGCTCTCCGGGCTCTTTGTCTCGGACAACTCCGAAGACGAAGGATACACGGAGTCTCAGGTATTCGCAAAAGAAGATTTGCCACAACTAGCCGCTCAACATGTGGTTGAAGAGCCTCAGGCAGACGTTGCTCTGGTGTTCGACTACACTTCTCAATGGGTCTGGGCTATCGAGCCTTACAGTGGAACCTGGTCGGTGAAAGATGCAAGCTATACGGATCCTTTGCTAGTATATACCGATCTCGTGTCTGCTTTCTACTCAGCCCTTCGACGCCTGGGTCTCAGCATCGACATCATATCCGCCGAGCAATCGCTGACGGGTTACAAGCTGGTCGTCGTCCCCAGCCTGCCAATCATCCCGGAAGCCTTCGACAGATCTCTCCAGAACTTCACGGGCCCGGTAGTCTTTGGCCCACACACCGGCAGCAGAACACCCCACTTCGCCTATCCACCAGGACTCACGCCCTCAGCCGGGACACTGCGTGACCGTCTCCCCATGCGCATCACCCGAGTCGAAACGCCACCCGCATCCGCCGGCAGCGGCGTTTCGTACGCAGGCACGACGTACAACATTTCCGCACGGGAGGAATGGATTTCCTGCTCCCGAGACAACGCCACGAGCCACATCACCATCGTCTATACCTCCCCGCATCGACCAGGCACGCCGGCAGCTTGCAGCAAGAACCATCTGCACTATCTCGCTTTCAACCCGCCGGTCGACCTTCTCGTTTCGTATCTGGGCGATGTGGCGGGTAATGCAGGGATTCAAGATGTGGTGGGGAGAAGAGCGGATCAGAAAAATGATCTGGGGCTTACGATGAGACTGGCCAGGCGAGGGGATTTGCTCTGGGCTATCAACTACAGCTGGGAAGCGCAAGCGCCACCGGATGTGCCGGGTGACTTGATCATTGGCAAGGGAGGAGATGTCCCAAGTGCTGGTGTCATGGTGTGGAAGCTGAGATGACATGCGTGGTAGCCTTCCCCGCTACAGGAGACGTCTGTCATGCGGTTCAATCCTACAAATGAGAGTACGTGTCGTCAAGTCCATGTCCCAGTCTAGAATTTCCTCGTGGAAATCTTCTTGTCTTAGCTATCGTCGGTTCATTGCTTCAATTTCTGAGTGAAGGAATCAGATACCACTACGGCGGGGAAGGGACTGATACGAGTAAGCTTCGCAAGCGGATGTCTTCGTGACATATTTCCTGATCGTAATCGACTCCTACCGAAGCTTCAAGTGGCGGGGCAGTAGATGTCGCAGTGAAATGCAAAGTCACTGTGACCGTAGTGCCCGGGTAGCTTGGAGCAACGGCTGGGCAACTTGGCTTCGCAGTGGGGACTGCTAAGCTGGGAGCAGCGGTTGGGTAGCTTGAGATCGTGAAGGTGCCTCTGAAGTAAGGGTCGGAGACAGTGAAGGTCTCATCCTTGCGAATAGGGTTGGCCATATCGGTGGCGGCGAGGAGTGGGAGAAAAATGAACGACTTGCATTCTGTTGGACGAATCTGGTTTGCAGGCAATGACAGGGACGACTACGGAGGAAGGATCTATTGAGGAAGAAGGCGATACTCACAATCCTTTCGCACTGCTGCCCGCGTCTGTTCACCGCTGATAGCAACGTATGCACAGCATGGATACAATCAAGAATGCCACTGGAGACTCTTGCCAACCTATACTTCTACGAAAAGCATCACACTGCCGGTGTCAAGTGTAAAGCGGCAGATCTGGAACATACCGTCGACGCAACTCTTATACCAATGCAATGCGTGCCTGTCATATCAGCAGCCTGTCGTCTTACCATGCTGCTACAACAGAACAAGGCGTGCCGGTCATGTCTGGCCAAGGACTGTCGACGGTGAGTGCTGATCCTGAAAGCTTGGAGAAAGCTTGTGTTCCAGACGCCACGGCATGTGAACGCCGAGGCTCCCTAGCCTGTCTCGTTCTCCGACGATGTTTCAAAGATGGCTATGCATTACATCTTGAGATCCTACTACACTGGCAACGCTTCAACGGTAGATCGATAGTGGATGTTCTCAGCGGCAGCCGCCGAGGCAGTGTGAAAGAACTTTGAGCAACGCTTGCCCTTTCGGGTAGTACGCACAGCAATGGTCGCCAAGAAGAGTCATACCAAATAGAGACAGACTTCAGATGGACAGGACAACATCACTGACCTTGAGCATGTGGATGAGATTGAGCAGAAGGTTGAGAACACGGCTGCGATGGAGCGACGGAGAGATTTTCCCAAATTTCCTCCTCTTCTTCAAGTCTCCCAGTGCACCTCGATATCTTTCTCAAAAGCTTAGACCAGTGCCGGCCTGAGAACCTAACACATCGTTTGCCAATTCGGTGATGTCTTGATAGAGGACCTGGGAGTCTACATCGCCTGCCTGAGGGACCGCCACGGTTGGATCTTGGGCGTACTGATAGCTGGTCATCGGCTCTTTATCAGTACTGAACACGGTATCTGTTGCTGCAGGTACATCATAGCGCTCCTGCTGTTCGTGACGGGCTGTTTGTGCTGTCTTCTCTGGTAGGTCCGGAGGAGTGAAACCGAAGCTGAGAGACGATGCGACTCTTCCACTTGAAGTTCTGAGAGATGGTTTGAGAAAACTGTCAAGGTTTGTCTTTTGTGGAGGCTGAGTAGCTGGCCTAGGCGAAGGCTCACCCCCATTACTTTCGTCGTGGGGCACATCGGGCAGATCGGAGAATGACATTGAGAATCGCAGGTTACTACGTCTCCGGTCAATGAACTCCGCATGTTGAACTGAGTCGGAGTTGAAGCTCTTTGGGAGCCCTTTGCCCACCGAGGGAGATTGCCCGTAACTTGTACGTCTCTCTTGCGAAACCGGCTTCTTCACGCTTGACCACCCTTTCCATCCGTCGAGGAGAGCCTGCGTGCTGGGCATTGGCAGTGGCTCTTGTGATAGCTGTCTCAGCGGCTGACGACCAGTCTTTTTGCCAGAGTCAGCACTTGCGGTAGACTTTTCACCAAGGTAAAGATCGATGTCTGTTTTGTCCGGAGATGTGAAGAGATCTTTCTGTGCTTGATACAACAGAGCTTGAGTCCCAGGCCATGCGTGACCCTGAGATTCGATTGCCGCGCGTGCAGCTTGAATTCGTTCGACGTCGCTCCGGTCATCGGATGCTGGCTGATCGGACCGCGCACGCATTTGCTCAGGTTGGGAAGATCCAGAATCATCTGCACATCTTGACATACGGGCCCCGCATGCTTTCAACTCGTCTCGTAGTGCTTTCTTAACAGACGATGACCTTCGACCAGTAGATGTATCCTTCGGGAGGATGCTGTTGAGGTACTGGTTGACTAGCGGTGTCTCGGACCCAAAACCAGCATCTTCTTCTCGTGTCACTTGCTCCGTGGCATGGCCCTCCTCGGCCCTTAAGGTTTGTGGACTTTCTGAAGATGGGGACATGGCTTGCGGACGGCGCGTCTTTTTCAAAGGCTGCTGAGGGCGAGAAACGGGCGTGACACCAGATTCCCCAAAGTTGTTGCTCCTTGAAGCTCGCTTGCGAAACATGAAAGGTGATCCGCCCTGGCCATCGACCTGAGTGTACTCAGTGCTGAATGCTGCTAGCTTGTTTGCGTTGTCCACAAGAGCCTTGCGAATGTCATCGGCTCCTTGTTGGGAGTCTAGAGGTGCAGTGCGTCGTCGATCTGCCTTGTCCTTGTCCGTCTGAGCAGGCGTACTTCCGGCAGATTTCGCTTTGCGTTGTCTTGGAGCCATCTGCGTATTTTTAAGCGCGGACGACCGTAGCGAGGCTCGTCTTCCAGAAACTGCTGGATTGTTGGCAGCACATACGTCTTGATTCGCGTGCGATTGTACACTAGGCTCGGCCAGATCCACTCGAGTAATATTAGTAGTTGCCCATGATTTGCGTGGACGCACATCAAGGCCCTCTTGTCGAAGCAGCTTTGCCTGGCTGTCTGCTTCATCAACACCATGATCGCAATCGGCATGCGATTGATCTTCCTCGGTCTGCTCCTCAATGCTCGTGCCAATCACGTTGCAAGCTTCTTGATTATCCATCGTATTGACCTCGAATTGCTGCACCTCACTGCGTTCTTGAGCTTTGGAAAGCGTGGTCTCAAAAGACGTAGATGCGTAGGTAGAAGCTGTAGGTGGTGGTACAGTATCAAAACTTGGATGCGTAGGAGCGCTCGTCCCAGATCGAGCTCTTGCCAGAGGTCGCGAGCGGTTGCGTGACCGCTGAGACGAAGTGAATATCGAAGTGGCACCCAACTCATCTTTGCTACAATCTTCGTTCACATCCTTTCTAGGGAGCTGGAAAGCACCGCTTGTGATCCATTTGGAGCTTGTCCAGGCGGGCGTTGGTGAGGGACCACAGTCCGAGACAGTTTCGTCCTGAGGTTCCGAATAAGAGTACTGTGTTTGCGTTTCTGGTATGACATGCCTCGGACATGATTGAGGCTGGGACTCGCAAAGGTCAATGTGAGAACTTTGCAAGCGACGATTGCGTAGCTGAGCGGCGACCCTCAAGGCATCCTCACTCGGTCCGATTGCCGGTTTAGTCGAACGAAGACGTGTTCGAGGCCTGCAGCTCGCCTGAGCCTGGATTTGGGTGATTATAGGCTCCTGAACGCATGAGATGCCCTCGTCTTGCCGAATGAGTGCATTGTTCACAGGGACTTGAGAGGCGAGGAACGCGCGCAAGACATCTTGACCCGACTCCACGTCCTCCCACATATCCGCATTCTCCTTCCTTGGTCTTTCATAAACTGCCCTCTCCAGAGCATCCCAAGCATCTCTTGGTCTTTCGAAGCAGTCGTATACAATAGCTTCAGTGACAGCTTGTGGGTCCAAGGTGGCGCAATGTATCTCCGGGAGGAAGCCATTCATGAATTCGTCTGCAATCCTCTCTATCCGCCTTCGCTTGGCCGCTCGTTGCGGAATGTAAAAGTCATCGTCGCCATCTAATTCAAGCAAGTCCTCTCTTGAAGGGATATGTTCGCAGTCGTCGCCTCTAACGTCCCGGAAGAGCTGTGTTTCTTGGAAGACGGAGGGGCAATTCCAGGCGAAACCTCGGGGTCTATGTGTTCTGAGCATGTCGATTTCTCCCGATCATCAGATATCCGCACATGATCTTCGAACAATTCGTAGGGCAATGTTGTCGCCAAAGGAGCGAGTTGGGAGTTGGAGGCAGCGCGGGATAAGGTTTCGCTAGACGAGTCGCGCTTTGGTCGGAGGGCTCGCGCGCTGGTTGGAGGGGCAACGGATTTGTTTTCGCAGGGAAGCCGCCGCGTTCGATTTTCAGGTACCCGACAGCTCTCGACTTCAACATCCAAGCGTTGCGCCGCATTGATCACCACTTCACATTCACACGCGCTTGCGACAATTCCACTGAACAACTTTGGTCAGAGCGATAGCGACATACTAGCAAACATCTTTCACGCTTGGTCACGCGGGACTCAACGCGCCTGGTGGAAACAACACAGCGGCGGCACGCGTCCTCCTGGGACACGGCGTGCTATAACACTATTATCATGTCGCAGAACGTAGCGCCATGGCTTCAGGGCCTGGAGGACGACGAGGATGATGAAGCCTGGGACATCTCCGTGCCAGCACCGCAATATGTTTCCTCCGCCAGCCACAACGCCAATTCGATCCACAGTCGCCTGTCGCACGGCAGCTTGAGTCGGCCATCTTCTCAGAAGTCGCAATCGTCAATTCAGAGACATCGCAATCCTCTGGTACCATTGACAGATAGCAGGAGAAATTCAATTCGCCGACCGAGCGGCTCGATCAAGCTCACGCAGTCCCGCTCCTTCTCCGGTGCATCGGACAGCTCAGTCGTACAGTACAGCACCGTCCAGCAGCGTTCCAAGAGTGCATCTCCCGTCAAGCAGCAGACACTGGAATGGAAGAGGAGGTTGATGCATGGCAAAGTTGGATATGGCGATCAGACCGACTTGTTTGGCCCGTCTGGCCTTGAGAATATCTTTGCACAGTCACGCCCTACGGAGAGCCCGAGCCGGAAGACCAGAGGCAGCATGCAATGGCTAGAGAGATCTGCGGTCGCGTCGATGCCATCCAGTCCTCCATCATGGCCGTCAAGATTGGAAGCACCTGAAGAGCAGGACGAAGATGCCATGGTCGAAGGAGAGAGCCAGAGGCTGACGGCCGTGGAAGAAGAGCAGAACAGCGAAGATCAATACAACGAAGAGGACGAAAGTTTTCGCAGCAACCCATTTGATCTGAGACACTCGGCGGAGCCCGAGATGGAAGAAAGCGGGAGGCAAGAATCGGAACACAATGACGAGTCCAGCCCACAGAGAACAGTGGGGGAGCAAACCCACGATAATATCGCGGGCAGTCGCACCGTGAGTGGTCAAACGGAGTTGGACGATTTCAGCCCGGTCTTCGTTTCAAAGCATACCAGTGTGAACGGCGAGGTTGAATACAAGGCTCTCGATTCCCGTATGATTAAGCAATTCTGGAATCAGACGATTAATCTGAAGCATCCGGACCACCAGCCGAGCTCAGATCCTACCACTTCGAATGCTCCTGGCAGGATTTCTGTGGAGGTCTCAACGCAGACAGATGGTCCCGAGAGCTCCGTGCTCCCTGCTGTGCCAGACCTGTCACTTTCGGAGAATTTGCCAACTGGAACACCGCCGAGCGCTGCCCTTGGAGAGAATGTCCAACTCGAACGAGGAGGCTACTCTAACAATGGGTCTTTTAGGATTAGGCCACTGAGCGCATCGCAGTCTACTGCGGAACCATCACTTGCTGTACCGGAGACGAGCGGCCTGCTTTCGCCTCTCCCTACGTCGGGCCGACGATACCAGGCGTCACGAAGCGTGCCCAGTACGCCCATCCAAGAGGCACGCGCAGAGCCCAGGTCACGATCATCAGGGAGTCCACTAAAGTTGTTTGCTGCCCACGACACCTATACGAGCAACCGGTTGCTAAGACGAATGAGCCAACTGGACCCGGACTTATCGGCCATACGTTCTGAAGGTGCCAGCCCGGTGTCCACCCAAAAGCCGACGGCCAGCGAACAATGGCGACGCACCGTGTCGAGTAGCTCATTTGGCAGTGGCGAGCTCAATGGCCATGGTTTCAATGCTGAGATTACCATCACAAGCGCCTCAGACTCAGACAAGGCCAACAGTGACCGCTCGCCAGGCTCTGAAGTTGCCCCTCCCGGTAGTTGGATCCCTTTGGCATTTCGAATCGAGAATAATGCTGCAGGAGACACCTTCAAGCTAAAGAGGAAGATTTCCAAGCGCAGTGAGGTAACCTCTAAGGAGTCAACATTGAACGCATCGACGAAGCACATGCAGCCTTCTGTCGAAGACGTGCCGGACAACAGCGCATTGCAGGCAGCTGGTGGCGGTGTGCTGCAAGAGACATCGAACGCTGGTTTTGGAAAACGTCCGCCCAACTCTCCTTTCAAGGCTCCCACACCAAAGCGCCGGCGGACACTGCACGCTTCTGAACTGGAAGACGATGCTTCTCGTCTCAGCCGGTCGTATCATGCCCAGTTACAGGGTGCCCTCAGCAGTCAAAAGCGAAGAGACTCCCGCAGGGGAGACTACGACGTCGCAGAGCCTTCAGTACTAGCGCAGCGCAAGATTCTGCGTCCTCGAAATCCAACGCCTAGTCAGAGCCGACGGGAGCAGATTGAAGCTGAGATAAGAGAGGCGGCCGAGCAATTTGCTGACCAAGAGCCTGAGGCGCTAGAGGCCGTGATGGAACAGATAGAGTCGTCTATGGCCGCCGACAGCCCTCCATCAATTCAGCAGCAAGCGAATGTCGTGGCTGGCGAAGTCGCGAAGTTTAGTCTGCGCATTCAAAAAGCTTCTGGAGACCATACGGAGCGTAAGCGCTCTGTCACTACCCAGGACTTCTTCAATGAAGCAGTAATGGTGATGCGTCTGATCCGCGAGAAGGCAGGAAGGCAGAGTGGTCTGGGCAGCGTGGCGGAATCCGATCAAGAAGGCATGGCAGCAACGCCCGAAATGGAGAATTCGAAAGTGAACTCGCCTTCGCTCCGGGTGTCACGACCGCCGTCTCGTGAAGGCTTCAGTGGGTGGAGGCCGCGTAATTCGGAGCAGACAGACGCTCGAGTGATCAGCTATCTTCGAAGGTATCAGGAACGTGATGACACCGAATTCATTGCGCCATCGGTTGTCTCCCTCGACGCCGATGATGACCAGGCAGAATACGTGGCGGTTGATGAGCACTCCAACATCCGGATCAAGGGACCCTTGCCTACGCGTGTTGTGCAGACAGAAGATGATCCAAGCCGACCGTCAACACAACATTCACAACAAAGCTCGCTTGCCTCACACAATTCCGATGCTACCTCTACTGGTAGGACACTGCTCTCGCGCAAATCTGACAATGTTGGGTGTTTGGCACCTGATGCTGTTGCACATCTTATCGGCGAGCAGGTGGGCGCCATGACCTACGACAAGGACAAGCAGCAATGGGTCAAGGCGAAGAGCCCCAATAAGCCGCAGTATGGAAGCTTTCTCGAGCCTCCAAGCAATATTACCAGCGACGATGACCCCTTCCGAGAGATTTCAGACTTACCAGTGGATGAACATAAAGAAGAGGAGATTCGTAAGGCAAGCACTGGCCGTCGTCCAAGTGCGCTTCCCGACGAGCTCGAGGCCTCACATGTGCAGGAGAAACGCGAGCCGGAAGAGCATATAGCTGAATCCCGGACTACATCACAAGAGACGGTCCTCGCCCGGCCGGACACGCGAGACAGCAAACTCTCTCAACATGCATACTCCAGCTCTGATCCTTCGCGATACACTGCTTTTGCCTCGAGTCAACAACAAACGAATGAGACAAGGGCAACTTCGTGGGGCAATGAAGAGCTTGCACAATTGGCAGCACAAGGGAAAGCCAGGCATCAACCTTTGGCATACGCAGCGGCTCAAGCTGCGCTGGCTCTTGCTCAACGAAATGAAGGCAACGAAACTGCAGAACTGCAGATCGAGGAAAGCGAAGTCAGCTGCGTATCGGCATCAATTCCAACCATCAAATCAAAGATGGACACTTCTACAGAGCGGCAGCACCGTGTTGATCGGAACATGTCAGGTGAGAGAGACGAGCTTGCAGACTTGAGAGAAGACACCGTCCTGGATGCGGAAGAGCCCGAGATTGAAAATATCCGCTCGCCTCGTCTCCGCCAGGCACAGACTGTTCCGCATCCACATGCAACCCGAAAGTATCAGGGAGTCGCTAGTGAGATGTCACTTCGTCGCAAGACCTTGACGAACAAGTTCAATGAAACGGAGCTCATGGAGCAGAGTGAAGTCTCCTTTGTTGCTCCGCTTCCTGGCGAGCGGATGATGAGTGTATCGCTGAGTGTCTCGAGGCCGATGACCAAGCGTCAACCTGTTGGACGCGTTCTGGATCCGCAATCGTCACCCACCAAGTACGAACCAAGCTTCATGTTCAGCGATCTGCCTGAGTTTACCGTACACGAGGAGGACTGCGAGCGCCCATCTGAGCGAGCTCTCGCTGAACGCCTTGCTGCGCACGCGGCTGCGGAAGTCAATGACCGATATGCGCTGTCAGTCAAAGATCTTGTAAATATCCTGACAGACGTTCAAGAGGACGAGCCTTACTGGGAAAATATCAAGCAACTGGACCTGCATGACCGAGCACTGGCATCCTTGCATGGCCTTGGAGACTTCTGCGGTAGTGTCCAGGATATCGACGTCTCGGACAACAAACTTTCGTACCTCAATGGGGCACCCTCGACGGTTCGACAGTTGATAGCTAGGTCCAACCAGCTCAGCAGTCTGACACCTTGGACTCATCTGATGAACCTCCAATATTTGGACATCTCTGGCAATCAGCTTCACAATCTTGACGGACTTTCGTGCCTCATTCACTTGCGGGAGCTACGTGCGGATGACAACGAGATCACTTCCATCAACGGCATCATGAGCCTAGATGGTCTGCTAAAGCTGAGGGCAAGGCGCAACGCTATCAAGTCGGCCGACTTTTCTTCAGCACATCTCTGCCGCTTGGAAGAACTTGACCTCTGCGGTAACTCTGTGAGCACAGTTCAAAGTTTGGAGTCGTTACCCAGGCTAGAGCGACTCAACCTGGATGGCAATCCTTTGACGAAACCATTCTCCGCCTTGGAAGAGATGCCACATCTCAAACACCTTTCGCTCAAGGGCTGCAGACTGCAGCGCCTCGATGTAAGACACATGCCGGCGCTGCACACATTGTTGCTGGACGAGAACTCACTGTCTACTGTGTCTGGCGTTGAGCATCTAAGATGTCTGGATGTCCTCAGCATGAGGAAGCAGACCCTTTCTGGAGGCAGCCACGTTTCCATCTTGGAGGAACCTCTTCAAGCTCGGACAGTCCGCCTTTCTGGAAACGAACTTCCCTGCGTTCGACTGCCCCACAGTCTACTCAGTCTCCAACATCTCGAGATGGCGTCTGTTGGTCTTCAAGAACTGACGGATGATTTCGGCCTCAAGCTTCCCAACCTGATGACACTCAACCTCAATTTCAACTCTTTGAAAGACGCGAGACCTCTTTTGAATATCCAGAAGCTTGAGCAAGTCAGCATTTGCGGCAATCGCCTTAGTAGGCTCCGGAAGAATGTCGCTGCTTTGTCCAAGATAGCGACGGTGACGAGCATTGACCTCCGGGACAATCCGCTTACTCAAGGATTCTATCCTCATTTTGGAGCCACCCAGCAGACGAGTGTCATTCGACGTTCGCCCTCTGACGAAGACGACGAGGATGAGAAAGCTGAGAAGCGTGAGGCTGCGAGATATGTCTTGCCTGCAGTAGACGCAGATCAGGACAGAGTCCACTACGGAAGGATGGATGACGATTCGAAGTTACGGCGGAGAGTGTATCAGCTTTTGCTGGGCAACAGCTGCGGGAAGTTGGACTACCTAGATGGCTTGGCGTTTGATAAGAACGGCGCGATGGTGAGGGACAAGACTTGGGAGAGACTGATAGAGCTGGGCATTGTGAGGAAGTCTGGTGCTGTTGGCCTGAGGAGCGACGAGGAGTCGCCGTAAAACATTCCGGAAACGATGTCGATTGGTGTTGGGGCTATTGAATTCCTTTGAGCGATGGTGTTGGACGGGCTGAGCATGACATTCATGATGGGCGTCTTATGAAGCATGGCTTGTAATGGTTATATTGGTAGACCTGCGAAGGTCGACTTTCGCAATTCAGAGCCGTTTCTTGAGGTCTCTCTTTGTGAGAGCTTTCCACCATGAGGCGAAGTCAGACGATTCGATCTCTCCCCTTCAGCTAAACATGTCGCAGGGCGCAATGCGGGCGTTGATGTCGGCTGAGCATGCTCGCTGCAGGCCGATAATCGATGCATGCATACAAAACCGAGCTCGCAGGTGGAGTCCAGTCCGTATTCTGCTCGTTCATGGAGGCACGGCTGGCATGGCAAGTCCGCGGAACCACGAGCTTATTGATCGACTTTGAGAGTTTGAAGACGTTGGAAATATACTTTAATTCTCAGACTTGATGTCATTGAAGCCAAGATTGACTAACCATTGCGATCATTGACACTGTGTGATTGGAAGTGAGCAGGGCTTTTATTTGGATAAGAAACAACTGTGACGATGGGAGGAGAGTTTTTCTCAGAGCGAGAATAGAAGAAGAGGAAGGCGTCCGGTTCGCGCATTCATTACTACGCTATCAACGACCAACAACACCCACCACCACCACCGCCAAAATGTATCTGTCCCTCAAGGCCACCATTTTCGCATTGGCTGCTCTCGCCTCCGCCGAAGATGCCGCTACAACACCAGGCTACGACTGCCCACCCAACAGCATCACTCCCTCCATCCCCCTAAGCAACACCAACCTCACTTTCGGCCAGCACTACGCCGTCCTCAACCTCGACCTCATCAACGGCCTCGTCTCCCCCATCGCCAACACCCCGCAAGGCTCCCAATTCATCAGCAACACCGCCCGCTGGATCTCCGCCGTCCACTCCCAGAACCCCGCCCCCCTCAGCATCTTCACGCGCATCTACTACAGCAACGCCCGCAAACCGGAACTCGGACCCGACACGCCCTTCGGAAAGCCGGAGGGACCTTGGGAACGGCGACGGATCCCAACACGGCCATCTTCCCGGCCTTCCACGCGCGGCCGGATGAGGGCGACGTGGTGTTGCAGAAGACGAGGTATTACGCCGGGTTTGGCAACGAGCTGGAGGAGATTCTGCGGGCGCAGAAGATTGACACGGTCATCCTGTCCGGGATCCGCACCAGCGGGGTGATTCTCAACACGGCCTATCAGCTCTTTAATCTGGACTATAATGTTCAAGATGTTGTCCGACGAGGCGTGCATACATGACTTTTTTTTTGCTGATGATAGACGACGACGTCAGGTATGTGATTGCCAACAATACGATCGAAACGCCACCGGACACGCCGGGCATCAACGAGGCGATTTTGGAGGGGATTATCCCCAAGTTGCCGGCCAATGTTATTACGATTGAGCAGGCTATGGCTGCTCTGGAGAGAAGTGGGCCGGCGGTGTATTAGATCGAAGGAGAGAGCAATCCAGGTAGAGTAGCGATAGTCTGACGGTTAAGAATGAGATGCCGATGGACTATGTCCACATTTATCTTATTGGAAATTTTTGTTGAGAAAAGCTAAGGACTCGCATTGATTGATTGATCATGTTCCTCGAAGTCGCTGCACTCGCTCTAGCCGCGGGGCAAAGTGAGGGCAGATTGACTCTGATAATTTTGAACGCGTATAGATGCCATGATCTGAACCCAGCAAGATGTACGGAGTGATGACTGCCGCCCGGCCTTTGACGATGGAAGTCTTGGAAGGGCAATGCGGCGTGGACACTTACTTGGCGGGGACCCATGAGACCAATAATGGCTGGCGTCGGTCACTCACGATGTCGTGCATACGGTCGGCACCTTCTCCTGCATGCGACCCCCACCCATGCTGCTCACCAACAGGCACAGGCACAGCACCACCAACACCAACACCAACACCAACAGCCGCACCAACGACCGACCTGACCCTGCGTGCCGCGTACAAAATCCTTTTATCCAATCCTCTCGGTGCCGGAGATGCAAGTGCATCGTCAAAAAGCACCAACAGCATAGCATGCATGCATGCGGGAAGGAAGGAGAGGCTGATGGTAGGATAGTAGTCCCGAATCGGCATTGTGGAGGTTAAAGTAAAGTAAAAGCATCATAATCCTTCCGGCTGTAGATGCAAGCACTTGATGGAGGCGACCGCACCCGGAGCGGCAAAAAGCATGCATGGTTGGTAGAGAAGGAGCCAGTTGGCATTCGCTTTGTTAACCCCCCTCGGCAGGTACATACGGTCAGCTACTATAGCTGTGTAGATAGTAGTCGGTAGTAAGTAGTAGAAGGATAGAATGCGAATCTAGCGATTCGAAACTGTAGGGTAGATATCCCTCGGACACCGACTGCTGAACTTTTCCCCCCCCATGTAGGCAGCCTTCCAGTGGGGGGAATGCGTGCGTGTATGTATGTAAGCGCCGTGCTTTTCTCGTGTAGATCCGTTAGAAGCTAGATTGCTTTTTGTTTATTAGGTATATGCTTTGCATGTGAAAGATGGGACAGGGTGGGGTGCATGGGGGAAGGGGAGGAATGGAAGGAGAGCTGGAAATAGTACCTACCTTACCTTATCTAAGCCATCAATGCCACCCGCCTCTCCCGCTCCTTCGGTGTCGTACGTACGCCGGTCACCTTCAGCCAACTTTGGTCGTAGGAAGTCGTGCATGCATGCACGCATTCATCCATCATACCCTTCTTACTACCCTATAATTGGTACTGTATAAGGCCAATGAAGGAAATTCAGCCACAGAAAATCCACACACTCGTCCATGCTCTTCACAATTCTGTATCATCATCAAGCTTTTTTTTTCCCTTCTCGCTTCAGCCCGTTTGCCCCCAACGATGTGACGGGGATGGCTGGTACAAGAAATCATGACCCATGACCCATGACCGCCGCATGCAATCTGTGCAAGGGCCTCGATCTTCCGTGCGGCGCTTATTACGGTTCCCGACACGACCACGACCAACGGATATCACATCCATACATCCATCATGCTTGCTTGAGTTGCTTTTGCTTTGCTTTGCGGATGGTGGCTGGTAATACTGTCCGTGCATTTGTTCATCACATGACAAGGCTTGCCAGCTTGCCAGCCATCTTGTGAGAGGGATCTGCTTTTTCGTCACAAGACAAGACAGACGGAGCCAATCACCGTGTTTCCCACATCCTCGTTTTGTGTAGATGCAGGACCAGCCGTGTGTGTATATGCAGCCCAGCGTGGGGGGGGGAAAGGCGTGAAGGCAACGCGAACAAGGACTTCCTAGCCTGGGATTCGCAACGCATCCGCATCCGCATCCGCTCTCTACCTCTCTCTCTCACAGAAGAAAGGAGTTCGCAGGAACCCAACAGCGCATAATACCTAACTAATACGCGCAATTAACTGTACTGTACTACTATACTATACTGTAAGTAAGTAAGTAAGCGCCCGCCTAGCCTCCCTTCCCGTAGTCTCCTTAACGTTACCTACTACTATATCTCCTATCTATTTTTTTTAGTGTTCGCTCTCTAGCTTCCAAAATGGCCACGTAGTTTAAGGAGTAGCAATAGTAGTAGCGTGTAGAAACCGAACAAGCGGCAAGATATCATGAATAGCAAGGATCCCAGCAACTTCGCCTTCACCCGGGGGTCCCGCGAAGCGAACACGATGCGATGCGATGCGATGCGATGCGATTTGGTGGCGTCTTGCGGACGACCAGGTGGTTTTGCTGAAGAGGGATCATCGCGGCTCCGAGAGAAAGCATCCGGCGCGAACTCTCGTCAGGTCCAGGCACCTGCGACGGGAACATGAAACCGGGATGATGCCCAAAACGCGCACCACAATTTCGAAATTGAAAGAGACCGAGGGAAAAAAACGTCGTACCAGATGCAAATTGTTGTAATGCGAGATTCTAAATAGTATAAATTAACACGTGAAAGCACGCGAGAAAGGCCAAGTCAGTCTGGCGGTACAGAGTAATGCGTCAGAAGCAGGATCCTTCTCCCCCCCCAAAAAAAGACACCGATATCAAAAGTTGCGCGCGCAAACAAACTTCCAGGGGGTATAGAGCTGATGATAGACAAAGCAGCCAACTTTTCCTTTCCCAACCCAGGCAAGAACCGCAATGTGATGATGCAGATGTATGACTCAAACAAAACTGTTCAGGAGGGATGGTTGCATCCATCCATCGTGCGCCGCGCGTAATCATGAGAGTCCCCAGTCTAGTTGTACATCCCGTGAGAAGAAGCGTCCCGTGTGATCCAGTCAGAAAAGAAGGTGGCAAGACAGAGATGCCGGTAATATCAAATCCGAAACTCCCGTATCTCCAGATGTATCCCGGTACGCAGCAATGAACGAGTTGGGTATCAGAAGGCGAAGACGCAGTCCTTGCTGTGCGTGACCCCAAACACGTGGTGAGATGAGGAATTCCGTGTCGCCACCGACGCGATTGCCACTCCAGGCAGCAGTCGCGCTTACTTGGTGGGGTTGCGGAGGATGTCCTCGCAGTTGGCGTCGAAGCGCATGCTCCACAGGCGGATGCCAGCCATCAGCTTTTCCGTGCGCTCCAGTTCGCGATCGCGCCCGAAGATGGCATCGACGAACTCGCAGCCGCTGTTCTTGCCCATGGTGACGTTCTTGGCGCCGCCGCTCTCCTTCTTGGCGGCCTTCCACATGTAGTTCTCGCAGATCTTGAGGAGCTTGTTGAAGCGTTGCCAGAGACGCTCGCCGGAATCGAGGAAGTCGTCGACCAACTCGCGTTTCTTGGTGGCGCGGATGCGCGGCATGATGTCCTCGGCGCGCTTGATCTTGTGCGCGAGTTGGATGAGTAAGAGCCAGAGGTCGCCCGCCACCTCGGACATGGGGGTCGCCGGGCCGTAGAAGAAGACGGTCCAATCGTAGATCCACTTGCCGAGAGAGTTTGCGTCGAAGACGCTGCCTAGCAGCAGGATTGGCTCCTCGGTCGGATCCCAGTTCTTGTAGGAGTAGCCGGCGGGAATGCCGGCCTTGCGTGCGTCTTCGGCGGTAGCCTTGGGTGGTGGTGGCGACGAGGCCGTGCTGGGCCGCGTGCGCGGTGGCGGCTGGGTGGGCTTGGCGGTGTAGGAGGCGCGGCGAGGACGCGGCATGCTGTCGGCCGGGGTGTAGATGGGGACCTGATCACGAGAGCGATGATCAGTTCGTGGCTCGCAGTAGTAGTATGTCTGTTGTTGTTGTTGCTTCTTGTACGGCGGCGGTCGCGGTTCGTACTGTTCGTAGCGCGGCAGATACTCGAAGGAGCGGTCGTAGCGGTCGTAGTCGTCGACGTGCTGCTTCCGGGACGAGTATTGCTTGCTGCTCGAGTACTTGCGCTGCTTGGTGCCCGAGTCTCGTGGTCGAGGAGGGTCGCGCTTGCGATCAGAGCCACTTACATGGTCGGATTTGCGCTGGGGCGTCGAGTGCGCCGAGGAGGAGAAGTACGCGCGGTCTGATGCGGTGTATTGCGTCGACTTGCTGGGCGTCGAGGCGGCCGTGGTGGTCGCGTAGGTGTAGGTGTACGTCCCGTCGCCGGTCGCTCGTCGAGTGTGTCCTTTCGACGGCGCGGAGGCGTAGGAGTAGTTGCGCGGAGAGAAATAAGTATAGCCCCCGGCGGGCGGCGGAGTGGTTGGGGGGGTTCGGTAAGTGTATGATGCATATTGTGGTGGATGCATGGGATATGCGCGTGTCTGGAATGTTGCCATTGCGGTGATGGCGAGGCGTCCAGACGCGCCTCGCGGCGGTGGAGATTGGGCTCTAACTCGGACGGTGAGGTCGAGCGTGTGGTAGAGGAGGACGAGAGGAGGAGGATGATCGGTTCTCTGCGTCTCTTCGTGCGAACATTGAGGATGGCTGATGGTGATCTGGACGAGACCAGGTCGGGACGAGATCCAGAAGGGTCTCGTGCGGTGGAAGACGGGACGGGTTTGGGTGAGTCTTAGTAATTTGGGGGAGGTGCAGCGCGCTGTAGCCTGGGAATTGGGTCCTTGGGAGAGGATGTTGGAAAAGGACGAGGTTCGGAGTGCGACACGCGAGGTATATGCGGGCGACCAGGGTGCGCGCACGGACCGTCGCGCGGCAGGGGGGCAGGACCGGGAGTGGTGGTGCCGTGTGGCTGAGGAAAACGTTCACACGTTGGCGATGGGATCGCTGGCGGACCGAGCCAACGTGTCAGGGAGTGAGTAGTGTGGGCGGCGGTAGACGGGTATGATATGGGATGGGATGGGATGAGATGGTGAAGAAGCAAAGGGGAAGAGGCCCAACAGCGGGGGGATGCCGGTGTGTTTTGACGCACGCACCGCCGGATGGAACGCAGCCGGAGGGATCATGCATGAAACACCGAACACAGAACGCTGCTGAGAGAGAGGAATGCACAGACGGCGGCGTGGGCTCATGGATACTGTATGTATCTCATTATTATGTATCTTGTTGTATCACGCCGCTCTTGTCCGGGAAAGGGAAGGGAGCTGATGGCTCGCTCCATCGATGCTTCTCCCGCCATCTGGAATCCTCCGCACATACACATGCCCTATTTCGGGGGGGTGCAAGTCGCCGTCGTTCGACCTCGGCCTCGTTGGATCCGTGTGGGATTCGGCGTCCCGCTGCGAGTCAGCTTCATCACGTCCTCGCCGTGCGCTGCCAACGCGACACGCTGCATTAGCCCCCATCAATGAACCCCTTAGCTGCTGCCATGCTCTTTCGGCCAATGTGAATCCACCGTGAATCCACCAAGGCCATGCACGCCGCACCGCGTGCCCGCCCGCAAGGATCCGCCTTCTCATCCTGCCACCCAAACCGTCTGACCGTGTGCTCTTCTGCTCTCCAACATATCACGTCCAACACATGGAGTTAGTCGTGGGAGTCACTCGGGCTGCATGACTCCTCTGCCAGCACAGCACAGCATACCACTACCACTACCACTACCACTACCACACACCTAATGTACCGCCCGACGGTCTGCCTCCAGCGACTGCCTCCTCCTGCAACCATCTCCTGCAACTGCCCGCCCGGGGCGCAGCGCCACACCGTCTATTGGCTCACATCTTGCCGGCAGCAGCTACGCTAGCCTGGAGAATTTCGCTGATTCGTCCACCCGCTGCGCTTCTACCCAAGGCGTTTGAAAGCATACCATACCATCCAACAACCTGCCACCGTTATCTAGTACGCGGTGCACTCAGCACTCAGCACTCAGCACTCAGCACTCCTCACCCGGTGTTGCCGGTCTCGTGCGTTGTCTGTCCCAAATGCGCGAACCAATCAACCGCTCTCCCTCGCTCCAAGCTGAAAGAGTGTGAAGACGCGCAAACATCTCGGAACTATTCATCTCGTCCTACAGCCTACAGGGCCACCAATACACCAATATCGGACACGCGCATCTGTCACAGCTTCCACCACCCCTTACGCCGCTTCCTGTCATCCACCGTGCACCCGGTGAACCTCGCACACACATGGCGCAGGGGCTCTCCAATCCAGCTTAAGTGGTGAGCTGCTGCTGTGCGTCCCGCTCGTCGGGAACAAACCGATTTCAGCCTCACTACACCGGGGGAACCTGACGTATTCTTTTCTCTATTCGCTCTCGGGTGCTTGCATTGCCTCATCTCAGACACGAGAGAGAGACACAGCCATGCGTCACCTGCCTTCTCTGCCCTGGTCTGGTCTGGTCTGGTCTATTTGGCTGATAATATCATGTCAGGCACAGACCGACACAGACACACGAAACGCGCCACTCAATCTCTCGTCTCGTTCCTGTTCGTTTTTTCTTTGTGTCGATCCCGCGCAGGAACCTCCAACATCTGCAAGGCTCTCTCTCTCCTTCCGGTCACGGGCCCTGCAGATCACTCTTGGAGATTATTTGGGGGGAGTCGTACGACAGTTACACCTTGAGCCACCACCACACCTCATCATCTTCCACATGCTCGTCGTCGTCGTTGTTCGTTGTCGTTTGTCGGTCAGTTGCAACTCGCAACGTGGTACCCTTGCGTTTTAATTAAGCCGCGCGGGTTTTCTTTTATTCCTGCCTTGTCTCGGGCTCTGCTCTGCTCTTTTTTCGCGAAAGTACATGCGCCGGGCGGTAATCATGGGTGCAGCGAGTCGCTCCTTCCTCGAACGGGAATGTGCGATGTGATAGACAGACCCCGAGCGTTGACGAATGGGATGCCCTACCCGCCATCAGGCAAAATCCGTCCAAGACATCTTCAGTTGGAAGAAAACGAACACTGCAGAAGACGACGAGATGACCTTTCCCCAAAGCCGCAGAAGGCATCGAGGCTACGGTGAGTCGCGACGTCCTCGACGTGAGGGTTAGGGTGTGCACTTACTTTCCTTTCCTTTCCTTTCCACCCCACAGGCAGGCAGGGAACATGCGATGCCTTTCTAATAAACTTGCTCTTCCCGATTCGACTTTTGCACGAACGATTTCTACAATAATCCAACAGACATTCCATCGCAAACACCTCATTCGGACAGGCAAGGCAAGGAAAGTGAGACCTCTCTCCCCTCTCCGCCTTGTAGCGATCTAATCTCTCTCTTCCCCACGCTCTCTCGCTCGTTCTACTTTCTCTCTCTCTCTCTCTCTTCCTCTCCTTCCATTTCCCTTGACCTGGTTCTGTATGCTAATAACGAGTCCTCGACGCTACCCAATGCCTATGTCCGGGCGCGAGAAGTGCATTATGATTGCTTGGGATTTGATTTCGCCACTACTACAGCTAACGACCGCTTTAGACTTTTTGGACCTTGATAGGTGGTCTGCAAAGTGGTTCCGCGAGGGTTTCTGGAAATTCGAATGATCCATCAGACTATCCCACGGAACAATGCTTGTGGTGGCGCTGCAATGGTTTCCTCCTACCTTGACCTTGCCCGGCAGGCATTTTTTCTTCTTCTTCTTCTTCTTCTTCTTCTTCTTCTCCTTCTTCCAACTTTCACGAGAGAGCATTCATTGGTTTGCCGTTAATAATACTATCCGGATCAGGAAATATGGAAGAAGAAGAAGAAGAAGAAGAAGAAGAAGAAGAAGAAGAAGAAGAAGAGATAGCATGGCACCGACAGGAGAGTAGTGCACAACGCGCGAGGGGGGAACCCCCCCCCCCCCCCCACGAAGGCCAGCAGGAGAGAAACCCTTTAAGAAAACTCGAAAAAAAAAATTCTGGTGTAAGTGAATAAAAACGCACATTGTGAGGAGAGGGAGAGAGGCGCATCTGGGCGCAGTCAGTCGCAAAAAAAGAACGATCGATGGGGTTTGATACGTTTTCTCATTCATTCATTATTTCTGACTCTTTTTCTTTCCCCACCTTAACAATTCTCAAATTCTTTTTTTTGTTGGATTTTGTGCCATCGGCAATAATCCTGGGAGGTCCGTCCCAGGTCGTCATTTTCTTGATTTCTTTCTTTCTTTCTTTCTTTCTTTTTTTCTTTCTTTCTTTCTTTTCTTTTCTTTTCTTTTCACGCTAGGGTAGGGAGAATGTTCATGCTCATGTCCGCCGCGGGTTGGATACCTCGCGCTGAATGAATGAATGAATGAATGAATGAATGGTTTTGAGTGGATGGGGATTCATTTCTCATTCCCTCTGTATGCTATGCCAGCATGCGATTATGCATGACGGCTCTGCTGATGGAATCCGATTGTTGCAGTCGCTTTTGCTTTGCTTTGCTTTTGAGAAATGCGATTTCTGATTCGGAGTTAGTTTTTGTCGTCAAGGTGTTTTCCGATCGATCGATCAACATGGCCTCCTCTTTCGATCATCTATCTGGATCTGCATCTACATCTATATATCTTCTGCCCCCACTCCTTGGTCTTGTTGATGCGCAGGGTGCGTCCTAGCTTGGCGACGGAAGGCGGGCTTGGATTGCGATGCGCACTGCGGGTTATATATCTGAACTCGAGCAGCGACACGACCCATCGCCGGCCATGGTAGCAGAGGGAGGGGGGAGGGGGGGGAGAGGATTGTGGATTCGCCCGAGTCGGTGTGGTGTTGCCCGACGTCCACGGCGGAGAAGGAGAAGAGGATGTCGCCAAGGTGCCTGCATTCGCATCTTCGCGGAGGGCGGAGGAAGTGAAGAAGTGGAAAGCGAGGCGGAGGCGGACGACGGCTTGCTGATCTCTCGAGAGGGAAGAGGGAACACGAACATGAACAGGCTTCGGCGAGGAGGTCTAAGGGCTGGTCGACTTGTAAGATGTACATGTTGCCTCTAACTTGTATACATATATAGATGTATATATATAGATGTATATATAAAAACCGCAAGGAAAAAGAAGAGAATCGCAATCGTGGTATCAAATCGGTATCACACAAAAAGAAAAAAAATTCAAAGCAAAAGCAAACCAAACCAAACCAAACCAAATCACACACAGCACGCACCCATCAGCATTTCACACATCCCTCTTCCAATCCTTCCTCCGTCCACCAGAATTCCACATATCCCCCCCTTCTAATCCTTCCTCGGTCCATCTGGCGGTCCCTCCTTATCCCCCCAATACCCCCTCGACGCCTCGGACATGTTCCCCACACATCGGGGCTTCTCAAACTCCTCGACGCCACCCATCGGCCAGATCGGCACAAAACAAACTTCATGATATCCGCAGCCCCTACACCTCTTCCAGGTGCTCCAAGCCAGCCAGGTCTTCAAGTCCCGAACCGTCTGGAGAGCATCGGAGTAGAGCTCCTGCTCAGACGCTTTGGTCAGGGCAGAGCAGAGGGTTGTGGTGACGTTGAGGATAGCAGATCCCGCGAGTTTGCGCGGGAGGTGGGTGAAGTACTGTGTTGCGCAGCGGCGGATCTCTGCGTTCCTGTCGCGCGCGGCATAGTCGATGAAAGGGCGCAGGGCGCGGTCGAGCTCGGATTGGAGAGAGCGCAGGTCTTGCAGGTCGCCCGAGGCGAGGTATTCGATTCGATCCGAGTAGCGGGCAATGACCATGTCCGCGATTGCTTGCCAGTCGACGGGTCTATGCTGCTTCCTCTCATGGTGAGAGTGGTCGTGGTCTCGCCAGATCATCTCCCGAATCGCCTTCTGGACGGGACGGATGAGTTCCGTTTCGTTCCGTACGCGTGGAAGGCCGGTTTTGGATTCGAAGTAGAGGGCATCGTCGGCTGCGAAGAGCGTGACGAAGTCGTCGTAGTTGATGTGGACGCGATCACCGCCGATGCCGTCGAATCTGCTCGCGACGGCCTGGTAGTAGCTGAATTGATCGCCGTCGTCGCCATGGCCAGGTGGACCGCCCCTTCCCGATGCTTTGACCTGCGTGATGCGGGAGACGTCGAGGTCGCGCTCGAAGGAGCAGAGGATGATCTCGAAGCCCAGTTCCATCCTGAGGAAGCCATCAATGCGGCCTTTCCATTCCCTTTGGGCCATAGCGCAGAGTTGCTCAGCGCGGGAGGCTTCGTTCATGGGTCCACCGTGGCGCTTCTTGGGTTCATCTTGAGCATGAGGAGGTGGAGGAGGTGGTGGTGGTGGTCCGTGGTGGGGGGCGCCGGAGGAGGGAGGGTTATCGTGCAGGAGAACGACATCTTGCGAGTCAAGCGTGCCTTTATCCGACTTGGCGGCGGATTGTCCATCGATGTAGAGGAGGCGAAGATCGTGCTTGGGTCGGTAGGTGTGGAGGTAGCCATGCGCCTCGGCGTCCTCATTGGGATCGGGCTTCTTGCTCCCGAATTTGAAGGCGGACTTCTTGCTCTCGTTCTGCTCGACCCGTTGCCTCGCATGCTCTCGCTGTGCGGCAGTGTGAGTTCGTGGTCTGTCTCCCTGGTCCTCGCCATGGTCTCGTCGCCTCAATCCATGTTTCCAGCCGTCGCGAGGCTCGTCGGAAAATCCGGGAGGCGGAGCGTCAGGCGAGGGGCCGTCGTGAGGAGGAGGTCCGTGATACCAGGATTTGTGATTCGAATGCTCGTCTGGTGCTTGCGGCGGATGCCAATCGTCCTCGTCATCGGACGCGTGGTTGGGAGGCGGACCAGGTGGGCCACCTCTGCCGGGAGGAGCTCGTCGTGGGCGAGCAAACATGGAGGCGTGTTCGGGCTCGAAGGCCAGCCATTCGGTTCCGTTGACGCGATCAGGCGTGTCGGTGCCATGGTATAGTTGGGTGCCTTGGGGGATGGTGGCGAGGAAGTAGGACATGCCGTTGTGGTTGAGAGAGCTTCCCCATTGTCGCATGGAGCTGTGGATGGCGTTGAAGATGTGATTGGGATTCTGGATCTGGAGTTCGAGGGCGTGGGCACTGGCGGGAGTTGAGACGGCCAGCGGCAGAGCGAGGAGGGCAGGGATGCGATGCATGATGGCAGCGCTGGGCAAGGGGAAAGCAGCTGCTGAGGCGGGGAGGGGAAGAGGAAGGATACCTTAAGGGGAAAGACCAACGAGCAAAGCAAGCTTCATGTGATGAATGTATACTAATCTCAAGATGAAGGCGAGTAGAGGCTGTCGTACCACGGGATGCGCGTCTATGCGTGGGGAGAAGCGAGCGTCGTCAGCCGGGCAGGCCATCAAACTGCCGGAGTGAGTGAGAATCCCGGCCGAAAGTGGGCGGCGCCATGGTTATTGTCCAGAGCAACAGCGTGATACACAGGAAAGATGAAGGCAGCGATGCAGTGTGGTAGTGGTAGTGGTGATGGTAGTGGTAGTAATGGCAGTGGCAGTGGCAGTGGCAGTGGCAGTGGCAGTGGCAGTGGCAGTGGCAGTGGCAGTGGCAGTGGCAGTGGCAGTCATAGAAGGAAGTCGAGTGTTGTCGGCATGTGCACCGCAGCAGGCAATATCGGAGTTCGCCAGACGTGCCTGAGGCATGGCACCGCACTTTCGCTTCAGTCTGTCTTCGGCTTTCCCGATCCATCATCTTTCCTTCTCTCCTCGTCTCCATCCGCCCTATCTTCATATCGCAAATGAATACTGTTGCGCGCGACAGTGGCATGGATACCAGCTCCTACCCTTCTGACAAGCAAAGCTCCGATTTAGCAACACCAACAAGGCAGCATCAGGATGACCATGGTGGATTGAACTTGTACGTCTGGCCTATATACGGTAATGGTTGTCCACGCGACGTGCTCCACGACCACAGGCCATACCAATCGGGCAGGAGGTAGACGGCGAGATGACTCTCCATTCATTGAAGCCAAGCCGCAAGACTGGACGCCGCCAGATTTGATGCCGCAAGCACTGCGGATGCCTGAGGCCAAAGAAATCACGTGAGCTCGGCTGGCAAAGTAACCAACCTCACCTCATTGGAAGGCGAAACGGATTTGGGTGGGAAGCGCCTTCCCGACCAGCACTGGGCCGAATGGCAAGTACGACTTCGCGGGAAGGAGCTTGGGGCATGTCCCTCGCACCTCGAAGAGAGTGCAAGTCCAAGTCGACCGAGGAGCGCAATGCGTATGCGCCGTCGCAGAGGGTCGAAGCGGCGAGCCATGGGCATTGGAGGACGTACCTGAAACGAAACGGTGCAGACGGCCACCTCAACCCTCCTTTCCCCCTTCAGACGCTACAGTCTGCCAGACTGCGGTACTATGCGGAATTGCCACATTTTCCCGTGTTGGGAGCTAGTAATGGACAATGCGCTCGCCATTCTGACCCCGTGCACGCAGCTGGACTGGTTCGTAGGGGAATGGAGCCTGGTCCAGGGACGCGTTGAGCTTTCCTCGGCTTTCTTCCCCTTTCTCTCCGGGGGGCTTCGCGATGGCTCTCGGAGCTGAGGTGGTAATGCGGCCGGCCATGGCTGTGAATCATGCTTCCAAGCACGCCGACGCTTCAGGGTCCGATGAGTCTGCCAGGGAGGGCAGGGAGGCAATAAAGACCGTCTCTTCCTCCCCTTCCCTCCGTCTTCCTTTCTTGAACCTTCAACTTTGATATCTCAAGGATAAGGCAGGGTGTTCTTGTCTTGATGACTTGGCTTATCTTCCTCTTTTCATTGGTCCCGGGTACGACCTGAAACTGCGCCCCGCCCCTCAGCATGACATACCTCTGTCGCCCGTCATGCGTGAGAACCTCAGCCGGCGTGCTGATCCAAAGCTGCAACAACCACCGCCGCCTTCGGCGTGTGCTCGCATCTCCTCGCCCTTCGAACGATCAGCGCCTCACACACTCCTTGGGTCACAAGGTTGGAACATCAAAGATGCGGCGTCTTGAGGCAAAGTTCATCGCCTCTACCAGGTATGTCGACCTCCTTTGCGCCACTTCTTGCACATTGCTGACCACTTCCCTTTCCAGCATCATGCACATCGCCGTCCATTCGTACGGGCCAGATCCCCAAAGTCCTTGATGCAGCGCTTACACCGGGAGAATTGACTCCTTTGCGATTGTGGACCAGCTGGTACAGAGCCATGATCCTGGTACGCATCGAGACAGGGTACATGCACCTCGTGTTGTGCATCAAAGGGGAGGATGTCTTGGGGCGAAGCTTCTCGCTTCAGACAGGTACGTCGACGATCTCCTTCTCATGTCTTGCTCGCCACGTTTTACTAACCTCCGGATACCTTTCTCTACCGGTCACAGTACGTCCCCCTTCCACGCTCTACATTCCCGGTGGGGTAGTTCAATGGGAAGAACAGCAAGGGGCCCTGGCCAGATACCTCTCTCTACTGGTCCCGGGCGAGCAAATCTCTCCGCTCAGCACCACAACTTGCAGATGCCGAGTTCGAGTCCGGCTCTCACCACAGGTCCCGGGCCACTGACATGAAACTGCGTCCTAGCCCTGGGTACGGCTACGATAACCTGCACCCCCTCAAGTCGTAAGGCTAGGACTTTTCAGTCCCGCGGACTTGGGCGCAGCAAGGGTTGGAGGCCATCAGGGCGACCTTCGAACAATCTCACAGCGGGTTCCGAGTGTCGCATTTCGTAAGCTCAACCCCCAACGTCTGCGCCTCCTCATGTGACTGACTACTGACTACTGACGACTTGACAGTGTTCCCCTCCGCGCTCCTCTCTTCTCTCCCCTCTTCTCTCCCCTCTTCTCTCCCCTCTTCTCTCCCCTCTTCTCTCCCCTCTTTTCTCCTCTCTTTCGGTCCCTAGTATGACCTGAAACTGCGACCATCTGCGACTTATAAGACTTGGATTTTTCAGTCCGGCGGAGTCAGCGGCAAGGGTTTGAGGCTGCGAGAGCGACCCTCGAACAACCTCACAGCGCTAAGCGGGCATTGGCTTGGTAGGTACAGGACGTCTAGATTGTCTCTGTTGCACTGAAATGACAAGTCAACAGCATCTGAGCTCGTCGCCAGACCTCAGTCACGCTGATGCCGAGCCATTTTCCCTCTGATACGTCGTCCCCTGCAAGCTTTCAATTCTGCTGACCCCATCGCAAGACATTCTGTCGGTGACCACCACTGCTCTCGGAGACGTAGTTCAACGGCAGAACAGCAAGGGGGCATGAACCGGATATCTTTCATTACCGGATCACGTCGGGCGATATTCTTTGGAGCCCAGTACCATCTCAACTTGCAGACGCAGAGTTCGACACCTGCCCTTTCCATTGGTCCCTCAGCATGACCTTAAACTGCGTCCTCGGTGATGCCCGCAGCTGTCTTCACAGATAAACTTCATTATCGATATGTGCTTGTTAGCACTCGACGGTTAATCTCCTCCTCCCATTCTGACCTCGGCTGACTTTATCGCAGTTGTGCGCTTGTCTCATAATACCGGCGATGTAGTTCGACGGTAGAACAGCAAGGGGTCCTGACTAGATACCTCTCCTTACTAAGTCAGGATGGGCGATATTCTCTGAAGCCCAGTACCATTTCAACTTGCAGACGCGGAGTTCGACACCCGCCATCGCCGCTCTCCTTCCAGCGCGGATCACATTTTTTTTTGGGGCGAGGTAGTTCAATGGTAGAACAGCAAGGGGTCCTGACCAGACATCTCCCTTTACTGAGTCAGGATGGGCGATATTCTCTGAAGCCTAGTACCATTTGAACTTGCAGACGTGGTGTTCGACTCCCATCCTCGCCGGCAATTCACTGGACCTGCACCGAGGCCAAAACCCACGCCGCCTGGTCTTAGCTAAGTTCATCCAATCCGCTTCATCGTCATCCCCTAATAGACTGACTTCATCGCAGAGCGCTTCTCCCAATCTTCTTGCGGCCTTCAACTTCTTTCGGGGGGGATGGTGCAACGGCAGCACACGGAGTGGAGACCGGGTAGTCTTTCTTTGCTAGTCGGGCGGCATTGCACCTTCTTTATTGCTTTCCTTGCTTTAAACAAGCTCCGAGACGCAGAGTTCGACTCCTGCTCCCGCCAACCTAACAATAGCCACGACAGCTCATCGGACTGTCGACAGCTTTTGACCTCGCTCTAGAAACAATACAGGTGGTCGGTCCCCTTCCTTGCTCTTCCTAGTACCTCTGCGCGTTGACTTTATTACAGACCGTGTATGCATGCCATCTTGTCACTTCTTTTTCGAAGGGATGGTGCAATGGTAATGTCGGGTAGTCTTTCCCTGCTACCAGGGAGGCATCCCGTTTTCTCGCTAGCTTTCCTTGCGCAGCACGAATGAATGAGATACAAGTTCGATTTCTCTCCTCTCTAACACTGCTTCTGAATGATCCTGCTGGGCGCGATTGAAGGTCGAGAAATGGTGTAATATAGCTTGAGAGATGAATGTCATTTCCTGTCCTTGTCTTGTGTTCCGTTCCGCTCATGATCCTCGCAAAGGAGTGTTCCGACTTCTTCTTCTTCTTTTCTCCCCAGCTACTGCAAGCCTACTGTACTGTACTGTACTTCCAATCTCAATGGTATGTCACCTCCTCCCCGTCTTGTATCCCATCGACGCTGACGACTTCCAACACCATTCGCCAAATCATCAGACTAAAATCGCGACCGGACAGGCTGTTCGACAGCTTTGGTAACGTAACGAGCGCTGCCCCATTTAAAAAACCATCGATCCATCTCCTCCGGTCCGGTACGTACTGTGCTGTGTCGTGAACAAGAACAACAAGTCAGTCAGTCCATAGCCATAGCCAATATATCCAAATCCCCCCAAACTCCTCCTTCCTTCTGCATTCATCCAACCTTACCGTCCCGCGTCACCGCTACTCATCATCATCCTCAGTCCGCAGTCCTCTATCCATCTCATTGTGAACCCCAACCCAAAGCTCACAGCGGCGGCACATCTCCACCCTCAGTTTTCCAGAGCGACGACGACGACATTCCCCACTCGCCTCGCTACTCTCATGTTGTTGTTGTCTTGTCACCACCTCATTGTCAGTTTCCAAAGAACAACAGATCTTTCGGTGCGGTGTGTGGTCGGGGAGCGCGGCTCACGACTGCTCACAACCGCACTGAAGATAATGACAGCAATGACGATGCCCACGATGGCGTAGGCGGGGATGGGGATATATTCTGCTGGGCTGTTCATTGTTGTTGTTGTTGTGTTTGCGACGACGAATGGGGATTGCTTTCCTGTTGATTGATTGATGGACGACGTTGGTAGAAAATGAGAATGTTCTTTGCCTGATGATGATGATGATGATGATGATGATGATGATGATGATGATGATGATGTCGGGTACTCTGGAGCGATGTGGTGGTGATGGATCGAGGAATTATAGAGTGGTTGTTGACGTTGTTTCCTATGACGGGACCTTTCACGCCTTCTTTTGGGATCTCGTAGCGCGGCTTGCGCAGAGTGATTGGGAAGTCGGGATGTGAGTCCAATGCACAGAGCAGGAGCATCCGTCAATCCGGGAACGGGCAAGACTCATTGCACGGAAAGTGGCGCTGCGAGTGGCCCGGAAGGTGAGACTATAATTGAGATAGGAGCGGAGGGAGACGTAGGTATCGTTGTTTTCTAGCCCACTGTACGCGCCCCCAGAGCTATTCTCTCAAACGAAAGCGCACGCTTTGTAGCTCGCGATTGTACGTTCATAAACATTGTAACCGCCACCACTAGCACCAACACGAACAGAACCGGAGTCCAATTGAAGTTTGTGAGGCTGACGGACGATTGGCTTGGCCAGAAGGACCAGAACGCCGCCCAGGTGCAGTAGATGAGGGCCAAGACGTTGATCCAGAGTCCTGATCGACCCAGTGTCCATCTCGCTGGCGGTAGTTGTTCGTGTCGGAGTCGTTTGAGAATCAGACACCCCAAGGAGACAATATAGGAGGCGTGGATAGATGCTGTCGAAAAGCACATCATGGTATGCTGGGCAGTGGAGCTGTTGATGCATACCGCACATAGAACTGTCGTGGCGAGGACGGTACACAGAATGGCATTGAACGGGACTTTGAAGAGTGGATGAACTCGACCGAGCCAAGCTGAGCAGGAGACTGCTCGGTCGCGACTATTTCTCGTCAGTGGGAAAGGGGGAACAACATGAAGTATGCCTCGACTCACCCGAACGAGTAGAGGTGTCTCGACGTTGCCACCATTGTGCTGGTCGCAACCATGAACATGAGGGCTATGATGACTCCGGTGAAGGTATTGACCGCTGGTTGGTAGTTGAGTGCACTTTGGAAGATAAGGACGAATGGTGGTCTTTCTTTGCTAACCAGGACGTCTATGCGTCCACAGTTGAAGACTGTCAAGGACATCAGCTGTGTGTCTGATAAAATATACACTCGACGACTCGACGTACCAAACGTGAACAATGTGAGAATGGTCAGAGGCGTGTTTCCAATGAAGCTCCAGAGTATACATCTCGGGACAACCACATCCGCCTCTTCAATCTCCTCTGCGATGTGCGTGACGGCGTCTGTTCCTAATAGTATGAACTGTCTTGTGGTCAGAAGCGTCCTGAGTGTCTGAAAAAGTGACTTACAATGCTGCAAGGCTGTCCAACGAGTACTGCCAGTGATGTCGATACCCAATCACTGCTGTGGTCAGGCATGTAGCGTGAATTATCCACGAAATTCCCAATAGCATTCGAGACGGGATTCTTGTCGGCCAAAACCCATAGGCTGACGACAATGGGGACAAGTGCAAAGACGTGACAGAGGGCAAACAGTCCCTCTGCAATTGACAAATGTCCAGCTGCAAATATGTTGAAGGCTGACACCGCAGAGGCTATACCGATTGTCATCAAGCCGCGCTGCGGCCGACTGTAGGTATAATTATCGTCACCGTTATGTATGACAAGCATCTGGAGGATGCCTGCAACCATGTAACAGGTAGATGCGAAGCGAGCTTGCCAGCCAACGGAGCAGAACCAGCCGCTGCAGTAAGACAAGAACATCTCGTAGCGGCGTAGTGCAAATTTGCTGACCCACTGGTACTGGCCTCCGGCAGCTGGAGCCATGGAGCTCATCTCGGCCAGGGATAATACCAGGAAAAGCTGTCCGACGTGACACCAGATCATTGACCAGAACAAGCCTGCAAGACCGCCGTTCTGCAGCGCCGGGCCACTGGCGGTCAGGAGAATCTCCCAGGTGCCCATGACGAGAGAAGTGAACCCGATGGTGGAGATTTGGCGGAAGTGTTGTTGCATCTCTTGCTTGCGACCAAGTGGCCGCTTCTGTGCCGAGTCCTTTCTTGCACTGCCCCCGTAGGTATTCCGCCGCAGCGTGTCAATGGAATCGTGATAGGCGCGATAATTGGCTTCCCCCTAGGGTCCAGAAGCGCCAACGATGCTGTCGCCATCTTGGTCGGCATCGATGTTCGGGCCAAGTCCCAGGTCAGGGCGAACGGAGAGTTTGTCGCCCGCGGAAGATGGCATCTCGAGGCGTCAATGGTAGTGTAGATAGGGATGATGGAGTGAAGAGCTCGAGGCGAGGCGAGGCGAGGCGAGGCAAGGTAGTGGTGGTGGTAATGCTGGAGGTGCAGTTGAGGTGCAGTATTTGCATTCTCCCACACGGAAAGATAGAATAGAAGATGCCGTCGGCAACACGTCAACACCCGACCGCGGATGGCGCCGCTCCTTCCATCGGCAGCGGACACGGGACGAGAGTGCTGGGCGGATTCGCACTTCCCCTTTGGTGTTCGCGGGAACATGACCGGGATCCATGATGCTTCAGGCCCGTGATGGAGTGCATTCTATCGGATTCAAACCTGAGCCGGATAAGGTATCCCCTCCATCACACGACATCAACACCTTAGATTTGATATCATTCTCCTCCCAAGCCGACACGGATACACCTGAAGTGCGCCACAGGGTCAGACATGGTAACGACAGAGATAGCCTCATGACTCTCTTCAACTTCGACGCGGGGCAGGCCTTCATCTTCATCTCCAATCTCACCGGTGTCGTCTGGTCGATTCTCGTCTTCTTCATTCGCCTCTTCCTCCGCGTCAAAGTCAACGGGCCATTCGGATGGGACGATGCAGCTTGCACTGTTGCAACGGTATCGGTGCCTCGCAACCAGGATTCGCACTCATTGCTGACGTTATCGCCAGGCATCAGGAGTCTTTTACGCCGTCTTCACATTCATGGCCATCCTCCACGGGCTGGGCCGTGACGATACGCATCTCTCCCACGGCAACCTGGATCAGATGTACTTTTGGCTGTACATCAGCGGCTTCGCATACCTCGTCACCATCTCCGCCACAATGCTGTCGGTCTCGTTTCTAATCAGCCGCATCACCAGATGGCGATTGCATCTAACAATGGCATCTTGTGTTTCCATCTTCATCGTATTCTGGGCTGTGCTCTGTGGCCTCATGCTGGTGTTCCAGTGCGAAATGCCGCGATTATAGGATCTGGGAGGAAGTTGTCCAAGAAGAGTCAGTCTCAGTCTGCAGCATGGTCGTGTCACGCCTTGACTAACATTCGCCTTGTCCAGTGGGGGACTTGGGTGGCAGACACAGTCGTAAATGCCGTTGTAGAAGTTGCTCTTCTGCTAACGGCATCGCTGCTGCTCTGGGAAGTCCAAATACGCCTAAAAGAGAAGCTCAAGCTCTTCCTCTTCTTCGGCCTGCGTCTTCTGTGCGTATTTTCACACTCCTATCCGGTTTCGAGACCCTGTTCGGTCACGGAAAGCTGATGAATGCCAGTGTACTGCCACCCAACTTTGTTCGTCTCGAACTTATCCACACCAAAGTCACCGATGCTCAAGACCCAACTCTGGATCGCCTTGACCCAACAATGCTCAGCATTGTCACCATGTACCTGAGTGTTATTCTTGCCACTGTCCCGTGCGCGAAGCCATTCTTCGCCGTATTCGAAGGAGGAGTATTCCGCTCGCCCCACGGACCCAGGACAGCGACCGGACAATCTTTCGAGATGAGTGGAGATGTCGGAGGGCAAGGGGCAGCAGAAGACGATGGCCAGCTACCTGAGAACAGTGAGCGCTCGGAGCGCCCCGTGTTAACATGGAATCGCCGCGCATCATTTGCACAGCCTGTGCAGAAGATGCCAACTTCGACATCAGAGGAGCGCGAACTACCTCTTCTCCCACCAAAATCGGTGTTCAGCTTCAACTTGATAAATCCATTCGCCTGGGGTCGTCGTTCACGGGCGCCCAAGAAGGTCTCCCTTGTTACCCCTCTGCCATTGTGGAGGCCCAGTCTGCGCGAGGACTCGAGCACATCGACACCTTTCTCGCGTTTCTCCCATTTTTCGCACTTGTCCAACACGTTCACAAGGGAGTCCAGCGGACCTCAGTCCAATTCTGCATGCGGCGGGGCAGGACCGAGCAGCAACGGTACCGCCAGCCAGACATCTGGCACACCAACATCGCATACATCATTTCTGAGACGGGAGAGCGACTACTTCTCCAACCTGCGCCCGGATGATGGTAAAACTAGTACATCCGTTCGGTATGACCCCATACACGCCATAAAGATAGCCAGAAAGAAGGGCGATGAGACTGAGGTCCACCACGAGGCGCGCAGAAGAGGGATCGAGCTGACACGTTCATTTGAGGTGACATATGAAGGTGTACCACCGCCACCACCGTTACGAGGGTTGGCGACGCCAGTAGAGGAAGCAGAAGAGGAGACTCCACGCCCAGCAGGTCCTGGACCGGAAGCTTTGCGGCCACCACTTCCTGAAACAGCACCTTCTCATTGATTTGAGACTTCTTCATTGTACAGATATTCTCAGCTGTGTGGAGCTCGATTCCGATTGCCGCCTAGCAGAGACCGCATGTTAGCACTCTACAAATCCATTTGCGTTGCGAGGGATCAATCATGAATCGTTGTCGGGCTTCTCATCATCGTCCTCACCCTCAGCTTGGACTCTCCGTCCCTTGACACCTTTCTCCACCTCCTCGACCAACGAATCCATGAAGTCCTTGTCCTTGCCGACTAGCGTGACGGTGTTTCTCGACTTGCCCCACCTTGGATATGATCCTACTTTGACGCCCTTCGGCTCCGTCTTCTGCGACAGCTCGGTCAAGAACTCGGCAACTTCGCTCTCCGGTAATGGCGTGCTGAAGATGATGCGATAGACACCCTTTCCTTCTGGATCAACCAATCGCGGCAGAATCCGTGGCTTCAGGCCTTGCAGTAATTTCTCAAACAGTCGTGGAATTCCAGGGAGAATATGTATGTTCCCGTTGACGACATTGACCGGGACCCACAGATCCTCACTCACGAAGATAACCTGCTCCTCATCGGGCAAATTCTTATCATAAGGCAATTGAATCATCCTCAGTTTCGCTCTCCTGGCAGCAGTATCCTTTTCCCATTCTTCGTCAGTCTCGTTGAATTCTTGCTTCCCAGGTGGCTTGGATAGTTTCTTCATCTTCTTATACGCCTCTTCGTGGAGAACGAGCGGAAGGTCGAATGCTTTCGCGATACTCTGGTAGGTGATGTCGTCGTGGGTAGGTCCTATGCCTCCGGATGTGACGACGAAGTCGTAGGTCGACGACATGCGACGGACGGACTCGATGATGTCTGACTCGGAATCGGGGATTACTTCGATTCGGGAGAGGGCTATTCCGAGTTGGAAGCAGTATTTTGCTAGGTAGGCGGAGTTTGTGTCGACTGTCTGTGTCCCACATCAGTGCTGTTCGAATGGAGTGTGTGGCTTCTTGTTTGTTTGGTGAGAGGAGAGGAGAGGGTTTCTTTTACCTTTCCACCTAGGACTTCATCTCCTATGATTATGCATCCTGCTGTGTGGATCTGTCTCTTGCTGTTCTCTGCTGCTGAGCGAGCGGCCATGTTTGCGGTGCGGGAGGTCAATGTTGCTGCGGCGCTGTTGTGGAGGTAGTTTGGTAGTGGGCGCGAGAGGTGCCGGGCTAATTGGTTGAGACGGGAGAACATGTCAATGCCAATGCTACGAGGTCATGGTTGTGAAGCGAAGTGGAGTGAAGTGAAGTGAAGTGAAGTTGAAACACGACATGATGGAGAGATCTGGGGTCGAGGGATCGATGACATGTGCTCTGGTGGGTGGGGCACAGAGCCGCGGGACACAGGGACAGGCCAGGCCTGGCGCACCTCACCTTACATCTCAAACTCACTTCTTCGCAGCGCGCGTGGTGGTATAGCGGTCACCATGGTATGTCTCTCCCAATCCAAGATGCATTTTGCTGATATCTGTCAGGCATCCGAATCCCGCCTCTACACCTTCTCACCCGAAACCAAAGAGAAGCTCCGTAAATTCCGCCTCTCTACCTCCAGAGCAAAAGATCCCCAGGCCATAATATGTACGCAATACCCCCTCTTCCTCTCTTCCTCCCTTCCCCCCCTCGCAGCTAACCCTACTCCACCCAGATCAAATCGTCAAATCCACCCTCGAAATCAAACCCGATTCCCAAGAAGTCTACTCCAACCTGCAAGACCTCGCCGATGAACTCCCCGATAACACGCCCCGATTCGCTCTCCTCTCCTACCCCTTGACGCTGGACTCCGGAAGACTCTCGGTACCCTATGTCATGATCAATTACTTGCCGCCGACGTGTACGAGTGAGATGAGAATGTTGTATGCCGGCGCGAAAGAGTTGTTCAGGAATCAGAGTGAGGCCGGGCGGATTTTGGAAATTGGGGATGTGGAAGAATTGGAGGGGATAGAGGAGAAACTGAAGGGTGAGGATTGAACTGGCTTCGTGTGAATGATCATGGACTACGGCTTCAGAGCTGCCTGTGGTACCATATGATTTGGCGGACGACGGATCTCGTGGGCTAGAGTACGGCACGAGATCGCGCACGTGGACATGATGGGCCTCCTTGCACGTGCCACTCAATGAGGAGATCGGAGGAAGCATGAGCAGGGGATAAAGCGCCTGGCAGGAGCACGAAAAGCTTGAAGTCAGGTCATCACGACTTCATCCCATAGAATCCCAACCGACAGCCCATCACAAGACTTGAGATGTTATATCAATCGCACCCATTCAATTCAATACAGTACACTACTACCATATTTCACATGCTCGATCCTGAACGATCGGTCCTTCCACCACTGTTAATGCAAGTGCGCCGCATTGCGCCAAAATATTGGTTGAGATAAGGGATATCGCGCTTTCGAAAACAAACACAGACGATTAGAGAACTCTTCGATATCCATCCGTCTCCTTTCACCCTCACCGGTGCATGCATGTTTAAATCATAGTTGGGCAGAAATTTTTTGATGCATCCCATTTCTTTTTCTCGCGGCCGCAGCTAGCCTCGAAATCCAACTCCCTATCCTCTCCATTTTCAATACGCTGCTTTTAATGACGGCCGTCTCTGTCTCCGCTATCGCTCTTATTCGTTCGTGGCGGTATTCTCGTCTCGGCGCTCCGCTACAAGGCAGGCATGTTTCATTTGCGTGCGCCGTCTTTCCCGCCACCGCGCAGAGCGTTTCCGGTCGGAGGCGGAGGTCTCTACATTACGTTGCATTTCCCGCAGCAGCCTGCATCTTGCTCCTGATCTTGGAATCCCATCTCGTCCTTTGGCTTGCTGCCGCTTCCACCGCCGCCAGGGTACCCCGACATGTCCTTGTTGTATTTTCGGATCTCACGTACGATATCGTAGAAGGCGTTGTCGACGTTGATGCGCGACTTGGCGGAAGTCTCGATGAATTTGCATCCGAATGACCGCGCGAGCTGCTTGCCCTCTGCAATGTTCACGTTAGCCATTGTCTCCGTTCCATGCCCGTACGACGCGGATGCGACTCTGAAGCGAGCATGTCCGACTTCACGCGTGGCCACCACGTGGAAGTACAGTACGCCTTCTCCTCGCGGAACATTTATGCGCGTGTAGTATCGACCCACCTTCTGTGCTCACTTGTCGCTCGCTCTCCAAATCGCACTTGTTGCCGACGACGATGATGGGGAAGTAGTCCTTATCCTTGACTCGCAATATTTGCTGTTGGAATGTGACGATCTCTTCGAAGCTCTGTCGTGAGGTGATGCTGTAGACGAGGAGGAAGCCTTCACCGGTTCGCATGTATTGCTCGCGCATCGCCGAGTACTCTTCTTGGCCGGCGGTATCGAGGACATCTAGTAATGCGACCTCGTCGTCGATGACGCATTGCTTGCGGTACGAGTCTGCAAAGAGCGCGTCAGTCTGGCATTCCTTTGTTTGGGAGGCGATGATTGCGCTCGGGAGCGTAGGGATCGGGATGGCTGACCTTCGATGGTAGGATCATACTCATCTACGAAGTGAGATTGGATGAGCTGGATGGTCAAACAACTCTTTCCGACACCACCACCGCCGACGACAACGAGCTTGTATTCCCGCAGGAACTGAGACATGGCGAAGGTTAGCTTGGCGGCGCAACAAAGCACGGGGAGGTACAGCAGGAGCAGCTGGAGAGGAAGATTATTGTTGGAGGGGAGCTCACTTTGGAAGCCATGGTGGAGCGAGTAACGTTGACGCAGGAGTAAAGGTAAGGTCCGTGACGGGATGGTTCAGGTGGCCGGGGGCGGACGGGAGAGGTGTATCAGATGGCGGGATGGACGGACGGAGCGAGGCTGTCTCTGAGCACGCGGCGATGTGCAAGGGAGGCAGAGGGTGGGCGGATGGTGGATGGCAAGGTATAAGGTGCGGTAGGGTTGAATGGTCTGGTCTGCCCACGCGAAGGACGGTCTCGGCGAGTGTAGGCGTTGATCTTCGCCCGTGGACGGAGGATGGCTCGAATGCCCTCTTGGAGCTGAGCTGTACGATAGCGCTGGTGGGAGGCGCGGCGGGCGGCGTGTTGTTGGGGGTGGATGATTGGGAGGTGGAAGAGGGCACAAACGGCGAGGCGGAATGGAATGCAGGAGGCGGCGAAGGGTTCGAGAAGACGCAGCGAAGCTCTCTTTGACGGACAAAGCTGCGGCCGGGCATCTGGAGTCGCACAGCAGCTGCACTCACGTCTAGACGCGACAACAACATGAACGCCACCACCGCGAACATCACCACCACCACCACCACCACATCACGTCTTGGATGGACAGTAGGTAGCAGGACAGCGCCGCCAGGGGAATCTCCACCCGCATCACCGCACCGCACCCCACCGCACCGCTCCCACTGGCAACAGCACCGCACACCGCTCCGCCGCGCCTGCGTCCATCTCATCTCTCTCCCCACACAACGGAAAATCTCCTGCCACGGCTCTTTCCCGGTGCTCCGCTCGGCTCGAGGCCAATCAACGTGCCGCAACGTGCTGCGTCTAGGCCCAAAGAGGCAACACACTGGACTATCGCGATCAACCTTCGCTGCACCCATCTTCACTCCACTTTTTATGTATTTACATTGGATATGCACAGCACGCAATCACGGCAAATGCATTCCTTCTCACAGTTCTCTCCTTGCTGCTCGAGGTCGAAACTCAGCAACCATGCAAGATCTTCATAACGATACCTGAAGACGGGCTACCTCATTGTTCGTCATGACTTGCCTCGAAACTCGCACCCACGGGGATGATCCAGGATCGCGATAGAGCTCGCAAATCGATCGCGAGACAGCCAACCGAGTTACGATACGCTAAGTCACGACAAGCACTTCACAGTGATACCATTCCCGTTATCTCTTCTGGGCGCCTGCGCCGTTGGAACGCCCGTCAACTGCACGTCGCGGCTCCAACACCCGGTGCAATGGGTCGCGGCTCGAGCGTGGACGGGATCAGCACCTCTAGACTGCGAGAGCTGCACATCCATCCCACCGGCGACTGTAGAGGCAGCAGGAGAGCAAGTCGGGCGCCGCTCCGGAATGATTGCTGAAAAAGCAGGCAAAGCGCCTGCTGATATTGCGAGACCGACCGTGCGAATTGACGCGAGCGCCAGCAGCGCAACTCCGAGCTCTACTTTGTCGATCATTGCACACCTTGACTCGCTGTCTGCCGCGGCGTAGCCACAATGAAGCCCCGTCATTCAATGATAGGCCATCGTTCATCATATCGCTCCTCACATAAAATGCACACGGAAGAGCAACAGCATCCTCGCCTCTCCACCCACCATCCCTGGCCATCACCGACCGCACCACGAGAAGTCAGAGATCGCACATCACCTGATCCTATCTTCATGCGAGAATGCTTGGCCTGCCCGATCCGTTGCTCAAGTTTCCTGCTGCCGGGTAACAAGGTCTACAGCCCACACGCGCCAGACCAACCGCTCCCAAGCAAGATACAAACTGCTCGTAGCAGCTCCAGGGTCACCCCACCACGTCACTGAGAGAGACATGTTCCTTTGCAGCACCGCTGCATTGCGCTAGGGTACAACACTGTGTACCGGCAGGAAGAGGATGCCTATTCGCTGTCGTGGATCTTCTCTTACCTAGGCAAGCAAGCCATGCTGCAGTGCCACCCACCTCAAACAGCTCAGTGTGGTTCAGTAGCTGGATCTATCCAGGTGCCGAGTACACAGTGTCTACGAGAGGGATTACACATGAACAGGCTCGTTAGCATACAAAGTTTGATCGATAGCAAGAGTCTCTGCTCTCCACGGCAGCAATTCCAACATAGACCACGTGCGATCGGACGTCGTATGCATCCACAGTGCGCCAGATTCTGGTCACGCGTAGATATACACTCGCTGTGTACAGTCACCTCCCACTGGACAACAATGCAACACTTGCTTGACTGCACGACCCGTGCCTTGAACTACCGACTTAATCTCAGTTCTCTAAGGCTAGGAAGATGTTTAAAGATGTACCTCGCGACGACCTCTTAATCTGCTAATATTCCGTGCAACCAATCTTTAGCTGATAGCCTTCTTAGAGCGTGATAGTGCCAAGCAGTTCGCCGCCAGCTTCCTTGCACCGACCAATTCAAGGCTCTTAAAGCTTTTAAATTTGCTCGGGGTTTTGACAAGACTGCGTAGCGAGGACGAGTAACTAGTTGCTAGTTCGGAAATCCCAGGTCTTCGTAGCTGCGGCATCTCCCTCGGAAGACCTCGAAAAGCATCCCGATGCTAGCGGCGGTCGACCGAGAAATAATGCAAATCGCGCACTGTCGCAGCGGCCTCGACGTAAGCTGTCTCGTGCTTATAGGAATGCAAAATAAGCATCTAGTCGTTCGTACTAATTTTCGGGACGGCCGAGCACATTTGGAATTATCTATTCCAAATGTAAGGTCGATATTAGCTCTTTAATCTGAAGGACGAGAGTGTCGCTAGCTTCGAAAGCTATCTTCGTAATTATCGCACTCTGCTTAGTTATCGTCACAACTAGTCTGCTAAGTCTCGATATTAGCTTTACCTCTTTTCTCGCTAGGTTTAATTCCTTGTCCTAATTCGCGATCCGACTACAGAGCCACAGATCGATTTCTCGGCTTACGTGTATCTAGGTCTATTAGTAATAGCTTATTAGTCTGGACCGTAGCATTTCGACGGCGGAGTGGGAAGCTACATAGTAGTAGGGATCGCGGGTATCGTAGGAACTAGAAACTTGTCGGAATGTGCGCTACTATAACTTTAGGACCGAGCGGTCTAAGTTATAGTCGTGCCTCCGCGGTGTCTAACAAGGTAAGGCTGCATAGGAGTTATAGAAAGTGGATTTCCGACGAGCTGAATAGCTGTTTCTATACAACGCCTTTTCCTAACGTGCTAACGGCTTCTTAGCTCTAGTGGAACATACGCTGCAAACTAAGGCAAACACTTCCAAACGAGCACACCCTTTGATTCTCTGCGAGCGGCTAAGTTATTCCGACGATGCAGGACATTTTAGTTCTATATCTCTTACTTTGATTCTGTCGAAAGCCCCTGCTATAAAGCCAGACCTGCTCCGCAAGCCTGCTTATCTGCATCCGTTCACGTAGAGAAACTTTGGAACCTGTTAATAGAACACGAAGTGCCATTTTGATAGATAGTAAAGCGCTAGGAACTTCTATCGTTACCGGTCGCAACGAGAGGAGACTTCTGAAGCTAGAGAGGGACATCCATTCTTCGAAGCCGTCATTGCACTGCATGCTTGCCTAGAGGACCCGCTGAGAATTGTCGAAAGATACCCGACCAGTCATCAGTTCCTTTAGTACAACGCTACCGGCGAGCTGGATGAAGTGTGGGACCGTGACTCCATGGCCAGTTTAGGTCCGGCGATCCCAGCGAGCTGTCGAGAAGAAGACCGCTTGATGTGGCGAGAGTCCTAATGCAGCATCTCAACGACGGCGCAATGACCCTGATGGGTTACTTGTCGCGAAGAGCATGTGGATAAGTTGAGAGAAATTTTACCAATGGAGGTGGAAGAGCGGCACGAAGAGCGCGCCGACTGGTGGCCCTGCACGACAGATATGCTGACATAACTGGGTCCGTGCTGCTCTGCATTTCAACTGCACCTCGGGTCTTGCACTTCCGTCGTATGTTTTCGCAACAACAGTGCAATGATGATGTCGAAGCATCCGTATACGCTGACCTGGGACACGAGCCCGTATTGTACTTGTCAGAATCCTCCCCTGTCCTCTTTCTTCCAAGCCCGACGTCAAACCGGTACAAATCCGGAAACCGAAATGAGCACTTCTTGATATAGGAGTTGCTAACTTGGCACAAGAGACATCAATTCAACGCATACGGCGGCCATCTGAATGGCGCTGACAACTCCCAATGTCTGGCCGGATGACCGAGGACGTGATCCATAATGCCGCCGACAAACTGTGTAACGCACTTCTGCGCCATGATGGATGATACCCACTTTGGCAGCCCGAGAAATTATAATATTCTGGTGCGTGGATACTTGGAGTCAACGACAACACATCACCGACAGCAAAAGAAGACCTACTCTTGGATGTCCGGAAAACTTGTGGGCGCTTCTACGTAGACTCTTGCTACTGGACGGCCACATTGCCAAGAACCCATCTGTGCGGTCCCTAGCATGGTTCGGGTAAGGCTAGGCGGACCCTTTTGAAAATCATCCCGAGCAGACACACCATGGAATATTCCGGAGAGTCTGTGCTGGAGGTCTCGATGCACAGATACAGCGTCTACTGTAAGCACATCGGAAAGTAATTGACTTGAGCCGACTTAGCGCAACCCAGGGTGTTCTGTGCTAAGAAGCTGTACAATCTCCAGAATCTATAGGCTCGGCAGAGGAGTTGCGGCCCGCTTCATACTGACTTCGGGCCTCTCCGGAGCAGACATCCCAGGGACCGACTTATGAATAAAATGAGGCATAAGCTTGGCTGAACAGATTCCCCGACCTCCGATAGAAACATCACGCATTGGCGCATCATGACAGACTGCTCAGACTTCTCATGTCCTCAGTCCCCACCGAAAGGGTCCGCAGGGCTTGTGAATGAAGCTAAGTTCTGCAGTCTGCATGCGGACGCTGCAAAACCCAACAAAGGCACGCTAATATTTCCAAGGTGACATCTTCAACTCCTATCCAATGCTTTGGATGCGTACTGTGGACGTATTAGGCTACCAAGACTCGTACTCGGGTTTATCCTGGCTACCATACCGCACGATGGTCACACCGTTGCATGCAAGCGCCGACCAAGAAGCTGCTCGCAGTGCTTTCTACTCTTAGGATGATCTCCACCATGCTGTCGGAACCCTTGCTTTGACAAATGTCCCAGAGTCTAGACCTCGACATGGAGTGAACCAACAACTCCATGCCAGCGAAGTCCCAACCATAAAAGGCCGTCCGTTCCTCTCCAGGATAGAGCATCACCAACGCCAACTTCTTTACCAACTCAACCACACTCGTTTTAACAAAACCAATCCACCACCTCACACATCATGCAGTACCAAATCCTCGCTCTGGCTTTCGCCGCCCTTGCCGTTGCTGCCCCAAGCAGTGCTCCATCCTACGGCAGCTCTGGCTCTACCACCACAACCAGTGTAGCCGTCTGCACCTCAGGCTGGACTCCTCAGTGCTGCGCCACCAACGTCCTGGGCGTTGCCAGCCTTGACTGCTCTGACGGTAAGCCTTTCATCCCTCCGCAGTTGAAATACGAGCAGATCGACTCACAATTTGAATCTAGTCCCAAGCACCATTACTGGCAAGGACCAGTTCGACAGCCAGTGCAGCGCAGATGGCCTTACCGCCAGCTGCTGCTTGCTCCCCATCGTGAGCAAACACCCTTTCTCTCAAACGTCTCAACTTTTACTAACTGACATTCAACAGCTCGGCCAGGGTGTCATCTGCCAGACTCTTTAGAGGCCTGGCATGGCTTGAGGGCTTGGGTTTCACATTGTTTTCAGTGATGATTTCCTACTGCATGACGGGAAGATACGCGGAGAAGTCAAGGAAGGAAGGTTAATAGTTTTCTGGGGAGCTTGTCTCACCACAGGATCTGAGCGAAAGCTCACGGTGCAAGACGCATACAAATTCTTTGAGTCGCCATGCTTCCCCTTGGATTTCCAAACCTTCCATTCCCCCTTCAGACACTATTCTTCGCGCCCCTCACTGAAACATGACCCATCGGCAGAACGAGAAGGCTATTTTTCCCATCTACCACTTCTCCATCATGGGCCTGATATCAATCTCATTCGTGAAACACCGCTTACTCTGCTGATGCAAATTCCAATAAGCCTCCGCAATCCCATCCGCCTCAATCTTCGCCTCCGGAGGCTGATCTTTCAACCATTCCTTCGTCCTCGGAATATCAATAACCCCATCAATAACGGCATGCGCAACATGGACGCCTTTGGGAGCGAATTCCTTGGCGATACTCGTGCTCAGAGCTCGCAGGGCGAATTTGGCCGACGCGAAGCCGGACATGAGCGCGTTGGCTTTGACGGAGGCCGTGGCGCCGGTGAAGATGAGCGTGGGTGGGTGCTCTCCACTGGGGACGTGTTTCAGGAGGAGGGGAAGCACGGCTTGGGAGAAGAGGAAGGCTCCCTTGACGGAGACTTCGTGGCCGCCTTGGAATTCGTCGAGGGTCATTTCGAGGAGCGGTTTCCTCGCGAAGCGTCCGGAGGCATTGAAGATTGCTGCTGCGGCGGGGACGTCTCCGAATTCCTTGTTGACCTGCGACATGGCGTTTTTGATGCTGTCCGGGGAGGAGACATCGGTGGAGATGCCGATGGCTTTGCCGCCGCTACTGTTGATTTCTTTCACGAGGGATTCGTAGTTATCTGGGTTGCGGGCGAGGAGGACGACGGGGTATGCTTTGGCGAAACGGCGCGCGACAGAGGCACCCGTGCCTGGACCCACTCCTGCGACGATGGCGATTGCTTTCGAGACCATTTTCGTGGTGTTGGTGGAGAGGTGAGAAGAAAGGTGTTCGAGGCGAGCCTGGGACGACAGTTTGGTAGATTTGTCTTTGGTAGCAGAGAAGAAGAAGTTATAACGAGAAAGAGGAGTAAGGAGGCACGCGGATACTTGCTACATCAATACCTGCAAGCACGCCTTGAACTGCTTATGAGAGCAAGAATGGGGCGGGCGAACGCATTGAAGCCGAGGGGCGAGGCACTGTAAGGTAAGGTACCTTGGTGTTGATTTCGAAGCTGCGTAGCTCTCGCCCAATGTCGTCACCCACAGATTAATAATCTGGGGAGAGCTCCAAAGCTTCCAAGTCATTGCGTACTGTCTAGACTGTATGACAGCAGTTCAAGCGGCACATTGTTTATCCGCGTCCCCTTGGTCACGTAGATCTCGCCGGCTTCAGAGGTAGTGTTGCATTCAACTGTCGAATCCAACCTCAGAACAGGAACAGTGGAATGTCTTTGATGCCGTTCTTCTTCTTCTTCTTATCCTCCTTCTTCTCTTCATCATCGGACTTCTTGCGCTGAGCTGCTGTGTGGTCTGCTCGAGGACCCTTCGTCTCCGGCTTTGATGACCCGAAGGTATTGTATGACCGTGGGTTCGAGTCCTGCTTCGTTCCATCCCTTCTCATGTCTATCTGCTGTTTGATCTTCGCAGGTGCTGCATGACCAGTTGACTGATTTGCGGTCTGCCGGCGCCGTGCAAGAATCTCCGCTACTCGTGCGCTGCGGTCTGCTATGGGATGACTGCTGGAAGAATTATTCGTCTTTGGTACTGCTGGAAACTCTCTCCCTTCGCGCGTTCTCTTGGTGGGAGAAGACGAGTTGCTATGGTTGAGCGTCTTTTCCGGTTTCCGGGCAATGTTGGTACCCTCTACAGGCGGCTTTGCGAAGGCTTTAAAGAAGCCAATGGTTTTAGCCTTTGTGTTTTCACGTTGATACGATTGACCGGAACCCCGGTCCTCTGCAACGTTCGATCGCGGTCGAGCAGTAGGTTTGGCTGCTCGTGGAGCTGCATCGAGGTCGTCCTCATCCGTTGACTCCTCTTCGGGCACGGAATAGATCTTAGATTTTGTGGGGACAGGACTACTAGGGACCTCCTTCCACTTGTTGGCCTTGTGCGGACTTTGCAAGTATCCCGCTGCAGCTCTCGTCTTGCTTTTGGCCTTGGTCAAGCCACTGACATCTTTAGGCTTCGCCCTTTGGCTGGATGCCATCAAGCCTGCTAACTGTGGATCCATCTGATACTCATCGTCACTCTCCGACTCGCTTTCAGGTGTCTTGTTACGCTTCTTTGCCAGCTCCTGCGCTTCCATCTTCAACCTCAACGCCCGACTTTGCGCCGTGCTGCCGTCGGTCCCATGGTCGAGCCTTCGCAGTGTTTCAGCCCCGCGGGATTTGTGCAGCCTTCTAAGCCGCTGATACTCCGCGTGATGAATATGCTGTGTAAAGGAGCGAGCTGTAGAGTCGAACTCGTCCTCTACCATCATGTAAATGTCGTCGGCGCCATATCCCTCGTTCATGTATTCAAATTCTGGTGCTGTAGGCGCTGGAGGAGAGGACGAGCGCTCCACCCGCTTCTTCGGCTTCTTCTCTGTGCGCTTGGGAGGTTCAGTCCCGGGCAGTGCGTCCAGATCAGAGTTCACCAAGTCGGCGGGTGAGGATGATCGCTTGCGGGACTGTCGCGGAGCTGGCGAAGCTGTTGGAGCACCCTTCTTTGTGGCTCCTCGCACGAGCCATGGTAGTGTTCGCGGCATTGTATGGCCAGCTCTCGATGCTCAGTCGATGCTATGAATGCGCAGTCTGACGCGTTTTGGTCGCGGGGGCCGGGTGTCTGAGGGCGGCTTGGTCGCGTTGCGCATCGCGTGTAGCTTCAACTTCTTCTATATGTTATCCAAGAGGCTACCGATCAACTTGCACGTGAATGGGTAAGTGAATGAAAGTGTTGACTTGGAGAGGGAAGCTAAAGATCAGCAGGGAACTGTAGGCTGCAAGCAAAAGCTCGGGCCAACTTTGGCTCTTCAACCGCCGCTCGCTGACATTGATGGACACTTGATCAACTAACCGCCAACTTCTTCCCTTCAACATGCTCGCATTGGCCGTATCTGCTGAACTCGAAGGGTAATGCTGTCACCGAGGACATTATGACGAGAGACTGATGTTGTCGTAGTGTTACCGATCTTCAACCCGAGGACACCCAGGAGAATCCATTCTACTACACCTTCAAGGTCCAATGCACATCATGTCGAGAGACTCACCCCAACTTTGTCTCCGTGAGCCGTTTTGTACGTCTTGCTGTCATTTCAGGTATCCTTTTGGCCTAACAAGATCATCCAGGAGCAAAACGAGCAGTCCGGCAGCCGTGGCGAGGCCAACTTTGTCTGGAGATGTAAGAATTGTAAGGTCTGCTCACCCCAGATACATGGAAGAAGGAGCCTCGACTGATACATTGATCAGAGGGAGCACTCCGCCAACATCATCGACAGTCCGAAGGCATACCCACAGCAAAGCCCTCCAAAGCTTCAGAACATCATCACCATTGACTGCAGAGGCCTGGAATTTACCGAGTTCAAGCCAGACGTGAGTCACAGACGGATCAATTTCAAAATTACTGGTATTGATACCATGTAGGGCGAGTGGAAAGCTACCGGTGTAGATTCTGGCACCAAGTTCAACGGCATCGATCTCACCGAAGGCGACTGGTTTGACTACGATGAAAAGGCCAGCGAGGAGGTCAGCATCACGGACATCAAATGGGAGATTCGGAGAGCGTAATGACTGGACCCATATCTTTGGCGAAAGCCACGATGCTGCGACGTACCGCTACGATCAAGACGAGGCTTTTCAATTCGGCTACGTATTGACGAATGTCTGCAGCTGAATAGTCCAAATAGGGCTGAGGCTGCGACTGTCGAACACCTCACACGGCAGATACACCCAAAGACTTCCTGCATCTCGCCTTTTGCACTTCTCAGTCGATCAAAACGCTAGCTCTTCTTTCTTCGCTGACTGCATTGACACCAAACTCGCGAAAGCTTTGAAAAGTCTCATAGCTGTCCGATCACTTTCCAAGCTGCGCTGTGTGGCGCCTGCAGTAGCTTCATGACCTCTCCCTGAACCAGCGGGCCTCATCACCAGACAGCTCTTCAGCTCTTTGTACTTGCATCGCGACGAATTGAACGGAGGTAGCATCAAGCAACATTTCGATGATGCTCGGCTGCCGCGCACCGGGCAGTCGGACCCCGGTCTAGCATATGCGGCGTTTTGCAATCACATTGTAATAGCTTGCATGTACTTTGTTGCCAGAAAGAACGTCATGCCGGGACGCCCGTGGTCGGATGTGTCGCTCGCCAAGACTAGGTCGCAGACGCTTTGTCTTTCTTTGTTTTTCTTTGTTCGCTATGGCAAACTGTTGGTACTGACTTCGAGGAGACTGCTTTGCTGCAGAATCAAAAACAAAATCTTTCCAGGACCATCAACTGGACGATACGAAATGGCTCCAAGTCAGCAGGAAACCTCCCCGCTGCTTCGATTTCCTCCGGAACTTCGAAATAGAATCTACCACGCCCTTCTCTGTCCCGCAGAAGGAGACCTTTCGCCTTTCGAATTGACTGAGCTCGACTTGTCACCCCCCATTCTACGTGCCTCCCGACAACTACGCAATGAATGCACTGGAATCTTCTATGCCAACGCCTCCTCACTTCCTCGGACCCCCGTCTGCTCATCAAACTCCTCGCCTCCCTGCCTCAGAAGATCATCGACCTCATTCCGGAAATCAGATACGATACCTCGAAGACCTGCGTCAAGGCTACTAGTTGGAGAACCGCTTTCAGGGAATTACCAGGATTGGACGAGGATACGAAATTGGATCGATTGAGGGAGGAACTGACGAAGGAAGGGATTAAGTTGAGGGTGGGCGTTTTGAAGGCACGGGTTGTGGTGGGCTGTAGAAGTGTTTGGAGCAGTGATCCGCTGAGCGCGGCTTTGGATGCTGTCAAGCAAGGGAGTTGATCAAAAGACGAGCCCGGTAGTTGAGTATGCTGAGAAAGACTGTGCTGAAAAAGACTGTGCTGATGATCAGACAGGTATCGTGGTGGAACGAAAGATGTCCATGCTTTTTGCACGAAACGCCTGACTTTTCCTCCTTAGCGTACGTCACCGTTCGATAAAATACTCGTAAACTTCGATCATAAGACTGCAATGCTTTCCTTGTAGCCGTTCATTGCCTACATCGCCAACCTCAAGCTTCCACAGGGATCCAAGTATCTTCACCAGTGCAAATATACCGCTTCTCATCGCCCTCGTGTGGCTGATCCTCCCAAAAGACCAGACATCTACTCTTACGTGCATATATTCAACCATATTCTTCGTCGCGATCCCTACCAGAAAGTTCTCGAGCTACCAGCAGACTTGCCAGATGATGCGGTCGTGCCATTGAGCCATCCCGCTATGGGTGCCCATGTTGGTCAGAATACAGGGACCCCGACTACCTCGCATGTTTGGTGACCAGATTGTCTACTGATCAGACATATAGGGGTGCGAGTATCACCCTCAACAATCTTCCAGAGGCAGAGGCACTGACGGCCAAGTCTCACACTCGTTGGCGAATAATCAATGTCTGTAGACCTTTGAAGCCGGTCACCCGCGAGCTATGTATGGACCTGGAGGCTGAGTGATGTAAGATCAATCGCTGACCCCTTTGAATGGCTGTTTGCGATGCTCGCTCGGTTGCCGAATCCGACCTCCGCGAGATGCCCGTCAGGAACGACGTGAATAGCCCTGGAGGGAGGAAAGGTCCTCACTACCTCCGCAATGACATGTGGACCATCTTATACAATCCCGAGGTTAGAACCCATTTGTTTACATTACCAAATCAGTCGACTGACGGTCTGTCAGCAAGAGTGGTACTGGCCAAGCAACATGACCCCTGAGGAGTGCCTTTTGATCAAGTGCTTCGACACGAAGCTAGACGGCCGAGCCAGGCGTGCTCCACACAGTGCGATCCGGACTCCAAACGATCATGGCCCACCACGCGAAAGCATTGAGCTCGGTTCTGGATACATTGTCGGTTGAATGCTCCCGTGAGGACCTTGGGAGCTACACGTACTCTTTTCTCAGAAGTGCAAGGAAGCTTCGAGGATGGGGAAGAACACCGCCTTTTCGAACTCGATATAGATATCGTGATGCAAGATACAACGAGTCCGAAAGGAAAGATTTCAGAGTCTTACAAGATGTCTTCCAGGTAAGGGTTAATCTGGTGAGAGCTGTCGCTTGCTGCTCCGAATCGGTCTCGTGATTCTGTGCGATCCTATGCCGCGTTTCCGACACGGTCAGCCTCGATGAAAATCAGTGATGGCATCGATCTCGTAACAAGACGCGACTGACGATCGAGAGTTGGCTGGACAGGAGTTATCTGATGTACCGTCTCAGGACGGGGGGCCGGCAATGGCGTTCTGTACTTCTTCAGCCGGCGTGCCGGTATGGCGAAGGCGGCCAATCTGGACGTGTATTGCACAGATCTAGCCGAGCCATAAGATAAGGTACGTTGAATACATGTACGTCAAGCCGTGACGCGGAATTGGATGTTACATGTACCTCAATAATGTCAGGAGGCAACCCAAGAGTCAACGTATTTTGCTGGCAAGAAGCACTGTGCACCGCACAGCCGGCTCATGGGGTGCGCTCAGTGATCCGTGCGTTGGTGCTAGCGCTTTCCTCCAGACTTCACCTAATCCACGAATCTTACAGCTCAACTTCCATAGCGTTCCTCCCTTCAAAACATCGAGCTGCATGTGGTCCTCGACATTACGAAGAGAGAAGAAGAGAAGTCGAAGACAACTGTTGCTCTGTGCTCGAAATACGTCGCTGCAGCGACCTGTGAGATTGGCAAGTCGCGGCGCTGCGCGGGTTATAGTTGCCTAGGATTGGTTGTAGTGGTCGCCTGAGGCTGTGATAATCGCTTGGCGTCTGCAACGGCCGACTTTGCTGGTCATAAATTGATGAAGAGACCCTCGGGTATGAGAATGGTCTGCTTCAGCTGCCAGAAGCATGGGCCTGTGAACAACAAGAGCGACGGCATTACCTGTACCGAGTGCTTAAGCAAGAAGAAACGCGAGAAGAGCTTCGCTCTCATTTCCGCTCCCCGCAGGTCGAACACTGCGCCGCCACCAAATGCTCTGCCAGTATCACGGCCAGAGATACCGTCAGCAGGATGGGATGTACAGGCGCAACCAGGTGGGCTCGATTCTTGGCAACGAGAGCGATACACGGTAGCTGGCATGGATTTTGCTGGAAGTGATCTCGAGTTCACCAACTTCGATTTCAGTGTATGCGACATGGGCTCGAGCCTGGAAGCCATGGGGATTCACTTCTGATTCACATAATCTATCCATCTCCAGGGGGGCGACAACATCCATGCAATCCTGGCGATCTGAGACAACCTGTCTCCGATCTAACTCCTTGGGAAGATTCTGCAAAAATCAGCAGCGGCGTCTACAGGACTTGAGCATCATCTGGAGGATCCTCCCCCATTCAACTTTTTCAGTTGATTCTGGCGATGTTTCACTTGCACAATGCCTTTGTCCCATTCTACCTGTCTACGAGAGGCAGCGATTCTACAACACAATAGCATTCACTCGCCTCGCCATAGTCTCATTCTTTGTTCAGTGACTATGCCTACAACACACAACAGACTACCACGTTCTCTCCCAGATTATGTCTTATAAGGGCACTATCTCCTCGCCAGCCATATCCCTCCAGACAATTTCTCCTCTCCACACACATACTCACTACCTTCTACATGCCCAAGAGGCACAACGACCCAACGCAACAAGAACAAAAAGGCAGCTTCGAGATTCCAACTACAGGTTCCAGAAACAATGTCTGGACAAAAACAGCCTCGTGAGACAGTCGCGGATCAGAACGAGTTCCAGTACGCTCCGGACGAGTCCCAGCAAGATCAAAACTTGCTCTGGAGCCCGGGACAAATCGAGCAGATTGACGAGTTCCTCGCAGAGCACGGACAAAACATGAACAACAACTACCATTACCAGGACTTCCAGGAGGATACGCAAATGGGCGGCGAGTATACTGCTCCTGCACAGTATGTGAGCGGACGATACCACCATGCTGCACTTCCACCGATCCAAGAAGAATTCGATGCCTGCTACTGGTGCGATCGTGTCGACGGTGGGCATGAGGATGATTGTCCAGGTGGCCAACCAGCATTTCAGCATTTTGGGATAGCGCCGCCGGCTACTCCGTACCTTCGTCTTCCCCGTAGAACCCCGATGCCTACCACTCCCCGACAGCCTGCGCGGGCCATAGCATCATCACCAGCTGGTGATGGGTCGCCCGCGTTTGGTCACGCTGGTGCATCGCAATTTGGCAACAATGCGCAGCATCATGGTTCCCCAGTAGCAGCTGCTATGGCCCCACCGCCTCGTTACGCAGGCCGTACGAACGCAGTGCAGGCTTGCGGCTCCCAGCTTGATGACACTGGAGCTGGAGCGTCCTCCATTCAGAACTATGCCTATCCTGGGGGCTATGCCGATCAGTTTCGACATGTTCATGGACTGCCAGACATTCAGCATCCTCCAGTATTGATGGAATGCCAGCAGCTTCAGCGGTACGATCTGCATCAGCCTCCGCAACGTGGACATTTGCCGTTCGATGGGGTCCCAGATGCGCAACCGCCGGCTCAAGACGTCCAAGGACAGATGCTTCCTACAGTTCCACAGTATGCGCATCTGCAGCATCGTGCTTCGGTGGGCGACCAAGCGGTGGGTCAAGACTTTCAAGCGCAGAATCGTCTGAATCCAAAGCACCTGCGGCAGCCGGCTCAAGCTGCTCCTCAGCAACAGCAGCAGAAGCGAGATCGCCTACAAGGAACACCAGCCTACCAGTTCCGCCACGCAGACATCGCAACAGCCCGCGCTCACCTCAATCCACCCGCGAAAACGGACCTCATGGTCGACATATCACCCCCCGAAGGCGACGACGACCAAGCCGTCGAAACCAACCTTCACAACTGGGCCTCCGCCCTCTTCACGGCAATTTCCCACCCCCCGGGTCCTCCACCCATAGGCTTCCCTGCAGAATTCATCCCCTACTACACCTCCCACCAAAGCAACGAACACAACGCCATCCTCGCCCACACCACCACCAACCCCATCGCCTCCGAAGCCCGCACCCTCCTCTTCCTCTCCGAAATCCTCTCAATCCACCAACTCGGTATCCCCACTTCCGTCGCCCAACGCAAAGCTCACCGTCAAGGCTACATCTTCGAACACCACGGTACTTGTTCCCAGCGCATCGAGACCGTCATCAACTGTCTCCGGCAAGACAAATACGTAGCTCTGGATGTCCTGTCGGGACATGGGATCGTGGATTTCGCTCGTTCGCCTTCGCGGTATTTGCGGCGGAAACAGGAGAATTCGCGTGTGAATGCGCGGAAGGCGCACGATAAGAAGGTGGCGGAGGAGAAGGGTACGCTGAAGCCTCCGAGTCGGGGTGGTAGGAAGCCTCAGGAGGCTTTGACGGGATTTGCGATGGGGTCGCCTGTTGAGGATCCAGCTGCAGCTCCGGCAAACACGGCGCCATTTGCTGGGTTCTCGACGATTCAGCAGCAGCAGGCGCCGATACAGCAAGTCTCAGTGCAGCAGCGGATTGAAGGCAAGAAGCGCGCACGTGAGGGGCCCAAGGATGTGCAAGAAAATGGCGGCAAGGTCAAGCGTACGAAGCGGAATAACTATGACTTCGGCTTCGCGAATGAGTAGGGGACAGAGCTGATCGGAGTAGCGAAGGCTACTGATCTGTGAGTGGTTAGCAGTATGATGTACAGTAGGTCTTGACAGGCACAAAGTCCTTGCAGACGATGTGCGCGACAAAGCAGAACGACGCAAACACAGCAATGCAAAGTGTGTTTACCCACACACGAGGTTGTCACATGTTTCTCATTCGTGCACCAGTATGGCTATGACCATGTCTCGAAGTCTCGAAGTCTCAAAGTGCCTTCCAATATCGAAGATAGAGTCCCACTCAGTCCTTAGCGCCGAACACCTCGCTAAACAAGTATTGGGGATCAGAATGCACCAAAGGTTTCGTCGTTGGTCAGTAAAAGCTTCCAGGCCCGGTCACTTGACTCCCGTAATCATGACCAAAGCCAGGCATACCGCTCTCATCCATACCGTCCAGATTCATAAACTCGTCCAACCCGCTATGGTCGTGATCCTGCTGCTGACCCTGACCCTGACCCATAGTTTCGCCGGCAGTTTCGAACTTTGGATCAATCTCGATGGCAGTGTCTGCGCTATTGCCAGCCCCTGTGTCCATCTCGTTCAAGCTCGGGTCCACGTTCGGCGGATTTGGTGGCTGGATGTCATCCTGTATCTGCGCGTTCGGAGGGATAGAACGACCAAACGCCTCGCGACGAGTCTCTGCCCGGATGTTCTGCTTCGGATACCTCTGAAGCTGGGGAGCTCTATTGCTGTTAAGGCAGTCTCCGCGACTGTTCATCCAGAGGGAGGATTCTTGAATGTCGCCACGCTTGGCAGCTTGTGCAAATGGTTCCGCTTGGAGGATGGGTAACACAAGACTGGCTTCATACCAGCGACCCCTGAAGTTGTCGAGATCAAGGCGTTGCTGCGGGACAGCAAGCTTCCAGTAGCTTGCGGTACGCCTGGTCGGGATAGAGCGGGCATTGCGGTATGCAAGGTCCTCAGTGAGGCGCTGGGGGAGATGCGGATTGTTGTTAGTCGCTGCTGGAGTTGGAATTTGCGGGTCACTGTGCTGCACCTGCACAAGTTGATAAATGTCGCCAACCAGCTTACAAGTCTGACTGTTCATTTGTGGCGTCATCGCTGAAACCCGTCTACGCTCGACGACAGAGTGTACGACCATGATTTCGGTCCCTGATCCTACAGTGAGGCGTACAGGGTCTCCGACCCAGACCTTTTCTGCGCCTAGGAAGATGCCGTTGTAGTGGGTCTCAACCGCGCCGCCTTCGACCTGTGCCATTTTGGTTTTGCCGAAGGGCGTGTACGTGGAATCGATCATCTTCGCGGCCAATATGGATGCGTCGACCTGTGGATCGCCCCTTCCATACCGTCCTTGCACGAGACCTTGCCAGTCAGCTGTCTCATATTGAGGAGGCTGAGGAAGGTTGTTGAGGCCGTCGCTCGTGAATCTAGGCACACTCCACGCCAGCCACGGCCGCATAGAGGCATGAGATGTCTTCACCACTGGCTGCTCGTACTGGAGAGGATGGGAAAGCGACTGAACCAGGTAGGAGTATTTATCGTTGCCCGCAGAGAGACCGTGAGGAATCCACCGTCGAAGAATAGTGCCGAGTCCCCAGGCCTGACCTCGTTCAAACCACACGAGCTCACCGGGACGGTACATGAAGGAGCCATACTCGAGGTCCATACGTTGATCAGGGCTCTTCACAGAGGGCAGCGGCGTCGGCTTTTTCGCTTGCGGTGCAGGCGGTTGCGGTACACTAGCTGGTATCCTGTAGCTCTGTTGGCTCGTCTGGCGTGCCATTTGCTGCGGAGCCTGCTGGGCAGCGGCCATCCTAGCCGTCGCGCCAGGCACTACGGTCTCCAAGTCTTCCGGCGAGCACAGCTTGCAGCTGCAGTTGTCCGGATCGCCTTTTTCGTCCGTGCACAGCCACAACAGATGCGGAAAGAAATCGTTCGGGCTGCGGAATCGCTTTCGTCTTCCAACAGGATGGCCGTAGAGGTAGGCATCCTGTCTGTCATTGCCACCTGCAGCATGTGTCTTGCTCTTGACTTCGGTCTTGCCGTCCTTCTCAGTCTTTTTCACGTGCTCGTACAGACGATAGTTCTCGGGCAGCGCAACGAGGATGTAGCCGCTCTCTACGAATTCTCAGTGCCAATCCGAAATGCTTCTTGGTTACATGTGTATACACACCGCCTGCAGTCTTGTCCTTCCAGGCCAGCTCTCTCGCCAGCATGCCACCTAGCTTTCGCCTCCAATCCACGTGTTTCGGCTCGTCCTGAGCAACCTCTCGATAGAAGTCACTGACTCCATTCCTGTCCGGTTTCTGGTCCAGCTGATCGTCGGTCGGCTGATTGAGCTCCCTCCTCTTGCCCTTCGAAACGAGTTCGATCCTGCCATCGCTTCGGCGTGCGTAGATAGGGTAGAATCGCGCCATGTTGCAGCTGCTCTTACGGCATTCTTGCGCGCATTACTCTTGTCGTACAGGCCCACTGTGATAATCGCCGTTCCGAATCAGTGATTGTGTTCCCCGCAGCAAACAGTACATCGCATGATGATACAAGGAGCATCTGCAGGTGGGGGCCATTTGAGGCTCAAAATAAGGTTTTGACGGCGGCTGATCTGCCGACCCCTGTCAACGCGAGATCATCGCGTCCATCGCGTCCTATGATTTTGTATCGCTTCCATCAAATGTTCTGAAGTCTTGTTGCACTGTTGAGAGCCACCACACCACACTATCGTCTTCCTCAATCTTCGTAATCAACTCGCTCTTGCCGCTTGGTCAGCTTGTCGCCCGCACGATTGCGTGAACAGGGATTGGAAAGCCGCAGGGAAACGGAACCGCAGGCGTTTGCCCACAGAAGTACCTTACCACAGTTACTGCACAGCTCGTGAAAACCTCACTTCGCCTGGTCAGATCGTCGCGACTGCCACTTTGCACGTGAGAAGGGGCGCACGTGCTCAAGACAAATGTCCTTCCTCAAAACTCGCACACCAAACTTCACAATGAACATGGACGACCTCGACTCCGACACATTCCAGTCGCCCCCCAAGCGACGCAAAATGGCGCCCTTTCTACCTGCACCATCGAGCCTGTCCAACCTGCTCACCCAGTGGGGTGCCGCAAAGTCTCCGACTTCAGTCTCCAAGATGCAGCGCGAGAGCAGCGGCGGGCACGCGCTGCGAGGTGGTAAACCAGCTGTATCGTACGCCGAGTCGCCGCCGACCTCGCCCGGCCAGCAGAGCGAAGCATCGGCAAACTACGAGGATGCACAGGAACAATCTGAAGAACAGCGCGCTTGCGGCCGGGACGACGACGACGATGACGATGACGAGAGCCTCGACGAGCTGTCATCAGACACTATTCAGGTCATGCCACGCCGCAATCACCTCCCTGAGCGAACAAAAGGCACGCGTGAGATGCCGTCCAGGTCGACGAGATCCACTGCATTCTATGGCCGAACGCCGCGAAATCTCTCTTCACCGGCAAAGAAGATCCGCAAATTCCGCCTCAACTCAGACACGGGTGCAAGCAAGGCAAAAACCAAAGCACGCACCAATATGAAGACGGATACCGCTCGTAATTTGGTCCGTCAAGAGATTGCCACAAATACCAAGCCGAAGCGAGATGCCTACCTTTTGGCCAACAAAGACTACTTTCTGCCGCTACTGCCAGACAACAACTACGTTGTCAAGCTGGAGCGATCCGCCAAAGGCGCTAAGCCGCAGCCCGTGGTCCACAAGCAAGTGCAACAACCAGAGGGAGTTACTGCCGTCATGAACCCATACCAATTGGAAGGTCTATCTTTCCTCGTGCAAATGCACAAGAACGGAATGTCTTCCATTCTTGGTGACGAAATGGGTCTCGGCAAGACGCTGCAAACCCTTTCGCTGTTCCAATACCTTGCCGAACACGAGGCCTCAACTATTGAGAACCGCCCAAACCTTGTCGTTTGTCCGCTTAGCGTTCTTTCCTCGTGGATTGCGGAGAGTAGAAAGTGGACCCCGAAACTCAACGTTGTGCGGTTCCATGGACCAAAGGTGGAGCGAGAACGGTTCAAAGAAGATTGCAAGCAGAGACAACATTCTCGGGCCCCCGCGAATGATCAGATTGACTTGGTGGTCACGACATACGAGACGTTCGCATCAGAGCAGACATGGTTCAAACATGCCTTTGTATGGCGCTACTGCGTGCTTGACGAAGGCCACAAGATCAAAAACGACCGCACCGGGGTTGCCTCAGCTCTACAAGGTTTGTCTGCTGAGTACCGTCTTGTCCTGACCGGTACACCTTTACAGAACAACCTGCGTGAGATGTGGGCGCTTCTGCACTGGCTCTTTCCAGAAGTATTCACGGCAGACACCGCAGACGCCTTCCATAAGGCGTTCGATCTTACCAAAGGCAAGGTATCTACCACATTCATGGATGATGCTCGCCAGTTGCTCGAGCTCGTCATGCTTCGACGCATGAAGTCAAGCCCAGAAGTCAACCTTGGTCTACCCCCAAAGGAAGAAGTACTACTATTTGTACCTCTCACTCCTATGCAGAGATTTTGGTATACACGGCTCCTGACACGGGCTGACAATGCCACGCTCGCTGATCTGTTTGACGGCGCCAGAGACAAGGAACAGCAGAATCTCTTGACTGAGAAGGAAGACGAGCAGCTTATCCAGCTTGAACGAGCCGCTGCTGCTGCAGTCAAAGCGGAAGAGGTTGATAGTATTGACGTCTGGGCTGAGAGTCGAGCTATTATGCAGGAAGCCTTGCGCAATGAGCAAGTTGAGAAGAAAGGTAACGCTTGGCAGAAGCTCATGAATCTTCTGATGCAGCTGCGAAAGGTCTGCAACCACCCCTATCTCCTGCCAAATGCGGCACCGCTTGTCTACGACATTGGGGAACACGTGATGAATGCTTCCGGGAAATTTATTGTTCTGGACAAATTGATCGACCAAATTGTGCTCCAAGAGCGCAAGAAAGTGCTGATATTTTCCGGCTACACTCGGACCCTCGATTTGGTCGGAGAGCTTCTTCAGTACAAGGGAGCCAATGGGCACGAAGCCCCCTTCCGGTATGCTCGACTCGACGGCGGCACTTCTCGGGCCCGTCGCAACTTGAGCATCCGCATGTTCAATGACAAGAGGACGGATTATCAGGTCATGCTGCTTTCGACGAGAGCAGGTGGCCTCGGTATCAATTTGACTTCTGCTTCAGAGGTCGTGTTCATGGATGAAGACTGGAACCCGCAAATCACTTTGCAGGCCGAAGCGAGAGCACACCGAATCGGTCAGATCCAAAAGGTGACAATCTACAAGCTGTGTTCGCAGGGAACGGTGGAGGAACAAATGATGGGTCGCATTCGAAAGAAGCTCTACCTCTCTGCCAAAATCACGGAGAGCATGCGCAACATCCACTCAGCGGAGGCGCTTGAGAAGAAACGCAAACGCCAATCCACGAAGACCAGCAGCGACGACGACGATGCGCCACATCTTGACACAGCATCGCTTCAATCTCTGATTCGACGCGGTGCTCAGACACTGGCGCGGCCGCAGATAGATGTGACGGAAATGATTGAGTGGGATTGGGATACCACGCTTGAGCATTGCAAAGATAAGCCAGTTGACGCATTGGTTGCCGACGCCGCTGGTGACGGCAGCAGCGAAAACGTAGACGAGCAGCAGTGGCTAAATACCATGGAGAAGGTGGAGTGCGCAATCTTCGAAGGCAAGAAGCATCAGAAGCAAATTGAAAAGAAGGTTGAAGGGATCACTGAGCTCAATCGTAATGCACGTCGCATCGGCAAGAACACCACTGTCGAGATTGACGGCTTCATGATCTCTAAGGAGAGCCTCACCTGTGGCGATTGGGAGGCGGTCCCAACTCTTGCAGGCAAAGACCCTTCCCTTGCAGAGTTCAAGAAGGAGAAGAAGGCTGCGATCAACAATCAGGATTTCTGTCTCTGCTGCTGGGCTGGAGGAGAGCTCGTCTGTTGCAAAGGCTGTCCGCGATCATACCACCTAGGGTGCCTCACCCAAGACTTCCAAGTGCGCAGCAAGGGCATGTCGTTCTACTGCCCGCAGCACCAATGCATTGATTGCAATGCCAAGACAACTGAGGCCGGAGGCATGATCTATCGCTGCCGGTGGTGCGAGCGTGGATATTGCGAAGATTGCCTCGCCTGGGAAACGGCCGAGCTCGTGGACCATACACTTCCTGAGTTTGAGTTGCTTGGTTTTGGAGAGGTCGCTCAGGCCTTCTACATCAATTGCTCGAATTGCGTGACGGCTTGGAAGAATGACGCTGCCGCTCGGAAGACGATGGAGAAGGCGAAGACGAGGTATGCGCGGGATCTCAATAACCACCCTTCCGAGCTCGAGGCCGCTGGCGTTGGCGCCGGTTACACGCCAGACACCATGTCTACGATGTCGGAGGCTGCAACGCCTGCTGAGGAGATCCCACCCCCAACTGATCGTCTTCATCGCTCAGCCAAGAAAGTGAAATTGTCAAAGTCGCGGCCGGAGCCAGAAATCATCGAACTGTCGGGTTGATGAAATGGCTGTCACTCGACTGTAAAGCTTGTGTGTTGTTGGAGGATCAGACTTGCACAACTCGGTGAGAATCATGCAACACAAGCAATACGGGATAAACATTGGGTCGGAAGGGAAACTTTCCCGTTTCAGCAGGGCCTGTTGACTGCACGTTAGGGTAGACAGGACGAAATCAGAAATCAGAACTACGGGTTGTACGCACGCCCTAACTTCACGCGCTATCATACCTCTTCACGCCCTATGCTCCCGTCTCCTCGGCGTTCATCCATCGGCTTCGCGTAATCTAATCCGGAACCTTCAGAACCCGCGTCCGAATGATACTACTCTTATTAGACTGATACGAGTAAGTGTTCCGGTTTTTCACGACTATCACACTGGCGAGTTCCGATTAGTTTCCGTGGTTGTTCAAATCCAAGCGATGGACTGACAACTAAACTAGCGCGGCGCGCATGCTAGGCATTGTACGTCACCCCTTTGTGCCTTGACTCTGGAAAGTCGCGTGGCAGAGACCACGCAGTGGCTCGCGCATCCCTGCCGCAGGTCTGCACTCCGCCAATCGTGTTCTTTGAAGAACGAGCGTGGTGGAGCTCTGGTACGGGTTTACCAGGGCTCTCTCTACATGGTCTTCTTGGGTTGGCCGCCAAATCAGAATGGTGCCTTTGCGTCTGCGAGACTCCGAGAAGGAGACAGGGAGGGACGAGTCGGATACTCAGGGCTTAAAATGGGTGGGTGCCATCGCTATTCCGTTCCTGAGTTGGCGCTAAGGACCGGTACAGGACGAGGTTGCTCGTGGCCTCCTCCGCGTGGCCTTTGCATTTCCCAAAATGGTCTACAATCGAGAAGTCGCGAAGATGCTCCCAACCTGGTTCCCAATAATTATCAGTTGAAACAACAGTTGACATGAGGCCGTCTCGGCATATGACGTCAGACTCTGCCAGAATTGTGCACATTCCATTCTTCTCTTCTCATTCGGTGAATGACGGTGAATGAATGTTGGTCTGTGCAATATCAACATTCAGAGCTAGGAACCCCCGTGCTTGTCAGCCAACGTAAGGTAGCTACCTCCCCCAAACAACCCCCATAGCTCCCTCGGGGGACGCTGTCTACAGCTTATCAAGAACCGAAGCTTTTGGGATTTAAAATTCCCGACAAGGTCAGGTAAGCAAAGGTATCATACCTAACTAAGCAAGCAGGTATTATGATAAGCAGGCGAAGAGCTCGAGACGGTTCGTCTTCTTCCTATTCCTGGAAATACTCTGTCGGGACTTCACGCTCCGACTCCAATCGCTCGACGTGCTCAGGTAACCCGTCTCTCCCATCTTCGATATGCCCCCTCCGATCCGATCTGTTGCGCTCGCGGGTGTGAGTTCTTTCTACCCACCCCATCAGTAGTCACCGTGTGGTGACTTGGGAAACCAACACTAACAACAACAAAATTCCCAATTCCCAGGCGAACGGCTTCCTGGGCCGCGTGTTGCTGCAAGTCCTATTGAAGGCGAATCTCTTCCAACTCACGATCATCACCCGCGAGGGCTCGCAGCATGACTTCCCGCCCGGCGTCTCGGTCAAAAAAGTCAACTACGAATCGATCCCCAGCATCGAGGCGGCTCTCCGGGGCCACGATGCTCTCGTCTCCGCCATGGCTTTCGGCGCAATCCATATCCAGAAGAACATTGTAGATGCTGCTTTCAACGCCGGCGTTCGGCGGATCATCCCCTCGGAATACGGAAACGACACGACGCTCGCGAAATTGGCCACGATGCCGATTTATCAGCCTAAGATTGCGATTCGAGACTATCTGGAGGGGAAAGTCGCTCAGCGACCCGACGGCAGGTTCTCGTGGACCGTGGTTCACAACGTCTCGTTCCTGGCGCCGGGCTATGCTCTCGATTTTTTGGTCGATGTGAAAGGGAAGAAAGCGGAGATCAAAGACGGCGGGGACGTTGCTTTCATCGCCACGACGATGGAAGATATCGGGCAGGCGATCATTGGCATCCTCACCCACTTGGACGAGACTGCCAATCGCCCGGTCAAGATCTCGAGCGTTGTCACTACGCAGAATGAGATCATCGACATTGCTAAATCCATCGATCCGAACGGGGAGTGGGAGATCACGCATGTGAAGACGGCCGAATTGGAGCAGGTCGCGAGGCAGCGATGGGAAGCAGGCGATAACACAGAGGAAGTGGTCGAGATGTTTATTTGGTGTGCTTTCATCGGGACGCCGGGGGCTGGGTATTTCGAAGAGACGGATAATACTTTGCTTGGCATCGAGGGTATTGGACGAAAGGGACTCGAGAGAATTATTCGTGCTGCGATTGAAGAGTGAATCCAGTTGTACGGAAGAGAGTTGAGGTGCCGAGGCCTGATACAGAACAAGATTCCAGGCCCAACCCATTGCCCTCGACCAATTCCTGGAGGACCAAAAGACTCAAGTACCTGTAGCATGTCTTTTTAGTCGCCTTCCCTCGTACAACACTGCTGAAGAGCCAACCATCCTAAATGCTCGCCAAGTTCACTAAGTTGAAACCTTAGACAGCACAGAGTCCATTGCCTGCCCACGAAAATCCTCCATCCCTCGCGAGCTCGGAGCCTTGTCCTGCCTGAAACGGAGGATGCTTCTGCTAATGACTACTCGCCAGACGGGCAGCCGCGGTTTGGAGTTGGAAGAGCGGCCTACATCTGGATTACTCGCAGCAGTATAGCAAAATGGCGCCGAATTGTATGTCACTGTTTCATAAGCGTCTGACGGTTGCCAAGGCTGTGATGTGCTGCATCAGTTCCCTAGGCTCGCTCAGGCGTTTTGAAGCGAAAAGCAATGACCGTTGAGGGGTTCTCGGCCTGTGATCAGGAATGGAGCCTTGAAATCCAACGGCTCAGTTCTGCTCGCGCATAGGCGTGAAAGGTGTATGCTTTTGCCGCATTAGTAAGGCTAGAAACTTTTCGCTCTGAAAGGCTACTCCGACGTGCAGAGCTGCTGTTGCAAAGTCTCGGATGAGCTAGAGATCTAAGCGTAACAGACCCCGAGATGGTATGATTTGTGCACTTCGGTGTTAGGATGAGTTCTATTCCGTTTCCTATACGATGAATCGTGATAGTCTCAGCCCACGGCACCGTCGGAAAGGAGTTTGCTTAAGCCGACTTTGTGCGATCCCGAGGAATGACCTGCCGCTGTGCTAAGCCGCTGTAGTAGGCATCAGCGGCCGCATGGCCTTTGCATACAACTACGGTGAAGCAGACCTGTACTTCACCACGCCTTTGTATGGAAACGACTTAGCATTTGCCCCACATGCATACACGCGCCAACGGCTTGTCTCTGCTAGGGGGATTCGGGAGACAAGGCAGGGAGCCCAGTCTAGTGACATGCCGCGTCCGAGGTATCAGGCCGTTTTCAATGCGGGATAATCTCCAACTCGAGGCCACGAGCCCGGTGGCAAGTCAGACGAGGCTTATTTTCATAGCCATAATCGTGGAGGCCGTGGTGGGTAGATCAAGAAGTGGAGAAGTCTGGCGACCGCACTGGTTTCGTTGAAGCATGCTCGGCGACAACACCGCGATGTCGTGATGTTATAAATACGGTCGGGTCCGCAGCACGATAGGGAGGTAACATTCCCAAAGCTTGAAAAGTCCAGAGCTCCTTTACAAAATGTACTCCACGGCATCTTGGAGTAGCTTTATCGGTCTTGCCTTCGTTTTGGTCACCATATTCGCGTCCTATTACCTGTACAGGGTGTACTCGCACCCACTAGCGAGAGTTCCTGGTCCGTGGTCGGCAAAGTTCTCTCCAGTACGATTCTTGTATCATACCTGGAAGGGGGACCTCCATCTGGATCATGTGCGGTGTCATAAGCGATATGGTATGCGTCTTCTAGGCATCTCGGATGTCAACAGACTGTACTGATGCTTTCTTCGAGGATCCGTGTACTGCAGTTCTCCATCGAGCGTGGTGTTCAATACACCTTCAGCTGCACTCGGTCAGTCCATATCTAACAAAAACGGCTTCGGGCGGCTGCGACTGACCTCACTGAACAGCAATATACTCGCAGGATCGAAACATAACCAAGGCCAACGGATATGCATCGCATCCATTCACGAGAGCTGAAATCCCGAGTCTGTTCAATTGTGTCAGTGCTTCTCGCGCGGCTCTGAAAAAGAAAGTTCTTCGTCCAACGACGACTCCGCCGGCGATGCTCTTGCAGAACGCAGCAATCGAGGACAATGTGGAGACATTTGCCGAGATGGTGAGATCAAGCCCGCCGCAAGACATGTCCCTTCTAGGTCCGTCCCTCCCCGTGCGGTTCGAGGTAACAAGAAGCGACGATACTAAACCATGTTAGCTTTCTACTATGCTTTAGATGTCATCTCCCAGTCCACCTTTGGCAAGAGATTCGAGACTATGCGCAACCCGCGCCATCGCTGGATGTGCAAACATCTCGAAAGAGGCAACAGACACATGTACTTGCAGCTAGCTTGGCCGCGACTCTTCAAGGTGTTGGCAATATTCTTCAATGAGAACCGCCTCACGTATCCGGAATACCATGAAGAATCGAAGATGTTTCTGAACCTCTGCCATTCTCATCTCGAAGAAGGATTGAAGAGGAAGGGCCAGGGCGAACCGATCTATGAATTGATGAAGGCCGATCAACCGAAGGAAATATCGCAAGACGAGCTCTATGTGGATGCCTTCTCGTTCATGCGTGGTGGTAGGTCTCGGTCGGATCCAGGCGATGTTGGTGTTGCTAATCCCCTCGACTAGGCGGTGACATGGTAGCGGTCACCATCGCGGCTGCATTCCATTACATCACTCAAGATGGCGACGTCCTGCAGAGGCTCACTGCAGAGGTTAGAAGCACATTCGGTACCAGTGAGACTCCTTTCATAGGTCCAAAGCTGGAGTCCTGTAGGTACCTCCGGGCCTGCGTCGATGAGGCTCTCAGGATGGCACCACCCGGTCCTGGGGTGTTCTGGCGCACTTCTTCAGCCGACCTCAATATCGACGGCGTGAGGCTTCCAGCGGGGACAGACTTTGGCTGCAGTATCTTTGCACTACACTACAACGAAGAGATCTTCCCGGAGCCGCTATCCTTTCGGCCAGAGCGATTCCTCGAAGCAGGCGCGAGGGATGGGGGATTCATGCCGTTCGTGAGAGGCTTCCGGTCTTGTCCGGCGCAGAAGCTGGCGTATCCAACGATACTGCTGCCGGTTGCGCGACTTGTGTGGGAGTTTGATCTCTCTGCGGTGCCACAGACAACACGCAAGGACCCGGTTCCAATCAAGGAGTACTACCGCGAAGTCTTCGGCAAGAACGAGCCCGCTCTGGATCAGCTGTACCTGCAAGTCGATGTTTTCGGCTCCAGGATCGAAGGTCCGGTGCTCCGCTGTGCACCTCACGGTTAGAGTTTCCCGCTGAGTAGGCCGAGCTATACGGTCTGATTATTAGAGTAGTAGTAGGTAGATATTGCGCCAGCAACGGAATGAAAGAAGGGACCTGAAGTCGGACGGTCCGCAGTGCCGCAATGCCGCAGAGCCAAGTTTTTCTTGGATAGTGTGTTTTGCCTATTTCAGGACGCGCTAAGCCCTAGAGCCTAACTTTTATAGCAACACGTGACGAAAGGCAACGGAAATAAGTGGAGAAGCCCGGTCCACGGTCACCCCAGCTTCAATGTCACAGTCGCAGCGCATTTGCGGTGCCTCGTATCCAAAATTGTCCCGTCGGACTGGCAAAAACCCTACTGACTGCAGATTTTCTAGGCGAGATACGAATCATGGCCGTATTCCGTCTGCTCAGCTCTGACGAATGCGACTGATTCAGCGTGGTTGACATCGCGATGAGGACTGGCACAGCCTCACAAGACCTTCGGAAGATGACGCTATAACAACCAACACCTCCCTACAAAGAGCAAGTGCCTTCTCTAGCACTTAAACTCTTGCAGTCGACCATTTAGGAAAGCCTCTCTTGACTACAAGCAAGTTGTACTCCCGTCTCCCTCTACTTCCCACAACAGTCTACATTCAACAGCCCACATCACCACATCGACAGACCAAAATGAAGTTCACCATCCTCGCACTCTCCACGCTCGCCCTCAGCGTTCTCGCCGCACCAATCGACCGGCGCCAATGTTCCATCAGCAAGGACGGCGTGCAAACCTGCAACTCTTCACCCAATTGCTTCCCCGACCAAGACGGCAACCAAGTCTGCACATCCAAACGAGAGCCTGCGCCTGAGCCTGCGCCTGAGCCCGAGCTGGAGAAGAGACAATGCTATATCGACGAGGAGGGCGAGCAACACTGCAGTTCCGAACCGACCTGCTATCGAGACGCAAACGGTCAGGAAGTCTGCGTCTTGTAACGAGACGAGGAACTGGCGCCAAGAAGCAGTGCTACATCAACAAGGACGGAAGGGCAAAGTCTGCAATATAATAGACGCGAACGGTTCCGACGACGAGAACGGCAACACTCTGTGTATCGAAGCGTGAAGCTGCTGCAGAGCTTTCACAACGCCAGTGTTACATCGACTCGGATACTGTTCATCATTGCGACGACACGCCGGACTGCTTCGAGGATGACGACGGGGGCACACAGTCTGTGTGTGTGGAAAGACTACAGACCAGGAAAGCATCAGACGGAGGAATTCTACACGGAGGACACACGACACGAATAAACTTCACGAACATAACGAACTACACACTAGAGACGACCAAATGCAGCTGTACATAGATTTAGAAGGGCCATACTACAGGCCCCTCCCAAGCGTGGAACATTAATGCCGATATCCTATACATGAACTTTTGCAGCTTTCTTCTCGATACAACTCCAAGACATCACATGATTAAAGTCACCCTGCAAGCGACTACATTAGTCTAGGCCGACAGCCTCCAATATCCTACAAAACCCCTTATCATCCGCTCCTTGTCTCTAAATCTGCGTCTATCTCCTCGACTACCAATCTCCTCGGCCGCTACGCACGTCCTGCCAACTTGCTCAGATGGAGTCGTACAAGAAATGTCCACCCTTCCGCTTACAAGCGCTCGCGCTCGCAGCCGGAGTAGAAGTAACACGGTAAGTCCAAGTAAGACTGAACGTCTTGGTTTCGTACGCGACAGAATAGCTGACCTTGGTAATGGTTCGCGTGGAGCCCGCAATCGTGGTCGTCTTCAAAGCCACATCGCCGCGCAGAGTCTGGCCAGCCCGAGTCGTAGTAACAGTCTCCGTCGTGGCGCTTTCCCCGGTAACGGTGGATGTCGATGCGGTGACTGTGGTCGTGGTACTATCGACGTCCGAAGCAGTGACCGTGACAGTCGGCGAGTCTGGCGAACGGCGAGCAAGTTTGTGCATAGGTGCCTGCTGGTTGCCTTGGGTTTGGATGTAGAGGTTGCTTGGGACTGGTACGACGGTTGGGTAGATGTGGCATCTTGGATCCGGGAAGTCTGGACGAGCCGGTACGGTGCAGGAGGGTGTGATGGTTGCTGTCAGGCTTTTGACTTCGCTGGTCCAGCGGGTAAAGCGCTTGGGCTTGACGACTGTGCTAGTCACTGTAACGGCCCTGCCAGTCGCTGTTCTGACATTTGTGCCACCAGGCTGGGTGACGACATTGCCTCCGACAGTAGAAGTGATGATGTCGGTAGAAATCGCTGTAAGTTGTCAGTGGAAGCACGCGAGATCTCTAGACAAATACAGCTTACAAGTAATCGTTGCAATCGGGGTACTGGTCTCAGTAAAGGTGACAGTGGACGTGACGGTTGTGGTGTTAGGGACGCCGACTGTTAGATAGAAGTCCCGTTGGTAAGCGAAGGGGTTTCCATTGCCATTGTTGCCGATGAGGATGAGGGACCAGTTGCCAGAGGACATCTCGTTGTTGGTGATCGGGCAAGTCGTCATTTCTGGAGTATCGTTCGGTACAGTAGGCACTGACGTGCACTCATATTGGTCCGAAGACTGGTCGTTGACAAGTACAACGGAAGCGGTATCATTGTTGCAGCCCTCGAACTCCGACACGGCGGTGAAGCTCTCATTCAGTTGAGAGTTGATGAAATAGCTGCCGCCGTCCTGGAAGTCGATACCGAATGTCGAGCAATTGCTGTTCGGATTCATCTGTCGCCGGTAGCGGCCTTTCGAGGACAGTCCCATCCTGCGCAACGATACTTCCTCCACATGGCTCGCAGCTGGGTTGATGGCAACCTCATTGTCTAGGATGGCAGCGCCGGACACGAAGGTAGACGCCGCGACAGCGAGGCACACAAAGCGAGTGAACATGGCTGCCGTGATGGACTAGCGAGATGAAGCTGAATACCGCAAGGACTAGAGCGAAAGGCGAGAGAATAGCAAAGAGGAAGATCTGGTGGGCGACATGTCGCACTGCGATGACCAGTTGCTGGGATAGGACTGTCGTGGTAAGACGCTTTCCCATCACGAAAGTTGGTCTTCAAGGCTTCAGGATCCATCACAAGTCCGAATGCAGTAGTAGGGTAGTGGAGATATTGCTGTAGGAAAGTGTGAGTACATTGGTACCTTTCTTACTACCGACTGTCTCATTCGTCTGAGGTGATGGATCTTGGCATCCTTTAATAAGCTCGCCATGTTGTTGAGAGCAGATAGCCGTGCGGAAGCCACACGATCGTATGCAAGTATGGTCCATGGAGAAGATGGCATGTTGGTGGTAAGGTCGAAGATAAAGAAAGCGAAAGCGAATGGAAAGGTGTGATGTTGGTTCAGTGCAGGGGCGGTGGGTGGTGCTTCGGGAACGGCGGTGGCCTGAGCTTACAAATCCGCAAAATGGTTTTGCCGGTTTTGGCACCGTACCACCACACTCTCACACACCGTAATCACAGTGGTTAGGCACTGATGTACTCGCTATCGACTCGCAATCTATCTATTAGGTCCTTTATTGTCTACTTTGTCGTTATGCCGCCTTAGGCCCTCGATTTATAGCCCTATCGGCTCTAGATTAAGCTTTAGATTTATACTAGATATACCTACTAGCGAGTCGTATAGAGCCTATATAATACTAAGGGCATTCGCTACGGTATTAGAACTCTATAGACACACTTATCGCGATAGGGAGTGACTACTCGCCCTCGAATTAACTATAGTAGTAACGTAGTACTAATTAAGCGGATTACCGAGCTATTCTAGCTATATACTATTAGCGACAAGAAGAGCTATACTATACTACGGCTTAATAGCTATAATATCTCTTTAAGGTAGTATTAAGAGCTCCGCCGTACTTACGGCCTTAAGCGTCGACTAGAACACGAGGAATTAGAAGTAGCTACTACCTACGTCGATAAGGTGCTTCGAGTAGTACTAATTAATAGGCAAACCTAAGACTTTAGCTATCGTAAGCTCGTACGAGAGTTAAGAACCTACTAGTATATTATAGGTAGGTAGGGAATCGACTCGTAGCCGACTCGTAGCCCTCTTCTTACTATACTAATGCCTACTAGGGACCGTATCTACCGGATTTCACGGCAAATTAACGCTCTACTATATAAGCTTCGCGAACTACGTAATCGCTATCCGAATAGGCTACGGTACGTACGACTAAAAGCTAATAGGCCTAACTACGTCTAGTTAATTAATGCCTTCTACAAAATCGAGCAATTCGGCATTTAGATTTACGCCTATATTAACGTCTACTTACGCCGGATTATCTAGTTCTACGTTAGCCTAATAGTAAAGACAAAGTACTTAGTGTTTTCGTAGTACTATACTATAATTAACTATATCTAGCGAGTCCCTTAGCGAGTCCGCTCTAATTAAGGTGTCGAGACACCTATACTAGTAGACGCCTATCTACGGCTTCGAGAGCTTATCGAGGGCCGTAATATCGACTTTGTTAAGGCCTTCTTATATACTACGAGTAAAGGCAATTAGACTATTAAGTACTAGTAGGGCGAGATAGCTAAATTAGCTATAAATCGCTAGAGAGACCTATTTAACTAGTATATTAACCTACACCTTTTCGAGGCCGCTAAGCTATCTAATCGACTCGCCTTCCTCGTAATCTATACTCTAATTATACGCTATATAGTTAGTTACTTTGTCTTAGAGTAGAATCGGCACCCGGTACGAGTACAAAACCTTAAGAGCTATATTAGTAGTATACCGGATTTGCTCTACGAGTATCTAGAGCTCGAGGACACTACCTAGCGTAGGCATCTAATTAACCCTAAGAGTCTAGCGAGTACTACTCTTAAGTAGTAGATAAACCGGATAGACGGCTATAGTAAGCTCCGCGGGTAATTAAAGAGCTTTCTATATTAGTACTAGGTAAGTAGCTCGAAATTGGACCGTACTCGTAGCCAATTTAGCTGTACTCGTAGTCACTCGCAGCTCTAGCTACCCGCCTATAGAGTTACCCCTCTCTTACTCCTACGCTAACTACGCCTCGCTATATATAGACCTTAGCTTATACCTGCCTCCGACAACTCTATAATAGGTAAACGAACAGCTCGTACTCGCTAGCTACCCGTTAACCTTTAAAGGTAGCGAACCCGGATTCGGTAATAGGCCTAAGAAGCTTTATATACACGCTTATTAGTACCTCCGAGGAGTAGCTAAGTAGTACCTAGATACTAGTAGACGACTCGCTAAGTATATCGCGCCGACTCGCTTAAATAGCCTCGAGCCGTCTAATCGTACGAGAACCGTCTTTACTACTACTAGGGAGCCTCTATAAAGCTTCGTATATACTCGTAGTAGACTCGTAACGTTACATTCCTTAATACTACGTCTTATCTTTCTATATACGTCTATTATAGCTTCTTCTACTAACTTCTAGGAAGACTTCTATATATCTAATAAGGTAGATTATACTCTTAATTATACTAAAGAGTATAGCGATAAGCCCCGCTATAGTAAATGCGGCCTTAGGAACCCGTTCTTTACTATAGTAGACACTAATATAGCGAGTCGCCGCGAGTCGACTGTAGGCCCTTCCTTAATACTAGTACCGGATCCGATCGATTCCCCTACTCTACGGCGGAAGGAGCCCGCGTCTATAAAGGGCTATAGTAGCTTTACTAGACTCGCTAAAAGCTTATTTAGCCGTACTAATGCCGTTTTAGCCGCTAATAAGAAGTAGTATATCCGCCCGCTTAGTAATATAGGTATTAATCCGTTATCCGGAGAGGTATAAGGTCCTCGTACTAGTAAAGCGAGTCTATATAGGAGCACGCTAATCGCTACGAATCGACTTAAGGCGGGTAGTAGTAGTAGTACCGAGCTACGAGACGACTCGTAGGCCGACTCGTAGTCGTAGAACAAGGGTAGTAGACCGAAGAAAGTACTAAAGGGCCCTAAGCTTTACGTTATAGTGTATATAAGCAAAGTAGTAGTTAATGTAGTTAAGAAGGAAGGCTAGTAGAGGTGGACGGTTAGAGATAATCTAGAGCTAGTCGATTACTAGTCTATCGTAGGCTACTAGAGCGACTTTAAGGCCCTACTACTCGACTCGCCGCGTACTCGCAACTAGCTTTACTACTAGGCTTTATACGCTAGCTATATTAAGGTTAAGAAGGTTACCGGCCTATAGTACTACAAACGTCCGTTTATATATACCCGGTACGACAAAGAGTAGAAGCTCTTAATTATACTAAGCTCGAACAGTAGAGACAAAGACGACCTTAACGAGTAATTACTACTATTTAAGCGTAGGTACTAGGCAAATCCTACGCGAAAGGAGGTAGATATTAGGGTCGCTGTCCTTGTAGCTAAAGATAAGCGGTAGAATAGGCTTCCGAAGGACTACGGCGAGTCTAGCGAGTCTACCGACGACAGCTCCTCTTTAGATCCGGATCTAATAAAGAGCCTTAATAGGCGCTATCGTAGTAGGCGTCTAGGTTAGAGGCCTAGTACTAAAGCTAAAAGAAAGATAGCTAAGGAGGTAGTAGCGAGTGTAGTAGCGAGTATAGTAGCGAGTACTAGCGAATCTAAAGTAGTGCCTTCTACTAGCCCTAATAAACTAGCTAAATTCCGCTAGCCTACGAGTCCCTCTACGAGTGCCTAATCTACCGAGAAAGAGGCCTCTACTAGTCCGCTAGTTAGTTACAAACGTTAAGCGAGTCGCGAATTACCCTATCGATCTACTCCTTCGTCTATATCCGGTACCTAGGGATTAAGCGCCTATAACCCTATCGATATTATTAACCTTACTAATAATAACGACGACGACGAGCCTACGTACGTACGAGTGCCTAAAAGCAAGCTAGTAGTAAAGTAGGAGGCACGTATAGTAATAAAGAAGGAGCCTATAGATTTAAGTACTATTAAAGAAGGAATAGAGATTACTCCTACGGATTTAGTAGAGCGAGTCGCTAGCGAGTCGCCGGTAGCGACGGAGATTTAGGGCGATAGGTAGGTTACTAGCTTACCTAAGGATACTAAGGCTACGAGTGTACTAGCGGAGCCTACGAGTACGCCCCCGAGCGGACTAGCGAGTACTACGAGTGTACTAGCGGAGGCAATAAGGAATAAGAAGCTAAGGAAGGAGTATATAAGGATTCCGGAGTTTTAAAGGGTTATAAGGGCGTTAAAGAAGCTATAGCGAGTCGGTAGCGAGTTAGTAGCGAGGCTTTAAAAGGATAGAAGGGCGTATAGGGTTAATAGTATAAATATAATAACGATTAAAGGCTTAGAGATCTCTAATATTAACATTCTCCCGACTCGTAGGCTAAAATTAGGTAGACTCGCGGGCGATTTAGGGATTCTACGATCTCTAAGATTCGTAGTATTATAATTTGCCCGACTCGTAGGCCTAAAATTGCTAGATTCGTAGGCGATTTAATCGCTCTAAGATTCTATATATCCTAAGCTACCCGACTCGTACGGAATCGTAGGCTAAAATTAGCTATACTCGCTATAACTCGTAGGCTAGAATTAATCTATACTATCTACTAAGTATATTTGCCCTTATATTTAGCTACGAACTACTCGCTACCCGGTAGCTACGTAATAAAGTCTATTATATAGTAGAGCTTAGCCTCTAGATTATTAATACGCTTATAGGCAAACCCTAAACCCTCCTTAAGCCTAGTAATCTTAGTTTAAAGACTCGTAGGCTTCTACGAGTCGCCTATCTCAGCCCTAGAGTTACCTATAGTAGCCCTAGAATTACCTATAGTAGCCTACGAGTCCGGCTTAGGCTTTAGCGAGTTATCCTACTTATCCTTCTACTTCTCGTACTTCTTCTAGAGCTTACTATTATAACCTAGGCGACCGTAGCGCTTATAGAACGCGTATTAAGTATATTCCTTACCTTTATAGATAATATAATCTAGACCTCTCGTAGCGTACTACTTATAGCCGCTAGGCTTAGAAGATAGTATACCTACGAGTCGATTAGATTTTAGTAGCGAGTCTATATAAATTAGAAAAAGCATACCTAGATCCGTCTCTATTATCTCGCTAGCGTAAGTAAACCGCCGTAGGCTATTAGCCGCGGACTTACGAACCTACTTATTACTAGATTTAAGATTGTTTAAATAGCGCTACTAATCCTTATCGGAGATATACTAGAATGTAGTCTTATCCTACGTCTCTAGTTTACGGTAGGACTCGCTAGACTCGCTAATTAGCTTTTGCCTATTCTTTAGGCTTCGGATAGCTTACCTTAGGGCCGATATAGTTACTACTAGGGCGCTCTCGGGCGTAGACTAAGGCGGAGGCGAAGGAGTAGGTTAATAATTAGGCTAGTATCGGTCGTAGAGTCGTCTATAGATAAATGTAAGAGTCTCCTAGTCGATTAATACTATAAATTGTCGATTTACGAGTCTACGAGTACGATCTAGGTAGGAAAAGAGGTCTAGGTTCGCTAGATAAGAATGCCTTCTTATAAAATAGCCTACTTATTGTTAGTAGCTGCCTTATTGTTCGATATTGTGGACTCGCACTTACAATAGTATAAGCGCGACAATAGCTTTTAATTAATATAAAGCCGCGTACCGCTATTAACGGGTTCAATATAAAGCCAAAAGCTGCGCCTAACTTTATATTAACCGTTTACGTCGATAATAGCGGTACGCGACACTCGTAGAGCCTTATTGTCGCCGTCGTAAGTTGTTATTGTAGTAGTAGAGTGAGTCGCGACTCACAGCGAGTGCCGCTTCGGCAGTCGGCAAAACCATTTTGCGGATTTGTAAGCTCAGGCCACCGCCGAACGGCCCGCACCGGCCAAGGTGACGGACTGGCAAGCCCCTGGCTCTCAGGTGCTGACTAACGTAGGCTACTGCTGCCGATTCGTGCTTCCTGGATCTCAACAACCGACACCACACGGACGCAGGGACGGAGCCCCTACTGCTTGGGTATCTGGATATCTGGAACGATGCTTATGTAGCACGACAAACGAAAGAATATGCCTGTAAAAAATGAAAACCCCACCAGAGGATGCTGGGTAAACGGCTTCTTTCGACACCGCCATCGAACCCTTGCATTGCCGAATCCCATGGCACGTCGGACGAGGACTTGCGATGCAGTTTTGTGGACCGCAGAGACGGGGTTCTCAATGCGATTAGAGCGTTGGGCGATTACCAGAAAACATGTGATAGTTGGGAGCTGGGGTGAAAGATCCATCAGAGGATTTATGCCACGGACGATTCAGGGTTGCAGATATCGACGGAGAATACAGCTTCTCGAGATGAGGGTCTTTATTAGGGGTTTGGGTCCTTTAGGCAGAGACGACAACACTTGGACGGCATAGCTTACGATTTTCGGCATCATGATGATGTATCTTGGTAATGAGACTTGCAGCTTCACTTCTCTAACGTCTATCGATCGCCGACCATCACGACTTCATTGAACACAAGCATGGAGACCCTCGAGCTGAGACGCAATGTTATACGAGAAGTTTGCAGAGGTACATAGGAGTATATGAATACAGACGCTATCCCACAAAGACACCAGCAAAATCTTCTCCACCCCCTTTTAGAAAACAGGACAAGTCATCAACACTTCCCTCTCAGGGCCTGGGGCCTGATTCTTCCTGCGACAAATAGACAGTCGCTTCAAAACTGCCTGAGATAGCTCAATTCAAAAATCAAGGTCGCCCAGGCAGCGGCTTGTCCTTATTGTCAGCCGGTGGCTGCTGCGTCGAGATCGTAGGCACGCGACGGGCGCCAGTCAGACCGGCCGGGTGTCTGCGAGCGTACAAATGCGAGCCAAGGTACGTCGGTGCAATTGCAGGATGGCTTAGAGTAGAGATGGCAGTGGTAGGGCGAGCTGGCGGAAGAGGTGGAGCTGGGGGTGTCGAAGACGGTGCTGCAGGTGCTGCAGGTGCTGCAGTTGGTGCAGGAGGATTGGCACGTTGAGCATCGAAATCTGAGGCTGAGGGTCTCGATCCATTGCCGTCCGCATCCTTAGTCGAGGTGACCTGGTTGGGCATCGAGGGCTTAGCTGCGCGTGACGGGCCAGGTGCATTCGCAGTATCGCCCGCCGACGTGTTAGCAGCTGGTGCGGGTGCCGCGCTCGATCCAGGTTGACTGAGGAATCGTGAGCTTGTGGTATTCAACAGGGCTGGGATGGATGACTTACTTGTCAGGGGTGCCTCCAATCGCCTTACCAACCGAGCGAGGCTCTCCTTCGAAACTGTCAATGCGCTCTTCGCGGCCGTTCAAAGCACCGCCTTGGCGCTTGAAGTCGGCCATCGACAACTGTGGTAGCGAGGAAGTGGCGTGGAAGATGCTCTGGTTGTGGTGGACCTCTCGGATGGGGATGGTGGTGTGAATGACATGAGGCTCGAGTGTCCTCTTGTTGATAATGGGTTGGATCGTTTCGTGGACATGGTGGTGGAAGTGTTCACCGACGATGGGCGGCGAAGTGGAGCTTGTCTTGTTGCCATCCACGCGAACGATCTCGGTCGTGAACTTGGCGGCCTCTTGCGAGATGGCGTTTTCGACGTCGGAAGGGTCTCCATGGGCGAACCTGTCGAGGTGCTAATTAGTCGGTCCCTGAAGGAAGGGAGCACGCTGAACATACACTTTCTGATCCACGGGCAACATGTTGAACTCAACCTTGTCCTCAGTGACTTCTTCATCTTCGACTGGCTGCAGCGTGAAGTGGTAATGATCCTGGTGAATCTCGCGGTCGTACACCGTCTGTGTATCCTCATGGTCTTCTCTGGTGATGGTCTCGTGGTAGATAGCCTAGAAGAATGTCAGTCGCAGTCAAAGACATCAGCAGACTGGAGATTACGTACGGGAGCAACTCGCTCGTAAACAGTCGTGTCATGATGACCGGCCTTGGCCATGAAATCGGCGACGGCTGCTTTTGCTTGTTCCATTGCGATAGTGGTACTGTTTGTACTTGTGACTGTCTGGTTGCGGATGTAGGAATTGGTAATCTGGATAGTCTGAGGTGTATTCGGTATTGATGGAGGCTCTGCACGGAAATGTAATGCGAAGGTGGATGTTGGTGTGAGGTAGATGTTGGAGGAAAGGAACCTAAGCAAGATAAAGGGCAGAGGAGTCAAGGTCTGTTGACAGTCACCCTGGGCTTGCCTTCTGAAAATGGATGCTCCCCTGCTGCCTTGCGAAGATGGCAGGTGCAACGCTTTGCTGCTGATGCAGACCTGCGTAGTCGGACCAGTGTAACCCGCACAGGGAAGGAGTGTATCGCTCACCCACGAAACGACTATATAGCGTCTTCTGTTCTTCCCTTCCCAAGTCTGAATGAGGGTCGGTGCCCCCGCCAACTCCAATCTGCCCGTGACAACCGCCGGGAGCAACCTCCAAATCGGTCCTGCCCACATCGCCATCGTATCCTCACGCAGATACCCAATCTTCGCAACACTCAAATGACACCTCACCCCTCCCGCCTTTTCCTCTAGGCTGTGACACGCCCACCCCAAACAATACAACGATTGGCAACGGACCAACCCCCTCCACAACATATATTCACAATTTTCATCGCAATTCGCATAATAAGCTATGTTGACAATGCTCCCTGAGCAGCTCCACTGTCAGAAGAACTCCAAGTCGTGCTACCTCACGACGAACGACAGGTGGGTTTGGTGTTGTAGTCCACATTTGAGAGAAGTTTATGGAGGAAAGCGCGGCTGGGAGTCAAGATCCTGAGGGTATCGAGCCCAGATATCTGCTCCAGAATTGTAATGAAGAGTTCCGCAGGGAGATCTTCCAGGTTTGTGCTTTTCGTTGCTCGCGTCTCGGAATGGATATGGGTACTATGGGTAGTTCGAACATCTCGTCTTAATGAGCTGAGCACAGAACGGGTTCGCAGCATCTCGAACCTGTCGTTGGTCAGGCTGTGATGGTCGGCGTTGGTTCCCTAGGTTGGCGGGCATAACTTTCAGAGATGTGTATCTGATGCAGTCCGCACAAATGCGAACAGATTTGCAGCTCGCCAGTCACAAGCTCTGTGGGCGGTAAAGGAAGATAGAGTAATTGTATCAATGAGGATCAGAATATAAGTGTCTGCAAGTTACCAGAATTGTATTGCCAGATGAGAGGTGCCTGTCAAATCGTACTGTCAGAATTTCCGCTGTAAATAACATACAAGAAGTGTTTCATCAATCCAATGTCTTCCAAGCTTTTCCAAGCCAACACCTCGCTGCGTACACTCGATAATGCCAGAAAGATATCACCAACCAACAACAGCTAAGATGCAGGCGTTCCATGTGCCATTCGAAATGGCAGTATCGTGTGCGTAGGAGGGGTGGCGAATCGGCCCGTCACATCTGACGAAAAGGCTTCGGTTCTGCGAGCTGCTTGAGCCTCCCTGAGCGATCGCAAGCCTGGAGGAGTCTTATGTTGGAAACCACGGAAGCCGTCATCTTCCGGATCTTCCGAGTCGAAGTAGAACGGCGCTGTCTGGCCTGACTCCTGTCCTCCAGTCTCCAGGGTAGGCGGATGAACCCACCACTGCTCCGTATGCTTCGCACCATCCGGCGTCGTGTGTTCTCGGTAATCGCCTTCCGTACCCTCGAATTTGCGAGCCGTGAACGCTCTGCGTCCACTCGGTCCGTCATACTTGGGCATGCTGTTGTTTACAGCCTCCTGAATGATTTGCTGCAATCGATCTGGATTACTGCCGTGTGGAATCTCGGCCTCGGAGATCTCTCTGTATCCCCCGTCGGCGGTAGGCACAAAATGGCGAGCAGGCAGGATTTCGACGTCAATTACAGGCAGCACGCGATGGTAAATGTGGTGATTGTGAATCTCTCGAGTGATCGCCTCTTGCACAATCTCGTGCGTATCGACTTGCCTGACCTCATGTGTGACGGCTGGCGACCAATTCACATTTACATGGGTCTGCTTGGTGTTGCTGAGGTCCACGTACTTGCTGGGATCAATCGGTGTGTCCGAAGTCTCAACAATAGGCTTTCGAGGAATTGCATGATCAGAATCATGTTTCGTCGAGTCATTCGTAGCTGTCTCCTTCGGCAGATGAGGAAGAGGTTTATGAAAGTCTGCAGAGTGTCGCCAACTGCTCCCTCTTGGCGGGACATTGTCCAGCGAGATACGGCCTACCTCTTCCTTCTCTTGCCCGCCTGACACCCGCCTGAGGTCTGGCAAATCAGGCTTGTGCGAAAGCCTCCTCGAAGAGATCGCGGAGACCGGCGACACAGGCTCTTGGTCGTAATGCTGCCCATTTAGAGCCATATTCCAGTCCGCCACAGATTCGGAATACCGATCTCTCCTCGCGTTCAGATCTGTCTGGATTTGTAGGATTCTTCCATGTGGCTCTCCATGACGATCGGCCACAGCGTCTCGTGAAAACCTGCGCGAGCTTCTAAGGCCCGTCGGAACGCTGGGCGATGGCGCGGCTTCGTTGAAATAGCTTGGCGTGTTTCTCGGTCGATCACCCGCAACGTAAGGCTCCGCGGACCGCTGAGCCGTCACTGAGTCTAGGTATGGTATAGGAAGAGGAGGCGTATCGGTGGTACTGTTTCTGTTGCTCGGGCCTCGAGAGCGTGAGAGCGAATGGCCTAGACCAAAAGCCCGCAATCAGTATCCGTCCATTCCACTTTTCTTCCCGCCTTACGTACTTGTCTTCTGGACAAAATCTCTCATAGAGCGCCTGGAGCTTCTTCTGCGGACATGGCCCTTGGCTGGAGAGGTGACTGGTGGTTCGAATGCTTGGTCGAGTGCTGGTTCGCGTGCTGGTTCGCGTGCTGGTTCGCGTGCTGATTCGTGTGCTGGTTCGCTTGCTGTCGTGTTGGTGTCTCGACGGCGGAAGAAGCGGCTAAGTCGATGCCTGGGTGTTTGCGATGCCATGCTCAGGGCATTCAGTGAATAGCAAGAGTGTCGCGTGGAAACGGAGAAGCGATATCATCAACCGTTCGATGCCGACCTGGACAATGTGCTGCTGGCTGGATGGTGCTGCTGCGTGACCGAGGGAAGCTGCTGTGCAGGCGAGGGCAGATTCCTTGGGAAGGCACCGGTACTCACCTAGAACAGCAGGAGCTATCTCACACCGACTGTGTACCTCTATTGATGGGTGGATCTGTCTGTGAGCAATGCCAACGGTAAATGATTACATGTAGTCTCTCTCCAAAGTAGCACAGTAGTGTGGTAGTGTGTCTTCATGGTGACGCGCTCCCCAGAGAGGCGGACCACAGGACGAATGGTCTAGACTCGCAGACATCATCATGCACACCTGCATCTGCTGGTACTACATGTGGTAGGCGGTCCGCCAACGGCGCCAACGGGAGAGGCTGAGAGAGGGACGACGGGAGACGACACGAGACGAGACGGGAGGAGGCGATGTGGAAGACGAGAGGCTGTGGAGGCCTAAGCGTCTGATGACGCAAGGACCTTCCGGGATCTAAACCTTAAACTGGACTTCATCTCTACCGTGCATTTCCGGCTACCTGATATCTAATAGCACTGCTCAACAAGAACGAAGTTTTCCACATGCAAATCCCTTAGCTTGGAATTCCTCAGCTGTCAGATCCTGTATTACCTGCTGGGGATACTGGGGCCTTACACTGAGCATGCTTTGACCTTCTCATGCTCAAGATAAATATGAGCCTCAGGCATCAATCGTCTCCGGCTCAGTCTCTCCGTCGAGACTCGTATAAGTAGCTGTCCAGGATTTCATGGAACAAACTACGCACGGTTTTGATCGCTTCCCCGTCATTTGTAGCAGTCGGTGGCCATCTGACAGTTTCGGATGTCTTCCAGTGCTCTCGAGCTGCAGACATATCACACTCTCAATCGAACCTTCTCTTTCTTTAGCCCTCACCAGTTTGCCATGCTCCCAAGATACATCCCACAAATCCTTTCATGAAGCATGTCTTCAGAACACAAAGCAACTGCTTGCTTGCGAGCATTTAAGACACATGCAGTGTCTTTCCCCTGTCTCACATCCGCTTTATCGTCACCAACATGTCGATTCCCGCAACTCTCCAGCTGCCAGCGATCAGAGCTTACCTGCAGCGTTTCCAACAGTAAGTATTGTTGACATGCTCTGCAAACCATTCATCACTTACGCGCCTCTCTAGTGTCTTTCAAGGGCTCGGCGGAGCACCCGAGGCCGATGCATACGTTCGCATCAATGAGAAAACCCTCCCAATCCATTTCTGCGTCGTACAAGCGCACTCGGAAGCGTTAATGACCAAGGTCATGGAGTATTCGGACGTAAACGTGTCCCTCTACAAAGTGTCACACATTCTCTACTAATCCAGAATACATAGGACGGAACAACCGCGATCATAGCTTGGCCCCTAACTCAACCACACGAAACCTTGGACTCCATAACAGCACTCTTCACATACTGTTACCACTTCGACTACAGCGGGAACAACAACGCCTCCGATCTCACTCTGCACATGCAAGTCTTCGCTCTCGCTTTCAAATACGAACTGCCTCATCTTCGGGGAATGGCAGGATACAAATTCCGAAAGTCGGCCCCGGAGTACATCTCCAGCGAGGAGTTCTATCAGGTGATTGGAGCGAGCCAGGCGGATGAAGTGTTAGTGTCTGGTCCTGGGGGAGAGTTTAGCGAGTTGATCGCGGAGGTTATAGCAGATAATCGGCAGCTTTTGAGTGCGGAGGAAGGACAGAGGATGTTGACGAGAGTGGTGAAGGAGTTTCCGCTTTTGTCTTTGAAGATTGCGGCGGCATATCACAGGCTAGACTAAGGTAGTTCAATCTCATGCTCCGTACTATCTGTGGCTTTATCTGCAGGAATACAGGTATTCAATATCGTTTTGATTATAAACGGGGTTGCGTGGGACACATTCGTGTAATATCTGGTGGGAGATGGAGAGAAAGAGCAAGAGGGACTAGTAACTGAGGCCATCACACCACCTATGTACCTATTTCCCATTTTGATCCACAAAAGCCTTGGCGTGGCTATGGTTGTGACTTTCATTCGGACCTCACCTCATCTTTAACATCTTCAACATTGCCATCCCGCTCAAATGTTATGATACTCCGGCTTTCGTGCCACTCCCCGCTATACTGCTACGTGCACGTGTAAAGAGTGCCAGATTCTAATGGACAGACTAACATTACCCACGTCTGTTGAAAGTGTCAAGGCCGGCGTCAAGCAGCATGCGGCTCACCAACACCTAAACAGGAGATTCCCGAGACTACATCGAGCCTCGGATCCCTCGATGTGCCATTCTAGCGTCTCGCTGGTCAAAAGTAACGAGATCACTTCCAAAGACTTCCGAAGGGTCGCAGGGAAGACACGATCGGGCAATATAGGTCGTGGATTTCTGCGCCCTCGCTCAACGACAAGGCTATCAGTAGGGGTGGGGAGATATTGTTTGCATCGATAAGCAAGGCAGTGCCGAATTATGAGGAGCGACTACTCCATGTTCAAGTATTACTCGAACGGTATCTGCTACGCTCCTCTAGCGGACGTCCGTGTCTCTAACCATCAGAGATCCGAAGAGCTCGTTTAGGCATTCACAAAGTCCGAATGGTGTGATAGAGGCTGGACTCTACGGGAGCTACTCGCACCTGCAGATGTTGTGCTCTGCTCACTCGAGTCCACCACGACCACTTTCCTGAGATTTCAGACCCACAATGCAGGTGTGAATAGTTGTGCAGATTTGCAATAGTGTTCTCATCAAGCTGGAAAGCAAAGGACATAGAAACAAGATGTGTTCGAAAAGTGAGGAGAAGTTGAGGAAACAGGGATATCGAAAAAAACGGAACCACACAGGTGCTACACACGCGTATGTGACCATGGCAGTATGCTAGGTAATCATGTCCGTTCCACTCGTCGTTGATCTCGTTTGTCGCATGACGCTCATGTCTCATCATAATCTTACAGCTATGTTGCTCTTTGGAGACGCCGCCGCTACGAATTAGCACTACTCCCTGGAATGTCCTTAGACAAACGATTCCTCTTGTTCCTACCGAACTTAGATGAAGTCACCATCGCCGAAGCCGCCAAACGGATTCGGTGGGCGGCCTCCCATTCCAGTACCGCGGGGGTGGCCTCCCTGACCGGGCCCAAATGGCGGATCGAAGCGTGCTCCTGGCGGTGCTTGTGGGTCGAAGCCAGGTCCTCTCTGCCCTTGTCCAGCGAACAAAGGGTCGTCGAAGGTGGGATGCATGCCGCCACCACCCATAGGTCCGCCAAGACCAGGTCCTATACCGCCACGGAATGGATCGTTGGGTCCGAGGCCTTGCGGGTAGAGATCTCTGTCGCCGATTCTACCGAATCCGCCTTGCGGCATACCTCGTGGAGGCCTCTGGATACCATGCTCGTCTTCGAAGCCGGGAATAGGTTCCGGCAAAGGGCCTCGTGGTCCGCGCGGTTGTGCAAGAGGATCGTGGAGAGGATATGGACGAGCTGGAGGACCTCTCTCTTCCCGCAACGGGTGGTGCTGTGGTCTATCATCCTCTCTGCCAGGAGCAGGCTGTCTCGCTTGTCGCTCATCACTGCTGCTCTCCTCATATCCCTCCTTCTGCAAGCTCGGAATGAGCTTCTGAATGAGATGCACCCGCATCAAACTTCCCAAATCACTCAGTCTCCCAACCGAAATGAAAGCGTCGATGATCTTCGCCGCCGTCTGGTCCTTACTGCTTGCCTCTCCAGAAACAGGTAAGCTCCCTTCAGAGATATATTCCTGCATCTTCAGATCTGTGCTTATTGTTCGATCGTCTCCCAGTCCCATCGCCATGATGACGACTTTGTTTCCCATTCTGTTGATTTTGAGAAGGAATTCCATGCTGCTCTGGCGATGTTTATATCGGAAAGCATAACTGCCATTCTGTGCGTTCCATTCTGCGGGCAAGGGTTGAGGAGCTTCGGAGTCGGAGTGTGCTTCGATCTTGTGGTCTTCTCCTAGTCCGATGAGCCTGAAGCCGACGGAGAGTAGTGCGGCGTGTGCGCCAAGAGCAATGGCTTCGTACCCGTTCTTGATCGTGGGTGATTCGGTGGGTAAAGAGGCGGCCATGATGCCGCTGAGCACCTGGCCCGAAAGCGCATTTGTAGGCGATGTCGCAGACATGCTGGTCGGCTATTGTGCTGACCTGGTGATCGGTGTCTTGCTACTGATGATGTCGAGCAATAGAAGATTTCACTTACTCTCTCCTCCGTGTCGTGCTAAGTCGCTGGTATGTACTTCTTCACACATGCACAGTCTCAAACATGAAGGTGGTTGCATGACGACTTCGTGTCTGCCTGATCTCAGCTACAAGGTTCGGCGCGGGCCGTCCGATCCGATCGAGTCCACAGGTGCAGCAGACGCCAAGGTTTCACATGCTTTTCTCGACGCCTACCCTCGGGGAACTGTCACGGTAGCCGATATGCTTTGTGATCTCGAAGTGACGCAACAATCCTTTCCAACAGCCCGTCTCTCGGTGCGACCCAGGCGTGCAGCCCACTAGAGAAAGGAAACGAAACGTCGGAAAAGCTCATAATAGAAGTATGGTACATCGCAAGTCCTAGTTGCTGTGAGTGCGCCTAATCTCAGCGCTATCTATGTCCTTCCTTCCCAGGTGACAACCAGCGCGGCTACCCATGCCACATGGCTGAAGCTGCTTCCTGTCTCAATTGTTGAATTTTACATTAGACTCCACTCTCTACGGTGCCTCCCAGTCCGGGTTCTGCCAAAGTGTTAGCTACGGTCGTCTGATTTGCGCAAACAGGCTGACTTACCTTACGGAGTATACAGATACCCTCCATGACATTCGCCAAGCAGATCCACTCCTCGTCCTCCAGCTCCGCGCGCTCGCCGTGACTGAGCAAGACTGGAGTTGATTGTGTTTGCCAGCCTGTGATGGTCTTGGGTCGACCAGCCTGCCCAACGACATCGACTGCTTGACCTACTCGTACGTTCACTTGAACAGGCTTCAGGTCCTCGTCTAGTGTGACCAAGAACCGAGGGTGCATGGCAGTGACAAGGTAGTAGAGAAGGTAGTGGCTGTCGCCGAGGATGAAAGCCTTCGGGTTGTCGATGAGGGAGATGGCCACTGTCAGAAGGCCCGCCGCGCCGACCCTCGACAGTACCGATCGATCTGTGTGGAAGGGATTGATGGACATCGTGCCCTTGCCCATGTGCACGAGACCCTGAGCAATGCGCACCATGAAAAGCGCGTTCGGATCGCGGTGGTAGTAGGATGCGAGTTGTCGTAGAAGCTGTGCGAGACGGGCATTGTTTGTTCCGGCACCCAGAATCCCCATGGCAAAGATGGCGTTGATGGCGACATCAATATCGTTGTCGTGAGAGTATCTCGAGAGCGTGTCGTAGACTTTCATCTGAGGATTCGAAGGGCTGATGAGACCCATAGCTAGAGGAACAGCCTTGCGGATGTTTGCTTCGCCGTAGTGCATGAGATGGCCGAACTGTCGGAGGACCATGTCCTGGCCCACCTCTTCGCCCATAGATACTAAGCTGAGACCAAGGATGGCGTAAGCTTGAACAAGCTGCTCGCCGGCGACATCCTTCTTCTCCTCGCCGTCTTCTTTCTTATCTTTGTCCTTGTCATCCTCGTCCTTCTCCTCGATATGCTCGTTGCAGATGTGAAGGAGCTGCTGCAGCTTCAGCACTGCACCTGTACCGGCCCATGCGCAAATCTCTGCAAGCACAGAAGCGGGCTTCGACATTGGATGGTCAATCGCCTTGAGCGTCTCCAAGATGACGTCGACCTCTTCCTGCTGGCCGAAGTAGAGCATCGCAAGACCGAGGGTCATGAAACGAGTCCACTTGTCCTTGAGCTGCTTGTTCCGTTCATCGTCCAAGAAAGTCTGAATGATAGCCTCACTGACGTCGGACTGAGCGGTACCAACGAAGATCAGGCCGAGCGAAAGCGCCGCAGTTGCCGACAGCTGCATTTCGAGGCCCGTGTCCGAGACGATTGGCAGCAGGATGTCCAACAAGTCTTCCTTGTTTGAGCCTGCGTACGCAAGTCCGAGTCCCATAATTCTAGCAACCTTCTCATTCTTTGACTTGCCCTCGAAGTCTCCGAGAAGCGCCATGGTGGGATCACTGTCCAGCCTGACGCCAGAGTTCATGATACCCATCGCCATTGCAGCGCCAGCCTTGATTTGGTCCTCCGAAACATATGTGTACGCATCAATCTTGTCAAGACCCATCTCCACATCCCAAAGCATAAGCATTCCTGCTGATGCCGCAGTAGAGATCATGCCGTCCTCTTTGACCTTCCAGATCCAACTCTGCTTTACACCACCTTCGACCAACATTTGCTTATCCTCTCCAAAGCCAGCATTGACAAATGCGTTGACGAAAGCCGATGCAAGGTTGTGCCGTGCTGAGTCGGTGTTTGTAAGGCCAATCGTTCGGTTCGACTCGAGGTGTGACTTGTAGATGTCTTCTGGCACTTTCGGATCAAGTACATTGAGCTCTTTCGCAAGTGACTTGAAGTGCTCGGGAAGCTTTGTGTTGTTCAAGCACTCCTGCAGTTCTGGGTCCTCTGCGTCCTCGCCTTCCAAATCCAGACATATCCGCTGCCTCGCCAGAATGAAAGCAAGTTGACGCTTCAAAGCCTTGTCTTTCGTTGCGCTGAAGTCAGACTTGATGAGCTCCATATCGTTCAATCTAATCGCTAGGGTGATCGCTTGTGTGTATTGCTTGAAGTGAAGGTAAATATCGTGCGCGGTTCGCAGGAAGCGGTCGTTGTCTGGGTATGTGAGAAGGGGTACCATGGTTACCATATACAAACAGACACGCGCGTATGTGTTCTCGTCGAGGTGATCCTTAATCGATTCGATCATTTCCAGCTCGGAGAGAATATCGACTGCGTCGGCTTCGGCGTTGTGTGAGAGGAAGAAGGGTACGAGTGTCAGGACGAGTTTCATGATCTCGTCGGTGCCGTTGTCATCATCCAACCGCTTCTGATACTCTTGCCCAATTTCCAGTGCGAGATGGCGCATGTACTCGTGACCCCAAGAGCCGATGTCAGTGCCTGGTGCGAGAAGACGGTACTTGAGCGTATCTCGTCGGTCCTCGTCATCTGAGTATGTCATGCCCAACACGGAAAGAGTATCTGCCAGCGAGTCCTTCTCCGGACCCGCAGGCCACTTCTCGTAAGCCTCGCATAGCTTCTCGTAGTGAGGTCGCAGGAACTTGAGCGGCTTCGGGACAGCAGTCATCGAACTTGTCGATGTCTTGATGCTGGTCTTGATCGCTTCAAGTGCAGGCTTGTATAGCGACTTGTCTGATTCAGTTAATCGCTCAACGAGCATGTCCAGCTCATCCTTGAGCTTCTGGTCTTCCTCGCTCAACTCCTCCGGAGGCAAATCGTAATCGCTGTCCTTCTTGCCATCTTTGCCATCTGCTTTGGCGCCGTTGACGCCGTTCGCTTGCTTTCCCTCTTCCGCTTTCCCCTTACCCTTATCCTGTATCTTGGGCTTCTCCTCCTCCTTCGCCATTCTGCTCTTTGCGGAGGAAGCTGTTGATCGGTGTTCGTTGCTCGGAATACTCAGCAGAAGAGAGGTTCAACGGTGATGGAGTTGGCGGGACCAAGTTATCAGCTCCTTCGAGTATGACAAGTCCGATGGGAGTGGTGTTGCGAAGATGGGAGAGTTGGTCTGGTCGAGTGGTTGATGTTTGTGAACGCGTTGCTGGTGTCGCCTGAGCTCAGCGGAACGGCGAGAGCTGCGATGTCATGAAGCTCGCGGGAAGGACCGAGCCTGAATCGCGGGCTGCAGCTTTCTCGACCTCACCCACAATTTCTGCAATCACATGTCAACTGTCGCTCGTCAACCATTCCTCCAAGAGCTCTCCTCTGCTCATACCCAATTCGAATAAGGAACTCCGGGATGAAGCTCGATACGAAGGCGATTCGGTATCTAACGGGCGAAGATTGGCGAGTGCTCACAGCAGTGCGTAAAATCGCCTTGCTTTCAAATGCGTTGCAGCTGACGGGACGCTAAAAGTTGAACCCAGGTTGAGCAAGGGAGCAAGAATCATGAAGTCGTTCCGACGCCTTTGATACAACAGATTGCCGGTTTACGGGGAGGCAGCGGCGTCCACAAATGCATATCAAATCTTGCAAAAGTGGGACTGATCGCGAAAGTCAAGAATGCTCGATGTACGTACATGGGCAGTAGTGGGAAATCTCGTGCAAAAGTTCTGACATGGGACCAGATGACGGCTACCGGCTCACGTATGGAGGTCTCGACTATCTCGCCTTGAACGCTCATCGAAAGTCCAATGTCGTGTTCAGCCTGGGCAATCAAATCGGCGTCGGCAAAGAGTCTGACATCTACATCACAGCATCACCAGAAGGTCGTCAGCAAGTTCTGAAACTTCATCGACTCGGGCGCATTTCTTTCCGCACAGTCAAGGCCAACCGAGATTACCTTCGCGCGCGGAGCACAGGATCATGGATGTACCTCTCGCGTCTGGCAGCACAGAAGGAGCACGCGTTTATGCGGGTCCTCCACCGGGAGGGGTTTCCAGTACCAGAACCTTTGGCATGGAGCAGACATACCGTCGTCATGGAGTTCATCGATTCGTTTCCACTTCGAATGATCGAGACCGTCGCAGATCCAGGCAAGCTGTACGCAGATCTGATGGATATCATCGTTCAGCTTGCAAGGCGCGGCTTGATCCATGGTGACTTCAATGAGTTCAATCTCCTCATAAAAGAGCAGAGCGTCGGTGACAAGGTCAAGGTGCTGCCCATTCTGATCGACTTTCCTCAAACGGTAAGCACGAATCATGTGAACGCACAATTCTACTTCGACAGAGACGTTGCATGCGTCAAGCGCTATTTCGAGAGGAAGTTCAAGTATGTCTCCGACGAGCCGGGTCCGTTCTTTGCAGACGCGATAAAGGGCGCAGACCGAGAGAGAAGATTGGACATTGAGGTGGAAGCAAGTGGGTTCTCGAGGAAGATGGGCAAGGAGCTTGAGCGGTTCGTAGAAGCTACAGCTGGAAATCAGGAGGAACAGAATGCTGCGCATGAGCAACAGGTCGAAGAGGAAGAGGATGACGAGGTCGACGAGGCGGATGATGAGGAGGAGAAGCTGGATGGCAATGAGGCTTCCGCAGCCGATCATGAATCGGATAGCCTCCAGCTGGCAGAGGAGATGGAGACGTTTGTCTTGGATGATGGGTCAAATGCAAGGCCTTACAACTTGTCAGACTTCGGGCTGCAGCCACTTGAGCTATCGCAGGACCCGGATGTGGTCGCTGAGAAGGTTCGGACGAAAAAGAAAGCTACAGGCTGGGCAATATAATGTGTTCACAGCTGGTAAACGCAGTACAAACGAGTTCTTTGAAAACAAGAGGCTGCAAGTCTGGAGCGTTGAGGAAGAATCAAAAATGTCACGGCACTAACCCGATAGACGCGTCCGAAGAGCCAGACAATTCTTCGAACCCCGAGAACACTGACCAGAAGAACGTTTCGAGGCGACTGGACAGCGGAGCAGAACAGATTCTTTTAGGGAGGTCGCTCCTGCCTATTGACATGTGAAAGCAACGGCTCGGGCCGGAAGTGCGTCTGATTCGTCACGGAAATGTTCTCGTGTGCCTGGATCGCCCGTCTTCGCCCTTCGACTGCCTGGCCTTCAGCACCAACGGCAATACAAGATCAAAAGAACAGTCACACACCGCATCGCTCTTTTGTATCTCACCGAGCGACTCATCATGGCACCAGACGCGAATAGCCTCGCATCTCATCTTCAGCAGAGCCTTTCTATCCCTGACGATGAAGCGAGCTCCCACAATAGCCGCGAGTCCTCGACAGCGGAAATCGGCTCGTCTCTGTCGCCTCTCGCAAACGACTTCCGACCTACTTTCGGACCAGCCCCACCACCATTCATCGTTGCCACCTCATTCTACGAAAAGCGCGAGATACATAATAAGGGGACTGGATTGGTTGCGCTCCGCGATATTCCAGTGGGCACTCGAATCATCTGCGAGCCGCCGCTTCTGACTATACCATACAACTTGACTACGCTCGTCTGGGATCAATACTGTCAACTCTCGCTTGAAGACAAGCATGTCTACGATAACCTATCCTACCATCCGCACCTGAACGCACATCTACGACAGCCCGGCCAGATTTCCAGCAGCTCCGAAAACAGCAAGATCGATGGAGATGCAGATGAGGAGGGAGATGCAATTCGAGTCACGCAGATCTTTGCAAGCAACAATTTGGTGATCGCAAAGGGAGCACATGGCGTCTTTCGGGAAACATCACGCATCAATCATTCCTGTGTCCCTAATGTGCACCACTCCTTCAGCCCGGATCTTAAGAAGGAGGTCGTCCATGCGGCACGCGACATCTGCGCCGGCGAAGAGCTGTTGACGACGTACATGGGACAAGCGGGCATCTTCTCGACTCGAGCCCAGCGCACAGAGTATCTGCGTACAAATTATGGGTTCACGTGCCAGTGTCCAGCGTGTACGGATATTACAGGAGTCAGCGACGCTCACCGAATGTTACTGAACTCGCTAGTCTACGGCATTGAGCAGGTAAGATCCAAAAGCCGTCAACATCAGAAGCAGCTCTGATATCACCACGGGAGTGCATTCAGTGGCTTTCATGTTCGGGACATTCGACTGACGAATCTTATAGTTCCGCAAGGGCTCTGATGGCGTGTGCGATACGAAGCCGAAATCCCTCTCTGAAGCTCGCTCGCAGGCAATTGACATCATCGGGACTCTCCTCACAGACGGTCTTTCGGGCACAGAACTAGTCCGCGCCTACCGTCTGGCCTCGGAGCTTGCTGTCGACGACAAGGACTTTGAGCAGGCCCTCGAATTCGCTGTCAAAGAACTCGAGGTGGAGTGCAATCTCATGGGCATGGAGAGAGACGATCTGAAGCGCAAGGGCCTTGCAAGCGAGCAGTGGATTGCGGAAATACAGGAGAAGCAGCGTGAGATGATGTTGCAAGAGAGGAAGAAGTTGAAGCATGCAAAGAAGAATCAGAATCGCAAGGGGGAGGGTCAGGAGAAGAGGAAGCACATGAAGACGGGAGGTTTCAAGAGCAACGAGTGAGCGATGAGATGGCGCTAGAGACGAATGTCGACACGAGAATGTCTTGAAGGTAGGACAGTGCAGTCTTCAGTGGAGACATAGGTACGTTTGACCAAACGATGAATGTTCGAACTAAGACAACACTTCATGAGAATGTTATTTCTCTCACGTACTGAGCAGGCTGCCTGGCGCCTCGAGCTCTAGTCAAATTTCGGGGAAGCACACCCATCAAATGTTGATGGGTGCTCGTTGTTTGGTCCCGCTGACGACATTGCTCAAAGCTTCAATACAATGGAATCATCATCGATGGCATGAGAGCATGAGTTCACTATTACCGCTACATCCCAACGTCGGACTTACATCTGCAGGCCAACGGAAACACCGGTTCTCGAACCTACAAGTCTCACCTCAAACATCCACTCCACCAACAGACCATCATCAGCAACCATAGCTTCCCAACGTCTGAGGCAACTCACGCGCACCATTCAGCGCACCATGGCATCTACATCCGCACCCAACACGCCCCCGGAGGCACCATGGAAAGCCACGTTCAAAGAGCACATCTCCAAGATGCAGAGCCCCGAATTCGTCTTTTCCTCCCTCCACCCAGCACCCCAAGGCTCACCGGTCCCCTACGTCCCCCGCGCGCGATACTGCATCATGCGCAGTTTCTGGGCCGAACTGCCCGACAACAAACACAACACCGCGCCCATGAACGACAGGATTTACGAGTCCGATATGCCGGTCTTCACCACCGACGTGCGAATGCAGAAACCTTTTGAGCTGTTCAGTTCGAGCTCTGGGAAGGCTGATCGGGAAGGGTTGGTGAAGGGCAGTGGAGGGGGAGGGCCTGTGGAAGCGGTTTGGTGGGTGAAAGATGTGATGGTGCAGTGGAGGATGAAAGGGGAGGCGTTTGTGATTGGGCCGGATATTGAAGAGGAGGGGGAGCAGAGTAGTGGGGTTCGGACTGCTAAGAGTGAGCTTGGGAAGAGGATGAGGGTTGTGAAGGAGGAGGGAAAGGAAGGGTGGAGTTGGAAGACGGAGGTTACGGGACATTTTGGAAATATGAGCCCGGGGATGAGAGGTGAGTAATTGTTCTCGGTCCCACGAGTCGCAATGTATTGTGAAGCATACTGATGATTTTGGAACAGGTACTTTTGCAGCACCGCCGCCTGGACAACCCGTCTCAGCTCCCTACGACGATCAGAAGCTCAAACTTGGGGAGAAGGTCGAAAGTCTTGACGATCCTGTCGCCAGAGAGAACTTCCGCGTCGTTGTCATCAAGCCGGAGGAAGTAGAAAGCGTGGACCTTTCGGACCCGAAGCAGTCGCGAAGACAGGTCTACAAGTTCGATGAACACACACAGAGCTGGTCTCACGAGGAGTGTTGGCCTTGATTCTCCTCAATGACAGCACCATCGATCTGGCTGGCGATGCTTGAATACCACTGCTCTGGCACCCACCACAGTCACGTCGAATACGAGCCGCTGCAGGAATACTTTCCAAGGCGCGTAAGAGCCTGTATTCTCGTGTGGACCCACGGGAACGAATGCATCGAACAAAGACGGAGCTTCCATCATCGCTCTAGCCTTTCCACAGAGCATCGTGATTTCCTAAGATAGCCCAAGCAAGATCCAACAGGATGGATATCACGGAAGCGGCATGTGGCAGGTGATTGCAATGCACTTTGTACTACATTGTCGGTGACACATCTGCAGCATCACATGAGCATGTGTTGTGTTACGCAGAGATCCTGCGCGAGGGGGCAGCGTTGCCTTGTAGATACGATTATGAGGTGGAGGACGGATCTGAATGCTGATTTTGTGTGGGTGCACACGTGCGTTGTCATTTCGTCTAGCACTTTGAATGGACCTCGGTGTATTTCCATCGATCGATTGTTCACACCCCCTTGCTCTGAGGTGAGGCTGAGATGGACAAGTCCCGAATGGCAATAATCATCGCTCTTGAACTCACGACTACTTATTCCGAGGCCACAAGCCGTGCCTCCTGCCGCACATGCATGGAAGGAAGACCGGGGTGAGAGAATTTCAAATACTCGGCTTCCAAAAGATGCACTGGAAAGCGAGAACAGCGTAGCACGAAAACGGCAGGCGCTTAATAAGGTGACGAGTCGCGGAGGTTGGGGTTGGGGGAACGATACTCCGGCGGCTGTTTCGTCTCTAAGATGAGGGTCAGGCCACTTTCGCCTCGGCTTTTTTGGGGAGTCCCTTGGGAAGATGCTGCTGTACGACATTCTGGTGTATTCTTCAGGGTGAGTGGTCTCTGAAACGTGAAGCCCGACGAGTGTTAGTTGTTCGTGCTGGTCTGGGGATGAATGCTTTGCCCACGCCAGCGTGTGCCCTGAGGGTTGCGTACATTCAGCGTGTAGGCTGCAAGAGGTGTGCATGCGTGTCAACTGGCAATTGATTGATCGGCCCTGTGCAGCAGAGGAGGTGGTAGCTAGTCATTGCGTCCAATAGTCATTGAGTCCAGCGTTGGCCTGCCTTGGCAGCAGAAAGGTCGAGCACTGGCATCGTTGACGACGGAGATTTAGATTGCTGTAGAGATTGTTCATATCGATGTCGTCATTGAGGTAAAGTGTATCTTCGTCGACGGACAGAGCCAATCAAAACCGCGAGCTGGGTGCAGCAGTGGGATCGGAAAGAGGTAGCGCTAGAGCAGGACCTAACCCAGAGGCCCAGGGCGCGCGAGGAAAGCTAACGCCCTTTCAATTGCGCAATCAGCCATTGATTAACAGTGCGAGCATATCACGGGTACAGTATGTTGGGCTATGTCCTTTCTTTTGTTGGTGTGACCGGGCGATGACCATGCCATCGGGAGGGAAGGATTCTTTGACAATTGAAGCCGAGTGGTGATGATGAGATGTTCCTTTGGCCGGAACGGGGAGCTCTGCCCACTGCCCTCATCGTCCGGGATCCTCTGGGTCGGCTTCGGGAGGGCAGGGATCTATCCACAACCTGTGAACCCTGTCGCGAGCCTGCAGTGCATCACACACCTGCACTACTGTACAGCTAGGTGAGAGGCTGCTGGGAGAGCTTCAGTACCCAGCCCGAGCTTGCCGACCCACTTCCTCCGCTCGGGCTGTCGAGCGAGGCGTGCGTCCAAGTTGGCTTCGCACCTCGCTTCGTTCCGCTTCGCTTCGCTTCGCTTCGCCTCGCATCCTCTTTCACCTCCCTCACACCTCATATCACTTCCGCTCTCACCGACCACCGTTACTCACACCTGACACACGACCTCTGTGCCGCTCACCAAACACCATCAACCACTTGCGGTGCTGAGGTCGTCGTCGTCGTCGTTCCCGAATCTCCTCCACTTGCTTTTCCATCACCGTTGCAGGCTCGCCCGGCGCGACCGGACGGACTTCGATCATTTGCACCCACCTTCCGCTCTCTCCCCACCTCACTGCATTCATGCTCTTCCACCCTCCTTGACGGATTCTTATCCCTTGAACTGACCGCCGACCTATACCTACCCGATCATGGCTGCTGAGGCGCTGGCTTGCTTCACTTCTTTGCTGGAAAATGTACCGGGATGGATTGCGGATCTAGAGAGCATACTAGAAACGGCGGCCAAGACACAGGAGGACGTTGTTTTTGCGAATATACCCGCGGACTCTCACACTACCTCATCTAAGAAAAGACCACAGACGAAGTCATCGTCGCTCAAATCGAGAAGGTCAGACGATGGGGCGGATGTTGGTTTAGGGGAAGGAAACAAAGCTATTTTGCTCAAGCGGCCGCATTTACAGCACATGACGAATTCAGATGCACTACTCCTGTCTCAAAGGAAGAGAAAGACGGCGTCGGTGTGCTCTGGAGATCAATCTGGTCCCCCGAAATTCCGGATCAAGGCTGCTGCGGTGGTATACTACGATGGAGATACACAGAAGAGCTTCGAGAAACTTGTGAGGGCTGTTGGGTCATCAAGAAACGCCATCAGGAAGGGCAAGATGAGCATGAAGGTGGACAGCATGTCACAGAGTGAATCGAGCGGCAGTGAGACGAGTAGCGGAGACGATGGTCAAGATTTTGACCCCATAATGGCTCGACTCGCCTTGAGAGCCCATCGGTCGACCCGACCTGCTCATACTGGTGAAGACAACAGCGAGGCATTTGATCGTGTCGACGGTCGTCTGGAGAAAGGACAGTCGCTGTGTGAGCGTGCCGCCCATCAAATTCTGCGGGATGGGGACTGCACCGCCGAGGTCAATGATGCCAAGAAGCATTTCTCCGAGGCATTGAAGCTCGCCCAGGCAGAGCTGCCTGCTCTGCAAAGAATAGCAGAACACGCAGCCGAGCGGCGCCGACGGAGCGAAGAACGACGTCGCCTTGAGAAGAAAGAGGAAGCACGAAGGCAATCGGTCATTGCACTGAATCCAAACGTTATTGAAGTCATCACCGCGGCACGTCCGGACGAAGACGAGCTCGAGGTCGATCAACTCGAAGTCGACGATTGCTCGAATAACGACGACGACGACGCAGGCTTCGACATCAGCACCTTCTCCAAGATTGCACAGATGCGCTCTGCAAGGCTCACCGCTTACTAGTGTGTTGACCTTCTCAGTTCCCTCACCAGCATGGCAACATGCATCGAGGACAATCTGATGTTGACGAATTTAAATTTCATATGCGTTCGAGCGATTTTTCGTCTGAGTTGTGGATAGCGTGGAGTTCGGAAAGGATTTGCCCTGAGCGGCATGTCAAGGAATTGGGACATGGCGTAAATGAGGATTGACAGATTTTCAAGAGAAACATCCTCTTTATGAGATTTCCTTTGGCGATTCTTTATCATCTATCATTCGACGAATGTTTCCGGAATCAAATTTCGGTTTCAACGTTGCAGTCGTGACTTCCTTCCAGTTTGCCACTGTCAAGCTTCGTTACTTCCTCGCACTCACGCGGGCCTTCCTCGAACGCGTCCCAAAGGGCAGGCAGCCTGGCGCTAACTCGATCAGTCTCACAGCACTTCCTCTTCGTCTTGAGAGAAATGTCCTGGTCTTCTTCAACCCATCCTCGCTGCCCTCGAGATATTGCTTCTACTGCCGACCAGACACGATGCCACTGGACGACGCACCCAGATCGACCGCCTCGCGCATGCTTCGCGGTCTCAACCCATACCGAGACATCATCGACGATGGCGCCTGGCAGGAGACCATTGAGGTCGCCGAAGAAGAGGCAGAGACCAGGGCGCAGACGCTCAAGCATTCTACCCGCTCTTCTCGTCGAGGCCAGGCTGAAGTCATCTACGACATGAAGTACCACCCGATGGACCAGGTCACGCGACCAAACGCCCGAGCGACGCAGCGACACCGCTCCAAGTCCATTTCCTTCGCCGATATTGAGGATACATCTTCCAAGACCGAAGACGACAGTGCGCCGTCTTCTGTTGCTGACTCTGAGGAGGAAGACTCCCAAGACGGATCTTCCGACTCCGAGATACAACTCATCTCGTCTCCGCCGAGGAAACAGGATCCGCGCGCAGTCCGACATTCTGCGCGCGGCGAGGCGCAGAAGTACGTGAATTACAGCAAGAAGCATCATCCTCAGGATGTCGACATACCGGGCTTCCAGCACAAGACCATGTATGCTGCGGCCGTGGAGAGCACCAGATCTACTTCGAAGCCAACTCCAGCCTCTGTCAAGCGGGCTTCACCGAACGAAGATGAGGACGGCTTGGAGGACACTTCTGCTCGCGGAGGACCGCCACGGAAGAAGCTTAGCAGCGTGGATATGAGTACAATGACTAAATTCAAGTCCAAGACTAAGTCCAAGAAGAAGGCGAAATCGAAGAGCCCACCAGCACGAAGCAAGGCAAAGGCAAAGGCAATGAATAAGCCGAAGGGAGCAAGTAAGAAGGGCAATTCCAGGAATGAGCATGATGTCGACGCCTTGGTCGATGCCGCTATTGCTGGCTCACAGGCTCCGGGTCCGAAGAAGCCTACGGAAAATGACAGTGATCACGCCAATGAGCCCCAGTCCGAAGAGAAGAGCAAGGACTCGTCTGACGATCTTGATGCACTGGTCAATGCTGCTAGTCCTGGATCCCAGGCATCGACGGGCTTTCCCTCGTTGGTCGAAATCGGTGATAGCGAGGAGGAGAGTAGTGATATCGAGGGAGAGCCATTTGCACCTGCTCCTATGTCGCCTCCTCCGAAGCTTCCTTTGTTTGAGAGTGATGATGGTCAGCAGATCGACCGGGTTGAAGACTGGTCCGCTGTCCCTGCTCCCGATATGGTCGATCCAGATGCTCTCAAGCACAGCTCTCATACCTTGGGTCACAGTGATGCCGACTACCAAGCGATGTACGATGCAACCCAAGAGACTAAAACGGCCATGATGATTCAAGACGAGGATACGCAGCTGATGGCTGCCACCCTGGAAGACGCCTGCTCGCCGAGTAGCGACACGGAGAACGACAAGGCGGAGTCCCATGTGAAGTCTATCAACCGGTCTGCCACTCCTGACTTCAGCGCTGCTGTTCCGGAATTCATCAAGAATCGCCACGCATTGGAGGGCGGCTCGGCTCCTCTCACGCAAGAGAAGGCGATGAGCATGATTTTGAAGGACTATTGCAACAGAGACGATGTTTCACTCGAGATCATCAAGCCGTATCTGCAACATGAAGCACTCCAGTCCAGAGCGGAAGCAGCATTTCATTCTCCGGAAAGCCAGGCGGCAGTGGACGGAGAGGTGGAAGAAGGCGGCAAGAAATCTCCATTCATATTCATGTACGCAGATGGCGCCGAGGAAGCGCTCATGAATCCGCTAGAACTTCATTCCGGTCTCAAAGATGCCGGTGGTGCCGATGAGTCTGCCTCAGAGCCAGCGAGCGAGCAGTTTGACCACAGGGAGCCGGAGGAAGAGGGCAGAGGCGCATCGGTTTCGCTTGGCCACAGCGGCAGCTTTGACGGACAAGAACGAGGACCTCCGTCGAGCTCGCCACGAGAAATGAGCCTTTCAGGCTCTGACGATCCCCCAAGTGGACATACTAATGGACCGTCGAGGGACGAATCTCTGCCGTCACCAGAGCCGGTCCTTGACGACGCGGTCGAAGCGCGACGAGTCCAGGCGGAAGGATTCATGCAGGCTCTTCATGAGTCTGAATTCTCGCTTGCAATGGGCGATGAAGAAGATGATGGTACTGATCTAATCGATACCTTTTCGGAGATGTGAGCGGAGTGGATGTTGTGCTGAGAGGCAATGTGTTCGGAGGTGGATATGAATGGCATTACTACGGATGTCGAGAGCACGTTTGGGGACTGAGAGGGCGACTTCGTCGTGGAACGATGGATCTATGCTTTCGAATCTTGGGCCATGGAATATGATTAGCAGGTACAGTACCTACTCCTGTATAGCTCCAGCATCGCAAATACGTTACGTGTAGCAGTACTGTGGTCCTTATTCTGTCGTCTTGGTTCTTCGCGTCTTGGCATCTTGGTACATTCGTGTCGTCATGAGCGACGACCTGCAAAGTCCCTGCGCGTGTGCACTCCTGACGATCACACCAGGCGATGCGTATGCATGTGCGAGAGGTATTCCGTAGTTATTAGGGCGCAGGGTGCGCGCCAGACGCTTGGTCCAAGTGAGGTTGAGTTGAGGGATTTTTCGTCCACCAGCTGTCTCCTACTACTCCTGATATAAACGCGCCTTCCTCCTGCTCTGCTCTTCTCGCATCTACTGCGCAGCATATTCCTTCCGATCCCTGAACTGTGCCGTTCCAGTTTGCTCGCTCGGGATCATTTCGTTGCGCATTGCGCAGGGAGTTTTGGCTGTGAAGAGGGAGGCGAGGGCTTTGCCGGCGGATCTGAGAGGACTGCTGGGAGGTCGTTGTCGAGGTTGGTATTGGGGTTGTTTGTTGGGGTTCATTGTTGGCGGTGTGTTGACGGTGTGTGTGCAGGGGAGTGAAGAGCTTGGGGAGTTGGGACGCACACCGTCGTACTGGACGTTCTCGTTACGGCTGGTGAGGAGATAGCGATAAGACGCTCGCTCCCACTTCTTGGCGCGCCGCGGGAGGATTCACTGGAGCGCATGCCGGGCTAACGCGATGCAGAAGGTTGAGGCGATGCGATTGAACAACGAAGACAAGAAGAAGAAGAAGATGATGATGATGATGATGGACAATTGCACAGGAAGACATCGAGGCGGATTGTAGTCTGGACGATCATGGCATACCTCCCGAGGGTGAGGGAGCTGCCACTGGAAGGAAAGCGTCCACGACTGCTACCGCCGCAGTGGTTATCTGCACAGCGGTCATCTGCGCAGCGGTGCAATGCGTAAGACGAGGTAGCGTGGGATACGCTGCCTTGCTTCCCGATACGACGGTGTATCAGGGCAAAGTGGGTTGGGCGGCCATTTCCTTTGCTCTTCTTCCCGTTTCTCTCTTCTCTACAACATCATTGAAGCAAACACCTTCGGAAGCTTTGTTCTATTCTTTACCACGGCAAGCTCATACCAGGACGATACGCGGACTGCTTGGACGATAGATATCCAATAAGCCAACACTGCAACTTGAGATCACACGCCCTTAGCCAGCCAACCAGCAAGCCTTCGAGCAGCAAGCCTCCGATCAGCATCTACCATCGCCACGCAAACGGCTACCCGCATGACGGACACCAAGCACACCAAATTGATGTCGGATTTCGTAGACATCTCCAAGAAGTCAGGCCGCACTTTCATCCCCCTCAGTAGTAAACGCATTTCCCATTCCTCCGAGAATTCACCGCAATCGTAACCATGGAGTCCATCCTCAATCTCCTCTCCACCAAACACCCTCTTGCATTGAAGCATGGGGCCACCGTGGTTACAGAGACGGAAATTGGAAAGCAAGAAGCGGGACTCCCCGAGGAACTTACTACTTCTACTTCCTTCCCGAAGAAGAATGTTGGAATTGCGCCTACTCCTACTACCAACAAGGCAGATGAAGTGCGCGTCCTGACTCTGGCAGATTATGAAGACGCAGCCTATTCTCTTGCGCTGGCCTTCTGGGACGACCATTCTTCTAGGTATTTCATCCATACCCCAGACCGAGCCCACTGGACTCTGAAACAGAAATGGGACCTGCACCTCAAAATGATGGGATACATCGTCTATGCGCATCTCCTGAAAGGCCTGGTGGTGAGTGCAGGGGAGGGCTATGGATGTGTGGCATTATGGTGAGTTCCAATCATCACATCGTCAATAAAAAAGACACAAAACATGTTGAACCCAGTCTCTCTCTCCCCTCCCACAGGATGCCCCCCGCCCAAAACATGGACGACCCCCTCACCCTCCTGCGCTCCGGCCTCTGGCGCCTCACCTACCAACTCTCCCCCGAAGGCCGCACGCGCTTCTTCACCGAATTCCTCCCCCTGCTCAACCACACCAAAAGCTCCGTCCTGGGGCCCCACAAAGATACCCATTCCTACTACCTCGTCTACATCGGCACGCGGCCCCGCGCCCGCGGCAACGGCTTCGCCCGGAAATGTATCGACGCCGTCACGGCGCGCGCGGACCGCGAGGGCAGGGCTTGTTATTTGGAAAGCTCGAATGATGTGAATCGTGGGATTTATGGACGGATGGGGTTTGTGTTGCAGAGGGAGATTTTTTTGCAGAGGGGGGGCGGGGAGGAGGGGCATGTGAGGTTGGATATTATGGTGCGGGAGCCGGTGGGGGAAGAGGGGGAGGAGGGCGATGCGGATAGCGGGGTTGATGTTTAGTGAGGTTTGAGAGTGAGATGATGTGAGGTGAGGTGAGGTTGGGTTGGATTGACATTCCGGGGGAAGGGAAATGGGGAGCAGTGGATGAAACAGATTGTGAATTAGGAAACGAGGTTGACATATATGGGAGTTGCTGGATTTATAATAGCGCTAATGAGAACATTCAATTTGATGGGTGGGATTGGAAGTGAGCGATCTGCGTTTCTTCTACGATGAAGTAGAGGAGGAGGTTGCGGGTTTATTATACACACACACACACACACACAAAGGTCCTGTAATGGTCTATCAAGCTCGTTGCTTATTTGTGTCGTCGCCTCGCCTGGCCCATAAGCAGCACCCTTCTGTCGGCCGACAAAGCGGCTCTGGTGTCTTGACTGCATTCCGTACCGTGCGTGCTTTTAAGACCAATGTGAAGTCCAAAAGATCGCGAAGATCTCACAGCGTATACATGAAGTCGGGACGCTTGTCGCCCATGACGACGATTTCGTCCTCGGTGAGCCCGTCGAGGATGTGGTCACGAAGGCCTTGCCTGCGCCGTTTGTTCTCCAGGGCAAGTCTAAGAGAAAACGTTCTTTTTAGTCAAAACGGTCTTGCATGTTATTAGACATGTGAGAAGGAAGAAAGGGGTCAACGTACTTCGTCCGCATGAGAGCCGTGGCACCGAAATGGAGGATGATCAGGTATCCCAAGACAACTGCATGGCCGGTCCGGTAGTGCGGTTTTTCCTTCTTCATGTAGATGTTCGACGAGACGATACCGTTGACGTTGCCCAGGCCGACCATGATGCCGAGGACGACGCCGCGCTTGTAGCCGCCTTCGACGTTGTTGGCGGCCCAGGAGATGTTGTTGGGGATGGTCGGGTACAGGCCGAAAGCGCCGAGGAAGGTACCGGCGTATTGGATGTGAGGGTTGTCCGTAGCGATGAGCATGATGAAGCCGACGACGGTGATGCTGGTCAGGCACATGTTGCAGATGCCCCGTTGACGGGTTCGGTCAGCGAGCCAGCCGATGAAGATGGTGTTGAGGGCTGCGACGGCGTATGGTGGGACCGAGAGGAGCTGGGCGTGGGTGCCTTCGTAGCCTGGGAAGAGGGTCATTTAGCCTTGCTTATCGGTATGTGTGGACACCGTCTACACTTACCCATGCCCTCGAGAATGGTGGGAAGGAAGAGACTGAAAGCGTATAGGACCATGAAGTTGCCCATGTCCATGACGCCGAACACCCACGTCTTCCAATCCTTGAGTGCCTCCGTGACATGTCGCTTGTCATAGTCAGAGCCACGGTTTGAGAGATTGCCCTTGGCAAGACGATGGCGCACGCGTAGACGCTCGTCCGGCGCGAGGAAGCGTGCGGTGTCCGGCCAGTCGAAAATCATAAACCAAGAGAAAGCGCCGACGACCATGGTGCCGGAGCCTTCGAGGATGAAGATCCTGGGATGTGTCAACACGCCCATTTCCTGTTCATTGTGGGCGTCAAATCACTCACCACGCCCAGCCGGATTTGCCTCCAACCCCATCCATGTGTGCAATTGCTGCCGCTAGGAGACCGCCGAAAGAGCCCGCCAACGCGGCCATGGCGAAGAAGAGAGCAAGTCGCAGGCCGACTTCAGAACGCTTGTACCACATCGAGAGGTAGTACTGCACGCCCGGGAAGAGGCCCGCTTCGCACATTCCCAGGAAGAATCGAGCCACCAGAAGCCCCGAGTAGCTCGAGACCAAGCCCGTGCACATCATGCAAAGTCCCCAGACGCAGACGCTGACGGTGAAGAAGACCCGCGGTGTGACTCGCTTGAGGATCAAGTTGGTGAAGGGCTCGAAGCCAGCGTAGGAGATGAAGAAGATTGTCAGGGAGAAGTTGTATTGTGGTCCCGAGATGTCGAGATCCTTCTCCATGCCGGCCAATCGTGCGTTGCCTGCTCGCGGGTTAGGCCTCGTCTGTTTGTTTTTCATTCAGATCACGCACCGATGTTCGTCCTGTCGAGGAAGCAGGCGAGGTAGGTCAGACAGAGCCATGGGACAAGATAGGAGTCCATCTTCTTGACGAGCTTGATGTCCTGAACATCGCTATGAGTAGCATTCTTGGCATTCTCGATTGCTGTCGTTGACTCACGAGTTCCCTCCGCTCTCCCTCTGACTTGCCATCATCCGGATCGGCGACATTGACCAGCGTCGCCGTATCGTGCGACGGCTTGATGCTGCCATCGGACGAGGTGGTGATCTCCTTCTCATGAGAGACACTGTCCTTGTATTCGGACATGGTGGGTGGGCTATCGAGATGCCAAGATCAAAGGAGCGTACAGCTATGACTTCGTTGGAGAGGGAAATGAGGAGAGACCTTTCCATCTGCGCAGGAGAAGCGCCGGATTGTTATATTGGACCTCCTCTCTCGTGATGGTCAAGACGAATCCTAGGGCCAGGAGAGGTGCCATTCCGCCGTTCTGGGTATGGACGGGTCAGGGTGAGGTGTGTTGGAAGCCTGTCGCCAAGCTAGTGATCATGGGAGTCGTGGTATGGGGCGCTGGGATTCGGGCTGGTACTCATGATGTCTCATCTCTCGTCTGAGGCGCTTTTCCGTCATTGGATGACCCGATGCTATGCTCGGAAGCGACCCAGGGAGGCATCCAAGCTTGGTGTGGTGAGTGACGGGCGAAGGGTGAATAGGAATATCTTCCCCGGGAAGGACTTGGATTCCAGCAGGAGATAAGGGAGCTTCATCGTGGTCAGGAGCTCGTCGGTTGAGAAGCTTTCTGCGGCGGCTATGACACGGGACATGGACAGCTCCGGCATTGGACCAGGGTAATCATCACGCTCTCGTAGGCATCGCAGCTCGCAAGTGTGGTGGCTCGTAGGCGTCGTAGCTCGTAGGCATCGTAGCCCCGAGGCGTGTCCATTTGATTAACAATCCGATCAAGCCCATCAAATCTTCATGACGGTAGCAATTTCCATGGAAAGACCAGCCTACATCCTAAGTTCCTCTTCCGCGCCGATCCTTTCTTTTTACACTTCACCTCCCGCAATATATATAGATATATATCTATATACATATCTAGCGACATAGCTATCTTCCGTTAATAGTACCTTACGATATAGGGCTAAGCTTTCTAAGCTTTCTAGTAAGGACTGCCTTTAACATAGACATAGCTCCGCGATCGATCCCGCTTCCTTTTACTATTATTACGGAACACCCCGTATTACGGAAGTAACGACTAGGTAGAACTAGCGTCTATTAGCTAAGCGGAGACATATATACCTTCTTTCCG